TACTATAGTATAAATATAACTTCCCCACCCTAAAGAACAGAACTACTAGACATTGAGATAATCCCCTAGATGAACACCAACGAGAGAAAGAGGGGCAGATAGGGTGTGGATATAACGCAAGAACGTGAAGGAACTGTTAGAAAATAAATGAGGTGAGTTGATAGCATGACTAGTAATCTTTTATGTATATCGTATGTCTATATATGTAATTGAATCAATTACATTGATAGGATGAATTTGTGATATGACTGATGTTGTGTGATTGAATTCTTCATCTCTTTTATTGTTATTTCTTTTCTAGTCATCATCGGAAATTCTTTTCTTCTTATTTTTCCGTGCGTTTTTTCTGTTTTATTCTTTGTTTCTCTCTCTCTCTTCTTCTCCCGTCGCTGACTAACGATGTAGCGCGCTCTCGTTGTTCCGGATGAAAATAAATTTTCTTTTTTTTTTTTACATTGTAGAACTAGAGAGAAAAGGCACAAACACAAACTCTAATGTTGGCTTGTGTTGTTCAAATCCTTCATCGTCATAATCATCAGCGTTATTATTATTATTATGGTTATTTTCGTAGGATGTAAGCGTGTTGATCATCCTAATCTAGTTCATTCGTGATGCCTACTTGTCATTATTTAGTATTCTTAATGACTTTATTTTTGTCAATCAGTCTTGTACCAATCCTCGTACACGGTAGCGTGACTGATCTTAATCAATCAGTAATTCTAAATTATAATTCATCGAATACATGCTTAAAAATTAACACAAGCTGTAGTACACAAGATGGATTACTTATACCTCTGTGGCGCCCTCAAGAAGGCATATCCACTGGCGATCGAATTGCACGCGCAATTGTCTATCTATTAGCACTTATTTATTTATTCATCGGTGTCGCTATTATATCCGATCGTTTTATGGCATCAATTGAAGTCATAACATCGCAAAAACGTGAAATTCGAAAGAAGAATCCTGATGGAACTATCTCCATAACAACAGTCGCTATATGGAATGAAACAGTATCGAATTTAACACTAATGGCATTAGGCTCATCCGCTCCGGAAATCCTTCTCTCCATAATTGAAGTTGTTGGTAAAAATTTCGAAAGCGGAGATCTTGGACCGGGCACTATTGTTGGTTCAGCCGCGTTTAATTTATTTGTTATTATTGCTATATGTATTTTGTCAATCCCATCCGGTGAAGTACGTCGCATACGTCATCAGCGCGTCTTTTTCGTTACAACAGCTTGGTCAATATTTGCTTATATCTGGCTATGGGCTATCGTTGCCAAAATTTCTCCAGGTCATATTGAAGTGTGGGAGGGCACACTGACATTTCTATTTTTCCCTTTGACGGTCTTCTCCGCGTATATTGTTGATACCAAAGTGGGTCAATTCATACGTATTCGTATTACATCTCAAAAGCAAGTTCTACAAGTCGATAATCAAGCCACATCGGCAATACCGATAACAGTCGATGATTCGGAACAGAAAAGTATGATCGATGGTTTCAATCGACAATCAGCAGCGCCGAGCACAAACGATTTATATCCAAAAAAGGCTAGCAGCATCATTACAGGCTCAATCATGGAACAATTAGCCGGCTCAACAGCAGGAGGCTTAGATGAAAATGCTCTATCTGATCATGTTGAATCACAACAACGTCAAGAATTCATCGAGATATGGCGCGAATTACGTAAGCAGTACCCCAATCATGATATGCAGACCTTGAATGAAATGGCAGCAGTTGAAATGATGAATCGTGTGCCCAAATCTCGAGGTATGTGTTTTTGTTCTATCTGCAAAAAAACAGAGTGAGACGACAAACTTTTTTTATCTCGATTTTCAGCCTACTATCGCATTCAAGCAACAAAACGCCTCGGTGGTGGTGGTGGAAATATCAGAAAGAAACTATTAGAAAAGCTCCATGAACCAGATAAACTCAACCCGAGTGAAAAACAACAACTAATTGCCGACACAAATTCGCACATCAGTAAGATACGTTTTGAGCCAAGTCATTACACAGTCCTTGAAAATGCTGGTTACGTTACATTACACGTTGTTCGTGTCGACGGAAACTTGCGGAATACGGTTTATGTGGATTACATGACCGAAGATGGAACAGCAACTCATGGAGCTGATTATGAACCAGCAGAGGGTACATTGATATTCTATCCAATGGAAACAAATAAACAAATTCAAGTGAAAATTATCGATGATGAAATATTCGAAGAAGGTACAGAGATTAATTGTTCTTTAGGAAATCTGAAAGGTTTATTGCAATTCTCGTTTCTAGATGAACATTTTTCGGTGAAACTAAGTAATTTGAAGATTAAAGACAATCAAGGACGTTTAACTCCCGGCGCCTTCGATAAAACCGTACAGTTAGACGAGCCATCTACAGCAGTTGTAATGATTATCGACGATGATCATTCCGGTTTATTCGTTTTTGATAATGACGAAAAAACTGTTGTAGAATCGGATCGTTTTGCTGAATTGAAAGTTCTCCGAACGTCAGGCGCCCGTGGTCGTGTACGAGTCCCGTTCACCACGGAAGACGAAACAGCTTTGAACGAACGCGATTATATATCAAAAACGGGCGAAATCATCTTTGAAAACGAAGAGAACGAGTAAGTCACACGAGCACGATTCTTTGTTCAAGTTATTTTAATCATAGAGTATTAAAAATAGATACAAATATTTCTTGTCAACAGAATTCAGTATTTATCGATCGGACTTCGATCGGCTAATTGCTTCGTTGCCGAAGGAGATTCTCTTTTCTAACACTTACATCACCGATTCTAATCATAGAAATAAATCATCAACAGACTGCGTTATTGTCTGACTACACGCTTTGACATGCTTGTCAAATTATGTTGAAAGTTTTCCCCCCCTCGCCGACAAGAGTTTCATATCTATCAAACCGTTCTACATAGAGCATGAAATACAACAAAAAAAAACGTCGACGTCAGCCGACAAAGATAAATGAAGCTTGATTAAAATTGCGAATAAAAGACTATATTTGCTGTCCTTGATCATGATTTTGAATTCAATGAAGTTCTTTTCACGATCGCGTTTTATCAAATGCGAATAATTAACGATCCTCAAACATGTTTTTTGTTTATTATCAAGGACACGACGACTTCGGTCTATTATTATCTCGTATACAGAAGTCAGTCGTTAGAATATAAGAACACAGTTTCTTGATTGTCAATTAGCAGATCTTATATCTCCTTCGATTGCTTTTTATTTGTCCGTCAGCCATATGTCTCCGAGATTGAAAAGAATCCAAACTGATAATTGCTTGTGAATTGCTAAAAGACCACTTACTAATTAATATCTCTTAAACATCATTGACTTTGAAACGATATGTGTTGTGAAAGCCTTGACGTCTGCGTGTTTATCATCATCGAGTGTCAACTATGTTCGTTTTTTTTCTAGGAAAATAATCTCGATTGAAATCACTGATCGCGATCAATATCAACGCAATGAAACGTTTCTGATTCGATTAGGTGAACCAACATTGATTAGAGACGACGAGAACAGCGATGATTCGCGTACGCAATAAAATAACTCGAGCATGATTGATTTCTCTGTTGTTTTTTTTTATAGCTATGACAGATCATGATAAACTAATTGCGGAATTAGGAAAACCACGATTAGGCGAAAGAAGTGTTATTCGCGTTCGCATCCGCGAAAGCAAAGAATTCAAGGTATGAATCCGTGACTTTCTTTCTTCATTAACTAATGTGCTCTTTTCTCATGGAAAGAACGCAGTTGACAAAGCTTTATACAAAGCGAATACGGCCATACTCGTGGGTACGTCGACATGGTTAGAACAATTTAAACAAGCCTTCAGCGTCAAAGGTAAATCGAATGCATTCGAGCCGAAAAAAAGTTAACTCATGGTTTGATTGCTTCAGAAGAAGATGATGATGATGTTGTCGAGTCAGGCGAAAGCAATAATGATGATGATCAACCGGCAACATGTAAAGACTATATGTTACATTTCATATCATTTTTCTGGAAATTTTTATTTGCATTCGTACCACCAACGAGTAAACACATTGTTCTACAAATACGAGAACTTCTAATTAACATTTCCTTTGTGTTCATCTAGGTATTGCTGGTGGTTGGCTATGTTTTATCGTCTCAATTTTGATCATTGGCATGTTGACAGCAGTCATTGGAGATCTCGCGACACATGTACGTTTAATCAGCTTGGTACATACGTTCTCATAATTTATTTTGGTCTAGTTCGGCTGCACTGTTGGCCTCACAGACACAATGACTGCTATAGCTTTTGTCGCTCTAGGAACGTCGTTACCAGGTGGGAATATGATGAATACAGCACTAGACTAATACTTTTTATTATTTTCTCAGACACATTCGCCTCGAAAGTCGCAGCAGAGCATGACAAGTACGCGGATAGCTCCGTGGGAAATGTCAACGGTTCGAATGCTGTAAATGTTTTTCTTGGCATCGGTTTACCATGGGCGATGTCAGCATGGTACCATTACTTCAAAGATACGAAGTTCAAAGTGCAAAAAGGCTCCCTGTCATTCAGTGTGACCTTGTTTTGTTCATTCGCAGCTGTCGCGGTTATTATTCTATTAATAAAACGCTTGAAAGTTTTCGGTGGCGGAGAATTAGGTGGTCCGTTGAAATATCGTCTTATTTCAAGTTTCATATTTTTTCTGCTTTGGGTTGTTTATTTAGTATTAAGTGGACTCGAAAATTACTGTCATATTAATGTGTAAAAACATTTGATGTCTTTCCGTTAAATACGTTTATTTGTCGATGTGTCTGTGTGTATTTTTTTGTGTTTCTTTTACAGAAAAACAATAAGAATAAGATTAACAAGAAGAATAGAACAGAACGGTGCACGGAGAAATGGTTTTTGTTATTGTTGCAGAATCGATAACGGTTAACTAAGAGCGAAGGAGTAAGAAGAAGGACAAGCTGGTTGTTTTCGTCTACTGAATGAAAATTTGACTTGAAAGATGATGTGATGATGGATTCCATTCGATTAACTAGACTGTCTTGCGGACCCCAAATGTTGTTACAACAAAGAACATTTTTGTTTATCGCGAAATGGATTGTCTCTAGGTGATGAAAATCCCATGACAAGCGTGTCGGTTGTTTGATGATCTGTAATATAACGAACAAGATCTTTACATACAATCGAGACTTTTATTCGGTCACGTTTGGCTTCTTCGCGTAATTGTTCGCATAGACGATGTTGAGCAAGATATGTAGTTTGGGTATGATCTAAACACGCGAGAAAAAACGAAAGGTTCATCTGCTTCTTGGACGGGTGAATAAAATCATTCTGCTCTATGTAAAAGTCATCTATCGTGACATGAACAGAATTTGTCAACGTCAAACTTGATGAGTCTCCGTCATTTTATGAATAATTTCTTCTTCGCACGATCAAGTCAGAAATCTAATTCATAATTCGCCACTTCGCAATAAGACTTACATTCAGGTGTATATGAACGCGGTGCGGAAAAGTTGTCTGATACACGTCGATTTGGAATATGATCATGACTCGAAGATAATTGAGTAAAAGCAGCAATGCTGTTAATATGTAGGACTGACATTCGAACGATTTCTCGGCTTTCAATGAATGATAATTAATCAAATTGTATACTTTGCTGGTTTTGACGCGGAATAGAGTTTTTGCTTTCAAGTCGAGAGTCGTAGTTGATCATGTAAATTAACATAATTATCCAAGTTAACTTCGATGGGTTTTGTTATTCTTCAATAGACTACAAGTCTCAAATTGCTACGAGTTAGAAGGAGAACAGCGAATGAAGAAAGAAATCTCGAAAAGAAAAGATAGAGAAAGTTAGTTGTTTTTCCTTGTCATTTTCCGTTTTTCTTTTTGATGTGCCAATAGATTGACGCTTTTCTTTTCTTTCGTCGAAATTATCTTACAACAAACATGCTAATAGAATCAACGTTTGTCTTTAGCCGTGCATGAAACATATATTGAAGTTCTTGAGCAATTCTATTAATGAACAGAATAACTTGATATTAGCATGAGGCATTCAATTCCATCTTCTTCACATTGTCAAGTTTAATTAACATCAATTTGTCTGTAATTCGTTAGTTTTCTTTTCGATTAAGACATGCAAGGGAAAGCAAATCCAAATTCGATTATGCATTGATCAACTTTTCCATAGGAATAATGCCGATATAGACAGAGGAGACGGGTCAGTGTTGTTTGATAGAAATTTTATACAGTTATTTATTTGTTTTAAATTCATTTAACACAATGAGCAACAAACAGAAAACAAACAAACATAGAACGAGTGTGTGTATGAATGACTGACTAGAAAGGAGATTCGTCATGAAATAGGCTTTTTTTCTGTACATCTAATATCGATATATTTTAGAGAAGAAGAAAAGGATTGAGAGGATTGATAACAAGGGAAAATGATTTCGAATACTAAAAAAAGATGAATTTGGTACGAAAAGTTGTTAAGTTTGAGGTGGAGCTGGTTGGTATTGTCCTTGTTGATATGATGCGTATTGAGGTTGCATCATCATTCGTGGCTGATTTTGCCATTGGGGAGGTTGTGTTTGTTGCTGCATGTGATAATTCTGTTGGGGATGGTACATAGGAGGTTGTTGAGGCTGACCGCCGTAATTGTTATAAGCCATTTGTTGTGGAGGCGGTGGCTGCTGTTGTTGATTGGAAACTAGATTTTGTGTATTAGTGGCTTGAGAAGGCGAACTTGATGACGAAGGTTTAGGTGAGGTAGAAGATGGAATAATTGTTTGTTGTTGTTGTTGACCATTTAATGGGGAATTGGGTTTAACAGTTTGATTCGGAGGAACAGACATTCCTGGATCTAAAGAGTGAGATTTTCATTGTAGTAGATAGAGCAAGATGTTTACAATTCTTCCTTACTTTGCTGTTGATGATACATGGAATAATGTGGCTGTTGTTGTTGCTGCTGAGGCATACCACCATTAGGATGGTGACCGTATCCATTTTGTTGCATTTGATATGCATGCTGCTGCTGCTGCGACGGTTGTTGTTGTTGAGGCATATATGCTTGTTGTCCTTGCATATATGAAGAAGGCGCTTGACCGGTCGATGAATGATCCATACCAGCGCCGTTCAACATTCTGCCTTGTTGTGGCATCATGGGTTGAGCAGATAGATAAGGTCGTTGCTGCTGCTGCTGCTGTTGTTGTTGTGGCATCGAAGGTAGATGCGCGGATGATGGTTGTGGGGTTGGCGCCTTGTTCATAACTGAATTTTGTGGTGAAATTGACGATGTCATCGCACCCGAAGGAGAAGGTGATGGTGCTGAATGCGCTGGTGATCGTTGTTGTTGAAGAGAAGGAGCCAAAGACGTATTTGTCGAAGGAGCATTCGATGGTGGATAGAGACCACCGCTAGTATTGGCATGCGGACTTTTGTTCAACGTTGACGAAGGAACATTCGACGGTACTGGACTATTCGTTTGGGTTCGATACACTAAAAAATAAAATAAATAATTTTTCATTCAGACTACGAAAATTTAATAAGAAGAATCATTGTGACGAAGGTGCCGAGTTCGTTTGTAAAATAAAAGACTCGGCATGTAATTTAAGTAATGTAAATCTAGCGCTTAACGTAATCAGTAATAGCCTCTCGTAAAACTCCATCGAATAGTCGATCTAACGAAATATATTACTTTGTTCTGAAGTTGATGGTGGTACACCCATTTGATTTTGTTGCATCATATTATTTCCCTAAAATAGAACGTCATCTTTGTTTGGCTATCTCTCATTTAGTTTACCATCATCATCGGCTGTTGTTGCTGTGGTGTTTGCAAAAACGCTTCTGGTGGCTAAAACAAAAAAAACGTCGTACTTTAACATTGTCTCGAGCAATTTCAACGTACAGGCAGGTTATTTGGATGATGTGACTGTGTCATATCGAATTGTGTAAGATACGTTAGATTTCGATGCAATGTACGTTGGTATCTATATGAACGGATGATTTAGAATGATAGTTGTCGAAATTGATGACATACTCAAGGCATTCTGTTGGTCTTCCTTTGGATTGTAAGTCAATGATCATTGATATTAGCTGAGAATTGTCATCAAGTAACTGAAAAAGAAAGGAAATGAATGATCGAGAAGAAAATCGACTAGTGAATATGAACCTTTTGAATTGTTGGTTTTTGTTGTTGCTGAGGCATTGGAGCCATTTGCTGTTGAGAATACATGTTTGAAATCATGCACAAATAACTGAGATTAGGATAAAAAACAAGAAGTTCAAAAGAAAGAAAGACATGAATTATTCACCAATGGATTTTTTATAAAGCAAAACAAGAAGATCGAAATTCAACAAAATTGATCGATTTTATTGCGAAAAAAAGTTTGAGGAAATATTTTTTGCGTTATTTAAATTCTCAATTGTGATATAGATGTCACTGGTCTCACCAATGAGATCATTTTTCTCATTGACAAACAAACAACCACTCAGTTTTCGCATCATTTGATTAAATAAAGACTCAACATCTCAAACTAAATTAATACTAATAAAAACAATAAATATTTGTATAAATGTCTCTTTGAAAATCCGATTTTGAGCCAGTAGCAATACTCCGAATCAGTTATTCTTACAAATCCTCACGATTGAACGTTAATAGAATGAAGTAGCACTTGTATCTATAAGCGATAATCATTTCAATTAGATATTTTATCTTTAGTAATTCAATTATCGTCGATTCAATCGTGCGCATTTTCTATAAATCATTCAAGAATCCAAGTATAAACTCTTTTCCTTTCGAGTTATTAAACCAATTATGGATAATTTTCCTTCTAACTATTCCGTTTCAGATGTTGTTCCGTCTGATTGCTTATCCTCGGTTACATCTACCGTTGTTTTATCAGCCGATGAAAACTCTTTCAACAGCAATAGTTTCAAGTGTTACAAAACCGTATCCGAGCTACGTCGAACGTCAAATAACGATTAACGTGAACACATCACCAGGTGATGAATTCATAGAAATTGATCAAGAGACAAAAGCGAAAGTTGCTAAACCAGCAACATATATTCGTCCGACTGTCAACTATGTAGATACAAATCCGTTAGGAGACAAGAATCAACCGATTGTCTTACTCGTACACGGTTATCCTGGTACACATGAATCCACAAGAAATCTTATAGAAGAATTTCAACAACGAGATTTCCGTTGTATTGCTCCTGATATGCCTTGTAGGTTGACTCAGGCGCAAATTTCTAAGAACTATTCGTCTGTTTAGATTGTGGCAAAACTAAAATGCCACTTTGGGGTGCGTTGTTATGGGAAAACTCAGTCTTTCTACGAGGAAGATTTCTCGGTGAATTGCTGAAAAGCATTATGGGAAATAAACTATTGTAAGACGAATATTCTTCTTCTATTGATTTTATTCCGACATATATTTCCTTAGACCGATTCATACTGTAGTCGGTTTGCATGAGAATGCTTTAGCATTAGTCTCACTGATAGATCAATATGAATATTTTCGTTGTAAATCATTGGTAATGATTGATCCGGTGCCAAGAAAACTTCTTCGGTAGACGAATTGATTTTGATCGAAAAATAGAATGAATATTTGATGTAATTTTCATAGATTCTTTCCCTTGGCAAAACTTGTCTTCGATTTCGGTCGGCTTCCACTCCACTGGCCAGTCGCTAAGTTTCTACTTCAAGCTCTTGGATATAAAGATCTACTAAAATACTCTCAACAAGATATCATGGGTGCTTTGCGTATATGGATGTTAGAAAACACGCACGAGGTAAGATATCTGTATATATTTTGAATCAATCTTCGACTCTTTTTTAATTTATAGTACGATGCGTATATTCATAATCTATGGTTATCTCGATTACGAACAATGATGGTTGTCTCTGATGAAGATAAATTTTTAAATAGGAAGTTGTTGAATGGATTGATCAAAGATTTAGCGGTCGAACCATTAAATAAATGTAGGTGAGAGAAAGATAGACTAGGCCACGCATGTTTAGACCACTTGCTGATTATTCAAATAAGAAAAGCTTTGGGACACTGAGCAGATAGTTTTGGCACTTTTGTTTAATGTTTGCAAACTGTGCGCATCTACTCATTCGAATAAGGAACGACCTGTAGCGAAGTCTTACTTAATTCACTCTATTGAATTGTTGTTTCAAATCAGCGGAAGACTTTGTCGAAATCAGATTAGCTATAATCAAACTCATGTAACACCTTCGAAGTACCATTAACTGAAAAATATGATTAGCGTTTCTCTCATCAATACAAATTCAATTATAGTTGATAACGAACCAGCCGACGAGTCTATCCTTAAGTCAAAAGAAACATCCAATGTTCCTAGTAGACACCATATAGTACCTCAGGCGCTTAAGAAGTCGTGTGACATCCATTACAGTAGTATGAAAGAATGTCAAATTGAACCATTCGCTATCTTCACTGTTAATTTCCTTATTACGACTACATATATATTGTCTTTTCCTTTGTAGCAAACATCGCAAACACTGTGATTAGAAAATATGCTTGCAATCACGATGAATTACTAACTGATCGCGTCAGTAATGTTGCTGATGATATCGAAACATTTGTCTCTGCGGTGCTTAAATCACCAGCTGCGACCTTGTATGTAATTATATGATTTCTTTGCATTTCGATTTGACTCTTTTTTCTCTTTCTATGCTTTGTTTCAATCTCATCAGAACGCAGCCGTATACATCGACAATAACAAAGAAGAAAGAACAAAAAACGCCCATCCAAACTATTAACAACCAACAAGATGGATCAGAAACTGAATTAGATGAAAACTCATATAGGCGTGCGGCGGCAAATGACTTTTTCTCTCAAGTATTTGGTCCAAGCAAGTCCGAGTTGAAACCAAATCAACCACACAGCATACGTTCAGCGTTCGAGTCTGTCGCGAGCGGATTTATTCAAAAACCACCACCCGGCACACAACGCGAAACATTAGAATCAGTCAAAGAACAGATGAGAAAGAAAAATATTCGCATAGAAACGAAAAGTTGATTTGATACATCTAAATAAATAAACGAGAGACTGACCACTTTTCTCTTGACATTCATCATCTCAAACTATGTGACGAAAGGTCATTTATGAATAAACATCTTCTCATTTGTTTTCTTTCAGATGTACTCATCACTTGTCTACTATTTTATGTACCGTCGTCGAAATAAATTCATCATTCTGTTAGTAATCATATTCTGCATCTTAGTCTTTTTCCATTCGACTTCTCAGCAGAATTCGCCAAGAACTAAGAAGAGTGTTAACTTGCCTCAGAAATTAATAAATGAAAGGAAGGTACGTGTCAATCGAGATACGTACACAACACCAGAACCATGTCATGGATGTCCAGGTGAAAATGGTCAAGGTGTACAGTTAACGGTAATACCGGCAAAAGAAAGAATTGATTGATTGGAATGGTATATTTTAGGCAGAAGAATCAGTTAATTTAGATGCAGTGATGAAAAAAGAGTTTTTCAATTTACGTGCAAGTGATAAGATTTCACTATGGAGATCAATACCAGATACTCGAGATTCGATGTATGTTTCATAGAAGAATGTTGTCTGTTGAATGAAAATCTTTTTCTCCGCAGGTGTAAATCCGTCGAATATCCACCAGATTTACCAACAGCGTCAGTAGTAATAGTGTTTAAGAATGAGCGATGGTCACCGGTACTTCGAACAGTTTATTCTGTCTTGAATCGATCGCCGAAGCACTTGCTCAAAGAAGTCATTCTAGTGGATGATCAATCAGATATTGGTAGGATGAGAAGAACAAAACCAGTCAATTTTCGACAACGAGATGATTTGTTTTCTAGAGGAGATGGGGCAACGCTTAGACGATTATTGTGAAGAACACTTTGGTGATCTAGTGCGGGTCTTACGAGCACCAACACGGCTTGGATTAATCAAAGCGAAGAACTATGGTGGAAGAAATGGTTAGTCAGAAATCTCGGAATCATAAAAGACAATGTATTTCCTTACTTTTAGCCACCGGCGATGTGATCGTATTTCTCGATGCACATTGTGAAGCGAATACTGGATGGTAAGTAGGTCGAGTCTCGCTGTTATAAATACAATTCACAAGATCTAGGCTTGAACCATTAGTATATCGCATTAAACAAAAGCGGACAGCTATCTTATGTCCTATCATTGACTTGATCAATGCTTTTGCTTTATCGTACCGTTCGGGTCAGCCGAATTCGATTGGAGTCTTCACGTGGTCGCTTCATTTCAGTTGGTCGGGTATTTTTCCACGACTTATAAATACACGACAATCAAGAATCGATCCTATCTCGTAGTTGGCGTTTGATTTTTGAAGTTGTTCATCCGCTTTGTTTTACTTCTTTATCTGGTGATTGGTTATTTTGATTTTTATAGGTTAGAGCCGCTTTTATTACGAATTAAGCAAAAACGTTCAGCTATTCTGTGTCCTGGTATCGATATGATTAGTGATAGTAACATGGGTTATGGTGTAAGTAGATATGCTGACTAAGAGATCATTACAGAAACTATCATTTCGGGATTTTTCAAGGGTACGGGTGACGGGAGTGTGGGCGGATTTTGGTGGTCGTTACATTTTAATTGGATTCCAGTTCCAGCACGAATACGAAATGCACAAAAATCGAGGATCGATCCTTACCCGTGCGTGATTCTTGCATTGCTTTGTTTCTAACACAGATGTTTGATCAGTAGCTTTATTTGGTTTTTTTTTACATTACAGATCTCCAACTATGGCTGGTGGTTTACTAGCAGCTCATCGAGAATATTTCTTCGAGATTGGTGGTTACGGTAAGTCATGACATCTGAGATGTGTACCAAATGTTAAGATATTCTCTTATTTTTATTTAGACGATGATATGGAAGTAAGACTTGTTAATTTCTTTTTCGTGCCTATTAGATGCGAAAAGTATACGATTGTAACGGGACATCTTTGTTTATTTTAGTGGGAAAATTGTCATACTTTGACAGATTCATTGTGCATGCCTTGTAGGTTCGCGAAAGTGTCTTGCAGTTCAGCTAATGCATGAGTCTCTCACACAGTCCGTTTGGACAATGTTTTTTTTATTTCCGAAGCACAATTATAAAGCGTTCGATTGAAAAACTATTAACGAAATATTGAGTATGACCGCATGTTCACATTTGCTTCAGAAACCAGTTTTTTTTGCCTTATTCATATGAAGATTTTCGGCATTTACATAACGAATAGTTTTTTCTGCATACAATCAATGTATTTTTAGGTGTGGGGTGGCGAAAACCTGGAAATTTCCTTTCGTGTTTGGATGTGTGGTGGCAGTTTGGAATTTGTACCATGTTCTCGCGTAGGTCATATATTTCGTCCAGGTCATCCGTATAATATGACTGGAGCGAAAGGTAATTTCATTCGTTTACTTCAAAAAGCAACCGATCATTCTGTTTCTCTTAAAGGTAAAGGTGATGTTCACGGTCGAAATTCGATGCGGCTCGCAGAAGTATGGATGGATGACTATAAACGTTTTTACTATATGCACAGACACGATCTAAAGGTAGTTGGATATCATGAGTTGTTTAGTAGAAAAGTATGTCGAGTGTATTTTGTTTTAAAATAGGGTAAAGATTATGGTGACGTAGAAGATCGTCGAGCAATAAGAAAACGTTTAAATTGTAAATCATTCAAATGGTACTTGGAGAATGTCTTTCCTGAAAAGTTCATCCTCGATGAAAATGTTCACGGTTTCGGAGAAGTAAATCAAACGAAAATAAATGAAATCATTGAATGAAACAATTTTCTTTTCAGCTCCGAAATCCTGCATCGAGTTTATGCTTAGATACTTTAGGTAAAGACGAAAAAGGTTCGTTACAATTAGCAATATTTTCTTGTCAAAATGGTGCCTCAGCCAATCAATATTTTTCTTTAACAAAAACGGATCAATTACGCCGTGAAGATACATGTGCACTGATATCTGGACGTGGGTCAGATGGTGCAGGTGTGATCCTATCGCAATGTGATTATTCTGATCGAAATCAGAAATGGACACATGAAAAGGTAGCATTCATTGAAAAAACATATGACGCGCTCTATATAAACTCCGTGTTTTTCCTTAGAATGGAACAATTGTTCATCATCCAAGCGAACTGTGTTTAGATGTTGAAGGTCTTGCCAACAACGATCAAGTGAAACTACGAAAATGCCAACCGAATAAACGATCACAACAGTGGCTGTTCGAACATTATGCAACAACTTAATATAATTCCATTGCACCGTCCAATAACCTATTTCTAGAGAATTCCATCTTCATGTTTAACAACAGTGCTGTAACTATTTCGTGATAAGCAACTTTTATCGATGCTGTTACTCTTTTATCTTTTCCTTTCTTGGCTTTATTTGTTTTGTTACTATTATCAATTAAATTATAATAATCTTTCTACTAAAAGCACGCGATGTCGTTGTTTGCGTCTAGGGTTCGACTGTTTATCTAGAGTGAAACGCAGAATGTTGATTATTAGATATTTATATGTATGTATACGAACACATCGAAGGAAAGTTGCATTGCACGCATTCGAAAGACAGAAGCAAGGAAAGAAATTCGACATTCAACATCGATTACATGTCGAATGGAGCGAATGTAAACACACACAAAAGAAAGAAAAACCAGAGAAGGTGAACGAATTTGTATGTTTCTTATTGAGCATCATGATAAATTGAGAATATGATGTCACCGGAAATGGAATGAATTCAAAATAGATGAGAGAGAGGGAGAGAAAGAGAGACGAGGAAAACTAAACTATAGATTTGCGTTTGCTTCCACCAATGGTAAGGAAGGTTTAATGGTGGCTTGGCGATGTTCCAGTTTGTCAACTTCGCTAAATTCACCTCGAACATCTTCACCAATAGAGTTGTTGATATTGTCCTGCGCCTCGCTAATGCTTGGTACCGCTGGTATTGAAGGTCTAAAATAATAACGAAGAAAAAAAATCGTTAATTCAAGCTTGCTAGAAACTAAGCATAGGAAGGAGATCGCAAATCCACACAGAGAGTATATCTACCAGGCTTCATTAAATGCTCGTATCATATACATGTCAATGAGTCTATTTAGTTTTTCATTTTATTGAAAAACATTCGGATATATCGATGAGAATAAACTTACTTGGTCGTTGTGTTAGTACTATTTTCTGGTAATGAATTTGATCGACTTTTTGACGCTTCTTCCAAAGCGGTTGTGTTCAAAAACGTTGGTTGGGATAATACACTGAAACACAAGAACGAAATGAACGCTGTGTGAGAGAAAGATATTTTTCGTACCTGTCATTTGGTGTGGTGTTAGAATCAGAAGTTTGGGAAGTTAGTGAACTAGATAATGGAGTTGTTGATATACTTGGGAACTTTGAAATCGGTATTCGGGGTGGAACGGGCGGTGCCGCACCTTGAGGTAATGGCGGTGGTACCGTAATTTGAGGAGGCGGTGGTGGCGCCGGACGGCCCTTCTAAGATAGAAGAAGTGAAATACTCATGAAGACAAAGTATATCACAGAAAGAAACATACCGCCGATGTTGTTCGTTTAATAGAATCTTTATTGCCTATCGGCAGTGTCTTATTATGCATAGCATTCATGTCCGGTGATGGTGGTGTAGCAGGGGATACGTCTGGACTAGTAAAATTTAAAGGTGTATTCGATGATGGAGATGGCATTGTTGATGATATCGAGCCTTGTCGACCAGAGAAGACGCCGAAGATCTTATAAAAACCACGCATTGTACGACCAGAAGTTGTACCCGGATTGTCCATGGTTAGATTGAGGCCATGATCACCACGTGTAGTAGAACGTTGTTCAACTTGATGATTAATGCTTTCAACATCGGTTTCATTCGTTGCACACTGACCCATGCATAGTGCTTGGGAAAGTTTTCTTAGTTCTTCACGTTTCAATCGTTGTCTTTGTTCGGCTACTCGACCACGAAGGCTGGGCGATTCAATTGCTATATGTACTGAATTGAGCAATAAAGTAAGAAAATACTCTCGAAATGAACTATCACATTGATACATTCCACCGGGGGGCTGAATTGATTTGGTCATATCGTTACGATGCCAAATACCAACCTACGAAAGTATAGCGATCATTCGTGATGACAACGAGTTAAGTTTTCATCTTACTTTATAATAAACTTGTTCGTTAATTCGATGTGGTTGGACAGTAATATATACTTGTGTGACTTTACCAGAAATGAAATCGGGTGAGAATTCCGCGTTGGGCTCTTGGAAAACAACGCAAACGAAGGCATTGCCAACAAGCCCTTTACGTTCAATACACTGTCCATTGGCTTTTGTCGATGGGATCATCGGAGCAACATTGAACATAATTTCGTGATTCTTATATTGAGCATAATAGGAATGTTCTCCGTGTAAATCATCTTTAGTATCCAGATCGCCTCGATACTTCGTAAACCCTTTCAAACGTACACACTCGGCTAGGATTTGTAGAAAATTCAATAAATCGACAGATAAGAGGTCATTGCTGAAGATGTCGTATTCCATCGTTTGATCTGAACGTTGATAAATAAGTCCGATTTTACAGTTTTGCCTTTCGTCATTCAATTTATCGAACGCATAAATCTTCTCATTTGCCTATTATTCAATTAAGAGGAAAAAACGCTATTTAATACAATCCTCGTTGACCACTCTTCTAACCTATACTTACTTTTGGATCGCCAATGGTTTTACACGTTTGAACTGTGGATAGATTAGCTTGATTGAACAAGACTTGCAGGATATTTTCTTCATTGGTACTATCAACCAATACAGAAACATGATCGTTACGACTCGCTGTGCTAAAATAAGAAAATTACCGTGAACGTTTTCGTTTTTCTGAAAGTAGTTTCCTGTTGTCAACAAGCAACCAGTACATACCGAATAATTGCTCGTGCTTGGCAATGTACATCTGTGTCATCGAATGATTTTATATAAAAATATCTTAACGACGCAATAAATGGTCCTTCTTGTTCAAATTCTCCACAATAATTTGTATGAAACTAAACAAAAGCCAACCATCGTTCGCTTTCATTTCCACAGCATACAGATCTTCACTTACATATTCGAAGAAATACTCTCGGTAAATTTCTGCTACACATGTCTGTGTTTGTAATTCTAGTGTGAGCGAATGAGCTGAGTATGGTTCATTCGAACTGATCTCATAACAGAACAACGACGTAGCAGATGAGACAGACGACGTCCGAGAATCTTCTTGTATAACTGAAGCTAACCGCTCGTTACTGACAGTTGAATTTGTTCGAGAGTGGTTCAATGCTGAATTGGATAATATCTATAAGTAAAAACACGTCAATTCTATCTATTTAGAAATACATCCATCAACTAAATAATCGAGGTCAGCTGTTATATAGAAACAAACTTTTCTTACTCTCATCTGTTGAAGAATTCTTTTCAGAGACAACGCTGGTTGACTTTCACTTTCGGTTAATAGCATATTTTCGTACTTTCCATTGGACGAACTCAATTTCTATTTTTGTTTTGCATTGTTATATAGCATCATGTTATCTGTTTTCGGACATGACGTTATACAACGAAAACTCAGTGTATAGCATGACAAAACATTTCACTTACCATTGACGAAGGCAATTCGTTTTTCGCTCTCATCATATCATTGTGATGTAACGAGGACATACTATTGAAAGAATTAGTTAATGTGTTTGTGTCGTCTCTAGAAGAAAAGTTTCTTTATAGTAAAAAAAAAACACGAGAAAATGATGAACACACACACACACACATACACACTGGATGTAGTGAAGAATAATCAAGTGCGTTTAACTCTCAGCTACTGATAAAAGCAGAAAAGAATTGTTAGTTTTCTAATGAAAATGACGTTGTTTTAACAACGACATTGTTATCATCATCATCTGCTTTTTATACCCATCGTTATAGTAACTTACTTGTTGATGTTTTTGGAATGTTTATTAGAACGAAAAGGATTTGGAAGTAAGGCACCAAAGTTGATTTGTGACGTGGAATTTCGTCGTTCGGAATTCTTGTTCTGAACTTGTTGAATGTGTGCTGGCTTCAGTTCACTGAATCGTCGATTACGTTTGTGAGTCACTTGTTTGCATGTCATGTATGGCATGGATGATAAATCTGTTAGAATATCATCAGATGTTTCTTCTTGACTCGATGCTGTTCGATGAATGGAATTCTTTCGCTGTTGGGAGCTTTTCAACGAAAGTCTGGAATACGGATGGTTATCCGATTGTGAGAACGCCGAATTCATGGTTTTTTTACGATAAATGTTTGCTTTGCTCGTCGAATCGATGGACATAATCATAGGATGCAAAGATGCTTTCTAAAAGATATTTTTGACATCGTATTAGTTTATAAAGAGCAACTTTTCTCTTTCTTTGTTAGTGTCAATAAAAAGGAAATCTTAATGAGTTTTTCAGAAAGGGTCGTTTGTCGACAGAGAGAATTTTAAAGCAAGCTGAAATGATTTTCCTACGGCGTGCTTTTCTTCATTACCGAAACTATCACTTTTTCATCGCATACACACCCACTTACCAGTCAATCGTTTGCTCCCCATATCTACGAGTGTTTGTAACGATGCGATTTCTAGTTTTTCATCAAAATAATATAGGAATAAAGCAAATCTTCTTTCTCTTTCTGTTTTTTTTTCTCCGCCCTATCCAGCAGGGAAAAAGAGAATAGGCTGCAAGCTGCATTTTTAATATATTTGATACATTCTACTCATATTACTCTCACTTGAAAAAATAACAACAAGCAACAAAAGTGTACGAAACTGTCGAACACAATTCAATTTAACTTAATGTTAACTTCTCAACCATTAATGATATGTACATACTAGCGATCATGTTCTGCTTCAATGATCATTCGATGATTAAAGTTCGGAGATGCATACGCATTGCGCAGGTTCATAGATGTGACACTGGCAAGATCAACTTTGCATTTTTATAGTAAAAATCACTGAGGAGGTGTGAGTATATACATATTTTGTTATTCATTGCACATTACGCTAAGAACCTATCATAGGTAACATCGAAGGTAAATATGTACACCATGTAACTCGAGCTACTTAAATGTCCATTAGTCAGATGCGTATATTGATTTATTTTCGACGTATGAGAATTACTAATCTGATTCTAAGGCGATCCAACGTATTTTTAGATTGACTGTCAGGCATAGTACCGACAGTTGGCTCTTACTTCGAGATAGGTAATCTAGACGAATGAGATGTTCGTGATGAGAGAAAGAGAGAGAGAGAGAGAAGTGTTAAAATCGATGATGAAATACTTCAACTCATCTAAAAAATACGTTGTCCTTCTTCTTTTTTTCCATTTACATTATTTGTCAAGAACAGTTAAGAGGAAAGAGAGAAAGGTCTAGAGCCTTGAAACGTGTCACTCTATTGCAACAACTTTGCGATTGTTTGTCTAATTTCTTCTTCGTCTTCTTCGTCGCACTATTTGCACATGTAAAAAAAAGTAAATTGATTTACACAAAAATTTCTAAATAAAGCATCGAAAAAAGCGAATTCAATTAGATATATGGCGTCGATTCGTTTTAAAAATAACAAAAATGACTTCGACATAAGGAAATCACATTTCTCACCTGTTTTTTTTTGTCATTCCTCTTGCAAATATAGTTTCATTATGATTATTATGCAAATGTAACCTTTGGAATAAACTTTTCATATGGTTATACATGAGCGTAACTCGAAATTGAATTTGAACGATGTCGTAAAACTGCTGGTAAGGCTCATAGAACATTTACAGGCTATCAACGATACCAATCAGGATAATTAATCGAACTTCTCCAACAAGACGTATTAAACATCTAAGCAGATTAAGATCAAAAAGACAAAGTTGTCATGTTGTGGATATGATTAATCTTCGTAAGGCAAGAAATCAAAGATTTTTTTGTCGAGTTCTTTGCATTAATGCATTTTTGTAATTAAACCATGATGAGAAATGACATTTACATTCGAACCAGATTTATTTATAGTATAGTGGCATCTGTACTTCGCTCACGAGGAACACTTCATTTGATGAAGTCATAGGACTCGTATTTACATAGCAGTGTATTTGTTTAGTCATATTTCAATTGGATTTATTCGGAAAGTTGACCTTGGATTGAAAAGAAAGCAACATCAGGTGATGAAGCAAGCTGATCATTCGAAATCGATTCGTTAAAGGCTAGCGACAAGAGAAAAAACATATTGATAGAGATGCGTATCGCTGTGTCTTCCGGAAAATCCATTGATTAATTGTGAAATAAATATTACGCAAATGTGTTCAATAAGCATCACTGTGCAAGTCACGTGTCCCAGCACATCGATACACGTTGAGGATGTACCGTGCATTTAATTTCATTCATTGAACTTTCAACGAAAGGAAATAGAATTGAAAAGATCAAGGGTATAATTGACATATTCCCAAATTTCAAGTTAATTTAGTCTGATATAGGGTAAAAATGCGCGATAAACGTAGGCGAATGAACGTTCATTACTGTAATTTTCTGTTGATATAAAAAGCACAAAATAATAGATGAAATTTTCTACGACGGACTATCGTCAAGTATATTGCTGTGCCAAAATATCCGTTTATAGTAAATTATATGCTGCGGGTCAAAAGAGAAGTTCGCTGATACATTAGTGAACTACAATACTTATTTTTTTACCATTGAAAAAAAGGGAGTTTTACATACAGTTATTGTTGTCATTCTTTTACAGTTCCCATCAAACGAAGACGATAGCAGTATGCTCATCTGGTTCATACTGGCAGCTATTCATACCCAGCTGAGAGCTGATGAATACCAGTCACTCTTTAATATATCTGATTTAGGGCAGCAGTTTTCTCCCGTAAATCAGCAAGCATTACTCCTATCGAATATCAGTGCAGATTCTAGCTCAACTTGTCGTCAAGCATGCCATGCAAATATTTATTGCTGGATATACGATTACGATGGCCTAACAAAGCAATGCCGTTTGTTTGAAGGCGACGTCAGTACAATGGGGATTATCAGTGCATCTTCTTCACCGTTGTCAACTGTTGGTCAGATTCAACTGAACAAAGAGCTGTTTGCTAGTAGCGGATTGTCCTGTTCATTTTGTGCTAAGAGTCGGTATTTGACTTGTGTGAATTCAACTTGCCAGTGTTTAGCACGCACATATTTCGACGGATCGATGTGTCGCAGTCAAAAGTTACTGAGCACTCAATGCACTTCGGAAACAGATTGTCGAAATGATTTAAATCTAACTTGTTTATCACGTAAACAATGTGGACGTGAGTATTCTGAAGAACATTCTACACAGTTTAACTGTACTATGAGCTTCTTTTTTTCTTTGTATGTATTAGCAATATCGCTTCAATCTGGTATCACTGTTGCTGGCAGTTCAAATGGGTCGTCGGGATCGACAAGTAATGCACTTTTATCTCCATTCGGCATTGCCATCGGAAGAGACGATTCACTATGGATTAGTGACGCTGGTAATTCTCGTGTGATGCGAGTGTCAGTAGGATCTTTAAATGGAACTATCGTTGCTGGAACAGGAACTTCAGGTATTGCAAGCACACAACTGAATTTTCCATCGCATTTATTCGTTGACAATGCATCCAATATTTACGTTAGCGACACGTTGAATGGTCGAGTTATGCTGTGGCTCAACGGTTCTTCTTCTGGTTTTTCAGCCACAGGTGCAACCCGTATAGCAGGAAGAACAATAGGACTCGCTGTTGATTCGCAGAAGAATGTTTACGTGGCTGAAACAGATAATCATCGTGTAACTAAATGGACACCGAATGCTACAACTGGCATAGTAGTTGCTGGTGCCAGTACTGTCGGTACCGACAATCAGCATCTTGCTTATCCTTTTGGACTTTTTCTCGATGAACTGCACTCGTACCTTTATGTTGCTGACTATGGAAATAATCGTATACAAAGATTCACGCTTGGAGGATCATTAAACGGAACGACAGTAGCCGGTGGAAGTGGACAAGGCTCGAATGATAGTCAATTATATTTTCCTCAAGCGGTATGTGTATCGAAAAACACGGGCGCGATCTATGTTGCCGATACGTATAATAATCGTGTTGTCCGTTGGAGTTCTGGTGCAACAAAAGGCGTCACACTCGTTGGTGTTCCGGGAACATCTGCAACGTTATTATCGGGCCCCGGTCATGTCGCTTTAAGCAGAAACGAAACGTTTCTTTATGTGGCAGATGTAAATAACAATCGTATCCAACGCTTTGAACTCATTTAAATCCTCTATTTCAAATTTATATACAAAAATTGAAAGTTGCTGATTTCCTAACGGTTTCTTCTTTTCTTTTTGATATATAGAAATAAATTAGAATATACCTTTGCTTCCAAATCTTAACAATGAGAAAGACACGCGCACACATTAGCACTTGGAAAAAACCGATCACAATGAACTTGAGGACAATAACAACAGAATAACAACAGAGACATTGGAAAAAAAAACAACTGAAAAAATAATAACAAGCTAAACAAAAAGGAAAGACATACAAGAAACGAAGAATCTTGTTTTGTTTCACTTAGACAAAAAGAAATCAAGAGATTCATCAATTGAGAGTACTGTGTTAGATAAGACCGTTGATCACTAAAAAAAAAGAAATTCGGTGGATTAAGATTTTGTTTCAAAATTCAAGTTAGTAGAATAGTCACACGCGATGAATAAGGTCAGTAAAACAAGTGTCAAACAACTCAATTTCTCCCCGTCGAACATGATAAATCTACTGCATTCATCTAAGTTAGTCGACTGAAAGCATATTATGTTCGGGAAGCCTAATACACACACACGTGCGCGCGCGCGCATATGATTCTGTTAACGACTGGTACTGCGACGGCGACGAAAAAGTTTTTTAAATATATTTCCTATCGACAGAATGATCAGACGTTCGATCGAATAGTTCAGCTCGGCTCTTTCGTACCTGGGCTTTTTGGTTTACTTGTCTGATGCCTATTTAATGTTGATGACTTTACAACTCGCGACGATGATGAAATATCACATACATCCATAGCTTCAGTTGTCGTTGTCGTCATTTGACAATCGGCTAAGCCTGCAGAGCCGGATAGCTTTGAAATGAATCTTTGAAATGGAAAAAGATGAGAAGAATATTGCAAAGTAAATTAACCGGAGAGACGTACGCTTGGGAAATATTCTCTGAGGACAACATGGTCTTCGGAGAACGATAACCATTGCTATGGAAATCTTCAAAAATTGAAGGTGCAACATAGGTAAAACCCTAGACGATATATGAATGTTTAAATTATAGATCTCTCGAAAAAAAACCTACTAAGAAAGCTATATCTGCACTTGTACTGATCATATTATCGTCAGGTGAATCAACAGGCGTTTGTTTAGTAAACTTTGTATCGAACTGGCTAACATCATCATCGCTGTTGAGCAGTGGTTTATGTGGTGGAGTGGTGCGTTTTGCATAAACGTCATTCCAATTTAAATGACGGAAAAATCCGTGATTCTAAAGTTCCAATCGGTAATAGAAAAAAGTATAACTATTTCAGAAGTAAGTCAGTCACTTACCTTGATTGCCACACCATCTTCTGGCCCGCTACCAAGTCGATGACTAACTTGTCGACGAAGCAACTAGAAGAAAAGTGTACTTTATCATCTAGATAAAACTTGTTCGTGTAGTTCGAATATCGCACGATAAACAATATGTTGAATTGTTTCGCCTCTGTTCGATCCTATGCATTTCTTTTCGCTTGTTAATCTTCTCCCTCCTTATTTCATTAACTTCGAATAAGAAAGTATGAGTGCTTTGTCTCACAAGCGAATCTACAGTTCGTTACATACTTACATTCCGAATCAATTCTCTTGCGTCCAGGGTCAAGTATGGAGGTAGGATCAATTTAGCATTGATAATTTTGTCCATTGTTCGCTTACGATCATCAGATGTGAATGGAGGCTAAATGCAGTTCGTAAAAATATATACGATAAAGAGCACAAATTAGGTACATACAGCACCCGTTAACATATCGTACATCAATGCACCAAATGACCACCTAGGGAATGTCAAGAATGTAACAATTCGATGAACGAGTTAACGAACCAATCAACGGCTTTGCCATGGCCACTACGAGTTAAGATTTCCGGTGCCATGTATTCGATAGTGCCACAGAATGTATTCGTCTGTCCACCATCGTATATCGATTCTTTACACAAACCAAAATCGGTTAGTTTTACATGCCCTAAATCGAAAGAGAAATTGTGAATTTGAATAATACGAACGAGTTATCAATACCTTCAGCATCAAGAAGAATGTTTTCCGGTTTGAGATCTTAAAAATCAAATGCAATTCATCACCGATTTCAACACCTGGAGAAATCGTTCTCACCTCTAAAAAAAGGTCAACGATCAACATAGCAAAGTTCATTTCCAGTGATCGACAAACCTGTAAATAATTCCTTGTTTATGAAGATGTTCAATACCAAGCAGTATTTCAGATAGGTAGAAACTAAAGAGCAAAAATAGATAATAAGAATTCCAAGCATTTATATCTTCGAATTGCGTTTAGAAAATTACGTATTCGTGCATTCCATTAATATCAGTTGCGATGCACTCTACTAGGCATATGACGTTATATATATATATATTTATATCGCGAACAATAACAGACAGACATAGCTATACTTTATGTGTCTTAAAAGCATCGTTTCTTACCAAGCAACATCATCTGAAAAGATTTGTTCACGTTCCAACTGCATGAATAATTCACCACCTGATAAATATTCTAAGATTAGATAGAGTTTGCCACCTGTTTGAAATGCGTAGATAAGATCGACAATAAACGGACACTAGAAGAAGATTTTCTTGTCAAAATTCAAAAGAAAAAGGTCGCTTAGTACTTTAACACATTCGAGAATGTTTCGCTCAGCTTTCGTATGTGCGGTATCTTTTGCATTACGGACAATTCTATGAAAAAACGAACCAGATAAGCGTTTGTGTTAAATTCGAATATTTACTTGGCTTTTTTAAGAACTTTCATGGCAAAAATTTTATTCTGATGACTACCGGAAATCTTTCGTACTTGAAATACTTTCCCATATCCACCTTTTCCCAAGACTTTCAGTAGCTGGAAGTCATGTGGTGAGACGCGTTCTCCACGTGGATTCACCGTTCGCTCGGTAATTTGAACTGTTTCTGTTTGACTAAAACAATGAAAACATATACATGAGAAACGAAATGATGAACGAGACTATTCTCCGCTTACTTGGCTTGTAACGGATCAACACCGGTGTCGTTGAGGACAAAACGATTATCATCATCTTCCTCGATATCGTTAGGATTGGTACGACCATCAGCCACCGTTTGATGGTGATCATTGATTTCTATTGTAAATAATGGTTCGTCGATCATTGTTTGAGTTAGCTTTCAGGAGAAATAACGACCAAAAAATCAGCTTTATATATATGAAAAGATTTGTCAGTGCATAGTTGAGATTTTCTATGCGGAATTTAAATGCCTCGATTTGAAGAAGAAAAAAAATAAAAAGCAAGACAAGATAATGGAACTATTTCGTATTGGTTAAAGATCCATGCAATCAGAAACGCCATGTCAATGTCATCGTGTTAGAAACCGTTGTATACGTTGCCATGACAGTTGTATTCAAAATGGTGGATAAGTTTTTTTTTGTTATTGATTTTATATCGAAATAAATTACATGTAAGTTCTATCGAAGTACAAAGATCACAAGAGGCGAAGTTTCTAGGTCCGGACTTATCTTTGCTAGAGGGCGAGAAAAGAGAGACAATGCGCGCGATTCTATCGAAAAAGTGAAGTAGAGAGGCTTTCTGTTCGGATTTGTTTTTTTTTTCATTTTGAGCTTATCCTCTATTTATACTTTTATCTAAAATGAATGATTCCGTTATAAATGTCAGCATGACCGAGTAAGTTTTATTGGCTGTGAAAAAAAATGCACTAACGGTCTAGGCAGAAGAGATTACTACTCAATAGTTGCTTTTATATTTTTAGGCTTACATGGAAGACGGATCTTCCGGATTAGAATACCTGTTATGCGTCGAATAAAACGTAAGGCGAAAGGTATCTTTAGATTAGGGAAGAAGCTTTCATGCAAGAATAATATATTTATGATTGATGAGTGCCATGTGATACAAGATCTTTTAAGTTTCAGCTTAATTCAAGTCGGATCAATCGAAATATGACGTGAACCATTCGCCCGTTCATGTGGAAAGAGAAAATTCGTCTACTGTTTACTCGAAAACGACAATATTGACAATATCGTAGCACATATACTTTTCTTTCATCTATCTTGGTCAATATTTGATGAAAACAACATTTCCATTGTCAACATCACGATCTCGACTCGAAAAGCAAAGTTCTATAGAAATGCGCATGTTTCAACAAGTCCGCTGTTTGAACAATGTGTTAGAATGATTTTTATATTTCTAGATATCAAAAAACTTCTTGCGTGGGAGCTTTGAGCAGGATTTCTAGATGTACGATCGAGCATCACGTAGTTTTAATCAAACGGCAGGATGCACCTTAGATCATGTCGGCCCCGGCACATACGATCACCAGAGGAAGCGAGTTCAAGACGGTAGAAATAATCTAATTAACATTATTCCGCTTCGACAAGAACCTACTTTCTTTTCCAGAAGGCTACGCACCCTTCCTATCGCTGGCGAATCGTGGACAAATATTCTCGAACGATGAAAATCCTGGACCTGGCCACTACGATCTCCGTAATGCTCATGTGTCAAACGTTAAAGTAAGTTTTTCTTCCGAGAGAAATCACTCGATAACAATTTGCGAGGAAAGACAGTATAGATAAGATATTTTCATTTCTTCCATTCACATGAGAGTGATTGCCCTTTTTCATCTTTGAAGTGCGTGCCTAAAAAAACTTTAAGTATCATCGGTAGATTGAACTATGTAGGAGTACACTTGAGAAAATATCGGTTTCAATGAATTTTCGTATTTCTTCTTTTTCTTTTATTGGGAGACGAAAAAAAGAGAAGATATTTTTGATTATTCAAAGTTGCATAAACGTTCAACGGATTTCGCTCGAACTTTTGTGCGCTTGTCTTCATTAACATGCGGTTGAAGATTGTTGAGCAGTTCATCTGTAATTGCATACGTGAGAGCAGCACAATCGAGAAATGGTAAAAATGAATCAGCAGATTCGTACAGATTCAAATACTTCTCAGTAAATCTTTCTAATTCATCGTGTTCTTCTTGTGTCCATTGAGAATAATCGTTGTCCTTATTCATGAACTTCTGAAGAAATAAGCGTTTATCGACGTCCGTGACATGTTTACTTTCGAGGAACATCGTTTTCAAAAATGGCAAATTCCATTCGATTTTGTACTCAGGATCTTGATTCGGTGTATGAACAACGGTAAAAAATAATTTCAGTGGATTAATTCGACGTATGACACTGGCTTTCGGTTTGAGAAATGTTGCAAGTGATGGCGTGACGGACTCGTGACGACGAAGTGGATGTGCTTGAACGCATGAATTAGAAAAGACGAATACGAAGAGAAGAATAACCACTGATGTGTGCATGATAATGAATGAGATATTTGGAGTAACTAATCGGATGTCTGTTGGTATTTGTTTGCGTATGTGTCGATAGCACTCGCAAGTGAGAGTGTGTGGAAAGAGAATGAATAGAAGTCGTTCTTCGAACTTTTCTAGTAAGAAAGAGCGTAAAAAAGACATAAGAAAACGAGAGAAATGAGAGAAAGTGTTGAACTTGCTTTTATATACTTGAAAAGAAAGAAGATTCGACGTAAATTATTATTCGATAAAATATTTTCTTCTGACGACATCACATCCGATAAGGATGTTGTTTCCCAAGTTTGTCAAGACGATAATGTGATTCACTAGATAATAATTAAGTGAAGTATATCATCATCATCATCGAGATGTACGTCACTGAAATTCTCACGGAGAGTTCTCCCACAATTTGCACAATAACCTATGATTTTCTCCACTGATTGAATAAAAACAAGACAGGTTTTTTTTCATCTGTTTTCTTTATCTTCAGTCAGACTACAATTCGTCGAGATATTTCAAGTGGTAATCAAATAAATTACTTTTAATTCTAGCTCCTTCTTGCTGTAGCTTTAATGATGATTTCTCTGACTACGAAAAACATTAGCGTGATTCCATTTTCCCACGCAATTTTTGTCCTTTCAGGGAGGAAGTACACTTGCCAATCGAGCTAGTCGATTCAGCTCGAAATTAACCGAAGATACACCAGGTATGAAAAAGGTCTTTCACCAAATGTAAGTTCTCACTGGAATATTTTAGGACCTGGCACATACGAACTTCGCAAAAGTCAATCCGCTCGTGCCACTGCCGCAGATATTAATAAAGTAACAAACTACTACCAATAATTGCATGTGATCTTTACAGAGTATATTTTTTCTATACTATAGCAGCCGCGGCAAAATTTAGTGAAATATAATCGGAAGTCTCTTCCGCCTTCAATTCCCGATCCGAAATTTGCCTATGGTTTCGAAGAAGATAACACTGGTATCTTAGTTCCACAGAAACCTCCGACAAGAGATGGTTCTCTTGGACCAGCTTTTTACAATCCACCACCGAATGTTCGTTGATTTTTCGAATTGAACTTAATTTGAAAATGTTTCTTTCGTTCGTAACAAACAGGTTGAAGTCGATGCAACAAAACTCTATCATGGTGTTCATTTTGGTAAATACTCAAGTAAACGTACAGACTTTGCAGGGAAAACTGGTCCTGGTCCTGGTGAATACGATCCAAGCGATCCAGTTAAACTCGAAGTGCATCATATGAACATGAGAGCAGCCGATCGTCGGCCTGAGTTGCAAGTGGCACGATATCCTGAAAACATCCTTAAAGTAGCCAATAAAGAAGTCTGTATTCTTTTCATATAAGAAGACAAATCGATTCTATATACTGGCCTCATTTCTTCTGTAGAGTATCCCGGGGCCTGGTCAGTACTCGATTCGACGTGATTTAGATCCTGAGCAAGCAAAAGGAGATATCATTGGTTTAGAATTTGAACGACCGCCATTTGGTTCACAAACTAAAGTAAGAGTGGCTCATAGAAACATCGTTTTTTTGAACGCCAACTGACTTTCCGCTCTTTTCTTAGCGATTTGATAGTGTAAATTCAGATGTTCCTGGTCCGGCGGCGTACACTGATAAATACATGTCTGCATTTAATACTTCCCAATCGAAACCTTCCAGTTTGAAGCGAAACCCTTTCAACCAAACTTCGGCCAGATTCGTGAGTATCGACTACAAAGCGAGAAGTGCTCCCGGACCTGGTCAATATCGCATTCCTGGATTCGCTGATGAAAACCTACGAAAAGCAGTCGTGGAAAACGGTAAAAAGCCACCCTTCAATGTTGCCTCTGTACGAGGATTGAATATGGCACGAAAAGATGAATACAATGCACCAGGTAAGCCATCTATCTTACATCATAGTAATACACTTCTTCTTATTTAGGTCCAAGCAGTTATGATATTAAAACAACGCCATTTAAATCCAAAATCGAGCATCCGACTGCGAATTTTTCGTCGACAACCACACGAGAACTCATTGTTGAAGTAAATAGTTCTTTCTAACTAAGATATCAATCTATAGTTGATATACTTTCAAGGATATTCCCGGCCCAACAGCATACGATGTTTCACGTGCCTATCATGCACTCACATCGTCTCATAAGCAAGGGCCACGATCTAAGAATGCTCGCAAACGTCATGGCCAATTTCTGAGCGCGGCTAAACGTACATTTGCTGGCGATGCCACAAATGATACACCTGGTCCAGGTGCATATGACGGATATACTACTGAGCATCCGCGTGGTGTAGCACCACCACGTGACACTCGTTTCCGTTACGAAAATTCCAGAGGACCAGGTCCTGCTGATTATGAAGTAAGACAAAAGCAACTCAGCACTATTGAAACTCATATCTTATCCTCTGTAGTTATCGCCACTTCTTCAAGATACGATTCTTCGTGGTACATTTAACACAACATTGAACAATCCTGTCCTGGCTAAACTACAAAATCGTGCCTTACGTGAAGAGAAATTGTCGACTACCAAGACAAAGCCTGTTGGTAATATGGATGATCTCAAAGAAGTAGCTGTTCACACTTAAACCTAGAATTTCACTCGTTTTATTTTCTTTCTGTGTAAACATTGAATAAATAACGACAGATAATCTCGTATTCTGCTCAATATCACGCGTGAAGAACGGTAGAAGCCATCGATTTGGAAGAAAATAAAACAACAGTATTCTCATTAATGCGTCATTCTTTTTTTATTTATTTGTATAGCGTATGTTTTTGTCAAAACGAATAGATTCACACATAAACATTGATGTATTACACGACTGAATGTAGAATACATAACTAAACGTGAATATAATCGAATTACACAAAAAAAAACAAGGAAAAACGAAGAGTCGTTGATCAGAACTAATGACTATATGTTCGATTTTCTTTTTATCATGGCAATAAAATAGACAAAAGGAAAATTCATCTGACTGGATTTGTTTCGCTTGAAGGAGAAGAACAAACAAAGCAGAGAAATATGCATAGTTTAATTAAGCCATTCCGACGGTGGTGGCGGTAAATTCGAGCATGGCGGCGGCAATGAACATTTACCATTTGGTCCCGGAGAGTAGACATCTGGTACACAAAAGGACAATACAGGCGAATGATCTAAACAAATCTTCCTTGATGCATTTTGCCGAAGAAAGCAGAAAGCTTATTTTACCTTTTCTGTTCTTTTGAAAACTACTCGGCGATCGATATACCGGCAAGACATCTTTTGTTCGATGACGATGATGATCATGATGTTGATGATTACTATTATTCTCGTAGAGCTTCGATGACCAGAAAATGTACTGTTTAGTTTTGATTATTTGTCTATTATTGTAGATCGACTTCGGTTGGTACTGTGTTTGCCGGGTGTAGGCCATGGTTTCATAGCACGCATCGCGGTGTCCGGAATACATCTTGAAAATGACAACAACAAATACATATGTATATATAATAAAAAAGAAAAAGAAGATTGTAAAATACAGCTAATAATTTGTGTTCAATTTCTCGTATAGGATGCTAAATGTTTAAAAAAATAGTTATATCAACAAAAGAAAAAGATCCAAAAAAAAATTCATCACAGGGTCATCAACTCTTCGACAGGTGCCGCCGTTGAAGACGACGACATCAAATTTGAAATGTTTATTGTAACTGGAACATTGGAATTAACTGATGATGAAGATAACACAGATGTGACGCCTAAATCCGCATTGGTTGTTGTAATTGAATCTTGAATATCACTTCGAAACTGTGTCACATTTTGAGTGAAGTTCTCCTTATTCGTTTCGGTTAACGTACGGTCAATACCAGTCATTAAACTGTCTAATGCTGTCGATAGAATCGCTTGTTTTGCTTGGGTATGTCCGTATAACAATTGTTGTTTGATTTCAGTGAAAAATTTGTTTTCATTCAAGAGGATAAGACCAAGAAGAGGCTTGGAAATGGTATAAATATTTCTAAACGCACAAAGAAATTCGGATCAACAAATTGGAGAAATCTTGCTCGACTTACTTGCATTCAGCGTATATGATTCCGTTCATTAAATTTACAAGTATCTGCCGAAATAGGCTTTCGTATTCACGAACATTTGCCATCAGATTCGTCGATGCAGTATTCTTCTTGACCGAACGAAAGACATACGATAAAAATGTATCCAAGTACACACAGCAAGAGTTTTGTATTGTTTGCTCATGTGAAACAAACCCTTCGCTGATGGTTTCCAACACGTAACCAAATAGTGGGATAGATAAATTTGCGAGGAAATCGATTTTGATGATAGATAAACTTTCGATCAAGGAAAAATAGGCGTTAGTGAGTTTAGGATACGAGAATAAATCCGTTTTCTTAACCGATGTCAATAGCGCTATGAATACTTGTAAACAATTGTCAAAACATGGATCAGAATAAAGTTGAAATACACCGAAATTCACATAGTTACCTAAGGAAATGAAACAGACGTCTTTTTCTTCGAATCGATCTCAGAAAACTTACCAACTAAGCACGTTTGAATAATCTTTAAGCACGTTGTAATAGGTTTCAACTTTGATTTATAATATAAAGTGGCATCGGTTTCCGGTACGGTTGTATTCACATGCATAAGTGTTTTTGTTTGAAATATATAGAGTAAGTTCGATGTTTCACGAAATAACAGATAGGCACTTGCTTTTGTCGGATCGAACACTAGACGATCTTGTCGGTTCGCTGATAGTTCATGGAAAAACTTTAACAGTGGATTGTACACCTCGAGGCGATCGCAGAAAACATAGAGAGCTTTGAGGAATAAGGGTAAATATGCGGGATATAGCCAATCGAAAAACGAATTGTAAGCTTGTTTGGAGAGTAGAGAACTACATAGGCCACGTAGATCACGAGTAATACCGATGACAAGTGATTGAACTTCGTCTAGAGGCGCGAGGGTCGGACTGAAAAAGAAAAAAAGGGTTTTATTTTGAAAGAATGATCGTAGAAGGTGATTTCGTACTTGAATTGATTCAATGCAGCAAATTGTCCAGGATTAATCAGAGAAAATTCGGGAAATTCTTTGAATATCTGCACTAATTTTGCACATTGAGCTGTGAATGGAATCATAAATGCTTCGGCACGATCGTCATCATCGTCATCGTAACGAAAATCGTGCATCAACATTCGACCAATAGCGGTGTAGAATGTCGTTCGTAAACGTGACCAACTGCTGGCAGTAATCGTACTATTATGTGACCGTTTACTTGCAAAGATCGGATGAAGAAATGGAAATAATTCTTGTGTGTGATTGTTAATGAAATATTGTATTGGATCGAGTTTCACTAATTTACGTACACTTTGATATCCATGAGTCAATTCACTGAAACATCCCACAGTTCGTTCGATTAATTTATCTGATATAACTGAATATTGTAGATTAGTGAAGAGTTTCTTTACAAATATACATAATAATTGTTCTTCATCGGCAATACCTGAATAGAAGACATATGAATTTATCGAAATACTACAACTAATGATGTCGAAAGCTCACCGAGATGTTTGAAAAGTACTTGATAGATCTTATCCGATCTTCCGTGATCACCAACGTATTGTTTACGAAATTGATCGAAAAAGAAGAGGATAGCTAGTTCTAGCCTTTCGGAATAAGGCGTGGAATCGATTTTATCTGTCGCCGTTGTTGTTATGGCTGTATTAATCGGCTTTTGATTATTTTCTTGAGAAGTTTTTTGTTGAATGTATGTCATCAATTGTAAAACACGTACAACGAGTTCGCCATCGAATAAATCTTGATCATCACTTGACATCGATAAGGATGATAGGGTTATTCCACGTGCACCAAGAACACAACCAAGGACATAAATCAAAAAAGTAAATCGTCGTTCGACTGTTTCGGAATTCGCGGCCTAGAACAAAAAAGAAAGCATTTCAAATGACGAACTCTCCTATTCCATTTACCTGTTGATACTGTTGAGCGATGTCGTCGAAGCAGTTGCAAAGGAGAACACATGTTTTATTATAATCTAATCTCGACATAATACTTATCATATCTAATTGTTGTTGTAGGATTGTTTGATCGTTATCAAATAATTCCGTATAGAGTGTATCATCTGTATTCAGTGCATCTAAGCGTGATTGAATGTAATAGGCAACGATCTGCGGAACATAAATGTCGAGTAAATGTAAGGTCGATGATTCGTCGGAATCAGATAGTTTTGATATATGCGAAAGGAATGCCACTATTTTCGACCAGAACGAAAGAATGTAATGAAGTGTATTGGGAGATAAATGATATTGCCGGTGATGATGAACACTTAGAAGATGATCAATGGTGAAACGGAATAATCGTTCCATGAAGAGTTGATAATTGTCGATGCGAACTAGTTCGTGCAATTGGGCATTGGATTTTAGTCGAGCGATCAAGCGACAAAATTCATGGAGAGACTTTTCATCGGCGAGAAGTCCACCAGGTTGTTCGAGAATGGAACGAATACCTAAAAGTCAAACATTCGACTTTAAGATGTTCTCATCAAAGTCGTCTCTTTACCTAAAGTGAGTAGATTCAATACAACTAGGCGTTCATTCGTGTTCAACAACGATCGTCGTACGCTCGACAATTGGACAAGACATGATATCGCGATGGGTACGAGTGTCGTATTCGAGAACAGAAAATAATACGAAAAATACAATTGATAAAAACTTCGATCGACTATATGATCATGCCAGGAGATCGGAACTTGCAACGTTAAGTGTTCATCAGATATATCAACATCCTGCACGCTCGAGCCAGTTCCTACAAAGAAATGGGTTTTTAAGCAAAAAAGGTATCTTATAATGTGTATTTACCGAGAAAATCGTATGTCAAACAAGTCAATGCTAATGAAAGTAGTTTTTCCACCACTATGTAATAATTTGGTTGTAACTGGACGGAATGGATTGCTTTTGGATAATCGTCGAATTCGATCGATAGACCTAATGCTTTCTTTTGATTACTAATTACATCACGTAGGTATTGACAAGCGAATAGATAGATACCGATTAATTTCGTGTCTCGGAATGAAATACAAATCTTTCGATGTTTGGTGAACGCTCGTGCTGTTGTTTCTTCATCATTGGGAACGCTCATTTCTGTGAGAATGGCAATAAGAATCTGTAGAGCAACCGAGAAATGTGGTGGATCCATTTGAAATTTCAATAGATCGTCTGTGAATGATTGAAACGGGTAAGTCTCGTTATTTACTGTTGGATTCATGTCAAACCAGAAATTCTTCGTTAAACGTGCATATAATTTCACTAATTCGGCCAGGACAAATTGAGCTAGGGAACTGTTATGTTTGAACAAATAATCCAGAATGTACGTGCGCAATTCATATCGTTCATTGAAAGGTATAACTGGTTGAGATGATATCGAATTGAAATGCTTGATAAGTGTTGAAGCACCGAAAAATTGAGTATACGGGGTTAAAGCACGATCAAGTAGGACGCGACATTGTGCAAGACAGTTTGGTTCGTTGACAAATGCTTCCAAGCGTTGAGATGCAAGTCGCATTTGCTCATTATTGCCACTACCATAGAATTGATCACATAAACGTTCAATTTCCAGAGCATCCATTTTCGAACGACAAGGATACGACAATTTAGTGATTGACACAATTCTTTCCTTCTTCGATCGAAAACGAAAAAAAAGAGAAATGGTATTGGATCAAGTAGAATAATTTGTTTTGCAGCCAATGGTAGTCGAAAAATGACTTTCGGAAAAGGAAAAACAACTATGTTTCGTTTGTTACAAATTCGTTTTAGAGAAAATTAATATACCGACAAAAAGTTATCGGAGTTGGTTAAATCTCAGAAATTACGATAGATGTCGCTAGCCGATACAAACACGCGCATTTCAACATGCGTAAAAGTACAGTCTTTGGACAAAATTGTTAATTTCGATCATGAAATATTCGGGTTGATGATTTCTCTAATGAGATTTTGACCTATGCATTCAGAAAGTTTGGATAAACAAAGATCTGCAAACGACGCATCGGTATGTGTTTACAAGTGCGCATTTTAACGATTTTCCTTCGCCTCCTTTTCAATAGAAACGCGCTCTTGAACGCACGAGAACGTTGCTTTTCCATGTTTGTCTATCGGAGAAAAAAGAAGCGATAATAAAATGTTTTTTCCCATTAAGTATAGTATTTTACTCTAGGATTCTATTTATATTAAAGAAAAAAAAAGCGAATTCATCTAGGTTATTTGCATCAATAATTAAAGTAAGTTAATGGGTCATCTAAAGCAAAAGACAAAGCATGGGTACTAATCAATAATAACAAGAATAAATACCTTCAGTAAATACGCATGTAGCAGTATTGTGCTTAATTATTTCGTGCAAGGCATAGAAATCGCATTTATCTTGATTTTTATGACGATGAATACGAATATGAATGTATAAATCATCACCAATCGAAACTTTCAAGAAACAATTGATACCATAAGCGACTTCTTCTTCAGCATATTTTGTTACTCTAAAAATACATTCATTCATCTTGTTCCATCAATTGATAACATCATACTTCCAATTAGCGATGTGTTTTTCCCGATGTTCTTCAGTAAACCGATGAACTCGATGCTCATGATGTTTTCTATAGAGCGTATCAATTGCGGGATAGATTATTTCCGGACGTTCGCTAGTTAAATAAGAAAAACATATATATAGATCGTATGAATGCTGGAGAACGAAACCTTAGTTTTTGAATATCCGCTGTCGCATCCTAAAACGATAAATTCATTACTTGATGTTTTTCCTTTTGTTTCAAATCAACAAACTAGAACGGGGCCCATGGAATTGTGCTGTTCATCCGACATTGTTATTGGCAAAGATGTCAAGCCCGAAATGTTTCTATTCTGCTCTTTTCTTTTCTGAAACGAAGGCTACACGATTCCTCGACAAGCGCAGCCGCAAAGAAAAAAAGAGACCGAGCGAAGTGCAACTGCCGATTAATACATTCACCACAAGAAAGTAACTATTCGGGTTTTCTCTTCTTCTCTCGTTTTCTTAGATTACACAACTTCTGCGTGAACTAGAATTTAATAATGATAATCAGATAAAGCAATATAGATGTTTTTCTCAAGCAGTGTTGATGAGACAAAGAGTTTTGCGAGACTTTCTTTGAAAATACATTTGATGATTGATGATTTGAGTCTTTTGTACCGAGAAGAATGGGTACCAGAAATCAAATGCATATGATCATATTTCATGTCAAGATTCAGATCAATGCATACATCACTTGTTTGTATTCTTCAAGGAAAAAAATCGAATTATTCGGTGAAGATAACGTGTGTATTGAATAAATAATCACAAATATGAATGAAACTATCAAATGTTCTGCTTATTTTTGTTTCCGAGCAAGAAAAAAAGCGATAGGAAGTAAAAGTACAGCTTTCACCACCTTTGATCATTACATGCGCGGTGTTTTTAGCAAATCAAATGTTGTGACGCTGCTTTCAGCTACCAGCCAACCCTTTTCCAGAAGCCAAAGCATATTACGCGTTAATCATACGGAAATTTGCCGTAGATAAAACTGAATTTCCACCTTTCAAAATTTGATAACATGAAATATCATCCGGAGGTGGAACTTTACTTTCTTCAACAGTGGACTAACCGATTCTAAATCACGAACCAACTGCTTAGTTGATTGTGTAATTCCGGTAGTGCATTCGATGCATTGCTTATTTCTAGAATTATAAAGATCGGCTAAGCAGCAGTCATAGTCAGTAAATGAACCACCTGATTTAAGAACACGAAACACTTCTGCACAGCATTATGCTTGGAACAAGTTGTTTTCGAAACATCATTGAGGTTTTCTTCGAAGAATACTTACCGGTACACCTAAACAAAACACTTGAATTCGTACTGTGCAATCAACTATGATACATCGATAGTTTTTGCTCGTTGAATTTTATATTTACAAATAGATATACCCATGATCTATGCGTTAGTTCGATAAACAATGATCACAAGGTCTTCCAATCTTACAGTCTATGTCAAAAATTTTGTCATCTGTGTTTTAGCTTGCATTTTCAATGCTAAGTAAGATTCATGGCGCTGCAACGGTTCAGCTAACGAAACGAGCTGCTTCTTTTGTACGGTGAATGATCGTCTTTTCTACTAGAACTCATTCAATGTGTGTAAGGTTGTAGGTACAGAAAGAAATAGCGTGATCATGATCGTATGCTTTTTCGTTTTTGTCCTACATTTCGCAGATGACGTTGAAAACAATTCGATGGATAGTACGAAAATTAAATGATCAATCGGGTGAAATCAACCAAAGGTCACAACTATTTCTCGCGCGATCATTCTTCAGAATCTTCCTTTTTACATTTAATAGCAAATAGTAAATATTCCCAACGGTCCTTTAAACCCTTGACTACTAATTGATAATTAACTACGTATCTTTTCTTTCTTCGGGCGAATCTCAAGTAATTCACTATCTATGAAATTCGATAGATTATTTGTATCGAAAGCCTTCATTTTTCCAATGCTATCCATGATAATATCGCAAATTTACTCATTAATAGCCGCACTATCTTCCAATTAAGCTCATCGACTGAATGTATCAATCCTTTTTGACACCCCCGTCGAATCTATACGGTAAAAAAGTTTGACCTCGAGTTACTTGCGTCGGAGCAGTAAGGATGAACGTATTCTTCAATAAAATACTGCGGTCGATCAAATGCGAAAATAAGTTTCGAATGGTTTTGTTTAATGATCAGGCCTATCTCGTATATAACCTTCGGCCCCCACGAAATGATGAACAATCAGATGCATTGCCAACAAAATAAGAAAACTGCCATATCAGGTTCCGACAAATACTACTCATAAGCTTCAATTATATAGGTGATGTCCAACTCAAAGCATAATATAGTAAAAAAATCCGAAGTTCGTGTAGGTTAATTACATTCTTCACTGATTACTTTACCTCCGATAATTTTTCATCAGGAAAATAGCTAGATGTATAGTTGCATACTGGTATCGAACGCCCTCTTTTACACTACAGAGGTTAATGAAAAATTTCTGTGCAATAGGAAAACAGTCGATCAGAATCTTCTTCAGTCCATCTGTCTGCGCTATTCATATCATGCTTCGATTACGTTTTCATGCGTCTTGGCTACCGGATGAACATAATCGATTTTGGACAGTTATTGATAGCAATACAAGTAATCAAACTATAAGAGATTTAATTGAATACTTCATCGAACAAGAGACTTCGTTCGCGAACTATTATCAATTTCAAATACCAAAACGAGCGAAAAAACTGAAATATCTCAAAGCGTTCTTAAACGATTATGTCTTGCCACCTCATGCTCAAATCAGTCATCTTTTACGTGATAATGATGAAATTGAGTAAGAATTTGTCCGGATCATCAGTGCAGAAATCGTCGTGTTGTTTAGTTTTCGCTTAGCAATTGACGCAGAAAATGATTGGATTCTTGTCAAACCTGCTCCAACATCGAAAAGAAAACGATCCAATGAACGACCTATGGTTTCTCTTACGCTACCACCTCCTCCCGCTCCTGCTGCTACGAATGATTTAGATACAGCTCTTCGAACCATTGCTCAATCAACAACCAAATCCCCAGCGAAAGACACATTCTCATTTCAATTCGGCAATAAACGTGGTCGTCCTATTCCTCCACGACCTGCAGTCATTTCAGTTACTAAAGTACTACTCACATTTGCTGTGATATTTTCAAATACCTGTCCGTTTTCTGTTTATTCTAGGTGAATTCACTAGTTCCACGGCAAGTTCTGACTAATAAAAGATAATTTTCATATCGTCTTGATTCATCGCTGGTTTTTTTCTCGAAAAAAAAGGAAAAAACAAACGCTTTTTTGTTCGAACAAATAAAACGAACATCGACAATAGTAAAATTCGACGAAGAGAGAAAAAAGAACAACACTAAGAAGAAGAAAACATTGTGTGATGCATGTGTAATTGAAAAGAAAAACACACAGAGAGAGAGAAAAAAAAAACAGAAAACATGAGCAAACAACAAATATGAATAAAACTAATAAGGTTCGTTAGACGAAATGAAAACGGACAGGTAAAAGAGATATGACTATCGTCTATTTACATCAAAACAAACTTCGTAGCCGCGTTCTTATGGTCATATTTAAACATTCGCACTAAAAATAAAGACTTTGCAGATATGAGATTTGTTAACTAAATCAACACATACGAAAGTCGTGTTTGTCGACGAGTTGATGATGAATAAATATTCATTGGATGTTTTCGAGTGTTGGGATACGAACGGTACGATGTTGAAGGTTTCATCGATACCATTCTAGAAAATAAACTCATTTAACTGATTTCTGCTTCGCGAACGAACTTACGACGGTGTGACTCTTGAAACAAGAGTTGAATGTGAAGAGTGATTGCTTCCTGTAGATGTCCCCAGGCTGCAATTCTCTTTTTCTAGTGGTCGCTTCTTTGTTTGCGATGACTCAGACATACTAAAATTTGAAGTCGAACATTCTTTTCTTCGACGTAGAAGTATATGCGTACTTGGTATGTGTTAATTTTGGACGAAGGAATTGTTTTCGAATACCAATCGGTGAAGATATTTCATTTGTTGTCCTGGAATAGCAGACATAGTCGAGAAGAAAGATCTTTCTTTCAATTTCTTACATTCGACTGGCATGATGGTTGTGATTGTTATTAGTTTGTAATAAAACATTTTGAATACATGTTAAATGTTGAGAGTTATTCATTCGTAATGGATCGTCGACAAATCTCACGACTGGTACACGTGGTATTGCAGTTGGTTGAGGTATTGAGTGGATTCTATTTGCAGAAATAGAGATAGAAAGATCAGCGCATCTCGTTTGTTATCCTCAAAATTATTTACGGTGAGATTACTGAACGGGTTTCGTTTGCTTGTGTGGTATTCGAAACAAGCGGAGTAACTGGAAGATTTCGTGCAGTCAGACGTTGTTTCTGTCTTTCATGTACAGATAGTCGTGGTTTGGATCTAGCGAATGAGAATATAGAAAATATTGCATAGTCATGTCAATGTGTCGGCTTACAAAGACGATTTTGAAGTTTGAATGACTTTCTTCAGATTGTTAATCATTACATCTAATTGATGTATAGTATCAAAATGTTTCTGCCGAGGCAGTTCGTCTTCCAATGTTGACCAAGTCATTGGTTCACTGGAATTGATTTGACATCCATGTCGAAAGATTATTGTATGATCAGTAACTGAAAGACAAAGTGGAGAATTCGACTCGAAAACTCATATGAATTTCACTTACGATAAGCACAAACTTGGTCTTGAACTGTGTATCGACGTTCACGTTCTAGTTCACGTAATAGACGGGTACGTGTTGCTTCGTTCAAGTGAGCTGTATGAGTACGACGACATTGCAAACGACGAAGTGTTCGTTGACCACGAACGTATCGTTCGTAAAGTCTACAGAGAAACATTTGAAATTGGGTGACAAAGTCAAATTTACTTTCTATCTTTTTGTTCTTCCAACATGTGTCGATGATGGCGAGCTAGAAGTTCATCGTAATCATCGTCTTCGTCATTTATGGAGAGATTATCTTCGGCAGTGTCATTCTCGACTTTACGCCATTTTGGTGCTAGACGGAGAAAAAAACGAAATTTTTGACTTTGTGTATGTGTATAAATAAATAGTTAACTTTCGTACAAGTTTCACGAATGATTGGTCGAGGTTTTGCTTGATTAAGAATCGACGTTAAACGAAGACTTTGACGTCGATTTGCTTGATTATTCTTTGCTGTAGCTCGGCGATGTTTTAATCTTTTGGCACTAGAATAGAAAAATTGGGATATACACAGATAAAGAGAACAGGTGAATATACAAACATTCGAGAGGACGATATTGAAGGTAAATCTTTATTTGATGAGGAAACAAAGACTTTTGATGCTTGAGTACGAAGATTGTACCGCGGTTTCATTCGATGGACTATCAGTTTAGTTCAGATAGGATATCTATAATCGAACAAGGAAGCTTTTTTGTATAGAACAACTGTGGATCAGTTCAACAGTAGAAAGAAAGAGAAGAAAATAATAAACTATAGCAGCCATTTATGTTGACAGATACGTTAGCCGACCAATGACAGTTGAAGCAAAAACATTCAGAAATATTTGCGCAGAAATATACATTCTATTTAATATTAGAAAGAAAATTTTGAAAACGCTGAAAATATACAAAACTTTGATGTATGTTACTGACATCTATCGACAGTCATAAAACACAATCCGCAATTTGATCCCTCAAGTACGAAAATGCAAAGAACTGTTTTGTGATTGTTAGAACTATACAAGAATGCGGGTGTAAGCACTTTGTAGGCTGAGGTATATTGACAGATGACCTTTGAAGGAAGATCAGAGGGTAATAGTCAATATATGATCTCTTTACTTTTTTGCGAATATATATTTATTCGCCTGTACCTGTGAGATGGCTTTCACTTACGAACAAATGCAATTTAGCACGTCCAACTACGCAACTCTTTGACATATCGCGGACTTCTACCGACTTACTTTGATCGTCAGAGACATCTACATCAGATGTATTCTAAGCCAATCAGCGCGGATTTATGCGTTAGTCAACGATCAATCATATTTCATCATATTTATTTTCTCCTTCGCTCGTTCCAATGACGTTTGAAACAACTCTATCGTCTTCGTATTTTCTCTATTTCAGTTATTAGTTTGTAATGAGTACGTCAGCGTCAAATACGACCAATCCATCAAATTCAACGTCTGAAGTAGATGATATCAATCTATTTCAAGCAGCCAGACGGAATGGTCGACGTAATGCACTAGCTGATCTTGGCGAACAACTTTCCCAAGGTTAACTTTGTTTTCCTCTATCGTTCATTCTTAAGCACTCGATTTTTTTCTAGTTAATACGACAGCGTCGTCGCCTGAAGTTGACAACCTGTCGCCGCACTTTCAATCAATGTCACTTAAGCATTAAACGAACGTTCTATACGCCGGACAAACATGTCTAATACATCTCTTGTCTCTGCTGTGATAGAAGTATAATCAACAACCGTCTCCGTAATTTGTTTTTTTTTCTTCGTATACCGATACACGAGAGAATGACGAAAATTTCAACAAAAGTGTATTTATATTTGTTTTAATAAAAAAATCTCATATGATAACAGCAATTGAAGCTGCTAGTCATGTCGAATATGTATGTATACAGGATTTTTTAGATGTTCGACTGATTGAATTTCAAGTAATTCGGTACTCATGTCGGTTAGTTTCAAGTTTTCATCGAAGGAATGCATAATTCATTGATTTGTATACTTTAGTTTGATCTTGTTCGAAAACGTTTAACAAAGGAGTTAAAATTACTAACAGAAAATCCAACGCCGGGCATGTAGGTTTTTCTTTGGTATTTATTCATGAAATCAATGTATGCATTTGCTTTTAGACGAGTTGTTGACGATGGTTCAGATATGCGAAAGTAAGTTGCCGGCGTTTCTACATTCGAATCATCGAAAGAATTTTCTAGAATTCGAATCGATATCGAAGGCGCACCAGGAACGTTGTACGATGGTGAAAAGTTTCAATTACTATTCAAATTTTCTGATCAGTATCCATTTGATTCGCCACAAGTAAGAAATTTCTCAAACTCATCCTTTTTTTTTCATCGAATTCGGTAGGTAACCTTCATCGGATCAAACATTCCACTGCACCCTCATATCTATTCAAATGGGCATATATGTTTGTCAATTTTAACGGACGACTGGTCTCCTGCGCTAAGCATCAATGCTGTTTGTCTTAGTATTTTATCTATGCTATCAAGTTGCAAAGATAAGGTAATGAAAACATTCTGGATTTGGACGAATATGAACTGAAGTATTATTGAGATAATCGATGTCGACATTTATTTGATCAAGAGTATAGAAAATCCTAACAGTTATTTGCATTTCTCTTTCTCGGACAAATAAGAATGTGTACGCATAAGCGTTTCCGAAAGCAATCGATCGTCGTTCTCTCCGATGGAATCTAATGGGATTAGGATTATTCTTTTGATAAGTAACAGATGTATATCAAAGAAATTCTTTCTCTCCTTCAGAGTCGTCCACCTGACAATGATTGGTATGTTCGTACAGCTTCAAATGATCCGAAAAAAACGCGCTGGTGGTATCATGACGACGCTGTTTGATGGAACTCCTTCATCCTGATGTACATTCGATTTCTTTACTCATGTAAACAGGTACGGACGTACTTTTCCATTAGAGAAACGACGTCTATTTGCTATCTTTGTAGGAAATGAAAACAAACAACAATCGAACAGTGCAATCATTTCTTCTTCTTCTCCTTCTTTTTTCTTCTTTGAATGAATATTTACATCAGTTATTTTTCTGTCTATTGTGTAAAAAACAAGGAAAAGCATAACCATACCCACCTGATAGGAAAATGAATGGCATGAAGAATTCTTGATCTATCATTCGCAAGATTTGCAATAAATTCGTGTTTGGAAAGTCTCATTTCGTACTTTTCAGATGACATCAGAACTGATACTTGAGCAAAGCATAAAATCATTTGATGGTTATCAATGTGTCTTTAGTCATGATAGGTATCGATGAAGAAGAAAGCGTTTTGCTGACTATGCTATGAAATTCCGTGTTTAGTTTTACGGTTGATTGTCAAATGAAATTCGGTATTTATCTTCCAAATAGAGCAGATCATGAAAGTCTACCATTGCTTATATTTCTTTCTAGTTTGTAGCTTGTTTGCGAAGAATTTCTGTAATGATTGTTCGTGCTTTTATTAGATTCCGAATGTAATGAGCAAAGTTTTATTTTGAAATCAGGCGTTCAATGTTTAGCATCGAAATATGGTTTCATTGTTGCGAATCCAGATACGACTCCTCGTATGTATTCAATGGAAACGCAGGATTGATTTGAATTTATATTGAGATAGGCGGTTGCAATTCGGAAAACGAAGGGGAAGGATTTTGTATTGATGCTACGGAAAGTCCATGGGATAAAAACTATCAGATGTTTTCGTATATCAATGATGAGTTTTATGACTTAGTTTTAAGTCATTTCAATGTTGATATCGATCGAATTGGAATATTAGGGTGAAACGAAAAGATCACAGGAAAAACTCGATGTATCTATGATTCTAGGCATGGAGTCGGTGGTCACGGTGCATTGATAAGTTATTTTAAACGTCCTGGTCAGTATAAATCAATATCAGCTTTAGCACCTCTATGTAACCCAACAAAATGTCAAAACGGTAGACAGACATTCGTGAAATTCCTAGGAGAAAGTATGTTAAACATATCAACATCCATAAATTAGCTTTCTTTTGTCGATTTTTCTCAAAAAGATGAAACTCTTTGGAAAGACTACGATGTTTGTGAACTTGTCCAAACATATCAAGGTCCAATGCCACATTCGCCTCTCTTAATCGATCAAATTTCGGATAACTACTCGTCGACAAACGAATTTATTCATGGATGTACTATCGCAACATTTCCAGTACGATTACGTGAACAAACGGACTACGATGACAATTATTACTTCATCATGACTTTCCTCGACGATCATTTTAAATATCATCAAAACGAATTTGAACATTAAAATATCATTTCGTTCACCTAAACACTTCAGCATGTTCCTTGTCACAATTCATACGTGGTCAATCGTCCCATAGTAACTATAAAAATAAGCACATATATGTATTCAGATAACTCGTATTTCAACGTTCTGCTGTAATTGTATGTGAGATTCATTCCGAATAGAGTATAATGGTAAACGATTGCTTTGATTTGCGCAACTACCAACTCATCATTACAAGCAGTTGTATTACAAACGATACTTTCATATGTTTTCTTTATCGATTTCGTGTCTTTGGACATGATCACAAAGCCGTACTCTAATCTTGGAAATAAATCAGATGAACATCGTTGATTGAGAATATCAGTTGAATTGAAAATACAAGTGGAACGCTGAGATACGGAGCATTCTTCGATAATTTTGGTATATGAGTTATAACAAACTAAAATAGATGGTGCCCTCGAATCGAAAATTAAGGATTTTAATTGTTCCACCGGGCTGACTTGATTGTCATAAAAAGCAATGAACTCTTCTGCATACTTTGCAGCGCAATTATTCACCGTTTGACAAGCAATATGTATTCCGATAACAAGTTCATCGGTATGCAACGTTTCCATAACAAATAAAAAGTAGATGACAGATTGATAGTTGTTTTTCTCTAAAGTCTCGTTGATTTCTCTTTGAATAACATGATTCGTTGAACCTAACATGTACGACATCGTCCGAGAATTCGTGTCTCTGCCGTAGAAAATTGTCAATTGTGCAACACATCTTCTCGCATGATTATTAATCATGCAATAGGGCAAGTTTTTCAAGTTAAGATAGCGTCTCGCATAGGTTATTTCATAGGGGAGACACTGATCAAAACAAATAAGTTGTTGCGATAATTGAAAAACAAAAATCAAGAGAAAAAGGCTAGCTTTCATTCATTTGAGTTTACCGCTGAATTTGTATTCATTAAATTATAATTCTTTCATCCAGACTATTTTAGTATCTATTAAAAGGCACTCGAGGTTATTTTCTTTCTCCTCGGATTGACATTATAAATGAATGCAATTACAGGGATTTTTCAAAGCTTCTGATGTATTATATTCGTTCGGCTCCGTTTTACAAGAGCAAACATGGAAATCTTCAATAGAGCGCATTAATATTTCTTTTTTTTTAGTCGACGTTCGAGAGAGAAAAAAAAACGTCGAAGCGGAATAGAAAAAACAGACGATACAAATGTAATTCTTTGCATATTCCATTTCTATCTCTTATCAGATTGATACAAAGCAAAGAAGCATAGACACCAATGGGGACAACATCTGATCACTCTGAGGAAGTACGTAAAGCTAGGATGAATTCATCTTTAATAAGCGAATAAATTTACAGTATTGTTATCTGATTGTAAAGCGGATATTTAATCTCCTGGGCGTGAAAAGTATCCGCAGGAAATGTTTCCGTTTCTTAGAAAAAAGAACGCGCATCGCATATTAATATTTAATTGGCTATTATTGCGGATTTCAGGGGTAATTACATTAAAGCTCAGCAAGTTTCCTTGAGAAGAGGAAAGCAACATAATACACGGCTATCCAGTATTTTCGTGTGAACAACATACGGAAACAGAGCGAAGCTTATTAGTGATTACGAATGCGTCGAAGTTAGTTGCGATGGTATGCGGATGATGAGGAAGAACTGAATATTCTAGGCGAATCAATGAGCAGAAGAAATAGAAACGCGAGTACAAGAGTAGTGAGATATATTTGGTCAATTTACTTGTATGTCTGACGAAAGAAATAGAAGTATGTCTTTTTCGTTAGTATAATGAGAAAATGTTGGCAAAGAACATGACAGCAAGCAGATAAACGGTTGTTTTGTCTGCCCTGCTAAAGAGTATGCCAGTTGACAGCTTGTCCCACAACTAAAATTTGATGGTACTCAGAGCTATAGAATATTAGTAGAAGAGACATTTTATTTGTGAAGAGGAAAGTACTTTTCCTCTAGGCTGTCATCAATAATTCACGGAGTTTCGGTATAGAATGGTTTTTTTTGTCCCAATAGATTTTTTATCAAACATTCGGAAGCCGTAAGCTTGCAATTGAAGCTACGCAGGATGTCGAAGTATTTTTATAAGAAGAAAAGTAGAGAAGATCGTCTGTGCTAGAAACAAAGGAAAAGAAGAGAGAATAAATTCAGTATTGAAGTGCATTTCATTTAACATTGCGAGAATCTTCTCAGCTAATACAGGTAAAAGTTGAGCTTTCACATGTCGAATGTACTTGTAAGAAACAAAGTACGTCAATAAGAGTCTATATGGACCTGTTGTTTTCATTCGGAACAGTCTTATATGTCACTCATCGCTCAGTACGCTGTGGATTTTAGATAATGCTACGCCCACTCTCGTTTTAGATATGAATGTCTCTCATCATCACATAATTAGAAACTGGATTATTCATAAACTATCGTCTTTAATCGAAATACTCTTCTCGACAATATGCCGAGTAGTAAGGTACGCGACAAAGAAATCATTGGCTAGTATAGACATTTAGTTCGAGTTTTAACTTGCTGCTTTCTTTTTATCGAAGTTGATGTTTTCTTTCCGTTTAGATGAACATTCTTGCTTATAACAATCTGAGCTTATGCAAAGCTGATTATTTTGAAACGTGTTGGTGTAAACTGAACCGAAGTGAAGTAACGACATGCTCGTATCTCTTACGTCACGTTGCTTCATCATCGAATTTGACACATTTTTGTGTTTATCATAACATCCGCAAAATCATCGAATGTTTCAATTCCACATCAATCTTTTCGAAATCTTCATATTCTGCTTCGAACATGTACATTTATTTCACTATTCTCCTATTTATCGTCGGAATCATCGGCAATGGCCTGTCGATCATTGTCCTGTTCGCTAAAACGCTTCGATGTTTAAGTATTTATAGAAATTTGATTATCCTCTGTGCACTAAACATCTTCTATTTACTGGCGATATCCAGCCGACATATCAATATCTATAATCAAGATTTACGTAATATCTCTCCGAATGTTTGCCGTTGGCATACATTTATCGTTGCTTTCACCGGCCATTTGTGTTCGTGGCAACTAGTGTCAACTAGTATTCAACGTGTACATGCCTCACTTAGTTTGCAGTTGCACCGAACAGCATCGTGGGTAAGTGCGGAGAAAAACATATTTCCATCGAGAAATAGAATAATTTGCCAAACGATTAACTAAATTATTGATGAATTAATTTTTTTTTAGATACAAATATTCGCCATACTGTTCCTTTGCATCGTGTTGCCGTTGCTCGTTTTCGATGGTCAACTCGTATTCAAGTATGGATTCTTATCCAAGCGTCACATGTGTGACGAGAGCTCAATATTCAAAATCAAGCAATTTCAACGAGCATTAGATACTCCGATCACAACCCAGTCCGAACTATTGAGGAATGTCACAACTCGTTATTACTCAACTGTGTTCCGCACACCGAATTCGAAACCATACTTCTGTGGTGTTTGTACTCTTTGGAATATTTTAGACACGTTTATCTATGCGATTATTCCGTTTCTACTGATTTTGATAAGTAGTATCATCATTATCATCAAAATATGGCAACGACGTCGTTTGACGATTACGATTGGTGGAGTGCATCAAATCAATCCAAGGTTCATATCGATTCAAGATAAACTATCCATACTTTTGATTCTCATTAATTGTCTATTTTTGATTATGACTGGCCCATTCAATACCCATTTGATTATTCAGTCAACTTTGAAATACTTTTTCTCCAAGCCGTGCTCAATGAAGATGAATACACAATTAAATGAATATTTACGTATACTTCAGAATCTCTACCATGCGTTGTCATTTATGTTTTATTGTTTAATCGGCAATAAGTTTCGACAAGCGGCATACACGATGTGTCAACGATGTTACTGGAAATTTATACAATTCCTATGTAGATATAAACAAACTCAAGCATCGTTCTTGTCATGCTATATTACGCGTGGCCAGTTAAAAAGTCGAGCGGCATCGGAGTCACTGTCAAATACTGCCAATCATAAACGTCTATCGGATTTCTTGCCAATGACTTTGATGGGCAAGCAGAGCTCATTTCTAGGCATTTCAAATGAACGAGCAAATGAGGAGTCTGATGCATTTTTATAGAAATGAAAAGGCGATGCAACGAATATCTATAATTTATTTTCATATGCATTCCGTCTCTTCATTGTTGTTGTTGTCTTTATTTTACAAACGAAATAAATGAAAATAAACATTTGCACTAATAAATAAGAAAAGAACATTCAAGGATGGTGAGTAGAAACGTCGGCTCTTACTGCTTAAAGAGAGAAAGAAAAAGACTCCATTGCCATGTGCTTATTCTATATACGTCTATTTAACCAGTCAGAAAAAATACAGGAAAAATCAACACCATCCATTTTTTTTATTCGCTGCGTTGTTTTGCAATCAATTGACAACATCACTCGCATCTTCTTTTCTTTTCAACTAATCATGGAGCAGCTGAACATGAACACAATCGAATTACCAGCTACGAATCCAAATGACGAATCAGTCGATTTCCTAGGTGAACCGGCTGTGAAACTGTCTCCATCTGCATCCTCAACTCCAAGTCTATTACAACGTTTTTCCGGAATCTTTTATAATTTAATTTCAGCATTTCTATTGACATTTTCCATTTTTATTGTCAAACACCTAGGTGTCGATCTACTTGACGCCTTGATCCCACGATTTCTTCTTCAAACGATTCTTCTCGCTTTCTATATGAAATTTATTAAACATTATACATTCTACAAGCAAACAAGCAAAGGAGAAATATTGTCTCTATTCGCAAATGTGTTCTTTGCTACCAGTGGCTTTTTTGCTTTTTTCTTTGCCTATCGTTATTTATCACTACCAGATGCCATCACTATACGTTACACGCAAATCATCTGGACAGCAATCCTATCGGCGATTGTCTATCGTGAGAGACCGTCAATACCGATAGTTATAGCCACACTGTTAACGACAATCGGAGTGACATGTGTTGCTCAACCGAGCTTTTTATTCAGCAAAATCTCGTCATCGAATGATCCACATCGTTCATTAGGCTTAGTGATTGTATTTTATTCTTCAATAGCCATGTCAATTATGGTCCTAACGAATAAACATTTACTTCTGAAATATAAGACAAAACACAGCTTAATTGTGTTACAATATGCATTCGTTTCATTATGTGCAATGGTTATTTACTGTTTTTACAAATATTATTTTCGTTCTGATCGCATTCAAGCATTACAAGAGAATTTTCTTACTTGGAAGTATTTCTGTGCATCATTAGTTTGTCTTTTACAGATTCTCTCCTCGATATGGATACAAAAAGCGATCAAACGCGAATCACCCTCGGTATTTACCATTATTCAATCCAGTGATATTTTATTTTCTATTCTATTACAAAATCTCCTTTCGTCTAGCAAATCCAATCTCCTTTCAATATTTGGCTCGATGCTTGTTCTAGCAAGTATACTAATCATCAGCATTCACAAGTTTCTCAATGAACGAAAGACGAAGACAAACATTGTGGAATGAATCGATTTGTTTAGTTTCCTTTTTTTTCAAATAAATATGTTTGCAAAATTCCAGCAGAATGTAAAGACAATTTCCATGCGGGCGAGACTTTCCCAGGAACAGTTTAAATGCTCTTCTGTGTAGTACAACTGAAAAGTCGAGAAATCGTATGGGCCGTTTGATGCTGAGTGAGGTTTCTTTTCCATTGATTGTATGCGTATGTAGATATATGCATATATATTTATAAGTTTTCGGACTTGAACGAAAAGGAAACGAGTCGAAAAGAAATAGGTACAGAAAACGAGAATAAGACGAATTTTGTTTTGCATACATAATCGAACTCAACAGAAAGAGAGAGAGAGAGAAAACGAGTGTTTGATTTTCTTCCATCACGATACATTCGTTAAGAGGATAAAAAGAGAAAAACAAATCGGAACATTATCAAAAGTAGAGAGAGATCCACTGACTAAAAACATATTTATTGTAGATTGATCAACAAACGGAATGTCAATGGAAGAAGAGAAATTACTGATTTGAAATCAAGTAGCACTTGTCGCTGAAGTTGCTGGTTTTGTCAGATGTGATATTGGATCATATCGAAGTACCATATCGTGTGCTTCGGGATGAAGACGAAGATACTCATTTTTAGCATTAGCATACGCTTGAACCATTTCTTCGTAGTGAAGCTTTTCACTTTGGTTGGATAATGTACATCTACAAGCATAGGAACGTCCTCTTCTGCAACGAAATGTTCAATTGCATACCTTTCATTATTAGTGAAGTGATCGTAACCATTGATTGTCTCACGACACACATAACAAATGAATAATCCACATGACGAACAGGTCATTTTATTACAGCCTTCGACTTTATAAAATCTCTGAAAAGAAGAAACAGATTGGAGTTGTTATCATATTTTCTTAAACTAATATGTCTATTACTTGTGTACACCGAGGACATTTACGTATCATTGCTTCTGTTACATGCTCTTCAATAAATTTACGCATTTCGAGTTCAACACCTTTTTCAACTTCATCACATCGTAACGGGATATGATTCGGTTCTTTGCATAATCTAAAAGCATTGCGAAAAACACGCAAGATAAGAAAAAAAACAAAGTTTTCCGCATGAAAGTTCACCTGCAGGTTTCCTTCATGCATTCGGGATTTAAACAGCGAAAGACTTTGTCATCTGGGTTATCAACAATAACAGCATATGGACAATAGGGACAACATTCAAGACCATCGATTTCAGCTAAACAAAAACAATCAAATCTTTCTTTTCACGCTATCAATTTCGTTCGTACCTTGTCGAATATTCTCCTCTTGGATCCGTTTATTCAATCGACTGAAATCATTCGGCGGCAGAAGTTCACCAACAAGTTGTATTGCATATTCACCTGGACACGAACTTTCAACACAAGGAAATTGGCATTTGCCTTGCTTGAAGCAAACATCAACGTGTCTTCGAACGCAGTTGCTATAAAAACATAAGTTTCGTATCATCCGAAGAGTTCAGCTTAACTTACCGGCAATAAAGATGTCCAACTGTACATTCTACCATATCGTCGATTAATAGATCCTCTCGACAACAAATTTCACATTCCAATGTTTCATTGCCTTTTTTCGCTTTCTTCACACGTTTCTCATGATCTTTTGACATTTTACCGAGGTAACCTAACAGACATATGCATTTACCACCATCGTCCAAACAAAACAGTTCTTACGTCGAATTTTCACTTCGTTCTTCGCAAAACGAAGTTCATCGTAAAATTCTTCACACGGCGTATGCGGAATTGCGTATGCAAACTTATTATTTTTAATTAACCATGACGCAGATGGCATCCGACCAACGCCACTCGTCGAAAGATCTAGCGAATTCACAAAATAGAATCATTTGTTTCAATCAATTGACATACCAAGCATATCGACCGACTTTCGGATGGCTGTTCGTTGCAAGAACGTGTTTGTTCGTATGGACAACCGTGCTTCTAATTTGCGTACGGTTGGTAGAAAATGATAGTTTTCTTCTTGTAAAGCTTGTTCGAGAATACTCTTATCAGTCGTTGGAAACGCACGGACAAGAAACGCTTTTGCATGATTTGTATAGGATTCTGATTGCTTGCGTTGAGTATCGAAAAAGTAGGCTAAAGGATCTGAATAGGATGCAAGAAATCGAGGAATATCATCGATTGTTTCTGACCAAGAACGTTTCAGTGACACATGACGATCGTGATCGAATGACTTCTTTTGCTTCTTTGTGTAGCCATTATCGAAGAAACTCGTTACGATATCATTAGTTGAAGGAATAGGGTTCATTGCTGTAATTGTTCGACGTGCTGCATCGAGATCAATGTCAGGTATGACAGCTTCAACTTGTCCAAGAATTTCTTCAATGTCGACTTCAGGTACGAGAATAAGGTCTGCTTCATTCACGGGGTTTTCAGGCAAAGTCGGCGATGGAAACGCTGTTGTTGGGACTATTGGAGTAACATACTGATTCATAGGAGGAGTTGGATATGTATATGCATTTGGTTGAACCGGAATAAAGTCTCTAGAATACATATTTTATTGATAAGCATTGGAAAAACGCGAGACACTTTTATCTTATCGCTAATTTGATAGATTCTTACTGAAAGTGATGAAAAGATATTGATGTGATAGAGAAATTTCCCTGTGAGTCATTTTCATAATCGATGATTTTTTAATTATCTTTACGATCTACCAAATAGTGAAATTTCGATTTTTATGCGTGGATGAGAATGATTTATCGAATAGGTTTTAGGGGAAGATCAATTTGTTAGTGCAAGTTGGAAATTTTCAATTTTACTAAAAATACTTTGTTGGAAACTCGGATTTTTTCTAAAAATACCTGATAGTGGTTGATGGATTCACTGTATGATTTGTCGTTAGATCAATGACCTCATTTGCTAGAGTTGGTTGTGGAGAGCTGAAGTTGTTCATCGGAAGTGTAGTCGTCGGCCATGATGGATTCGTATTTAGATTCATCCATGGATAGGTCGACGATGCTTGTTGCGTATAGAGTGATGGATACATCGGTGGAGTTGACGTTGGCCATGGATTCACGGTGGTTGGTATCCAAAATCGATCAAACATTGTTGGCGTTGTGCCAAGCTGAATATTCCTCCAATCAGATAAATCTTTTGCTTGTTGATTTACAGACGCTGCTGTTGTTGACGTCGATGTTGATGTCGTCGTCGTTGTTGTTGTTTGTGTATTCGCCGACGATATATTTAACGAATGATCAATTTCATTGAAATCCAAATAGTTCATGGCCATAAGATCTAAAATAAACTCGTATCGTCAGACAAGAAGGATTCGTCTGTTCGAGTGTCAGCGTAACAACTGAGCATATGAATGAATGAAAAAAAAAGTAAACATATATACTCAACGACAACAGCATTTTTCTGTCCTACCACAACAACAACAACAACAGCGTCATAGCTCGCAAAAAAAAACGAGAAAAAAAAACTTAACGAAGTATGTGCGCGTTAGGAGAACGAACAACGCACAGCGCCGCGGCGTGTAATAACGGAAGAGGAAAGTGAGAGAAAATGTACGAGAGCTTGAGGGACCGGCCGATCGACTATCTGCTTGTCTCTTCTCGTCGATAACGAACATTAATAAATGTTTCGATTGTCTCACCTACTGATGAACGATTTTTTTCTTATTCTGTCGTCTTTGCATCTCGATGATTCAATATGACATCAAAATCTCATCTTAGACTAAATTGACTTGCAGATCAGAACGAGTATATTTCTATTTTCCATAAACATTCCCACGCCAATGCTTGAGTCAGAAGGTTATTAGTCATCGAATTTCAATATTCAGGTAGAGAAAAAACACATCAATTAAATTAGACTACAGCGACATCTAGCTTTTCATTTCAAACAAATTTCCATTCAGCTTTCTCAGCTGATGTAGTTTTTATACAACTAAACTGCTTTCGAGGGAAGAAAACAAGTCGTCATTTGTTTGCTTTGTCATTGGGTCAAATCTCAGCTGATAAGAAATGATGTAATCAAACAAAAAAACTCTAAATTATTTTTATGTATACATATGCATGTTCAGAAAATCTCAACAATATTTGTGGAGGAAGAGTAGAACCCGTGGTGGTCATCTCCATCTATATGATCACATTTTCATCCAATGTACTCTTCCACCAACACGGTAATTTCCATATAGAATGTCATTGTGCGTTTATTCCTTGCTGTTCTTATTCATTTCAAGATCATTCAGTCTGACTAAATGTCGATGCAAAACAGCGAATATCAATGCACGAAATTATTACGATCTGTTGGGCGTCGAACAGACTGCAACGCAAAAAGAAATTCGAAAAGCTTTTGTAAAATTGTCGAAAGAGGTGAATACGAATAGAGCTTCGAGCATATGTATCCTTATCAAAGACTTCAAGTTATAGTATCATCCGGACGCCAATTCAGCAGATAAATCTCTACACGATAAATTTGTCAAAATCAATGAAGCATTCAGTGTTCTGAGTAAACCGTCAGCAAGGAAAACTTACGATCAAAGTAATCGAACAGAAATGCAATTAGATATACGGTTATTGGAGTTTTTCTGTTTAGATCTTAATTACCCACATCAATCTGCTAGTCGAGGATACTCAGCACCTCCAACAGCACGCCAACAAGCATCAACCGGTTCTCCATTCGAATGGACAGCACGAAATTCCAACAATCGAGGAGCCTATGCTCGTCGACCGACTTCCAATGAGTTTGACTGGTAGAGACATGTGCTTGTCATATCTTGATTGCTCACTCTTTGTTGTGATAGGGGAACACCACATTTTGATAAAACGTTCTATGATATGCTTCGTCGGCAAATGGAACAAGATCAAAAACGTCGCCGAAGCTATTCGTATAATCCACCACCGGGATACGGAATGATCAATACTTACTTGGCCCCATTTACGATTATCACAGTTCTCCTTGCTTTTGGTATTTTGATACATGTCCTCCAAGGACGGTAAGAGACTTGAATGAGAGTTACAGATTCCTTCGTAACACAATTCGAATTTAGAATGGCGAACTTTTCTGACCCCAATTATGTTGTAGATCCACGAAGTCGGAGTTATCATGCTTACCGTGAATGGCAACGATTGAGTGCACTCAAAAATGCTGAATCAATGCCTCTACGTACCGGGTCAACAAAGCGTGATAATGAAGACGAATGAATATTCTTTCGTTCGGTTATCAACCTTGTTCTCTTTTATATGATATTATTTAAGCGAATAAATATAGATGTTTGAAACATTCTATGACGATTAGGATCTGAAAGAGACGCGAGAAACATGCTATGCTCGTTTTTCACGAAGGAAATAAATGACTGTGCAAGGCAAGACGATTGTCTAATGAAAATAAGACATAGAAAACGAGAGCATTTTTTAATTGTCAGTCTCGTCGATGTGTAATTACTTGCAATTTCATGCTTATTCGTAGTAAAAAAAACCCTTTGTTATGTACAGCTCTTTCTGTTCGATGATAAGAAGGATGTTGAATATGTATTCCGAAAGACGGCTAACACATACTGATCATGTGATGGCGTTTGTCTCTTGATAAAACGAGTGTCAGAATAAATGAGTGAATTGAATAGATAGATAGCAAAGAATATGTTACTTAAAAACAGCGAAACGATAGATGTGTTCAAGAATATGTTCTAAATTCTCATTGTTCATACTGATTTGATATATCTTCACTAAATCTATCGGATTAATTCAATAGAAGCGTGTTTCGATCCAGCTTAAACGTATTTGCAGTTTCTGCGAACTTCTGCTTCTTTTTTATACTGACGTTCTTCAAGTTCAAACACTAAGATGCCCTGGAGATCTATTGTATCCTATAATATTTCTCGAGCGACGTATTTTCGTACATGTTTTTTTTAATGATGCAAATATTTTCCCTAAATGAAAATGGAACAGACGTCAATATATTATTCCGCCGAATGTTATTAATAGTCCGGATTACAAGAGAACGCCAACAGTATAAATACTCGGATATTAGAATAGAACTCTTTATATTTTAATAAGAAAAGGTTACGAATGGCAACTGCTGCTCAACCACGTGATGAACCGGCCTATATTTCTCTTTTGAAACCGTCTCTTGTTGGACAACTTTATTCATGGGGTTACTTATGCCTGTTTGTCCTCGGCTTTACTGGCAATATCTTCAGTTTGCTAACATTCACGCGACCCACATTACGATCTGTCTCGACAGGCATACTCTTTATCACCTTAGCAAGCTCAGATACAATTTTTTTACTTGTATCCATCATTGATTTTCTTGACTTTGGTTTGGGCATTCCTCTGGTCAGCTATGTTAACTATACCATTCTATGTCGTGTACGCCTGTTTACTGTCTCAATGACGCAAATCTGTTCGGCTTGGGTTTTAGTTGTGATTTCACTCGATCGATGGATTCGTACACGATTTCCATACAAGTCATCTGTGATATGCACCCAAAAGAAAGCATTGCTCGCCGTTGCGATCATCCTCATTCTTGACATTGGTATTCATGCAGTTATGCTTACACCACTGGTCGGCACTATATTTCCTGGCGTTGCGTTACTAGCCTGTGGGCCAGCTACATGGGATTATTTATATTTTTATTACATAACCTGGACAGTTATTCAAGTAAACTAGACAGAACTAAGCTGAACAGTAGTGGAATAATGTAACAGCTCTTTTTTCTTCTTTTTTCTTCGTAGGTTTTCATTAATTGTCTTGTGCCTGTAATCGTAATGCTACTGTTTCTCATTGACATGTTCACCAGAATTCGTGCTCAAAAGCGAAATGCAGGTCAACAAATCGAAGTTCAATCTCGTGGTCGAATGTCCAATCCAGCAGTGAGACGAAATAATCGCTTACAAACGCAATTGTTTGCATTGATGTTATCAAGTATTACAGTCTTTCTGGCAACAAATTTACCAGTAGCCATCTATCGAATTGTATTTCCCCGGCAAGTGCTTACCATCCCAATAACAGAATATCCATCTGTGGCGAAACTATCCGCCATATTTCAGTTCATCTGGAGTGTCAATTACACAGTGAGTGAATCGTAGAGAGATCTTTTTAATAAGTCGGATTCTTTTAGATCAATTTCTACATTCACTGTTTGACTTCAACGTTATTCCGACGAGAATTTCGAAAATGCTTCAATTCATTGTGCAAATCTAGAGATACTCAAGTTACTCCGGCCACTTTTATAACCGCACGCTAAGTAATGCGTACTTGCATGTTCACTACGAACACTTTCGAGATCGGTAGCACTCTGAGGTGCCATTGAGATTCCATGTTGTCGTATATATAGAATTTCGAATTTTTTCCGTGTCTCTTCGAAATAAATGTTGTTTTTGACGCTCATGTTATGCTTAGTATTATCTTTTTCTTGTTCACATTTTTGATGAGTTCGAAAAGAACTAAATCAATCTTAAGAATATTACACTTTGTAATTGTTTCTTAAAATAAGCTAATCTTGAAAAGATTAATCTAGAGAAAGTAAATTTCAGAGTGCAAATCTTTCGACGTCATTCGGTCAAATAATTGCTCTTGGCAAAAAACTAATCCGGTAAAGTTGACTTTTACCATCACTGTCATGTTTGAAAGAATCCATCAGAGACAGAAAATGCGATAATCCGTTTTCTTCTATCTTGGCAAAAGGAAGCGGTCAGGATACCTGCTGTAGTTCTAAAAACAAACAAACTTTCTTTTTTTGAAATGTGATTTTCATTTTGTAAACCTATTGCCTTTAACCGGTAAATAAGCAATTTTATTCGCAGTAAATGAAGGAAAGCACAACAGACACACGGAAAGAAAATTTAAAAAAAGAAATTGAATTCAACTTTAATACATAGATGCAATTTGTTTTTATTCAATACTGAAAATGAAAACATTGTACAAAACCAACTCACTAAATGTATACGTATCACAGTTAAAACAACACGAAAATAATAAATGCACGCAGTATTTCATGATGAAAATGATGGCGTTCTTGCAATTTCTTTCATATAAACAGGATCATCTAAGATTGACACATAGGTTTTCTCAACATTGGCATCTTCTTCTTTCATTTGTTCATGTAATGCTATCAAACGATACCATGTAATAACATCAGGATCAGCCAGATTCATCGAAAGTGAACATGCATCAATACCATGATTATCTTTTAATAAAGGATCAGCGCCACGTTTAAGTAACAGTATAATCGGTCTAAAGATATCTATTAGATAGTGATAAGAACATTATCAAAGATAAATACCCCCGTCCTTTGTTCGCTAATTGAGTTGCATAATGAAGAGGTGTTCGACCGTCTTCATCTGGCAGATTCACTTTTGCATTGTTTGTGAGAAGAAACTCAGCAGCTGCGACAGATTTCTACAGTATTACAAGTCTCAATTGAAGTATGTAGAAAACGAGAAGAGACAATCATACGCTTAATATTGCTTCTATCAATGGTGTTCGTCCATGGTCATGTTCGTTGGAGAAATTCTTGTCAGCGCCAAGAGCTAATGCATGTAACATCATCGGTACGTTACGATTTCGAGCTGCATCGTACAAATAGATATTCTGATTCCATATCAACGGTGGATTATCTTCAAGATAAGAAGAAAACGAAATGAAAATACTGAGAATACATAGCTATCATACCTGCGACAATGCCATTATCAGAAGGCATGATTGGTTTCCTAAAATACGATATTAATTTCAACGGAGATTCCATTTAGAATGAGATAAACCTGAATAGTTGTTGTCGGTTATAGTTCTTCAATAGATGTGCAGTATTTTCATCGTCAAGATCACTTCCAAGACTTGCTGATAAGGCCGCATTTTTCATAACTGTCCATCGTCGAATATTGCGCGTTGTTGGTCGTAAATAATTTGACGAAGGCAACGGACGTACAAATGCTTTCAGAACGTATTTTGATTCGATATAATTTCGACGCTTAGCACTAGAGAAGACAACGAATGACGGTGTGACACCAATCAAGTTCATTTCTTTTCAAAAAATCTTACGGATCTGTGTCTATCGTTGGTTTTGGTATTTCACTTGACAATTGCGCTTCGTAGATTTCATTGACAACATTGTTACCTAATTCTGACATGACTAACAATGTTTCTAAGTCCCACGTGTCCATGTGCAATGAACGAACTTTGGAAAGATTAACACCAAGACCTCTAATAGAAAGAAGGTTTCATTGGATAAATAGCACAGCGACAATCGAACGAACCGATGTGCGCCACCACAGTTCAAGCAGAGTAGGATGCCTAAGTTAATCGATGCCCATTCAGGATTTTCAGCATCACAATCACAACATTTCTCATTTCCCGGCAGCGAACGTACGTATTCAATTTTCTCTTTAATCCTAAACAACCGAATGTTTTTTCGTACGTCAAATGCGAACTTTCTCTTTACATCTTTTGTTTCAATTCGATTTTAGCAATTGAAAGTGTACTTGAATGATTATCGAATAAAGACTTCGGTGAAGACTGAAAAAAAAGAGAATGAGTAAAGAAAATGAATCTTTTTTTCACACTTTTACCGAGGATGAAGTTGGTCTTTCATTATTATTCGATGATTTGAATAAATGCGCTATCGTTGCATGCAGTACATTAATCCATTGTTCACATTCTAATTGCGAATCCGCTTGAAGAAGATGTGAACTAAACAGTTCCGACAATGATCGCGAATCATTCATGATAACAACACTTGCCTGTTCGGAGAAATAATTTCGAAAACAAATCGACGGTCGTTATCATTTGAAGAACGAATTGTACATAGACGCAAATCGGGTACCATGACTGAGTAGGGAAATTGTTCGGGAGAATTATCATGGAGAGCAGTGCTACTATTCCGTTTCATATAGAGCAACTGTCCATTTCGAATACAAAACCATCGTCTAGAGGAAAACTGAGAGTAAGGTTTTGATGAAAAGAGCCATTTTCACCTGTTCCATGTTTTGAACTTGTTATGTGAACGTTTGAACAAATAACCTAGAAACTATTTTCATGACTTGGCTTAAGCAAATCTCCGCTTACCTTCTTTTGTTACTTCAGTTCCATTCGAAGGTACATTAGTCATGTTCAATAAATTTTGTTGGGAGATATTTCGCGGTGGGATAATTTTCGACTAAATAGAGATGACGTAATCTTCTATCGGAATGTTTCTTTATCACTTACTAAAGATAAGGATGACTCAGGTGTTAATCCATCGCTTCGATTATCATCTGGATTGTACTAGAATAGATGCGCATAGTATTGAAATTCACTGACTCGTCAATTTTACTCGTTTTTGATTGGCTTCATGCATTTTTTCTAATAGCTTTTGTTTTTGGCCATTATCTTGCTTCGTTTTGATTAACTAAACAAATAATCTGTCGAGTTGCTATTGTGCCAATCAAGACTTACTTCAGTGGTCATGGCCTGAGCATCCCCTTCTGTTTCCGCTGACAATAATTCATAGCCTTGATGAAAAAAGGCCTTGTGGAAATTGATATACGATAAGAACAGTTCAATCAAATCGACTTTATGTTGATCGAAGAGAACATTGATTTGATAAGTGTAGTCAATCGATGTATGACCAAAACAACTACGAGTTGCGATCAAATTCTTACTAACATCTTCACAGATATTAACTAGAACAAGGAAACTACACACATGTTCTCACAGTTCAAGTTCCTTACGCTTTGTTTTGGATACGTCAGCGTTCTTCTGCAAGGCTATGTCATAATCAGTGCTTAATCGTTCGAATAATTTGCCCTGATCTTTGACTTTCTTGATATCTTCTTTTAACATTCGTGTCAATGTCCGAAGAATACTGTGCGATGTTTGTTCCAATAGACTCTAAGTTGATGAAGACATGTCGATCGTAATCAGTGTCTCAATCAATCAACCGACTTACGGAGAATAATGTTTGGATTTCGTAGAGGTAATTACCGAATTTAGCGAGACTTTTATAAGCTAGTTCGTCAGTTGAGAAGAATTCACGTACATCAAAGATACATTTAATAAATTTTCTAAATGAAAAGAAGTTGTATTCACAAAGTTCAACTCTTTCTCGTCTTTTACTGAAAATCTTGCACGAATAATTTGCCACTGGTGACGAGCGAATTGCACATTTTATACATTTGTTCTAAACGATCTTCAAGTATGTCGATTCGATTGGCTGCTTGTCGAAGTTGACTTCTATTGATGAGAGAAAAAACTTGTTATTTTCTGTAAACAGCATATAAAACAGAAAACATACCGAAAAACAGGCGAGTCTTTAAGACATTCNTTCTCGTCTTTTACTGAAAATCTTGCACGAATAATTTGCCACTGGTGACGAGCGAATTGCACATTTTATACATTTGTTCTAAACGATCTTCAAGTATGTCGATTCGATTGGCTGCTTGTCGAAGTTGACTTCTATTGATGAGAGAAAAAACTTGTTATTTTCTGTAAACAGCATATAAAACAGAAAACATACCGAAAAACAGGCGAGTCTTTAAGACATTCTTCAAAATCGATGGTATACATGACTAAAAGGAAACAGTAGTATCTGTTATGATAATACAATCTAACGAGAATGAAGCATCTCTATCTGTATCTTTCTCTTCTTGTTATATAATCTAATGGGGAGATATTGAAGTATCGTTGTCACATTTGCCGATGAATGCCGACAGCTCGCGCGTCTCTATCTCTTTCTTTCTATTTGCTCATCATACACAATGCCGATGTTCAGTCGGAGTGAAAATGAGTAATTATATACGAGCGATAGAAGAATAACACATGTTTGTTAGAAGTGCTTGACCTCTCGTCGGCATCAATTTCACGGAAGCTACTTACTCGATCGATTCAAAATGGTAACTCATCGTCATGTTGATACCAACCACAGAAAAAAAAGAGGAAAAAACAAATGAAGAGCAGAAGAAATCATCTGAAGGAACAGATGGTCATCTCCACAGGGTATTTTGTTTTCTATTGTCTACATAGAAATGAATATGTAAACGATGTATGTCATTTTATAGCATGCCAGATCAAAATTCGACTCTTCAACATCTCAATAGACACTTATTAGGCATTCTCATACTCAGATGATGATAAGAAAACATTCGTATTGATATGCTATTTTCTTTCAAGGCAAAAAAGTCTCGTTTTTTTTCTGTCTACGATGTCCAAGTGAAACGAACGTGATATTTTAAATAACGTTCCGCATCTCATAAATTAATCTAGAAATAAATACGCTAATCCTTTTCTTGTTCTATAGCAACCGATGCGAAAGTGTAAAAGATGTGCTTTCTATGCAATGGACATACGTGTGTTTTTCTTGAGACAATGAGTTCGAGTTAGAACGACGTAAAATAAATAATTTAACTGTTTATGTTGAAATCTTCTTCGAGTAGGAGAAAGACCATATTTACTTTCGTGTTAAAAGAATAAAAAATGCAAGCAAAAGCCATCTACTGATTCATTGCTTGCATTCATTCACGAACGCTCTCTCGCTCGCGCATATCTACGTACATCATCATCGTAACTGTTGGTCAAATTCAAAGACAAACGGCCAGCTGATTATCGACTCTTTCTCTAGATGTCGGCACTTTAAAGTTCTCGAACGTTGCTTTTCATTGATTTATGTAACTTTTGTCTTGAAATCAGAAATAATAACATAACGTTTTAAAATGGAAAAAAAACAACAACACACACACGCACACACACGTTTCATACTACAAATGTTCTAAATGACGGTCTTTGGATTTTCTTCGATGTTTCTTCATGACTTCCGATGTTTGAGAAAGATTTTTCCCACTGGAGTTCTCCGGCACGGTCAATGCACTTGATGTTCGCCTTGCGCGTGCTGATACCAATTGCTGCTGTTGAAAAACGTCGGTTAGTTTGACACGTGGATTTTTCTGTGGTGGATTTTTGCTTTGTGTCAACGCTTGATAACGTGATTTGAACACGTGGTCAAGTGATTTATTGTATAAATGGCGTTTATTCGATAATTGCCGTCGTTTAATCGCATCATAATTACTTCCATAAGTATGAATTGAGCCTGCCATGATTTGAGATAGATCACTGTGATCAGTTGTGTCTAAGTTTCTTTGCATATCATTGACTTTCGCAGCTTCGCTCCATTGTTGAGATGTACATGCTGAATTTTTAAGATATCGACCATTGCCACGATAGATAAGTCCAGTGGTGGAGAGGTCAGGTTCCGATGCTTGTCTTTCATCATTGTCATAATCCGGTTCAGGTAGATCTTCTTCATCGAAACCTTTCAGTTGTTGTAGAACTTTAACTTGTTCGACAGCATCTTCGACATTGTCAGCGGTAAAATCACTGCGACGATTATGTCGACTGGTCTGTCCATTATTCGATTGACAGATTTTCAAATCTGTGGATGCTAATAAATGCAGTAATGTTCCATAACGATGCCACAGCATGGAGACAAATTGAACGAGTAAGATAGTAGCGAAGAATAGGAGAAAACCCAGGCCAAGTGGCTCGAAACGTAACGGTTCACTGTGTAAACGTTTGATTGGTATAAAGACAAATTCACGTATACGCTCAGCGACTAATTGCAATGAAAAGATAATAACTATCCATAATGTATTGATCATAAAGAAAACAAAGCAACTATTGTTGCGCAATGATTTCAATTCGCCAACCATTTTCTTCTGGTGATCTTTATCTTCGATCAATGGATAGAGATACCGTTCGATAACGCCTTGAAAGAATTTCGTTTCACGTGGATCAAGCATAACTACTTCTGAATCGAGTAATGATTCATGAAAGATCCATGCGGGATTTACTGAAAGAGAAAGGCAATTCGAAAATATCGATTCTTATGCAATTTATCATACCTAATTCATCTCGTTTTATAATAGGTGTCTCAAATGGACGTGACACACCTCCATAAGACATGACCTGTCCGTATGGTGTACTGCGAACTGATTGAATACCACGATAAATCAATTGTTGGTGAGGATCGACGTTTGGAAAACTTGCGCGATTGATTGGTGTACCTGTTATGCCAGGTGAACCAGCTCGAGCAGCCAATTGCATCAGACCATATTTTGCATCGATCTCTGATCCAACTGGTGTTTTATTTCGTTCGGGATAGAGACCTGTCGTTGCCACGGCTTCCATTTCTTCATCAAATTTGCTCTAGAATTGCAATTGACGTTTTTCGATCGTCTCTACTGCCGATGCAACTTACATTTTCCATACGTTCAACTGCGCTTAGAATTTGTTGGAGAAGTAAGCCATTCAAGCCTGATCGTTCTAATCCGAGCCATTTTCGAGCATAGGCACGAATTTTCTCATCGTATTTTTTGAAATTAAAATTAGCAAATACCTTCATTTGAGAACAAGGTAAATGAAGCAATATTCTATTTCAAAAACTGAACCTACTTGATTGAAAAAGCCAGCCGATTTCTGTTTGGCTTGCGTTAACTCCTGCAATTTCGCACGTTCCAATTCTTCCTTCGTTTGATTCTTCTTCGTTTTCGGTGCTTCACGTGTTCCCCAAGAGACAATGTTCAAATTACACAACGAGTAAATCATCAAGAACAAATATCCACTTGGTATACACAAAAAGTACAGTATGCCCGGAACGACGCACCAAAACTCTTGTGGATGCATACAGGCGGCAATAAAATTGATCGAGAGCAGCAACATTAAGAAAACAGCATTCGGAGATGTCCACGAATCTTCTGCTATTTGAATAGTCGTACCAACAATGACGGCCATCATGATAACAGCGTAAACAGCAGAGAGAAAGGCAGCAACACGAATTTGAAAATCAGTAGTCGTATGAAAACATAATAGTAGATAGAAAAATGCTGGTAATACGGACATGTACATTGATTGCCAGAGACTTGTACCTAAACGAATAGCAGATACAACATTCTTTTTTGAAATTTTTCCTATTCGACCTACCGAAACAAGCATTGAACGCTCCGATAATCATGAGAAGTACCGTTGCCGGTCCCAGGACAGTTGAAACCATAAGAAAGAGTTGATAGATAATATATAAGTACGAAATACTCTCATTGACAACGACGATACGTTTGTATTCGGCAAGAAAATCCAAGATATTTGCAATGGTAGATGGTACCCATCGGCGACGTTGATTGAAAAATTCCTGTAAATACAAAACTGAACTACGTCGTTCTTTGCATAGAAATACTTACGTGAAATGTCTCCGGTGCATATGTCAAAGCGTCCGATGCTGCGCAATACTCAACTCGGTAGCCTTCTTGCAATAGAAGTGTACATAGCCATCGATCTTCACCTAAAAACGGAATGTCGGAGTGATCGTATTGATGAAATCTTCAGTATCAAACCTTGATCGTATTGTACATAATGTCGAGCTTCGGTGGATTTTGTACAGTACGTACGAAGAACATGATCATCCATTAATGCAGAACCACGAAATAAACTGAAACAACCTGGGCTACACATCTAGATAGCACAAGATTTATTTCCCGATGTTCTCTCTCAATCATGGCTTAACGTACCACACAGCCTAGGATATGCTCTGCTGCTTTTTGAAGCCAATGACCAATAGCGTATTCGAATTTCTGGTACCAAACCATTGGCCCACTTCCAACGGGATGAATACGTCCACATGCTGCGCCGACTTTTTTATTCTTCTTCATTCGATCAACTAGTAAACGTACGGCTTCCGGTCGAAAGTCAACATCACCGTCCAGGGCTAATAGATAAGTATTTTCCATCTAAACAAAATCGTTACTTCATGTTTCGATAACGAAATCCGTATGATAAATCGTACTTGTATTCGTTTCTTATTGTCCATATTGTTTAGTAAATTTCCGAAACCTTTGAATAACTTCGATTTACTCTTCGATGAATCTTTCTTTCGTTTTCGTTTGTACAGTTTTTCGATAATATTCAAGTCGCCAAAAAGACGATAACCAAGTAAATAGTACATGTACATGACCTAAAATTAAGTTCACTAGATAGAATACGAAAATATGATTCAATAGCATTACTTGACTCCAACGTTTCTTATGTCGAATCTTTGTTTTATCTTTAATATGTGCAATGAGGAAATTTCCACCTGGTAGAATCCATGTTAGTCTTCCACCATACGGTGTTGGTGTCTTGAATGGTGGAGGGATTTTCATTGGACATTGATGTATAGCTCTAAACGGATTCAATTGATTGTTTAAACACTGAAGAAACAAAATAATCTAAAGACATACGTCGCTGCACGATCAATCACTCCTAGTAGTTGCTGAACGAATTTGTTAGGTACTTGTTCATTGTTTTCATCTTCTTCCATAGCATCATCGAAGAAAATATGTCCTTCGTATTCATAGTAATCAAGATCTTTCAAATGTAAGTAATTACGAGCAGTTCGACGCGCACATTGATCACTATCCAATCTGCAGAACGACAAATATTCGAATCGATCTGACTTCGGAGAAAAACACAGAAGATAATTAACAAACCTCATAATCGATTTCAATAGTTGTAACATTTCCGTTTCAGTTTCATGCCACATGGTCGCACACGAGTAGATCTTTGTATGTACATCTGCACTTAGTTTTTTCTCCATGGATAATTCTTCCATGCTCTGCTCGTCGTATTCGGTATCACCATTCACTGTACCCATTTCGTCGTATGTGCCTGAAAGGATCTCTTCACGTTCGTTTCGGCGTCGATTCATCATTAAGGATTGTTCAAGCAAAGTTGCACAATAACGTGGAGAAACAAATAAACTGAAATAGGAGCAGTGAAACAGAAGACAGATGGATGGAATCTTTTCAGAGTCGATTTACCGTTCTGTAAAAGCTAAACGTTGACTTTTTCCAAACCAAATATGTCCAGCAATCCATAATTCCGATAACCACCAAAGAGAAAGACCGCATATGACTTGCCAACGAAAGGAATCTTTGGCATAATCAGCATAACAACTCCAGAAGAGAAATTTGTCCACGAAAACAGTTGTTTGCGGTGCTGCAGAACACATGACTAACAAAATAGTCAGAGCCAAAGGTGTAACTAACGTAATTGGTAAGGCAAAACAGATCCGTTGCATGCAGAGTTTACATGCTAAACGACCCATGTAGAAACATAATGCATCGGATATAATTTTCAATATCATAGGAGCTAAATAATAAATCCATCGATCACGTGGATTTACTGATCCTTGTTCACCGCCTACAGGATTATTTCCATTGGCAAGTGGGTTTGCCGGTTCATCACCGAAAGTGTAGCCGTTTGGTATATCGAGCTCCATTTGTCGTTTCTGTCGTTTGACAAACGCGGTAATATTGTCAATTGACCGACGTTCGCGCGGTGACGTCAGCGGAACTAACCCTTGCATTGGTTGCTGATCAAAACCTAATGACGCCCAAGAATTTTGTCCTGGCGACAAGTTTGGTAATGGATCTTGCAATGGTTCGGAATTATCATGAATTGGAAAGACAACAGACGTATTAAAAATACCATGATGAAATAGATAGGCGAGAATCAGTGTCACGAATACTTTCCAACATGTGATGATTATCGACGTCTTGGCCCGTGTTGCAACGATATTTTCTTTTAGTAATTTCATATGAACTATAGTGCGATTACCTATTTTAATGTCACGATCGATAAAATTTTCCCACCTGAACAAGAAAATACACGGATGATTAAGATTGAATGAAAAAATCGATGTTCCGTGTCTTACCAGGCTAACGAAACAAGAATCAATGCAACCGGTAGTTCCCATTGAACATAAAAACTACTTAAAATTGTTTGTAAATTTTTATCTATTGAACTAATATTACTAATAGGTGTTGTGAGCATATCATTCTCATTGATATCGGAGAAGATTGTTACCGACTCATCTTGTCGTCGATGTCGATTTAGGGGTGGAAGCGTTGTTGTACTGCCAGGAAAAAGTAAAGGCGCAGAAGATGCTGTCGTTTGCACAAGGATAGAACTATCAGTATTCAGAAATTTTGATGCCAATGCAATACCCATACAAGAACATTGCATTGCGAATGCAAAAAAGTCCATAAGAAATAAAAGACTTCGTCGTACAATAGATGAATTCGATTTCGTCAAAAATAATTTTAAAAAGGCAGGAACAAGACAGACGGCGTTCATAATTAACAAACTTCGTGCTGCATCCAGTTTTGGTAGAATATGAAAAACAAATATCGCAATACCAAAACTATGTAAAGTTTCAATGAAAAAAACCTAGAAACAAAACACATCTCATATCAAATACGACAACTACAATAAAACATACAATCGTGAAGATCTTCACAGTTGGCCATGGTTTATTTCCAAATAAACATGTACCAAAACTGTCGATGAATGTAAAGATATATGGTGCACAAACGGTTGCCAGTAACATCCATACCCAACGTTCACGATAAGGTGTCTAGAAAGATCATCGGAAAGATTCGATCTCTAGAAACAGTCGTTCTTACCTCTTGGACATGTGCCACCGAGTTTGTCATCAATAATAAAGCACCTTTGCTCACTAATGCAGTTACTAGCACACCGATATGTAAGACAATATAAGTAGCAAGTTTTAACAGTCGCATAGATAGGCGATAACAATGTACTGTATTATCATAGGCTTCACGAACATCCATTGTACGCGGCGTGTCCCAAGGATCGACCAGTTCACTAAATTATATTTCAAATGGAGAAGAAGATGAACAATTGAATTATGAAACTTACTCATCGGGCAAAAGATCATCATCGTCATTCTTTGCTGTCTGATCCATTTGGGCAAAACTGTATGTCGAATGTTCAAATTCATTGCTTTTACTTGCTTTACGAGCTTGATTGTCTTTGAACTTTTGCCGCTGTAACATGAGAATCTTCTTGATGATGTCGCGCTTCTGTTCCGATAACATATTTTGATCTTGTAGAGCAAGTAAAATATTTCGCGGCTCAGATTTCGAGCGAACAGTAGCTGGATGTTTCTTTTCCTGTTGTCCAACCGCCCAATCTAAATTATTTTCATACTTCTCTCTGAAGTCGGCCAATAGATTATAGATGGTTCACCTGTCACAAACAGATCTCCACTTGCAGCAGCAACTTTCGTTTCTCGAATCAATTGTTCAGCTGCCGATAGTTTCATTGTTGGTGCAATAGGTATCTTCGCTGCCATTACTGAAATTGCTCCATCATGCACTTTCAAAGGATTATCAGCCGTTGTTATGCTCGGTAGGCCCGAACCCGACGCGATATTTGTTTCGATTGGAAATCGCTTTTGTGGTAATTGTTTTGGTGTTGTCATCGTCTCAGGTGTGAATTCGTCTTGAACAAGTATTCGTACTTCACGCTCAGACAGACCTTCAACAGAGGATCGAATGCCATCCGTTGTTTTGCTTGATGTTATTCGATGGTCGACACCCTCGAGTTCATCGACATCATCTTTCTCGAGTAATTGTAATTTCTGAAAATTTTCATACAAGATTGTGCTCCTATCGAAAGTATGTTGGCCTGTACCTTAGCTACTTTAAGCATATCATGTTGTTCTTGTTCATTCATAGGAATTGCTTCAGCGGGAATCGAAGGTGCCGGATTTTTTTTGTCCTTTGTTCGTCTTTTGATAAAGTGTTTCGAACGTTTAACAGCGTTGTCATTTTCTGGTTTTGACAATTCAATAGTTTTCGTTGAAACCTTTGGAAAACGAGAGTAAAGCTTTTGTATCGATAGAACTCGAGCATACTTTTGGTAATGCTGATAATCTATCCATTGTTTTTTTACTTGTTAAACGAACTTGAGTGAGAAAATCATGGCGTTCTTTGGCATTTCGTTTCGCACAGTGTAGTAAATGTTTTCGAACAAGATATCCTCTAATATACTTTTGACAAGTGATAATATTCGATAGGTACTGTTCGAAATGTTGATTTAAGATTTGTAAATGTTCTAATTGCAATGAGATCTAAAATAATCGACAATGAAAGGAACAAAGTTGAAGTCTATTTCTTTACTTTTGATTTGCCAATGATATAGTCTGTGAATCTAAGACGTTTAACAATACTTTCGCATGCTTTTGCGTTGTTTTCAATTGAGCTACTCGAAGGATAGCAAATAAACTTGTATCTACAAAAAAAATTCATACGAGAATGCAATTACTTTTGCAATGAAAACGTCCAACCAAACCTTTTCAGAAATTCTTCCAATGTAAAACGAATCGGTAGGTCTTGTTCGTAAACTACTCGCTGATGAACTTGATTAGCTAATTTACCGTGATGAGGTTTAATACATCTACGTAATAGGAAACAATTTACATTGAATTTGATTGATTCAATTGTTTTGTTCAATGTAAAGAACATAATGAGAATACCTACACGAGTATTTACGTAATGAAACTCTAATCATACGATAGGTGATCCAGTATTAAGGTCATGCATTTATATGTACTGGATTTACGTAGAACAACGCGAAATGAGAAGGGATTCGAAGAAAGCCATGTGCGAAAAATATGCGCTATGTCAGGTTTTCTGAGAAGAGAGAAGACGTTAGTCTAGGCGTAACGCGATGAATCTACCTCGATTTGTTTCGCGAATTGTCTATTGTGACATTTTGTCGTTCAGTTGTGTTGTGTCCATCGTCATCGTTGTCACCATCATTGTCAGTCATTAGTTCATCGGTTGGAATGTGTAAATCTACAGAAACCGTGAGACTTTCACACGAATCGGGAAAGATTTGTTCGGGATTTGAATTGTTTGACGAACGCTTTTTCTCTTGAACGTTCTCAGGCGGATGATGTGGCGATGGTGGCAGTAGTAGCCAATGGCCACGTCGATCGAGTCGACAGTGTCCACTGGGTTTTGTCGAATTGCGTTCGCAATTGAAGCCGTATGATTTGGGTATTGTCGAATAGTCATCAAGTGTCTCCCAGCCATTTTCATTTCGATTGTCCGTTAGCGATGATAACGACGAATCATGTATGTACTGATTATCAGCGATAGACGCAAGTAGTGATGTTGGTGTTACACCGGGCAAATCTTGCCATGAGTCATTGGAGCCCTGTTCATTGAATTTGAACTTATCCGCTGTGAATAATAACTTTTTTATATCGGTTTTCGTGGAAAATAAGTTGAAATCAGCCATGTCACCGAATTTACAATAGGCAAGAACAAAATACGAAAGACATTATGAACAGAACTATAACGAGCGTGAAATGTCAATAAAATCCGATGGACAAAGATTGAGACTAATCGATAGATAAATACACATGGTTGATCGTAGAGTTGTTTCCTTTTTCCTTCTGTCTCCATCTAAATCAATATCTTGTTTGCTGAATCAAGATAAAACGACTGGTCAACTGCAGTCAACTATGCATACAATGAACAGAACAAACCTCATTTTTCTAATCTGGACAGTCAACAATTCATCTACATTCGCCATTAGGTCAAAATGAAAGTTAATTAAATACGCCAGACGATCATCGATCTACATAAGTAACGAACATTTAGGAATGAAAACGTACGCAAAGAAGACGACAACGAAATACGATGATTGTATCTCCCATATCACACAGAAAACGGCCACTCATCAGTACAATATTCGCTGAATTTCTCAGTCGGTGGGTCGTCGTAATCTGTACGAACATGCGTATGATGTTTATCGGTTCTCCGACTCGGAATGAGAACTGATAAAAGATTGCGAAGCGCATTACGATGATCAATGCGCGAAATATGTTGAAAACTTCGAGAATTTCTCACGTCTATGTTAACTACGCTATAGAACAAAAATCTGAAGGAAAAGGAGTGAAAAAAATTTGCTCTTACACGTTTAACCAGTATTTCTCCTCTAGCATCAACTAAATATGAACATTTGCAAGCGAAGAAAAAGCGCGGAAGTTTCGAAGGCGAATGTGTCCTTCGTCAGTGTTTCATTTGCTTTGTTGTACATACACAAAACACAATCTTCAATGTTCGCCTGAAGAAAAGGCTCGAAGAAAGTATCATCTTTCTTCTTTTTTCCTCGTTCATTTTATTTTATCTTGTCACCCTTTATATTTCTCGCATTCGTTTTGTTTACTTTGTACTTCCTATTAGTCTTTCGTCTAGGTCTCTCTTCTTTCTTCTCGTCATCAAATGGTGAGATAAATACACGCACAAATATATGAAGAAGAAAAAAGCGAACTCTTCGTTTTCTTTTGTGCGTGTGTGCGTCTATGTCACGAACGAAGGTGACAACAGTACAAATATAACAAGCAGACTAAACTAGTTGCAAGAATGTTGAGTAATCTAACCGACGGGACATACAAACGAAGAAAGAAGAATCTTTTCATCACATACGTTGATTAAATGTATCGCTGACATTTACATACTGATCCACGTACCTGACAAATAATGGTTCAGTTCTGTCCGTTTTATTCAATAAGACATCATCAAAGGCAATATTTTCATCGACATGATCTTCTAAGCAAAATTTTCTCCTGATTTTCATTTCGTAAGATAGAGAATATATTGACCCGAAAGAAAAAAAAAGAAAGTACACATTTGAGAAAGAATAATGATATACAAAAGTGGATCGTTGAATTGATATAAAAACGAAGACAAAAAACTGAACATGATTATGATTTCTTTCGTCGAACATGTCATTCAATGACTTGAATTCATTCAGAGACACTGAGCACCGTGAGGACATCCGATTTAAAACAATGAGCAACGCGACCAAAACGAGTTGTCAGGCTTCTTATTTGAATCTTTCTTTGGTTTTATTACCACTGACCTGCCCGGTTGTTCCGAACCCTGAAAAATTCATTAGTTCGAACTAAATTCAAGCAAATGTTTACGCATATCTTACTGATTTTTGATCAATTTTCATTTTGATATCTTTCGCAAGAGACAAAAATGCATCTTCAACATTCTATAACAAATAGCAATCGATGAAACTTCTTCCGTCAATCGATATTCAGTACAATACTTACAATATTACCTTTGGCACTTGTTTCTAAGAATTTAATGCCATAATTTCTAGCCAGCTAAACGAAAAGAATCTGTCAGACAGATCGAATTTGTAAACTCTATTATCACATACAGTTTCACCCTTCTCTCGGGTTACTTGTCGTCTATCTTCCATGTCACACTTATTTCCAATCAACATTCGTTCAACTTCTGCTGAAGCGTGCTAAATAAAGACGATTCATTAAACCGAAACTTAAGTCTATCCCTTATTGTTCATACTTCTTCGATATTCCGTATCCAATTTCTGATATTATCGAAACTCTTCTCACTGGTGATGTCATACACCAACATAATACCCTGGAAGAGAGACAATTAGTCATTCAATTGAGAGTATGTTGTCAATACCATAGCGCCACGATAATATGCGGTGGTGATCGTTTTGAAGCGTTCCTAAACATGATATGTTTGTTTCGATTATAAACAACGAATGAATATGTCTCGTACTTGACCAGCAGTGTCCCTGTAAACAAGAGAAAAACATAGCAATGTCTTTGTTGACGATGCTTTTTGCTCACATACCAGATTTGTAATTTGATTTTTCGTCCATCTAGATCAATCGTACGGATTTTGAAATCGATTCCTTGAAATTGAAAACGATTTATTACAGAAGCAAAGATGTATCAACGATGATCTCACCAATTGTTGATATAAACGTGGTACTAAATGCTGAATCACAGAAACGTAATAACACGCATGTCTAAATACAAATTGATTTATGTGCTCTATTTAACAGATTTTTCTTTCGAAGAAACCAATAGCAATACCTTTCCGACACCACTATCACCTACAATACACAACAACTTCCGAGAATTTCGATATTCGTAGTAAATACAACATACCAATTAAAAGTAGTTTAAATAAATAATCATAGGCTTTCGCCATTTCTGTTCGTGATGATATCAAGTGATAATATATATATATCTATATATTAATGTAGATCCATATGGTGTTTAATGTGTATCTGGAATGAGAAAATAATGCTCTCGATCTTGTCTATCTGTTCGCGAAAAAAAAACACCGAAGAGAAGAAAGAGCAAATATGGCAAAATCATCGATGATGTTGACAGGAATTACAGATCATTGCTTCTTGCAGCATAAATAAACTGGCTTGTTACTTCTTTCAACTGAAGTTTTGTGAAAACAGCGTGATGCTTTTTTTTATTTATGAATCATGTATTCGTTCATGAGTAAGAAAGAGTTTATATCAATGGTGGCATTCCAACCAGCAGGACAGCAATAAGACAGCAGACGAATGCCATCAACTAGCGCGCTCTGTCTTTTCAATCTTGGATCAATGTTGATGATCCGTTTTTGTTAGGTGAAACGAAATGAACTTTCTTTCATTGGTGTTCACTAGTGTTTCAGATACGATTCACCGATCCGATACCGAAGAGAGTAGCGAAAAACGGCTGAGTAAGTTTTTTGGATGAAGAAACATACCAAAAGAAAATATAGAAACAGTCAATTCCGTTTTCAATAGAACATACACCTTTTTCGGAAACATAAGAACGTATTTCCACGCATTACACCACTACCGATACGTTAGTTACTTTGAAAATTCATGTTTTCCTACAGACATATCGATGTTCTGCTTTACTTACATCTGATTTTTATTATGCTCAGTTTCGAGCGACATCTTTTCTACATGTGATTTCACCATGACTGCTTTTACATTCTTTATATTGTCGACAAATCGTAGTTCGCCTTATTTGTCATACTAGACGCTACTTCGTATTCTCCCTTCATTTTTTCCAATAGTCATAACAAACTTGACGACGTAAAGAGGAAGGTGATGAAACACAATCAATCAATTACCAGACATCTAAACTCTATTTCTATAGTTTTTTTTTCGGCAACGAAGCGAAATCGATAGTTAACAATTGTATATTTCGTTTCAGTTTGTCCTTCAAATAAAAACCAGTTAGTTCAGATGGAATTCTCACCTGCATTTCATGATCCTCACTCGCATCAAGTTTGTTTGACACCCAGTTCTTATTTCAACAGTTTCGTTCATTGATTTGCATTTAGAATGAACAACATGCTTCTCCCATGTCTTTACCACCATCAGCTGCACCACGAAGTGTTGCGCTCAAAGAAGAAGCCTATGCAGTCAATATGGATACGATGCCAACAAGCACGACGCAACACTATCCATCAGCTGCTTCGAAAATCACTACCACAATGGGCCCACCAGCATCAGTCTCTTCCTACAATATAAATTCTGTTGCACCAGCAACTCCATATTCAGCTGCTGCTGCTACACCTTTCACTCCTCGTCCAGCAGATGTTTCTCATCTACAGCCAAGTTTACAGTAAATAGACTAATGCTGTGCCTTTCTTGATTATTGAAAGAACATCCTTTCAGAAACATCGTCTCAACAGTCAATCTTGGCTGTCAACTAGATTTGAAACGCATCGCCCTACAGGCACGAAATGCAGAATACAATCCAAAACGTTTCGCTGCTGTCATCATGCGTATTCGTAATCCGCGCACAACAGCATTGATCTTCGGTTCGGGCAAAATGGTCTGTACAGGCGCAAAGAGCGAAGAAGCTTCATTACAAGCTGCTCGACGTTACGCTCGAGTCATTCAAAAGCTGGGCTTTCCTGTAAGATATTTGACATATTGGTAATTCTTATCTACGAATAGATTTAGGCAAAATTTAAAGATTTTAAAATTCAAAATATGGTCGGAAGTGTTGATGTGAAATTTCCTATTCGATTGGAAGCACTCGTTCTAAAACATTATCAATTTTGCAGGTTTGAATCACTTCTGCTTTTCTTTTATGAATACGAGCTCTTGATTGTCTATTTAGCTACGAACCCGAATTATTTCCTGGTTTGATCTATCGAATGATGCATCCAAAGATTGTTCTTCTCATATTCGTGTCTGGCAAAGTGGTGTTAACTGGAGCGAAAGTTCGTCGAGAAATCCACGAAGCATTCGAACGCATCTATCCTATCTTAAAAGGTTTTCGCAAATAGGCACTGTTTCATTATTGTATAGAATTAGTTACGGTGACTTATATATATATAAATATATACATATCTGTATACACCTCTCCTCACTGCTTGTTTCTTAGTACTACATGAATATGTTATGGTCATATACAGATTTTGTTTGTTGCTATTATTGTTGTTTTTTTTTTATTTATGTTAATAAAAACAAAGAGATACCTTGAGTCAGGATAAATATTCAAAAGTACATGAAATGTTGTTCGAATTTCTTTCCAGAAAACTTCTCTTGACAGTGATATTGCATCAGGATCTGATGAAATATTAACACATTACGTATTCTCAACAATTAAAGAAAGAAGTCGTTCTTTTCTTTCCTATCTATGCAGTTATATTGCCCATGTGTGGTGCAATCATTGCGAACGGGTTGAGCAATTTTTTTATTGATATAAAAAGCAAGTGCAATACGTAATGTAAAGCTTATTTTCAACGTATTTTCAGGTGAGAACGTTTTTCCATAATTTAAAAGCATGTGTTTTCATCTACTTTTCTTTCAAATAGATTCGACACTCAGTTTCGTACGTGTTTGTACTGAGCCACTTCTATTTTTAGTAAATTCTAATCGATAAAAGTAAAGTTTGTTTGTTTGCTTCGTTCGATTACATGCACGCTTGCTTTTTGTTTAGTGGTTCGTGGACGTGGAACTTCTCGTGGTCGAGGTGGAGGTCGTGGACGAGGTGGAGGTCGTGGACGAGGTGGGGGTCGAGGTCGAGGACGCGGTCGAAGTACGGTAACTGGTCGTGGTGGACGACGTTCGGGCAGTCGAGTAGCCCGATCAGTCGCGATGGATACCGAACAACAAGCGAATACCACTGCTCTCACTAATTTGGATATAAATACCGATCCTAAGCCTTATTTTGTAAATCCGAATGTCACACTAGACCATCACATTCAAGCACAAACAACAAATTTATCACGTTATCTAGCTGCGTTCTTCTCTCTCGAAAGCAATAGTGTCGAAATAGGTCAAAAGGCCAAGGCATGTGCGTTAGCTGCTGCTTGGTGTAGACACGATCATAAATTAGCAAATAATCTTCTACGTCATCGACGTTTATTCACTTTAACCGAAGTTCTCAAGGCTGTAACTATGCTAGATGCTGGTCGACAAATCCGAGTGTATGAAAAGAAATTAAAACGTCTTGAGTTAAGCAAAACCAAGCCGAAAGTAACTAAATTAGGCAAAATTAAAAACAATATCGACAATTTGAATAAACTAAAGCCGTCATCCGGTTCAGCTAGCGGTGCTGTTGCTCGCCACATTCGGCACTGGACACGAACATTAACTAAACAAGAACTGGAGTACTTTGCATTACATATGCCTACAGAACCGTGGAAAAAACTAGCAGACATCGTGCATTTTAATCCAACTAAAGACTTTCCAGCGCTACCATGGTTCTTGTCATTCTGTTTCGGTACACCGGCACCAGCAGACACCATGGTTGCGCGTTGTCGCGATTTAACAAATGAGAATGTCAACGATCTCTTGAAAGAATTTGCCATTCCATATTCGCATTTGAAACAATTCAAAGAGAAACTAACGGATGAATCAAAAGCAAGAATTGCAGCTAAGGAAGACAAACTTGATACCATTCTCTGGTATTATGAAGATTTACGATGTTCGGCGGTTGATGATATCGTTCTCGAACGATTACGTGAAGGCGAAAAAGTAACTTTACCGTATGGTAAACTTATGGAGCGTCTATTACTTTGCCGATTATTACGCGAGGGTGAATCGACAACTGGAGGACGCTATGGCCGTCGAGCCGCTCACAGTGCAACAGTTAATGCAACGCCTGCACATCCGGACTTGGCTAAATTCTATCCAGATTTAATACCAGTTGCACAAGCACAACTGGAAAAGATCAAACTGCCATTAGAGTCACCTGTCGCAGTCATTGGTGATGCATCAGGCTCAATGGAAGTTGCTATTCGCACAGCAACTATTCTTTCCTCGCTGTTGACCGCAATTTGCTCAGCAAAATTGAATTTCTTCAATGATAAAGTGTTCCAACCGGCTTTCATTCCTAAGACACTCGAAGACGTTTTGTCGCTAGCTATCGTAACACGAGCTGATGGTTCAACTGCCAACGCTGCCGGTTTGGTACCGTATTACGACGCTAAAGAAGTTATCAAAACATTTGTTATGGTCACAGACGAAGAAGAAAATGCTAATGGTACCACAGCTGATGGAGCATCCTCCCGATTTTTTGAATTATTCATGAAATATCGTGCAGAAGTTTATCCAGCTAAACTTGTCTTCATTTCGTTTCTATCCCATCAGCATGCTCAAGGTCAAATGTATTCACAATTCAAAGCTGCTGATGTTCCAGATGTTCTTCAGGTAAGAATCGGATTTTCCAACAAGAAGAAAAGTTTTTATCAGTTTATTCTTTTCCTTTCTAGTTCAAATTCAACCGTGAACGACCAGATTTGACCAAAATCGATAATCTTATCGGTTTATTGTCAACCGGCTCCACAACATCGTTTGACACTAATCTTGAACCATTACAAGTCGAGTTCCAAGAACAAGGTATCGAAGCAGTCCTAACTAAATTGATTGGAAAACAAAGTGAGGACGGTGCTCCGATAGACATGGGCATGGACACCACACCAGCGAACTAAATTTCTATTGTTTTGTTATTCCTTTTGTGTACACAAATAAATTCATTGAAATAGCCCACACATATCTGTTATAGATGAATATCTACACTTATATATTCAAAAAGGACTTTAGAGATGCAGAGAATTTGCATACTAATTCATACTTCCATCCTGTAGAACTTTTTTTTTATAGAAGAAAGTCGAGATGCGATGTGTAAAAATAGGGCATCAAGCTATGATTTATCCTTCGCGGATATTTTCAAGTTAGCAGGAAAAGTGTGGAATTAAAATTCTTCATTAAGCAAATCTTTATTAATATTTGAAGATGATGATGTGCTCTTTTTTTTATCGACAGAAGGAGCATTCCTTTACTACTTTGCCTGAAAAACTTTGCATCCGGCGTTTCTGAGCAAGAAAATCTATCCAACAGGAGTAATTAAGTATGGTATTCATCGTCCATGGAAACAAGCTGTTTCTATTTTATCCCTTCCAAAGAACTGATTACGGCGAATGTTATTTTTTATCTTTACATCGCTTGAATCATACATTGCAAGTCATGTTAGCCGTACCGACGGTTGTAGTTAAACCAACGACGAATACAATGGAATCCAGTTTATGTCTAATCTGTAATGCTACAGCACACGTTAACCATTACGGTGCAATTTCATGTTACTCCTGTAAGATGTTCTTTCGTCGTCATAGCCTACGAAAAAAGGTAAGTTGGGTCATATGTTTTCCTTTTAATTTCAATGATATTTTCCATCGTAGAATATTCGAATGTGTCGAATGAATGGTTGCTGTTGTATCAACGAGCGAACGCGAAAGATTTGCATACCATGTCGATTAGCGAAATGCATCGCAGCTGGTATGTCACCTGCTCTAATTCGAAAAGCATATCAACCAGTAGTTCGTCTACCTGTCGACAAATCTGAACAGAAACAAACAGTATGTATCAACTCGACAGTATAAACGCTTTGGCAATAGTATCGCTCCTTTGCTAACGAAATTCATGCGGAAAACAAATGAATTCAATCGGCTTCGAGTACATTTATTTAGTACCTGGTTAAAAGAGTTCCTTTTCCTTTTAGAGAATATCTTCGCTAAGTTTACTGTCCAACGACCTATCAACATTGCGAACAGTAGACTGGACCCTACTATCCAATGTTATTCATGCATACGATAAATTCACTCTGATTACGTGGCTGCATCCGCTAATCACATATGCCAATAGTTCTCGATTGACAGTGAATCTCAATGTTGCCATTGATTCCGTTGCTCTCATTTCTACATTATACACAGCCGTTGAATTATTTTTGCGTGCAACGGCTGATTTTCAAATATTGACAATTGCCGAACAGCAATCACTTTTCCAGCGAAATCTTCATGGATTATTTCTATTATACGCAATATCTACGTTACGCAATGCGGGAATACTTGGTAATAGACAAAATCAAAGAATTGTCGTTCCTATCTACGGACAAGCAGTTGTTGATCGAGTAAGCATGATATCAACTACGTTGGATTCGAATTCTCCCATAGTGAAACTTATTCAAATCGTTTTCGCTTTTTCAACTAATTGCTTTGCAGTTACTTATCGAAAGAATGTGGATAGAGATGCACTTCTCCACGGCAGTTTTCGTCTATTTGGAAGTCAAAATGTTTATATTACAATTCTATGGAAATATATGCTGTATCAATATGGTTTTCGAGAAAGTGTTGCTCGTTTTTCAACGCTTGTCGGCAAATTGCTCGATTTGATTAGTATGTCATCGGATGTATACAACGAAAATGCTTATCATCAAGTACTTGTGGATTATCTAGTAGAAAACGCACAAGCGGCACTTATTGCGAACAGAAATGAATCTGTTCCGTTGTGGGGCCGAATGAAAGACTCAGTTGTGAACTGAAATGTATTGTTAAATTGTTCGAATAGGAATCGATAAACGGAACATCGACAGGCAAATATTGTTTCATGATTATTCGAATGGCTTCATAATGACGAATGTTTTGATTTAGTTAAACTCTCTGTCTCTCTCATATGCAAATGAATTCCATATTGCTCAGATGAATGTGAAATGAAAATCTTTGAAGTGCGTTCGACAATGAAATCAGTTTGATTAGTGATAGGCTTTCTCTACAGACAGAAAGAGATACTTGAATTTGAGGACAAATATTGATTAGTCTGTTTGATTTTGGCAACTCTGTCAGATGAATCATACATCGGTCAATGCTCTCTATTACGCATAAAGTAATGAAAATATGTCGGCATGTTTCTTCTGCTACATTCAAAAAAAAACTATTCAAGCTAGACATTCTTCCTCATCGATTCGGACATGTTGGAACTTAATCATTGAAAAAGAAAAACGTGATGATGATGACATAGTAGTATTATTCTGTAAGAGGGATTAAATGGAGATAGATAGTGTTTGACTTCCTACGCATAAATGAGCCAATCTAAATGTATAATCAATTGTTCATTCATTTATTCTAGTGTAGTTTAAACAAATACATCCCTATCTCTAAATCCTCCTCTATTCTTAGTTGAACATTACGATGTGGGTGTTGAATGTAAGGGCTTCACACTATCTTCATTCATATGTACAATATGTAATCATGAGTACGTATACGTATACGCATATGCGTAAGCAAAGAGATTGAGTTTGCTTGATTAAGATAAGCTTGATTGCTTGAGATGAGGACAGGTGTAAGACATGGGGTTGACCTCCATCTATTCCTTAAGACAAGGGTATACCACTTCTAATTTTCTTGTCATACAATTCGCATATGCGTGTGAGTTGACCCATTGAGGCAAGGAGAAGAAGAAGAAGAAAAAAAGAAAGAACAAATGAACAAGGTTGTATCGTACAACACTTGAGACGCTTGTTGAAATGCCTGATTGTTCCTCGTTTTGTTTCAAAAACGTTTCAATCCGAGCAAGTAAGTGTGCACAATTTTGCAACAGAAATAGACTTCGTGTTAATCGAAAATTGAATAACCTATTTGTTCCGTACGCATTCATTGGCATGTCTAATTTAATTCTTTGCATTTCAATGTGAAATAGATATTCCTATTCTCTCGTGTCAATTGATTAAAAGTCAGACGAGAGAGAGAGAGAAAGTGACAAGAGTACATAGTCTGTATGAAAGTGTATTCATAGTGAGAAAAAGTCAAGTAGACAACGTTTGAAAGTAAATGAGTTTGTTTTAGATTGTGTCCATCAACTGGTACATTAATGAAAATGAAACATATTCTATGGATTGCATTTTTAATCGTTACTCAAATTCAAAATTCAGATGGTGAGAAGAAGACTTTCATTTCAACATTTGTTGATTTTTCCTGTTTAGGCGGATGTCCACGAGCAACATTTGAGTTTTCTAATTACACTAAGAAAGCAACGTATAACTTTATCGACTCATCTGTAGGAAATATTGGCTCATTAGAAACATGTCCATGTAAGTAATTTTAAATAAAGATACTTTCATTTTAATATATCCCATTTTAGATACGGGCCGTCCATATGTTTATCTTCCATGTTATCCGAATTCCACGTGGGGTAATGAACCATATTTTAGTCGTTGTTCGAAACCACTGGACAAGGAAGAGCAGAGCACGCCCTCGATGATTTTCTCATCAATATTACCGATTGATAATCCATATTCAAGTATGTCCATTGATGAAATCTCAAAAGTATGTGTTTGATTTGCATAGAGAATCGTTTTGATGAGCCAATATTTGTTTTAGTTATCTATGGAGAGTTCAAACGATGTTTCGAATGTATTATCATATTTAAATCGAGATACTATAACATTTCAAACATCAGCCGATGTCGCTTCGGTTGTCAACATCATTGATCACGTAACAACAGTGGAACAAAATACAACAGATGAGGCCCATTCGGAAGTTTACTCGGTTGCGAATAAAATTTTGTCGTCGAAATCGATCGAACAAGCTCAAAAAACGAATCGAAGTGTCGTGAAGTAAGATTTGCAACTTCATCCAAGCAATTTTCATTAATATTCTCCATAGATTGCTATCCTCATTAGAAGCATTCACTCAAAATCTGAAGTCAAACCAATTCGACGCAACTTATGTGCAAGAGAACCTCGCTGTTTCGATTGTCAACATGCCAAATAATCGTACGAAGCCAATAATTGGTTTTGAATTCGGTTTGTATGAAGATAGAAATATGAACTATTTTCTAACTTTCGTTCAATTAGATTCTCAAACCAATCGAATGTCACCGATTGATTCAGCTGATACAAAACTGAATTCTACCACGATAATTCTTGATTCACAAACAGTGTCTCAACAGAATCGTTTGGCATTCTCTGTTTTCAATCCACAAAATGGTTTATTCGATGATCAAACCTATCATGTCTTAACACGAGTGATTTCGTTAACGATTGACAAACCTGAATTGATTAAATCTTCAACGAATTTCGTGAAGATGAATTTTCACATCGAACATGGTGATCTAATAAAAACCAATGGAAATTTAACGTGTGCTTATTGGCATATATTTGATAATAACATGACAGCACAATGGTCAACAACTGGTTGTCGTTTAATTGACATTCAGAATCATAATGTCATATGCGAATGCAATCATTTAACTCACTTTGCAGTTCTATTAGTATGTAATTGTTTTATTCTTGACATTTGAAACACATTCGTTTGTCTTTCAAGGATATTCAACAAACACCAGCATCGAAAGAAGTTGAGCAATTACTTTTGGTCATCACATTAGGCGGTTTACTCTTATCATCCGTTGGTTTATGTCTAACTATTTTAACATTTGTTCTTTTTAAGTACGAGATCGTTTTTTATTAGTCAGCTTACTTCTAACAACATTCTGTTTTGTACAGGAAACTGCGTCGCCATTTTAGTCAAAAATCTCTCCTTCTCTTATCGATCAATCTTCTGCTGGTTAACATCTTATTCTCGATAACAATATTACGTCAATTAGAAGATCTCTTGTGCATCATCATCGCCAGTTTGTTGCATTATTTTGTGTTGTCATCGTTCAGTTGGATGTTTATTTTGGCTTTGATTCAATATCTTCTATTTGTGAAAGTTTTTCCACGTTCGATATCAGCATTCACAAGAAAAGCAGCAGTTTTCGCTCAATGTAAGTCTTGCATTATGAATCAACATTTAATATCAATCCCCTGTTTTTGTTCTAGTTGTCCCAGCGATTCCTGTCATGGTTGTATTATCGCTCGATCCATGGAATTATCATAGACGAGAAGATAATGTGTAAGTCTATTCTCTCTAGACAACCAAACTCTCGATTTGCTTCGTTTAGCTGTTGGTTATCGTATATGCCACTCCGTTTATCGTTCATTTTACCAGTGGGGTTGTACATTTTTATTAATAGTATCTTATTTTGTATCGTAGCCCGTTCGCTTCTTTGCGGTAAAACAGGCCAACAGTTACGCAGTACACAAGTAGCTGAATCGCAACGTTTATCGAGATTCTTTATTGCTTTAAGTTGCTTCGTTGTTCTTGGTCTGACATGGATTTTCGGCTTTTTTGTTATCGGCCCAGTTCGATTACTATTTCAAATTCTCTTTTGTACATTTGCAACATTAACAGGCTTCCTTATCTTTATTCTTTATATTGTCACATCAAAAGCAAAACGAACTTGTTGGAGTAGTAAGTCGATGTCTTTCTCATATTTTTCTTTACAAATGATCTAAAACTTCTATAGACGCTTTAAAATCAGCTGGTATTCCATCAATCTATTCGCCAACTTTATCAACATCATCTGCTTTAGCTGCTAATAAAGAATTTTCCACTTCATCGACAACGGATCAAACAAAAGTACCATCCCGTCTTCTTCAATTCTCGTCTCAACCTCAGCACTTCATCGATGCTTACATGCCATCGTCACCACCAGCACCCGCACCACCTTTACCATTGCCACCACCGTTTCTAATCGAAGGTGATGATCCATTGAACGCAACAACGCTAGCTAGTAGTTTCTACGAACCCAATCACATTTGGATACCACAAGCGAATTATAATCGAGAAATCAATCAGCCAACAACGTTATTGGATGATTATTCACTTTTCTATGCCTCAAATCACGATGCTACAAAACTTTAAAATGATACCTTTTGTTTTTGGCCGTTCTTTTTCTTAAATTTACAGTCAGATGCATGTATGCTCAAGAATCCGGTTGTCTATAGTTTACAGAAATGATTCTTCTCTTGTATACTATGAAAATAATACTCGAGAAAAGACTAACTTAGAAGAAAATCAAGAAATATAAGCGTGATCTCCTTATGATTTACAAGAACTCTTCTGTCAATTGGTAGTACAGAACTTTTGTTTATAATCATTCTTGTGTAATTTGCTGAATGTAATTCGGCTACCGGAAGGCTGATCACTTATTTTTCGAGTATTGTGTTGAAAGTGTAAGCTATTTTCTTGCTGCATCTACCCAGACATGTGAATATACAAAAAAGATGGTAATATTCAAGCCTTTCTTTGATAAGATTAATTAATATCTGCTATTCATCCATAAGGTTCCTTCAGCATACAAGCCGCTAATTAAATAGCCCTTCACACCTTTAGTGTTCCCAACAGAATAACTATTTAAGGTTGTTCGTACTTCAGTTGTTAAGATTTACCTATCGGGGTCATTTGCTTTTTAAGACAAGCTTGTCATAACTGTCTATATAATAAAAAAAGCACGAGCATTCGGGCGACTCTTCTTCATATTCTCATTATCACGAAGATAAAATTTGGTATCTTATAAGTCCAAAGCTATAAACAATTATCTATTTTATCACTGACTTCCCTTTTTTGGAACAAAATATGGCTTCTGCGGAGAGCAACGTGACAGGATTTATCACCTCGTATGAAACTGCATTCACAAGGAAAATCAAACTTGGATTTTTTATTGCTGTCACTCCATTTGCAATCATCTGCGACATTATTCTTATCTACTATCTTGTCTTTGATCGAACGATACGAAATATACTTCATTATCACAGCATTTTAGCCTTACTTCTCGTCTGTCTTGCACTAGAGACTATTGAAGTACCACGTATCATGAATTATTTGCGTATTGGTATTGTTACACTGCAAACAGATCTTCATTGTCTTCTCTGGCAATGGCTTGACTACATACTAGGCGGTCTAATCAATGTGTGCATGCTTTGGTTTTCATTAGAACGTCATCTGTTTATATTCTATTCATCTATATTCAATACTTTTAAACGTCGTGTAGCATTTCATTATTCCCCATTGATCATAATTTTTGTCTGCGTTAGTCTCTACTATAGTATCGCATTCTTCATTTATCCATGTAAACGACAATATGATTTCACACAACCACTGTGTGGTTTACCTTGTTACACTTCTCAAGCAAGCATCTCACTTTATGATCTGTTTGCTCATAATTGGATACCATTACTTTGCACACCTTTGCTTGATAGTACATTGATTGTGAGAGTAGCCTGTCGGCGAAATATTGGCCAGCAAACACGATGGAAAAGGCATCGAAAAATGATCATACAAGTCTTAGTCATTTCCAACCTTTTCGTCATTATTCAGACTCCTTATGTTCTTATTGCATTTATTCAAATACTCGGAAACGTACCGGACTTTGCTCTCTATGTTCAAGTCGTCTATTTCTATTATTGTCTTTGGCTATTCGCACTTGTCCTACCATTTGCTTGTCTAAGTTGCTTACCAGAAGTGAAAAACAAAATACGAACAAATTTCATGCGATGTATTGAACGAAACAATGAAATCGTACCTTTACCTTTCTCTCAAACTCGTGGTAGAACTTATTGAGAGACACCAGTATTTGTCTTTCGCAAGTAAAAGAACAATGGGAGCGTGTACAATCCGAAATAGGTTTGAGTCAAAATGAGAAAACAAAATTTTATTTGAAATCCTTTTTCGTCTTGTCACAAACATCGGTAAATAATAATTGTCGCCGCTGTTAAAAACATAAAAACAATAAAAAATGAAACTGTACATTAAGAATGCTCTATGGCGTCGTTTCAATCGAAAACGAAAGTTCTATTTCATCACTGTATATAAATATTGTTATTGTTGCTGCTGTTTAAGATTAATAACAGGTTGACTATTCTTGCGATATTTATGTAAAGGTGGGGTTGGAGGTATCAAGTCACTCCCACGTCTCAACGATGAATTCAGACTTGGTCGTAACTTTTCAGTTGACGCACGTTTCGCTTCCAATTTCTTCATTCGCAATTCGTAAGACTTGTTTTCTTTATATTCAAGTGTACTCAAACGTGGCGTAGAGCTCTTCGCACTTCGTAGCGATGATACACTGGAATTGTCATCGCCAATGGAATGCAAACGTTCGCGACGGAAATCTTGTTCATCAAATCCAGAATCACGGTCAAGTTTGGAATTATCGAGTAGATCTGATGATTGGGACCGTTGCGCGATTACCATTGGTTTCCGCCGTGGTTTAGTAACTTGCTCCTCTTTTTTCACAGCATCAGCGATATTAGACATAGTATTTGAGCGAGAAGAATATCGGTTATAAGCTGATCGCGGACGGTCCGATATTTGTTTCTGCGCCGAAGAAACTGTTGATGAAGTAGCAGTCGACTTTCGTGTAGTTGATATTATCCGTGCTGGTTTTGGTACTGGTTTCTTTTCTTCGAGAATACCTTCGCTACTCTCCAAACTGTCATTATCCATATTGATTTCGTCCTTTTCATCCGTCGACTTCTTCTTCTTTACGGACATAATGTCATCGATATCTTGTGTATCGAAGTCGCCTGTTGATGTCAGAGTTGTAGAATAAACATCACCATCGATGTTACCGATGATAGATTCTGTAAATCGAGATGTTTGTTCGTTGAAATGATTGAGTGGTTGTGTATGAGATTTCGCGACAGGTGAATAATGTCGAGGAGGTTGTCTTTCAGCTGAAGTTATATGTAAAGATTTGATGGAATGGTCGAAAGAGTCATCTTTCGAATCCAATGACGACGAAGAAGATGGTTTACTAGGCGTTGTTTCAGTATACGATGAGTAATCTTGATCTGTACTTGGCGATGATTGTTTACTATACATAGACGAAGGGGTTCGACGATCTGTGTTGCGAGTATTCCGTATTTTTGGAGTGGGCGACGATCGATACTGATGCGTATGATGATGAGGGCACGCTGAAGATTGATTGAGAATATCTTCTTCGCTTCGATAGGTGATTTGCCCGATACGATGACGTCCGTCAGCTCCCCGAGTGATGACAAGTTGAGCATCAGCTAGATTTGTGTCGTGTTGAGACGGTTTCGGCAGTGGAAATTCTTCCGTTTTGATTGTCACGGATTTACCGAAAGGATTCGTTTTTTGTGTGCTAGGCGCAATGTTTGTGTTTGGCACAGCCAGAATTGGAATATCGGAATGGTTATGGGAATGGTGATGTTCAGAACGACGGTGAGCTTTGGAAAGGAAGGAAAATATTAGATGAGCGAGAAGTGATACATTTCAGCACACTTACCACCTGATCGCCGGCACGGATCGTGTTTATTCAAGTAATTTTCCAGCGTATCCCAACCACCGCCAACACGAACCATAACATGATTTCTCAGAATCTTAAAATTAATGGAAAAGAAATAAGTTTTAGATCGAAAATCGAGCCTTTTGAATTGAGAGAACATACTCGAATGAATATAATTGTACCATTTTCACCGATGCGATATTTGCCTTCACCAATACGAATAACTGGAAAGCGTTGTGAACAACAACATGAATTAGCAATCTGTACAACCTACAATAACATAATCTTCTCATGCAACCTGATCGTTTCTCCGCATTTGTTTCTCTTACTGTTTTATGTAAATGTGAAGAACATGCCGGTGGCTCGACAGGATGCTTTCGTTCACTTGTCAATGTCTGGTCCACAGGTAGATCATCGTCTGCTATCACCATCGTCGTGATTATTTCATTAGATGTGACATTGTCAAATGTTTCTTCATTAGTTTGCTTGTGTTTACTATTCGTCTTATCAGCATTATCGTTCGAAACTAAAGGCACATGAGTTAATCGATCTCTTAACCAATTAGCACTGGTTGAATTCGATAAAGAGAATGTATTCGAAGAGCCGTCGTCTTCATTGCCGTCGACATCGTCATGATCGGAAATCACTTCATGATTCGTTGTATCAGTTTGAGTCTGATGAAGTTCATCTGTTTGTTTATGATTTTCTTCGCGCTGTGAGCGTAGCAATGCTATTGCAGAGATGTACTCCGTTTGTTCTTTATCACGTGCTATTTCTTGTTCAATTTCATCTTCTAGTTTGATGATAGCCGGGACGCTAACACCAAATTTGGCACCGAAACGAGCAATTTCAAGTAAACACAGGAGGAAGTTCTTTTCGTTTTTACGCAAGATCAAATCATCCGATTCGAACATAAGCACTTCACGAACGCCGGCGACACGTCGTGCCCATTTGATAAATTGCGAGACATTATCACGAGCAGTGAACGTTTGAGGACGAGCATCCACACGATATTTACAATTCATTAAGGTCGATGTCGATGGCGACATTTTACGTGCTGCTTCGTTGACATTATTTGCATGATGACAAAGAAGAGCACCGTTTTCTAAAAATGACACTAAGTATATTCGAAACAGAAGTGATCATAACTACCTAGACATTCAAGAAAGTTATCCGCAGTCATTAGCGCCCAGTTTGGATACATATTCGACAGCCAATCAGCGAGATCTTCTTTCATTGCATATAGATATTCATCAGTAGTTGAATACGGTTGAACAGATTTCATTTCGAGGAAACGTGATTGAGGATCAATCACTAATTGTTCGACAGCCGAAGCCATCGTTGATTTATCTATCACTAAAAATCAAAATGTTCAAATAATATTTTGACAAACAGTCATCTACTCACACTGTCTCATGTCCTTCTCACTTTTTCTGTCATCGTGATCTAGTTGGAACGAAATACGTTCACTCTTTCCTTTTTCTTTCTCTCGTTCTTTTGTACTGATGAGTGTGTATATGAGCGACTGACTTTTTTTTTAAATAGCACCCTTTCGGTCATTGTGTTTCGTCCTCGTCTTGCCCTCTCTCTCGTTCAGTTAAATTTTATTTCACTCTTTCTCTCTCTCACTGTTTCTATCTTCGTTCAAACTAGGTTGGCCTCACATTGAAATTAACGTAGATTAGAGTATCTCTTTTCTTTTCATCTAACGGACAGAAGGTGTAATGTAAATCTCGGGATCAATTCGAAATCTAACATGTGAAAAGAAAGCTTTTCGTACTACATTACATCTATTGTATCAAACAATCAAATAAATAAACTATTCACTGATCCACACGAAGAAATTCAATGTCCTCCATGCTTGCACTCGAAATTCTCGTCAAGCATAACTCAGCACTTATGCTAAATGTAATTGCTCATTTAATATGTGAAGTTTATGTTCACATTCACACAAATCATCGTAAAAAGTGTAACAAACACTTCAATATTCAATCGGGAGATTCTTCTCGACTCCCCCTCCCCCCTCCCCAAACAAAATGAATACACCGACATCATACAACATACGAAGACACAGGTCAGAGACGAAGAGAAATGCCAATGAAAATTGGACACACGTGTGCTCAAAAGAAATGTCTGTCTGCAAAAAACAACAACACATACGAAGTTATTTACTTAAAAGATACGTCGGACAGATTTCTCTAATAAACTTTCTTTCTTTCTTTCTTTCTTATCATTTATCAACGATACGGCAAAAATCAAGTGGTCTGGATGTTTAATCTCTTGAGATTTCGTCAAAGGAAATATGTTAAATACAACTCTCATCGATGTCTTTATTACCTGACTTGTCAATAGACAAACGATCAAAGGATATTTATGTGCATCCGTCCCGTTGTCCGCTCGTTGAATTCTCGGTTCGCTAAATGTCAATCGATCGCCTGCTCGTACATATTCAACGAACTATCGCACATATTTTCCGCGTTACATGTCAAGGGCCTTTACCAAAAAAATCGAACACTACCGTAAACAGATTCGTTTTCACCCAAAATAAATGATACAATCGTAATTCGCATAGAAATATATAGATGATTAACTGATAAACTCAAATCGACGAAGGAAAAACAACACTGATTCAGTAGTTTATGTGTAGTTGTGTTTTTTGAAAAAAAATATTTTCTTTCCTTCTATGACGTCTTCTTCCATGACTCATCTCCTCTATTTTTAACGATATGATTCTTACCTGTGATTTTTTTCTCTGTCGATGAAAGTATGCAGTGGAGGTTGATATGAATTATTCTATTTACGATCGACGGAAAGAAAAGCGCACATAGCTAACAGTCCGGCTCATATGTATTTATTCACCTTCGCTTAAGACAAGCGATTTGACAAAAACACCTACTAAAATGACAGCGACAAAATGCGTATGTGTGCAATATTTGCATGACGGTAAGAACGGGGAGAGAGAGAGAGAAATCGAGAAGAATGGGATAAAGAGAAAGAAAAGTAAAACATGAGTAAAAAGATTGAAAAAAAATCGAATAAAATGAGAAGTGTCCAATGATGTAACACACCTGTTTGATTGGTACTGATGGAATGTCTGCTGAGTGGGAGGAACGGGAAAATCAAGGTCAACACAATCGATAAGAATTCATTCGATTCACTTCATACGACGCAGTCAAAGGTCAACATGTCTGGACAAAAGTAAAAGAAAATAATGACCGGTATGATAAAAAAAATATCACCACACCTCGATGTTGATCGAATCTGTTTTCTTTCTTCCTTCCTTGTGAAAGTTGATTTTAATCACGAGCAGAGCTTATTCTCGAGTGAGACGTTTGCCTTGAACACGAAGGTTTTTTTAATGATTTTAAATATTCAATTGACATTATAGAACCCATTCTATTGATTTTCTCCTATGACAATCGAGATAATGCAAATGAATTCTCTTCTTTCTTTGGCGTACTTATATCCCACGATCAAACATTGAATGTTACGAATAAAAAAATTGCTTTACAATTCTTTTTCAACATATCTGACCTCGTTCGAAACGAAAATTATATAATCAACTAGATCAACTCAAGTGTATTTGAACTTGAATATCGTTTCTTCTATCTATCTATTTATTCATTCGGCTGACTTGTTTCAATCCTATAAGAGATTGTTATGACATACTACTGGTTCCTACTTTGCTTCTCTTTTCATACTCTATTACCAAACAGGACAACAGTACCGTTCTGTTCATTTTCAAATGGATCAAGATATATTGCAATAAAGGTTTGAATGTAACATTTATTTGTTTAGTTGTGACGTAAGAGAGTGCTAATACAGCAATTATGTTCTTCTTTGACCAGTTTGGACAATATCGGATTGAATTTTATGAGCTTTTTATCATTGATAAGACTTCCGTAAGAGGTCTGTGTGCAACGTTTAAAAGATCAGATTAAATTAAATTGGATTTAGTCCTACGTGAGTTGAATATCATTTGTAGCCTTCGAATCGATAAATTGAAGCAACAAAAATGAAGATAGACGAGACATATATCAATGAATTGGGTAGTAATTTAATTAAAACATGAAAGAGATTAGAACGTCTATCTCAATTACATTTGCTCATTGAATGTGATCGAGATTGGCAACTTAGGTTTCGACTCCATCTATATTTACACGAATGTTTCATTAGCAAAAGAAAAACAAAGTTTATATTATTCATAAACACACAAAAATAATCTCTGGTAATGATTGATACAACGACAAAGATAGAAAGGAGAAAAACGTACAGAACATTGAAGTTGACAACTGAAAGGACAAGTACATTTTTCATAAAAATGACCATAGAAAACAGACCAACACAAAATATATCTAAACAGTTGCTTCTTCACTTATATGAATCCCAGCTGTTTGCGGCGTAGAAATATGTCGTTGGCTAGACGATATGCGTTGCCAAATATGTGACTAAAATACACAAGTACACGATGATTTTCACGCGTAAGTCATAAATACATACGGGATAGGATTTTTCACGCAATTGTTGTCGGTAAGCTAAATAAAGCGCAAATATAAGCTAAATCTCAACAATAATGACGGAGAAACTTACCATCTTGATCATCGCTATCGTACGGCACACGGGTTGTTTCGACGGAAGACATGCTATCCTTTAGAAATTGAACAATTTTCTTTGCGAGAAATATGGTAAAGAAGAAAAGTTTCTTACTAATCCTTCGTCCGATTCGTCACCATAGTAAACCTGAGTGGGAAGTGAAGAATTATGTTGAACTGTTGAGCTACTCATATCAGCACTATCATTCAAACTATCGTCACTTGGGCCATTGGTATGTCTACAAAAACATAATAACATTCAACATGTGTCATTAGACTGAAGTCAAAACTTACCGACGCATTGAACTATTTTCACGTGTTGATTCTTGTCTAGAAGATCAACCATCGATACTTTTGTTGTTTTCGTAGAGCTTTCGTTCAACTTACTCAGAGGATGAATTGGCGAGTGATAGACGTGGATGGGCATCCACACTGTCCATGGATTTCCCTAATCGAATTAATTTCTTGCTAGCTTTCGTTTTCTTCTCACTAGACTTCAATGATTGACGAGGACTATCGGATATGCTACTACTACGACTAAAAATTTTCTTCATGGAGAATAAATAGCGTTTGCGTGCAGAATTCGATAATAGAGACAGACGATGATGACCAACACGTTTCTGTTCGTCGCAGAGAACTTCATAGGACTTTTCGGACAGATTTTCACACAAAGTTTTTAAGTAAGAACAGCGTGTGCGTTGTTGTAATAATGCGAATGTTCGACAACGATAAGCAGCATATTCCGCGTTGATCAATTTCGAAAGAATGAATGGCTTCAAGTGTTCGGCGGTACGCACATAGACAACGTTTGGATGGAGAATTGGAGAAAATTCTTCAATATTATCACGAGCGATCAGCATTATCTAAATCGTTTCAATATCAAATATTATTCAACGTATGTTCATACGAGTCGTCCCTCGACAAGTCCTTCCGCTTATACTCGATATCCTGGTTGAAGTGTTTTGTCCTTGTCTCATCCGTACGCACTTAGTCAAGAGAAAACAAACGAACCAAGGTTGATCAAGTCTACGGTCATTGTATATCCTTAACTAAAAAGCGCAAAGGCCAACAATAATATAAACAATGTAGCGATCCTGTCGAAATAAGTTATTCAATTTAATACTATATTACAAAGAAAACGATCAATTTCAGTCAAAGTCGTTCTATTTATCATATCAATACAACTGTCGATCTAATGGATTCAATATTACTCAAGGTTCGTTTCATGTCAACATTGATTTTACGCGTCTGAGACAAACAATCGTGTATCTGTCAACTTACTTTGTAACATGTTCGAGAAAGAATTTGAACAGGTTGAATAACAAGAAATATATGGAGAAAGTTCGATTTGATCATGCTGGGATGAAATGGAGTGTTTTCTTCTTGAAAAACAATCGCAACAATGTCGTTTCCAATATGACGTTTACGTTGAATCTGTGAAACATCGTTGGGTGTGAAGGGCAATAAGGTACTAACATGAAACATGATTTCTTTGTCATCGTAACATTCGTAATAGGAGATTGGAGAATCTGTATCTTCGCTTGTATCCAAACCACCGCGATATCTAAGAGAAAAAGGTCAAGTTTGAGGAGAAAAACGAAGAATTGAATACCCTTTAAAGTTTTTCAATGATACTCTTGTTGCAATGATATCAAGGAATTCATCGAATGTTCGGCTGTGTCTTTCGTTATTGAAAAACTCTTCCTCTGTCGTCTAAATTAAATCGGAGGCTCGTGATTATAAGTCGATTGATCACAAGGAATACTTTACTTGTCCTCTTCGTTGGTAAATGATTCCAAATTTGAACTTTTGTGTTTCTAATTTCTCATCATATTCTTTAACGTACTGTTGCGCTTTCAAGCTCGTACAATTTTCGAAGTGATCGATGTGTAAGTCAGGATAGAGATGTTGAGCGAGAGTAATGTAATTCGTTACAACGTTTTCGTTTTCTACAAGCGTCATCGATTTCGAGCCTTCTTTTGTACGAACGATGACGGTTAATTCATCATTTTGAGGTTTAATCGACATGACCACAGGATCGAAATCTTCGTCAATTGCGAAAATATCATAATGATACTAAAATACAACGATAAATCAACATGAGGAAAGGATCGATAACGAGATTTACTTGGTCGTAGAAATAATTCATATAGAGCGACGCTATATTTTCCGACGTAATTCGACAATCACTTGAAAGTATTTTCGTCTTAAAAATCCACTGTGATGGTTCACCGTAGCCGCCTTCGACACGGTAGCGATCTTGTTCGTGTAGGGCATCATCAGATGGTATACGATAGATCATGGGAAACACACCACCGGGTGATGAAGTTAACATCTAATTGAAACGTTGATCGCATAAAAGTGAGAAGCGCAAAGAAAACAAATTGAAATTATACTTCGGTGATATAATATTGAATAGCCTGTTGAACTTGATCAGTATTACGCGATTGTACTTCACTACTTTCATAATCGAGTGTTGAATAATTTGATCGTGTCGAAATTCTTCCAGTAAACGAATCCTTGAAAAGAAAACATCTTCGATTATTTAGGTTTGGATATCAAGTCCTTCTCTTCCTCGTTAATTATTTATCTCAGACAAAAGAGCATAACTATATGTCAGTGTCTACCTAACGGAATGATATGTCATTTTCTCTTCGATTACTTCAAATTCACAGGTTGATTCGAAAAAGCAAGAAGCGTGTTGTCCTTACCTCTCGATTTGGTAAGGAAGCTTGGCTGTTATGCAAAACTGAATGTTTCAATGATGCTCGGCTAGGTCTTTCTAACTGAACACTTTGCCGATTGGCTTGAGGGTTCATTGAATGCCGCATGCGAACTGGAATATGATTCAAAACAGGTAAACTCGTCTGACTTCGACGTAGTTCCATTGGAAAATCGAGAGAGTAGCTTCGAGAAAGTTGTTGTTGACCGTCTACGTCTCTAATACCACCGACAGACCTTAAATATTCAGTAATTCTTGTAATTTATATGTATATAACCGATGTCGAATGAGGTATAATTTATGAATACAAATAAGGAAGGCAAAGAAGAGAGTAGAAGAGCGTGGGAATGAAAGAGAAGGAAAGTAAAAGGAAAAAAATCTCGACTGGTGGTAAAGAAAAAAACATACTTTGGAAGGTTGAGTGACATATGCGAACTAAAATACGAGGAAAAAATCAATAATATTGAAACGAAACAGAACTGAATTAACATACATTGTTGCAATATTGTACGATTGCTGTTGAGGATTAGAATAATATTGTCCATCACGTTGGTGGCATGAGAAAAGAGTGTCAGCACAAATATGTTCTCCGCGATAGTCACGACTGAGAAGAAAAAAAAAGAAAGAAGAGAGCGAGAGAGAAAAATGAGAACTTTCATCGATCCTCTTATTCAATAAGAAACTGTTTCCTTCCTCTCGTACCGATTTAAATAATCATTATTATATAATTGTCCACTTGTCGACAGATGAGCATTGTTTAACGATTCAGATCTTTCAAGGACGGGACTATCATGTTGAATAATCGTCGTTTCGTTGTCAGTCAAATTGTGTTGATATAAATCCGAATTGAATCGTTTGATTCTGATTGATTTACTTATGTTGTTATTTGTTATTGTTGGTAGGTCGCCCTCGTCTCCATTCCACCCGTTGAGAATATCATAGATTTTCGCACACCAAGCCATTTCGAACGGAGAAAAACGAAAAGAAAGATGAAGGTATTCACATCTAGAAAATAAAAATTCGAGACATCTTTTGAAACAGCAGGAGCAGCTCGTACAACATTCGAGCAAGGTCATGCAACTCTACTATTATTACCATATACACCATCGCTCTTTTCTTCTCTTCTTCATTTCCCGTTTTGAAATATAAGAAAAAAAAAAGAAAAAGAAAACGATGATGGTGTACTAGAACACTCTCCTGTATCTCATAAAAAAAGTAATTGTTCGTATACGTAAGTACTCTACTTGAATGATCAATTCATGTCAACAAATAAACGATGAATCTCTCTGCTCTCTACAAAACATGACAACAATCTCATACATCTTTTTTTTGTACGATGATATTTACCTGATTAAATATATCCATGCTCAATACAAACATATCTCTCGCGTAAAAAGATCAAGTTAACAATAGAACACAAAGAAAATGAAGAATAGGTTCAACACATTTGGTTAGATGAGACTGTGTAAATGAATAAAACAGCAGGTAAACGAAACCTTCAAGAAAACGTATGTATACGTCGATATGTTACTAAATAAGAGAAAGAAAATGATGACAACCTTTGCGTTAAACTGATCATATGATGCCTATAAAATATGTTGTACATTCGCTACTAGAACTACTATTCTCAACTAAATATTTATGACCTTTTTACCCTTTAGAAATAGCTTTTTTGCCGCGCTTCTCTTTTGATTCACATTAAATCCGATTTTCTCGATATTGAACATACAGAATGATCAATATTATACTTACATAAGATGGCAATTGAGCTTTCATATAAGTTTCTACTTACAAGATGCCATCACTGTCGAAATGAACTGCTCCTTACGCCTCTAACAACATGTGACACCTGTATTGATGATTTATTACACATCAAATCAATTTGAAACTTACTAATCTATGTTTCGAATGCACCGTTCCCATCGTCTCGAGTGATGGATGAGAAGACTGTCCAATAGAAATGACATAATTATATAATCATCGTTCATTGATAGAAATGCAAGACAAATAACGCAGAAAGAATATATGTATAACTGACCTGTGCACGTCGTACAATTGATTTCTGTGACGGGAAAAAAAACGGAAACAAGTTGTCGCAAACGAACAAGAAGAAGAAGAAGAAGAAAAAGGAGAAAGAAAAGAGTTAGGTCAGTCAACATAGAAGAATAAAAAGAATAATACGATGAAGATTTCTTTCTTTTTTTTGCATTTTCCTGTTTCACCAAATCTGTAGATCAAGGTTGATAAACTTTTTTTTTTGTATTCTGTTGTGGTTTTTTAATATTCGATATCACTGATCTGTCGAGTTTTGTCGAGTAAATGTTATTTTTGTAATACGAATACACGCCATTTCATTTTCAAGAACTTTTTTCGGTATTTTTGTGTATACTCACTCTTATACTATTTACATCATATATACAAAGGAAAGCAACGAATGACATTGATTGGATTTCAAGTTGACGAACACAAAAAAGCGCACGTATATTCAAACAGATCGCTTTTTTTTCTTCTCTCCGATCTGTTGACCAGGAATTAATGCGATTGAAATAAATCAAATGCGACGTTTCTGTTCGCTAGACTATGATTATGTAAAGAGATTTCCGAGAAGTAGAAATGACTGAGTGGCTATTGATCGATTCTCACCTTTATTCTATCAAACGATGTAGACATAGACGAGCGATTGAATATGATAATTGGCCTGTTGGATAGGTGATGATGAATGAAAACAAAGCTATTGCATCGCTCGACGAGACGGATTTTTTCGATGATGATGATGATGCTCTTGTGAGACGGACAGTAAGGCGAGTAAAAACAACACGTCTTTGTGAATGAAAATGTATGAGTAAACAGGAGCGGCGAAGAAAAGAGCAAAATAGCGTGTAGCATGAGTAAGAAATGCAACTGTTTTTCTTTTCAAACTTCAAGTAACTGGAGTGAACAACATGCTATGTAAATATACTCGACAAATGAAATGAGTGTTTCTTTTCTTCCTTTTCTCTCTCTTTGCTACAAAATGATTTTTAATGAGGAATATCAAGTTTGTATTTTGCTTCTTTAAACATTGACGAATGCAATACAACGATGATGACAATGACGAAAATAACAACATCAACAACAACGAACGGCGAAAAAGAAACTGCACAACTAACTTTCAACCATAAGAATGTTTTCTTATCAGAACTCGAGATGAATGTTCGAAGGAAAAAAACAAAACAAAACAAAAAATAGAATGAATAAAATAGAAGATTATGCATAAGAATAAAATGACAATGATAAAAACCGAAATGAATTTCATAAAGGAGACGATCATTTTCTTTTCGTTTGTTCTTCAGGCTCGTTGAATTTCGAATAACTTGACGTCTGTATCATACCATATAGGTGGATCAACATTCCTAAAACGAAGATTGTGATGAGAGTAATCATTGTACACTTGTTATTTACCTGAGATAAATAACACCCCACATATATGTACGAAACCACATAACTGTGCCCGAATTCGGTTGATACTTGCGAATTAGAATTGGATGTGGAACGGGCAGGAGACCAACTAATGTTCCATGTTGAAGAAATTTGATGATTTCACTTTCGTCAGTTAGACCACGATCCATGCAGATTTTTTCAACTTGTGGTACGAGAACTTGAAGAAGACGCATGATGGTTTGTAGAGGTAATTTGGCTTTCCATGATTGTACCCATTGAGATGTCGGTGACCAGATACCGCTGTCCGAGGAGTGATTCGCGCTAGAAATTGTGCCACCGTGCTGAGATGTCGGCGAAGAAGGCTAAATCAACAACAGAAGATGCAAAGATTGAAAAAAGAACGCAATTTACTTGAGTGGTGTTTGGTGAGGTTTCATTGTCACCATCCAACCGTACACGTTGACGGTCGTCTAAATTGGGTGAAGCAGCCAAAGTTCGTTCAGTCATCTTGTGAATTGCTATACAAAAGTCACATGAATTGATTTCAACAAACAAAAATAGAAGTATTCATGTCATTAATTATTTTTCTCATTCAATCCAAAGCGCCGGTTTAGATGATTGAATTCTTTTCCGATAGCGGTTATTGTCCACACCAGTTCTGTTGAAGCTTACTTTTCCGATTTCTTCTTCGATACTCTACTTTACTCAATAGTAGAATCTGCTTTTCATTTGTCGCTTGACTTCCGACGAGGGTATCTATTTCGAATATCAGTCATCCAGAATACAATATTCCTTTTACGAACAATTATTTCAGATATTTCCTTTCGTTGCAATTTTTTGACGAGAAAAAATATCGCCTTTCTCCATCGTCATCTCCTAACTACTTCCGTGCAAATGTTCATCCTTACATGGTGTTTCAGCCAATGTCGTTGTCATTGCGTTATTCATCCCAGCAGATGTCAAGTGTTCTTTGGATAGAGTTAATCCTTCTTGCGTATTTGATTTGGCATTGTTTTGAAAAAGATTTTGTTTATTGTCAGATTTATCAGGACTTGATTTTGTTAATGAAGTTACTGTTGATGACTTGGTACTTAGTTTTGATATTGTTTGTGTATCAGTCGCTAGATTGCTCAATGCGAAAAAGACTTGACGTTTACGAATAATTGAGTAAACTAAACTTGCGTTGCCTAGAATTATTCGCTGATTTCATCTATTCTTCTCTGATTCGAACAGACCATCTTACCATCAAATTGATATTGAATAAGATTATTGAATGCTTCGAGAAGAAAGAATACTAAATGATGATTTTCAGGTGCTGCGAAAAGAAACCACGGAGAACTAAATGCCTAAAATGCAATATGATATTTACAAGTCGCATGATTAACGAACAGTGATTCTTACTTCGAGTAAATGAATTAATTTGTTGCTCGATACCATGGATAGAGTTTTCAAATACGGCGAAATATTGACTATAATGGTTAATAAACAATCGTACAACGGTTGTAAACGTTGATGTGCAGAGACGATAATTTTATGGAAAACCTGAACAGATAATTTCGGTTGTTTTCGTTATAGAAAATATGGCTCGCTGGCGACTACGTACGATAATCAGAAGATCTGCATGAGTTCCAGTAAAGACTGGAATGTCCATAGGTACTCGTGTAACGTAGGGTTTATTCAATCGAACGCCAAAGTTTCGCTCACCGCTGAGTAACAACAAAATGAAAACACCGATGTGCATCAGACCGGTTTTGGCTAAATATGTCAACAAATTCTTGATGGGAAAAGGCAAATTACACATGAAAATGGTATTTACAAGTGTCCGAGCGTGCGTCGTTGAGAAAATAAAGAATGGGGACGAGAACATCCAACACTTCACTTGATTTTAATACATAATATAAGAATTTCTATCACATAGAAAAAAAATGAAGGATGAAAGAAGAAGATTTATGCAAATCAAACCTTATTTCGATCGCAGAATTTCCAAAATAATATTAATAATTCTTGATGGAATCCTATTTTCTTACACGAACCCGGTAGATACGTTTGAATCAATGGATTATTTAATAATCGACAAAACCCTTTCAATAATATACTAAAATCCTACACAATGACATTGAAAATTAGTCGTCTCAATCGGCAATGTTTAAGTCAAGGATCTTACGTCATCTCGATGGATACGTGATAGATAATTTACAAATAAATTAGGACAGTCGTCACCCGATGGCATTTGATTCATTGGCGATGATGGAACTTGATCAGATACCATCGACGAATTATGATCAAGTGTTATACATAACAACTGGGCAGCAACTTCGACTAGAGGTTCACGCGTATCAGTAAATAGAAGATAATTGTAAGGTAGATAGCCAACAGGATCATAGGAGAATACGATATTTATCAAGGAAGTGAATAAAGGTAATGTTTGACTAGAAAAGAAGAAGAAAGAAAAAGCAAAAGATTTCCTTTCTTTTTATGAAAAGTGTTATATGTAATGTTACCGATTATGACCGGATGTGAAATAAGTTAACCATTTATTGGAGTGCAACTGTAATTCAGCTAGGAGAATGAAGAGATTATTTTCTTCTTTGAACTTTGATTGAACAATAACGTACCTGATGGATTCATGTAGATCGTTTCGGAAAAGCAAACAAGTAACAACTTCAGAATTTCCGTTCGATTTCGATCATTGCTTGGTGTATGTACAGGTGATTGAGAAAAGCCAACACCAGCTTCCCAAATGTATTCACAACTATCGATTGTATGTATATCTTCTGGATTATCCTATGAATGAAGTAACGAGATGAACTGTTCTTTTGTTTGCATTCGTTTTCTCATACTGGGCCTTTTTTCTTCTTTGAAGAAACTGTAAAATCCGGACAAAACAAGAGATCCTTCAAAAACAAATGTAAACATGCGTCCATTCAATTATACTAAGATCTTACTGCTAAAGTTTGAAGAAGGCGTTCGGCTAACGGTGGTTTACTAACACATTCCTACAAGATAAGAACGTAAGATTGTTCCAAGTAGAGAATATCGGAATCCTTACTCCATTTGATGTAGTCTGCTGAGGACCGGTGGGAATATCAGACCAGAAAAAGCCTCGCCATTCCGGCTCTTCGAATATATATGGTAACAGACGAGTGAGCAACCGAACACAGTTTATCGCTATGAGAACGAGTAAAGAGAGACAAAAAAAAACTTGTCGAAAGAATGCTTTTCAAGGTTTTTTACCAGCTGTTTGATCTCGTTGTGTTTGACAGGAGTTCTCTGCTGCCATTTGTAAACGATCGACGAGTTTATTGCATAAGATTGCTAAATTCGATGGTAGTTCTTCTCGTAGTGCTCGAATTTCTGCCGCTGGTACCAACGCAAAAATATCCTGAACACTTGAAATTTTGTCCGACCAAAATTGGTCCCAAAATGATTCATCATTAGATTCAATTTGCTAGAATTCCAAAACCAAGATACAAAGTTCGTTTTCGTTCGCACTAATTAGTTCTTCTACCTGACTACGCGAAGTTAATTGAACGACAGCAACACGAAAATCAATTTTTGAATCTGTATTACCCATAGTGAAATAGTCGAGATCTTCTTCTGTATTCTGTAACGGGTGTGGAAGACGCGGTGAAAATAAAAAAGAGAAAAAAAAACAAGTTTGCCATTGGTGGGTTTTCTGAAGCAATCACAGAAATATGTCAAAGAACCTGTTAATTGTCCAGCGTAGGCGTTTGACAAAGTTGGCGAAATATATCAGTTCCCATTTCACACAGTAGATTCAAGAGTCGTACATATTCATTCGATGTCCATAAATAATATCGATTAGCGTTAATGGAAGATGAATATAAATCAATGGTTCTGAAGTGATTTAGTATAATCTAGGATGGTTTTACTGGAATACTGAAAGAAGAATGCGATCAACGAAAATCTTGATTCTTAGTTACAATGACATATGAAGTTGAGGATAAATCAATCTGATAGTAATGGACTTAAAGGGTCACTTGATCAATGGGCTTTTCCGGTTTCACATAGTCATTGATACTATATGTAGGATCAATCGTCGTCTATGATTCAACGGATTTGTCATACATTTAACACGTTTTCTCATTGCTATCTTGAAATAATCGATGATATAGCGAAATCTTGAATTCTTTACCCTGCATATTTGCAAAAGAATTTTGCAATCAAGTTGCGCCATCTTTCATTGACAAGCATACATATTCATTCTTTGTCGACTACCAATGAAGAATTTCTTTATAACTCAGAGTGTGAAGTGTCCGTTCTGTTCGTTCGTTCGTCCTTGTACATTTCAATCGGAAAGATCATGAATGTAATTTCAATCTCTGTTTTACTGATCTTTACTCTTCTCTCAGGTAGATTCCAAGCGTAATTTTTTAAACTTTAATTAGAACTATCACGTTTAGTTACTAATGCACTTGAATGCTACGTATGTGAACAACAGGAAGGAAATGATGATAAATGTATCAAGACTGTTCGTATGTGCCAACGATATGAAGATACATGCGCCACATTAATTCTCTACACGACACCTCACGAATGGTAAGGAATCAATTTTTTTATCAATGATGATTTTCCTCTATGGATTATCTAGGACACCACGAGGGGAACGTCGCCATTATATCTCAAAAGGTTGTGATACAAGAGATGCATGTACACGCCGTAAGTTGTTGTCATTAAAACTTTCCAGTCTATGAAAACAAATTTTGAATATTTAGTTCTCTATGGTTTGGCTACTGTTTGTACTCGTAACTGGTATGAAGATTGGGCATGTGTAGAATGTTGTCAAGGCGATCGATGCAATCGATACGTTGTTGTAAGTTTGATTTCTGACTACTATTGTGTTTGTTAATCTCATATTTTGCTCTAGTTGGGTTCAAATAATACGCGTGCATCAATAATGTTACTTATCGTTGCAATCCTTACTGCATTATTTATTCGCTATTGAAGATTCTCATCCCACCATGTTTATAATAGCCAATTGGTACCCATTCCAATATACATGTATTCGCTGTGTTTCTTTTTCTCAAATTTATCATTCCAATAATCGTTTCCTGTTTGATACTCTTTTTTTGTATAGTTTTACAACATTTGTACTCTTCAATAAAGAGATTTTTACTTAGATAGAGGAATAAATATCATGTTCGATTCACGTTGAAAAGTCCAATCCTGTTTGCCAAGGCAATATAGTTTCTATGAGCGCACAGACCATGTCAGATCAGATTTTATACACAATGCACTATATCATTTCGAACTATAGATAATAGCCATTGACGTTCAATCCTTTGCTTCTCTCTTTGTTCGAATTTGACATATAACGCCCTCTATCATCAAGAGTGATACAATCGACATTTTAACGTTTTTACGTAAAGAAAACTCATGAAATTTATCATTAATTTCTACTTTATAAGTAAAATAATACTTACAAATGAAGGTCACCTACTGGTCTTCCATTGGTTCATAACTGTTATTATTATTGTTTGTTCGCTCCGTTCTTTTCCTTTGCATTGCTCAACATGACAGTTACCACTAATGCTTCTTCTCTTTCTTTGATTAATCTTTCTTTCTAGACAATAAATCGTTCATTAAATTTCTCTTCTTTTATCCTAGACAATGAGTTCTTCTTCGACACCTCCTTCGAATAATCGGTCACGCGTTAAACTATACACACTCAATGAAGAACGACAGTGGGACGATCGTGGTACTGGCTTTGTGACATGTATATCTCCCACATCATCGAATACAAATCATTCAATTATTGTTAAATCCGAAGTCGACGGGTCAACTTTGCTCGAATCAAAAATTCAATTGCATACCAAATATCAAAAACAACAAGTTTGTTTATTTAGAAACTCACAAGATAACATGAAAATCGATTGTTCTTATAGGAAACGCTAATCGTCTGGTCAGAAGGTGAAAAATATGATCTAGCACTAAGTTTCCAAGAGAAAGCAGGTTGCGATGATATATGGGAAAGCATTTGTGATGTAAATATGCATCTTCTACCAAAATTTGATTACTTACAATCGATTCATTGTAGGTACAGGCCAAAGATTCATCGTCGTTTTTAGCGACAGGAAATAATTTAACAACCGATTCGGCAATTTACGAGTCTGATGATGAGTGCATTGAACCGAATGAAAACTATCTTTCCTCAACGATTAATTTACCACCAGTTGATCTCGGACATTTACGTGATATATGCGAGTTATTCAGTCCGGAAAAAGTTCGCGATGCTACTCGTCGAGATTTCCTTGCGCGTGCGATTGAATCGGACAATTATGTTCGAAAGTTAATCGATTTATTTCGTATCTGCGAAGATCTAGACAACCTCGAGTCTCTACATCAACTCTACGAAATCATCCGTTCGATATTCTATTTAAATAAGTCCACACTATTCGAGATTTTGTTCGGCGACGAATTCATTATGGATGTGATTGGTTGCTTAGAATACGAACCGCAATTGAATCTAAAAACCAAACGGAATCATCGAGAGTTCCTAAACAAGAAAGCAACATTCAAAGAAGTCATCCCGATTGGAAATCAAGAGTTACTAGTTAAAATTCATCAGACATATCGCATTCAATATATTCAGGACGCAATTTTACCAGCGCCAAGTCTATTCGAAGAGAATCTCCTTTCGACAATGAATAGCTTTTTATTTTTTAACAAAGTCGAAATTGTTACGTTACTTTATGTAAGTTGTGAATGTCTGTCGTTCTATTCAATCATCGTTCTTTCGTGTTTAGGAAGATCCAAAGTTTCTTACTCAATTGTTTTCAACGTTGAAAGATGATAACCTACCGGATGACAAACGCAAAGACCTGATGCTGTTCCTAAAAGAATTTTGCATCTTTTCGCAAACATTACAACAGCAAAACCGAGATAATTTCTTTCAAGTATGTAGAGTATTACTGAGTATTGTAATAAATGATCCGTAACAAGGTCATGAGGATCTTACTTTTTCGAAAAAATCAAACTAGTTTTCGTTGATATCCGTGAAGATTAGCTATTGGAATAGTTCAAGGAGATCAAATCACAAGTTCCTTTCGCCAATGAGACTATATCTATGATCGTTAGCTGATCAAACTTATACAATTCATTATTTGTCTTCTAGGCGCTTGCAACTCATGGTATTCTGAATGTAATTCAAGTAATGCTTGTAAGTACAAATGACCTGAGCAAGAATAAGGTCGAGCTCTTTTCTTCTATGTGAATCATTGTTTGTAGAGTCTTGACGATGTGACCACTAAACAAGCTGCACTCGATGTCTTTGCTTCGATTGTTGAATGTAACCCATCGACCGTTCGTGAATATATGCTACAAGAAGCTCAATCAATCCAAGATGACGATGAATTACTTTTGAATCTAGTTATCTCAGAGATTCAAAGTGACCCGGATCCAGGTAAGTTCGTTTGCTAGATATCCATTTGAATCTCATCGTTTTCATCTCAGAACTAAGTGGTGCATTGAATCTAATGAACTATTTGAAATTACTAATCGACCCGGAAAATATGATGGCTGTGTCAATCAGTGAAAAAACAGAGTTTTTAACGTTCTTTTATATTCGTTCAATGTCTGTTTTACTCGCACCATTAATGGCCAATACGTCCGACTTGAAACTAGTTCGCGATGATTTTCATCTTGCTCAATTGCAAAATCTAATTCTCGATTTCGTCACATTTTGCATTGAACATCACACATATCACATGAGAAATTTTCTTAATAAAAAAGATTTACTAAGACGCGTGCTCGTCTTACTCAAATCCAAACATCAATTTCTTCAACTAAGTAACGCCCATTGTTAATTGCATTTTCATACATATCATCGACGTTTTTTCTCGTTTAGGTGCACTTCGTTTCTTGCGAAAAATCATTGGTTTAAAAGATGAACAGTATAGTTTGACTATTGCTCGAAATAATCTCTTTGCACCTATTGTTGATGCATTTAAAGCAAATAAACGGCGGTATAACTTATTGAACTCTGCATTAATTGAATTGTTTGAATTTATTCGACACGTAAGCCCATTCGATTGCTAAAGCCAGATGTATCATTTGTTTTGATACTTTTAGGAAGATATTAGGACATTAATTAACTATTTTGTGGAAAACTTCTACTCAGAATTCGAATCGATCACCTATGTGAAAACGTTTCGAGATTTGAAAATACGCTATGATGCTCATCGCGATAAACGTGAACGAATACTCAGCGAAAGGTACTGAGATCTGATTTTACAAGAGGAAATATTTTCATCGAGGATATTTAGTTCGCCTACGAGTAGTACCTCTCGTTTTCATGACAATCTAAACACAACTCATCTCCTATCAATTCAACGACTTCGAAAAGACGAACGTGACCTCGATGTGGACGAGGAGAATTGGTTCAACGATGATGCCGATGAAAACAAAATCAGTTCATTCAATCATGGTACAGCATTCGGTGATACTTCCGATGATGAAGATAGTCAACCAGAAACAACGAGTGCAATTTCAACCAGTGAACCACCTAAAACTCATCATTCTACGACAGATAATGATGACGAGGACGAAGATGATTTACCCACATCATCACGTTCGTATAAACAAAAACCTGTTATTAATTTTCATCTTCAACGTTCGCCTACGCCTTCAACATCATCGAATGCCGCACTTCCTGCTGATACATCTTCACCTGCGTCATCACCCTCAGCTGAAGCAGCATCTCCATATGCGATGGTAAGCAAACGTATATTCCCTCTTGAAAGTCGAAATCTTGTTTGATACGTTTTGTAGAGTCCAGCGTTGTCGAGCATTGCTGACCAATACAATGATGATGATGACGAAGAAGAGGATGAAGAGAACAACGTAGGAGGAGGAGAAGATGATGATGATGAAAATGAAGATGAAGAAGAAGAAGAAACCAACAGTGATCCATATTCGTTAACAAACAAACGCAAACTCGATAATAACGATAATGACGAACATGAACAAAGCAAATTATTCAAAAAGACTAATGATGAATCATAATAATGGTTGGAAGTTTTCGTGTTTTTTCTTTCAGCTCAGGTGTTGTTAAGGATACTATACACACACACACACATAAATATATGTATACATTTAAAAAAATCTGTCCGAGCAAGCATTAGTTTTTGTTTTGTGCACTATTCTTTTTCTTTTCTCTCTTGTCTTCATTCATGTATATTTATGTCTCATCCTCTTATTTTGGTCTCGGATGTGTCAGTTCAGATTGTTGACGTGTTTATGTGTACAGATTATTGATGAAAAAAAGAAGTTGAGAGAGTGTGAGAGAGAGAGAAAAAAGGACTTCAGTCGGTATTTTATTGTGTGCAGGTCTTGTCATCTTTATTTTGTCTCTATCTCTCTCTTCTTCTCATTTTTGTTCACGCTATCTTTTTCTTTTCTGCGTTAAAACAAATCTTGTATAAGTTTTATATAAATGAAGATCATGTCGTTTATGAAAATGTTTGTTGAAATGTCAAAGAAGTGCCAGCAAAAGCAGATCTTGTCGTTGCACCAGGCCAATGATGAACTTCATGTAAAAAATACTAATCTTTTACAATTTCTTTCATGTGTGTGTACGGTCACCACACCGTGTCCTAATCGATTACCAGACGAGCTCGGAGAAGTATAAGCAAATATTGCGACAGCTGTTCTCTCGATTAAGTTTCTAGTGACTCATTTTACTTTTCAATCGAAAACGGTGGAAAGAAATGCATAGATCCGATGTTGAATTTCTATCGAACTAGAACAAACAGAAGTAAAATCGTTCTTTCAATCATACATAATATGTTCGACCGAATTCACTTCTATACTACCTATCATTATCGATATCCCTAACTAAACAGTACCGATCGCAAATTTTTCTTTCACTTCATATGTATTCATCAATAGATTTTGTAAGTGGCCGTATTTTTTTAAGTCCTACAATCTTGATTTTTCTTCCTCTCTCTCTCTGTCTCTTTCTTCCTATTGAATTAATATATAAAATTCACCGATTGCCAATACTGCACGAATAAACTTAAGTCGCGTATATATATATACGTGTGCGTATGTATATCACTGGCAGTTTAATCGATATACGTGATATTATCCCCCTTGTGTTGTATTTTGCGTAGGCGTTTTTGCAAGGATAGGCGCACTTTCTCGTGTAGAAAATTTCCTTGTATAACGCAGTATGCAAGTATCACTGGGATTGTACATCTGATGAGGATTTTATTTCATTATTATTATCATTCAGTTTCATCATCGTCGACTGGATCCAAACTTAGATCGTTTAAAGTATTTCGAAGTAAACGATGTTGCTCGGTCAATTGTTTTGTAATCGAATGACCTGCTTCTTTATCTTTTTCCACGGTGGATTGACAACTTTTTTCAGTACTATAATAAATATTCCAAATTTTCTGTCGTTTATCGTTATCTTTCAGCTGAATTAAGATATCTTTTCGTGCTGTTTGCTCATATAAATCATTGACTGCCTGATAAACATTCTTGTAACGATGCTGTTGTGTCTGGTGAGTTCGTTGACGGATATTATCGAGTAAAATTATACCAAATCCTATCCCGTACCATACGATCACAACAACGATGTAAGCAATGGCACCTTGAGTTTCATTAGACGATATTTCATTGATCGAAGTACTGTTTGACGGCATATGTACCACCGTGATAGAAAAACAAGTGAATTCTGTATTACTGTTTTAATGTGTAATTTGAGATGATCATTTAATGGCCTTTATTTTTAATAGACAAAATAAAACGATACTCTCGATAATATAGGCGCGTTTATGTCAGAACAATAGTTTTTCTGTTCTTATTGAGTTTCATCATTGTTTTGAATGGATAGTGCAAGCAAGTTTCTGTATGTTTTCACTAAGACTAACTGATTATCCACTCATTGTCGATAGTCTGTGAACTACCAATGTAGGGAAAAGACAGCAGTACTGAATACATTGAGAAAGTGGTACAATAGCACTTTATAGTTAAATATAACTCATCCATTTGTATGACCCGTACAGTCAATTGAACTCTTTTCTTACCGATCAAGCATGGAACGAAGCAGTCTCTAAATCATTCGCTAAGCAGTTTTATTATAACTTTCGTGTAAAAATCTGTCATTCGTATTGAAGAAAAGAGCTACTATTACTGGCTCTCTTTTCGAAGCATTTTTTCAGCTTCGCGAACTGTTTTCGTACATTTAAAGTAACGATAATAATAACAAAATGAGAGAAGAGTACATTTATTTATTTCCGATCGCTTTGCTATACCCACGTTAGTCATCGGAGTGGACCATTTTGATCTCCCTCGATTTTTTATCGATAACGGCAATCTCGAGAGTACAGTTGCCTTATTCCTCTAGTATTTCGAGTACACATAACTTTCTTTGAAATCCTAGAATCCGAGTTAACTAATCCAGCATCGAAACCTATCGGATTTATCACGTCTTCAATAGTATCAACACATCCACCTAAATCAAAAGTTGACTATTTTGTACACTATCTAGAAAGGTAAACATGCTGGAACGTACTCTGTACCAGATCTGACGGAGTTAAATAATGTGGTCAAGTAAAAAAGTTTCGTATAAGTATACTCTCTCTCTCTGCTATACTTGTCGTTGAATGCATAGAGAACATCTGCTTTGACATTCCTAATTATCTGGCGACCTCTACTATAGTTTTGATGATAGTCTTTCCTATTGGTTCTCGACAACGATCATAAGAATGTAAAAATGGCTATTCCTCTTTTCTCAACAATATGACGATTTATGTTCTTCGAGCAAGATCATAACATTATTTCGGCGAAGTGCGAAAACAATTTTTTTCTGTTCCAATGACGCTTTTTCGCTTTTGTAATTGTACATTGATACGCAATCATGCCTTAATAGTTGATGATCTTTGGATTCGTCATGGAAAGATTATCGATCCTGAAAAAGTATTTTTCGATGAAAGAATTCAAGCTGACGTGGAATACGATTGTCGCGGAGTGCTAGTCGCACCGGGTTACATCGATTTACAAATTAACGGAGCGTTTGGTCACGACTTTTCTTCTCCCGATGAAGCAAGTGAAGAAATGCTTTTACTCGTCGCACAAAAGTTAACCGCACATGGCGTCACTGCATTTGTACCAACTGTAGTCAGCTCCAAACCGGAAACATACAAGGCAGTATTACCGAAGTACAAGCGTCGAGCTGGTTCTGCCAAAGATGGTGCAACTATTCTCGGTTCGAAAGAAAATATTTTTTCTAAGAGATTTGTAATGACCTGTCTGTTTAGGTATTCATATTGAAGGCCCATTTATCGATGAGAAGAAACGTGGTGCTCATCGAACTGATTTTCTTCGAACAGCTCCAAATGGAATAGAAGATTTGCTTTCATGTTACGGCTCATTTAATGATGTTTCCATCATAACTATAGCACCCGAAATTCCGAATATGATCGAAACTGTCATACCGGAATTAGTACAAAAGCATAACATCGTGGTTTCTGTGGGCCACTCGATAGCTTCATTAGATATCGGTGAACGTGCTGTTTGTGCCGGTGCTAGATTCATCACTCATTTATTCAATGCAATGCTACCATTTCATCATCGTGATCCAGGTCTTGTTGGTACGAAAGCAAAAAGACACCATTCACTTTCATGTAGACTAATATTGATTTTCTTCGAAAAAAGGTCTTCTAACAAGTCATCGTTTACCCACAACATCAATTGTTCATTACGGTTTAATTGCTGACGGTATTCATACGCACTCAGCTGCCGTACGTCTTGCACATCGAGTACATCCTCAAGGTCTTGTTCTGGTAACTGATGCTGTACCAGCATTAGGACTTCCGGATGGGACATATCACATGGGTGCTGAAAAGATTCTTGTGGAAAATAAGCGTGCAACCATTGCCGGTACACAAACTTTATGTGGCAGTATTGCATCATTAGCCGAATGTGTTCAAAATATGCGACAAGCTTTACTTGATGGAGAAATAAGTAAACATGGTGAAGTAAAGATAGACAAACAATTCGTTGTCGAATGTATTGACGCTGCAACTCTGCATCCAGCCTCAGGTAAATCATGAATTGAAGGTTAATTGAACGACTGCAAAACAACTACAATGTTTCTCACGTTAGTCAAGCGAAACGAAGGATATGACCTTCAAGAAAGATAAAGAGTAATTCAAAGTCGTCATGCTTTCTAAATACTAAGCAGATGAGTAATGTTGATAGTTTGCAGTGAACTGTTGGTCTCTGCAGTCTAACTAAACCAGTTGTCATAGACATATATCTTCGATACGAACGAACAGATATGAGTATAGTTTGTAAATCTATACGACATTTGAAACCTTCTGTTGAGCTCTATCAACAAATATAAAATTTAAACCATTAAGATATGTATGTGTTAACGCATAGTAACAGTTTCTTTTTGGTAATCTAAACTCATTTATTTGCATGCAAATATACAACGCCCGGCGACATCTGTTTCGTATATTACGGCTGTAGCTCTTTTGATTACAACAATAAACTTTCTTCACCTTTGACATGCAACCTGCTTCGTGGATAGACGGTGATCGAGTACTTTTATCGGGAACTTATTCACCGTTTTCCTAAGTAAAGATAAAACATGGACGCTTGTGTATTCGTTGATAGAATATAAAACTACACACCAATCAGTGTTTTTAGTTAGCCATTACAATTGAAAATTGGCTCAAAAAGTATTTTTTAGTTAATCAAGCGTGCCTTTTTTCGTTGTTTTAGTTCTTCATATCGAAAATCAAAAGGGAACATTATCATTTGGTGCAGATGCTGATTTCATTTTTCTTGACGATAAGCTAAATGTATTATCAACATTCATTGCTGGTGAACAAGCATGGACAGTCAATGATAGCTGGTCAATAAACAATTTACGTACGAAAAACTCGAGTCAATAATTTGTTTTTCCTATCACATCTTTTTCTTTTTCTGTGATATAAGTATTTCATTTATGTACTTTTTTTTTGTTTTTAATCTCAGGGTAATCGATTGAATTGAGATTTTGATTTCTCTTTTTTGTTTTTACAAGTAATTCGAATAGCATTATATTAAAAAAAGTATTATTTTTATTTTAGATCATGTCGCTTGGGCCAAAAGCGTATTTAACACGACGAGAAACATTTTCCGCTTCTCATCGTTTACATTCCACGAATTTATCTGATAATGAAAATATTCTACTGTACGATAAATGTAATAATCCAAATGGGCATGGCCACAATTATGTACTTGAAGTAACCGTTGTCGGCCATATTGATCCGAAAACAGGCATGGTGATGAACATCAGTGATCTGAAAGTTTTAATTCAAACTCATGTGTTAGATCTAGTTGATCATAAACATCTTGATTTAGATATGGAGTATTTTCGAATGAAAAATTTAGTCAGTACAACAGAGAATTTAGCTGTTTTCATTTGGGAACAGTTGGCTTTACAGATCGAACGTGCTTCTCAAAATAATCATGTTCGATTATATGAAATAAAACTGTGCGAAACAGAGAAAAATTTTGTTGTGTACCGTGGAGAATGATCTTTTTGATTTTATTTAACTATTAATAAATATTTTTTGATATTGTCATTTTAGATAGGCATGTCTCATATTGTTTCATTGCGTAGTGCATCGTTACGAGCACTACGCTCGAGTTCAACAGCAAGTTCAGCTGTTCTTGCAGCAACAAAATGTACAACCTATTCGCAGCGATCAATTGGACAACAGCAACAATATTCATATTCGACTTTACCTTCGACCTCAACTGGAATTCTAACACGTGAAAGACAGCGGGTATGCCATTCATTCATTCGAAAACGACATATCTATACCACGGAGAAATTTTTTCTCTATTCTCACAAAAAGAAGAAGAAGAAGAAATGATCTTTTATTTGTTTTTAGACACTCTCTGAGCAAACGCTTGTTATTGACTCATCCAATGCCGGTCTCTATGCATTGACTCGCCATCTTCATACGAGTTCTATTCTTTGTATGTACTCGTCAATATTTAATCTTCCACTTATTGAGCGTGGCTTTTTTTATTCATAGTTGACTCAGTCAGTGTTTCGACACCATCGTTTCCTGAATCAGTTAAAGATGGAACAATACGTCTTTTAAAAAAGGTCGGCGACAAAGTCTCGGCCGACGAAACAATCGCAGAAATTGAAACCGATAAGACAAATCTAAGTGTCAATGCACCACAAGGAGGCGTTATCGAATCGTTCTCCGTTGCTGATGGAGACAATGTCACATCTGGAGCAGTTATTGGAAAAATTGATACAAGTGGCAGTGGCACTAAGCCAACTTCAGCTACAGCAGGTATGTTTCTTCGTAAAGAGAATTTCGCATCGATTTGTTCGATTATTCGTGTATTTTCTAAAGACGCAAAAGCTAAGGCTGCTGCTGAAAAAACCAAAGAAGAACCAGCAAAACAATCATCGGACACCAGTGGACCAGCTCCGAGTAAAACACCTTCGGTGCCAGCAACACCAAAAGGGCCCCAACGAGAAACTCCTACATCACAAATCTCAGTAACACCAGCTAAACAACAAGCCGTCGGTGGGGGCAGCAGTGGTGGTGATCCAAACAAAATCTCTGGTACACGATCAGAAACACGTGTTAAAATGTCACGAATGCGACTGAAAATAGCTGAACGTCTTAAAGAAGCACAAAACACTTGTGCTATGTTAACAACTTTTAATGAAATCGATATGAGGTAAAAACGAAAGAAGGAGAAAGAACGTTCTTGATGTAGATTTTCACTCTTAACTATCCATTCTAGCAATATTGTCGAATTTCGTAAAAAATATGCTGATCAATTTCTTAAACGTCATAACATGAAATTAGGATTTATGTCTGCATTTGTTAAAGCATCCGCCTGTGCACTTGTTGACAATCCGATCGTCAATGCCGGTATGATGAAATACATCTAAGGTCGATCTAATTCGATTCTTAATCTCTCTTAATTTTAGTCATTGATGGAAATGAAATTGTCTATCGAGATTATGTCGATATCAGTGTAGCTGTTGCAGCACCTAAAGTATTTCTTATTCTTACGTAAAAAATCTCCAATAAAATCTTTTCTATCAAGGGTTTGGTCGTACCTGTTCTTCGTAATGTTGAGCGAATGAATTTTGCTGATATAGAAAGAACAATTAGTGAATATGGTGAAAAGGTAAAAAGCTATTTTCCATTTGAGATTCATCATCCTTTTTCTGCGGTTTAGGCTAAGAAAGGTTCGCTCGCAATCGAAGATATGGACGGTGGTACGTTCACAATTAGTAATGGAGGAGTATTTGGCTCATTATTCGGTACACCGATTATAAATCCTCCTCAATCAGCAATTCTTGGTATGCATGGAATTTTTGATCGACCGGTAGCGATTAATGGCAAGGTAAAATTTTCCTCTCTTCCCCCATAACTTTTCACTTCCTTATTTTGTTTTGATTTTTACTAGATCGAAATACGACCAATGATGTATGTCGCTCTTACATATGATCATCGCATCTTAGATGGTCGTGATGCTGTACTATTCCTACGAAAAATTAAACAATACGTCGAAGATTCACGTTCAATCTTTCTCGACTTATAACAAGCAACATGAAATGAAGAAGATCTGAACGATCTTATTTTTATAGCATCATTCTTTTGTTGCTCTTCTCTTGTCTTCATTTATCAATCCTAGTTTCTTCTTTTCCTAGTACATAGGCAGATTCTATCTACAAGAAAAAGACTAATATTCGACTATCCTATCCAAGAAATACCACTTACTAACTGGTTCTTTTTCTGTTTCTCCGATCGTTTCGCTTGGTCTTTTCCTTATATTATATTTTGCATCTTTGTGTGAATTCCACCTATACACAACAAAAGAATAGATTAAAATATAACCACATAATCAAGGATCTTCTTGTTTTATTTCAAATTTAGAACTACTCCCACATTGAACGTCGACTTTGACTGCCTCAAATTGATACATGTATAGTAAAAGTCCCTTTCCTGCGTCCCATTTTTCCTCTGAGCTTTTTTTCTGCCGTACATACACGAATGAAATGAATAAATGAATAGGAGAAAGAGAGGGAGAGAGGGAGAGAAAGAAAGAAAAAGTGTTGATCATCCCTTTTTCTGGTGCTTGCACTGCCGCAGGGTGGAGAGTTATATTCGATTTCCTTCCTCTTCTCTTCGCCTTCAACACCTGATGAATGTCAGTTATGGAAGATAGTCAGTTGTGGTAACAATTGAACTCGTGTCATCGTCGTCGTCATCAGTATCGTCCTTAACTATGTCTTCTATTCATCATCGTCGAAGATGTTTTTCATTGAAACGAACGAGTGACTATGCTCAACAGTGGTTACATGAACGTACCTCGTCTTCATCTCGTCGGCATCAATCGCTCAAACGCGATGCTTCATCCACTATCGACATTAGTCAGAAGGTAGTTTGCATTCTCATTGTTGATTGATGAATAGATATTACTAAGAATATAGCGATGTTCTCTCTCTCTCTCTCTGTTCTCATAGACATGACAGCGCTAGGATCCTTTTTGATTTAGTTCTATCTACAGATAGATTATCTTAACTGTTATTGATGATAGATATAAACTAATGTATAATTAATTTCTTCTTTTTTTTCTATTGTAGAATACTGGCCAGAGAATGGCCAAGAAAAATTATGATCTTCTATTTAAATTATTACTGATTGGCGATAGTGGTGTTGGAAAAGTAAGCTGATTGACAGCAGTAGATGATTGAATGTTTATTGGAATTTTTTGCTAGACGTGTATTTTGTTTCGATTTTCGGATGATTCATTTAATGCATCATTTATTTCCACAATTGGAATTGATTTCAAAATAAAAACAATCGAACTTGATGGTCGAAAGATCAAACTACAGATCTGGTAAGACATTTTCGTTCCAATCTATCATGCTCTGAGAAAAGACTCGCTAATATGTACTTATACAGATAATCATCTTTACCTATCTTACATAGCGATGAGTATCATTGCATGTGAATTGTAATAGTAGTTATATAATCAAATTTGATTAGAACTTCTCTTTCTGCGATACGGTTCTGACCGCATTGAGTTGAACAAAATCCAACATGTTTTCTTTCTAGGGATACCGCTGGTCAAGAACGCTTTCATACAATCACTAGTAAGTTCTATTAACTTTCTTACGGTCCAAATCAACACGTTTCTCACTTTAGCATCTTACTACCGAGGAGCAACGGGAATTATGCTCGTATATGATGTCACTCAAGTACGATCATTTGAAAACATCAATAAATGGCTGCGTAATATCGATGATCATGCGTCCGACGATGTAGTCAAAATGTTGATCGGGAACAAGTGTGACATGGAAGATAAACGTTGTATAACGCGAACACGTGGTGATGCGCTCGCTCGTGAACATGGAATACCATTTCTTGAAACATCTGCCAAAAACAATGTTAATATTGAAAAAGCTTTTTTCGAAATGGCAAGGTTAATTCTAAAGAAAACTCCAGTAAATTCTTCTGAAGGACTATCGGGTATCACACCTGGCCCGCCTCAAGGCAATAAACAATCAAATTGTATGAATTGTATGTAAAATCAGTCAATCTATCCTGTTCGCCAGTCAAGAATTTACGAAAACAAAAGCGAAAGTTTTTCTATATATAATAAGTATGAAAGATTTATTTGTCTTTATTATCATTGTCGTCAACTTTTTCTTTCTTTATCTGTTGTTGGTTCTATTCTTTCTCTCTCTAAACATATACGAGTGTATGTATAATATCTCCCATTTTCTTCGTCTTCTTCTACTACTATTTCATCAAACGGTATTTGGATATGTTAATATATAAATTAAGATTTTCAAAGAAAAAAAAATACAAGAGGCGGAAAGTGAATCCAAACAATTGTTCAATAGGAAGTGCGAGTAAAGCTATAAAACACGTAACTAATCATAAAAAGTAAAGTATCCAATGAGATTTATAACCATCTCAAGTTTGATTTTGATACGACGAAGAATTGCACAATATTGAACCGAAAATTAGTTCATCAAATCTCGAAGACAAAGAAATGCATAACGTGTATACGAGGAATACTGTCAAAGACAAGTAAATACACTTGATCTAACCTTGCATTCTGTTTATACATATATCAATCGAATGATGCATATCATCTGATTCAACGTTGATCTCGTATAAGTATTCCTGAAGTTCAATTAGGAAATACTTCTTATCGACGGTCCGACTTGTGCGGCTGTTTTTTGTAGATAGAATCTAACTGTGTTTCGTATGTCGCGATCGATGATCAATATCACACCTTTTTCAACAGCTAATGCCAGTGAAACGGAAATAATGCCAATTGAATAGAGAACATCACTTTTTGTCAACACGAAAAGGATAATCGGAAGAGCACCGAGAATGTAAATCGAAAATAAGATCATAATATTATACAACAGATCGAGATCACGATTGGATCGAGCTTTTCGTCTTCGAATGAATATATTCAGTTTTCGACGTTTAACTCGACAGAAAATAGCAATATATAAGATAAAAATAATAATTGTTGGAATAAGGTAATATGCGATAACAGTGTATGCAACGTGTAAAGTATAATCTTTTGGTACCCAGCAAAGTGCATTCGGACGATGATAAATATCTTCAGTGAGAAGGGCAGGTAAAGGAAGAAGTACAACAAGGGACCAGTGGATGGAAATAAGAATCAAATGAGTTTTGAATGATTTTACCCAGCGATGTCTGATCGCAAGGATGGAAATAAAAAATCGCGAAATAGCTTGAATCAAATATGAATATACAGTCGCGACGACAGTCATATAACCAAAAAATCCTCGCCAGCGACAAAGCAAATCATTTGTTTCCCAAGAAATAAAAGCGAGATGAATGTAATTGATGGATTGAACAAAACAATAGAAGATCAATGCAATCGATCCATTGCCGATTAGTAAATGTGTGACGGTGTGTAATCGTTTTGTACAAACGATCAAAGTTAAAATTGCACATGCAATGAGAAAAGCGACGAATATACATGCTAATGATAATGGAATTATAATACCGTATGGTGTCATTTGTGACGGATCCAATGAATTCATATCGAACTGATCGTTTGCAAGTGCAAAGAATAAGATTTATATCTTTGAAAACAATGAGCAGATGTTGATAGCTATAATGATCTGAGCCGAGGCCTACTCAATCAGATTCGATATTGACTCTAGCGCTATGATTCTGTATGCAAATAATTATGGGAGTTTAATTTATTAACCTTTCACTGGTCTTTCGATTCAAGAGATACTTTATTTTCCATTTTTCAAACAATTTGTTTCGAAACTGATAAAAAAAGATTATTAATAAAATTGTCTAGAACATCACAGATCGCATAGCTGATTCAGACATGGTGCATTTGAGGAATTAAATTTGACGATAGGGAAGACAACTCTTGCGAAGATCGTCTCGTGTTTCCCATTTGATATTCTTGTATCGTCATAGGGTGGTGATGAAGTTCGCTTGAAGTACGCACGGGATCGGGATCAAGTTCATCATCGAACACACTCAGAGACATTCGACGATTTCGGGATGCACGATCGTGGTCATCAAGCGATGTTTGTACACTGACATCGCAGCATTTGACGGTTTGATGACACTTAGAACAGATAAAATGCGTGGAAGGATAACGGTGAACGTTATTCGTTTTGAATAGAGATTCGGCGAGACGAAGATTATCAGAAATAGATATTGAAGGGGCTTCATTGGTTACTGGCGCGGGAGATGTCATCGTATTAAAAAGAGGAAGTGGTGTGACAAACATTGGTGGAAAAGTTGGAATCATTACACTATGTTGAGATTGCACTGTATGACTCGTTGGTGTCTAAACGAAAGACAGGGTATCAGCGAAAAGTGCTACAGACTCTTCTTACAGCTTCTGCTTTCGTTTTTGATTGTTCGTGAGTATGTTCGGGAATACTTGTTGTTACGTATTCATTTGGATGTTGATGTAGAAGTCGAACAGCCAGATTACAATCATCTTTGTATCGTTGTTTTTCGATTTCTAAATCATTAATTGTATCTTCTAAATGGAAGACTTTTTGTTTCGCGTTAATCAGGTCTTGTTCCAATTGATTCTTTTCATTGGAATATGTTTCAACAAGTGTCAGAATTCGTTCTTCCAAAAGACTATTATCTTTCTGCAATTGACTATGAACATCCGCTAATATTGAATATCGTTCACGCATCAATTCAAGTTCACGACTAAGACTTTGAATTTGTTCTTTTGCATTATCAGCATCCATATAATTATCGTTTATCTACAACATTGAAGTTAGAATGATAACTACATTTCAAATGTACGAAGTTCGTTGTACTCAAAGCAATAAATTCTATTAAAATAACTTTCACGTGTCAGTATGCCGTTGATTCTGGTATAACTATTCGATTTAGAGGCATTTTTTCCTCGAAGTATATTCGTCAGCATTCAATTCTCATTGTATCTTGTAAAAACACAAACGCTGTTCACCGTGATACGAACAAGTGAGTGAGTCAGAAAAAGCCCTTGATTGAATACAGTATCAGCTAATTCTTCGACAATAGATGTCACTTATAGCGTGACTGAAAAAGATACTTTGAAATTTTTTTAGAAATTCCTAATAAGTTCATTGAGACCTTCTCGGCATGATTGTTTTCCGAAAAAAGTTCACTGCAGGTATATTATCCATTAGGCTAAAGTTCTATAACTATGAGACAGACGTAATTTCTTTTCTAGTGTTTCATCTATGAAGGAGGTAAGACTAAAGATGTTTTGTTTTTCTTTCCTGTGTTTAACTAAATCCTATATGTCAATCCTATCTCTTATTTACTGAGAATCGATCAGACCTCGATCGAATCGAATCGAACCACCCAATTCGATTAGATAAAACTTTGATCTTTTCGTTTGATTCGAATACAAGCACATCTTTCCAGTACAGAAATAACATTTAGGTCATGTCGAGTGTCTTACAAAGACATTGATTATGTTTCACAGAATGATTTTATAAGATTATGCGATTTGACTCGGTAAGTATTTACCTCGGAGTTTTAATGACAAATTGTGTACGCATGATGTTATTATGTTGTTGTTTTTTATTATAAACAGAAGTGAGTTTCGTTTTTTTTTCTCTTTCTTTCGTTCTATCTATAAACACTCCTTACATCGTCAGGTTATTCTTATTTCTATCGCTTTTTCGTAGTCCACAAAGGGCAAACTGCGAAGAAGAATAAAAAACCGACCCCTCTTTTATATTCGTCGTTTCTTCATCATGATTTTGGTACATTTTTTTTATCTTGCTTTCTAGATAGTTATCGTTTGAACCAGTATTCATACATTCACGTAAGACGGCTTCCTTTTCGATCGGATTAACTCGAAATTGTCGTTGTATTTTAGCATGCCTCAATATTTATCTGCCGACAAAGAAAAAGAGTTGATGGAAACAGCTCAAAAACTCATGGCCAAAGGCAAGGGTTTACTTGCAGCCGATGAATCAACAGGTAGAGGAGAAAAAGTGAAATAAGAACTCGACAACGTTTCGTTTCGGATGTTTTCTAGGCTCGATCGGTAAACGTCTGCAACCCATTGGTCTTGAAAATAATGAAGAAAATCGTCGTCTCTATCGACAAATGCTTTTTACTGGTTCAAAAGATTTAGCTAACAGTATCTCCGGTGTGATCTTTTTTCATGAAACTTTCTACCAAGAAGATGACAATGGCAAACCATTTCGACAAACTTTGAAAGAAAAAGGTATCATTCCGGGTATCAAAGTCGACAAAGGTCTTGTACTATTGGCTGGTACTGATGGAGAGAACACCACACAGGGTCTCGATGGTCTTGGTGAACGTTGTGCCCAATACTATAAAGATGGTGCTCGTTTTGCTAAATGGCGTATGTAGTTCGTTTTGGTGAATTGAGAAAGATTGAATTGTTTGTTAATGTAGGATGTGCATTGAAGATTGGTGATGGTTTACCATCAGAATTAGGTATTCGTGAAACTGCTAATGTTTTAGCACGTTACGCATCGATCTGTCAACAAGTAAGATTGACAACTGATGAATTTGATAATTGAATTAGCAATTTTCTCTTCATCTATATTTAGAACGGTCTTGTGCCTATTGTTGAACCGGAAGTAAGCTGAAAGATTCGGGAAAATATTAGACTGGATTGTATTCGATCGAATCTAGGTATTACCGGAAGGTGATCATGATTTGGAAACATGTCAACGTGTTACAGAGAAAGTCTTAGCTCAAACATATAAATCCCTCAGTGAACATCACGTGTTCTTGGAAGGAACTTTACTTAAACCAAACATGGTTACTTCAGGTTTGTTTGAATTCTCGATGGATTCCATTGACATTCTTTTGACATATAGGTTTTGATTGCAAGAAGAAGTCAACACCAGAAGAAGTAGCACGTGCAACAGTCACAGCTTTACAACGAACAGTGCCCGTTGCCGTACCGGGTATTTGTTTTCTTTCCGGTGGTCAATCGGAAGAAGAAGCTTCGATCAATTTGAACGCAATCAACAAATATGCAGGCAAGAAACCGTGGGCATTGACATTCAGTTACGGACGAGCTCTTCAAGCTAGTGTTCTCACTACTTGGGCAGGCAAATCAGAAAATATTTCCAACGCACAAGATCAACTTCTCAAACGCGCTCAAGTAGGAGAAAATAAGACAGAGAACTCCGTCTGATTTCTGGTTTTCTTAGGCTAATGGCGCTGCTGCTAAAGGTGAATATACAGGTGGTGTTGGTGGCTCAGCCGGTGGTGAATCATTATTCGAAGCTAATCGAAACTATTAAGTTGAATCGTTTCCGATAGCTACAACTTATCTTAGTCGTAAAAATAAGTTTTCATATTCCAAGTAGATTTATTATATTTCAACAGTAGAAAACATTCTGGTTAATGTTAAGATTAATCAACTAAGTTACATATCTTTCTTTTTTCAGTGTGTGATTTTATTTTCTATTTGTTTTTGTTCGCATTAGTGAAAACATCTGGTTTGTGAATGGTTTATTTTGTCCACGAAAATATATCGATAAAAAACTATCACACCGATTTCTCTTTCGACCGTCAAGTGTATCTTTGATGAACGGGTATATCAGCTGAAGTCAAATGACGATTCATCTGTGCAAAAAACGCTAAGTTTCAAGCTACTAATTAGTAGAAATTTATATATGAAAGAAATGAATACAAAAAATTGAATTAGTCAAAGCATTGTTCTGGTCGTGCTGGGCATTGAAATGCGCTGGTGAACTCTGGCATGTGGAAAAGAGCAGCATTTAATGCTATTCTTTCATCGTAAATACCTAGTTGCGTGCGTACTAGTTGTAGGAGTTCTTGTCTTTGGTAACACTGTGTTTGAGCATAAGCAAGAAAGAAGGTTTGTGCCGATGTATGGTCTGTTCCAGGTAATTTGATTGAATCAGTCTTCATCAGAGCATTGTATGCGAAGCGAAGAGCACCGATATGTCGAAGAGTGGTGGGAGAAAACGGTTCACCGGCCAGTCGAACTTGAATTTGAGCACCATTTATATTGTAGCTGACGGATTTGACATCGTTGACATAATAATTGGTTATACAAGTACGACTTTTATTATAACCGTCGATGGTCGGCGATTGCCACCAGTCGTAACGTGTGCCGTTTGCTAGATGTGCACGACCTAAAAGTTCAATTTTAGCATACAGAATAAGAATTCCTATGTTCATTGTATACCTTCTGGGCCATCAATGCTGGCGAAAAGCTTTTGAGCTAGGAGAACGCCTATCGATCCCATATTTACAGACCTAAAAAAGAAAAACAGATCGATTTGTCTTTACAGAGTGAATATATAAGATTGAGCTAGTTACATTGGCCACTGTGAGTCAATAAGTGGTTCGCGTAATCCACTAGCAATTACGAAGAGTTGATTGAACACGGCAATGTAATCAAACAATCGACTAGTTCGTGATTCGAATAAATCCCAATGATCAAGCATCATTGGATCTGCCAGTGAAGCCGATAAAGTCCATCGATGAAAACGATGGTAATTGATTGTGTTCATGAAATGCGACTCATCCGAAATAACAAACTACAAGAATTTATTCCCTGAGAAAGAAACAGAAGTTGTCTCATCCTTCTTACTGTTTCATAATAAGTATTCAATGACTCATCAGTCGACACAATTTTCGTATAACCAATTGCAGCGGTTAATTTGTTGATCTTTTCTCGTGCAACAGTTTTCGTTGGCTCATCAGCCATCCATGTCGCACGTTCATTTACGTATGTGAGCAATCCATTCTTCAATGCAGTAAAAATCGTTTCAGCCTAGAGTAAAGACAATGCGCATCTCATCTTGTATGCAATCGAAACCATTATCTTACAGTCGTTGTGGCACCGGCTACTTGTGTAGAATTCATTATGTATAAACGTTGAATTGCTAATGGAAATCGACGAATGACTTCGCGCGTGCAATACGCTTCATTTGTTGTGTGTAATGCATAACCATAATACGCATCGATATATGTGCGATGTGCATGAATGTAATCGTAAGAGAGATCATCGATGTAAGTCCATATAAGACGCCAGCGTAAATAATTGTGTATCATTCGTGCGAACAATGGACTTGAATGAAATGAATGAAGGCTAGTACTTAGACAAAGGGACTGGTCTTACTCATCATTTTTTCCTAGATAATCAAATGCTTCTTTGAAATACTTTCTATTAGTTATATAAATAGGTGTTAAGATTGATATTGCATTTGGATTGGCCAATTCATGTCCCATTAATAGTTGAAAATTAAACTGAAACAGAGATCGTTTTTCGTTAATTGATTCATCTATCGTCTTCTCTCATTCGTATATCTACCATGAATTCAGTGGTCATATCTTGTAAAGTTGTTATATCAGGTTTACCACTCGAAGGATTACGCTGAAGAATCTAGGAAAATATTTGATTATCCGTTTGCTTGTATTTCATTCAAAAGTTTCGATACACTCACTTCAGCAAGATATCGTTCGACGGTATATACATCATTGGCAATAGTAAATGTTCGATCGCTGAGGTTTTTATCCTTGACATTGGCATCACGGGCAAATAAGCCACAGACTTGAATGATATAGAGTTGAAAAGCTGCACGACGCTGCAAGGGACAATTTCGAAGGTTGAATTACATCTGAGTCAACTCACTGATTCGGACACAGCATCAGTTCCAAGATAATCATTAATTTCCATAGATAGACCAGCTGGAAAGAACTAAGCAAAGATGGATAGTTACGAATGGATGAATATCATTTCTGTTTGTTTACTTCAAGTCTTTTGACGCTTGAATCGGTTTCATCGAATCTTGTGCGAATACCAAATACTGCTAGGGCACCTAAAATAGAACCGCCGGAAACTGAATCTTCTACTTTCAACATCTTTTCAACTAACCAAAATCTCCATGAATGTGTTCTAATTGTTGATAAAGTGACTGATTCTTCAAGAGAAATTCTTGACTAGCACCTGGTGCGCTATTATCGATTAGAAACCATCCATCGACAGTATCATTATCTTGTAAGAGTCCGATCATGTATTTCGAACTATCGGGTAAACGCGCATAATCATCAAGACATTCGGAATAGTAAGTCTAAACATTAAAAGAAAATTGCTTTGATTCAAGTTCACATGCGAGAGTGAAAATAACGTCGACAAACTTTAACTTTATATTCCCAACTGCGATCACCAACTTGAACAATTGGCGAATTAAGAAGACGTTCGATCTCAGCATCGCGTCGATCAAGTATATCTCCAAGTATAGTGCGTTCAACCTCATACGACTGGATCGGATGTGTTCGTTCCCATCCGCCGCATGCGTATTTATAAAAATCTGAACATAAATTTGATGCTGATGAACTATCCATTGATCGTAGTTGATATGTTGCTGCTGATATACATCCATCTGTAAGACAAGCATCAGTGCTCGGAATGGTACTGTCATTCGATTGGGATTTCGACTTGTGTCCTTGGACAATCACCGTAATCAGTAACGATAATGAAAGTAGACCGAGAAATACATAACCAATCAAGTAAAGACGTGTGCGTGTTAAATGATCAAAAACGCCCATTTTCTATCGTACGTTTCGTTTTTTCTCTCGCTATTAACAACTGAGTGATATGTCAGATCTGTTACTTGTGTGAAGTTGAAAGATAACAAGATAATGTTGAATAAATAGACTTTTGACTATTACCATTACCTTTGCTTGTCTCACTCTCACTCTCAATCTTTTGCACTTCTTTTAAAAAAAGTAGATAAGAAGAAACGAAGAAAGAAATCTGCCTAAGAAATTCATAATTATATTCGCAACTATCAAGCAGATGATTAAGTCGTGTTTTCGACAAATATGTTTCCAAGAGAAATTCTTTATTTCAATAACAACAAAGATATTGTCAGATAGACGCACAAACACAGACAAAAAAGATCTATCTGACAGTTATTTAAGATTTGTTCAGCTAGATTGGATAATTAAGTAAAACATCTTGTCGTGCTAATTCAAGTAACATGGGATCGTCGAAGAACTTATTAATACTAACATCTTCACTGAGACCCTAGAAGTAAAAGATTTCTTTCATTCGTATTCAAGAATAGAATATGATCGAAGTTCATACTTTTCGTCGACGTGTTTTAATCATAAATTCTCGAGCTAAATGGTTAGCAGGTTGAGCTTCTAATGGTCGTATCACAATTGATTTATCAAGTGGATCACCAGGAACAATCTAATACAAACCATATTTTCACCATGATTAATCAATAAAAGATGCTTTTGAACATACCTGCCAATGATGGAACACTGACATACAGAATGCTTGACCTTGAGTATGTGTACGAAGATCAGTTTCGAAGCCCATAGAATCAATTGCTGGAATAAAGGCTTTGAGTGTATAGAGTGGTGAACCAGATACTGGGGCATCAAGTGTAACGTGACCACTGAATTAATAGAACCAGGTTACTTTTTCTGTTTGGAAAACTCAACGAAGTGAAACTTACCGACGACGACCAAGAACTGTATAGACAGCCGAGACACAATCAGCGGGTGCAATGACTTCAACGAAATTGTATGGTTCCATGAGACGTGGTGTCGCCTAGACAACACGAAAAACTTGAAAGACGATTCTCAGATCGTGAATAATTACTAACCAATAAGAAAGAGGAATAGGCAACACGTCGGGCTGTTGGAATTAATTGACCGCGACCATGATGAATTGGTTCTTGAGCGATTGACGCATCGAGAATTTTGAATTTAACATTCCGAATCGCTAAAACATCAATCAGCATCGAGTGTGACAATGACTTTGAAAACTTGTTTAACTTACGTTCGTCACAAAGTGGACCTTCTCGTGCTGCCCATTGAAAACCTTGTACGATGGATTCTTTGATCGGTTCTGATGTTAGCAAGGTTTTATTCACTTCATGTGACAACGTATCATCAAGAAGAATATTCGGACCGTTGATATCAGGTCCAAAGGCCCAGATCGAACGACTAGCAAGAATATCCCATTCGTAACGATTTTGAAAGAAGTCACTGATGCGTTTGTTATTCCATCCAATTTGAACGACTTCTTGTTCAATATCTTCAGCTAAACCTTTTTCTAATGGTTCGGCAATCATTGTTAATTTATTTCTTTGAAAGAAAGCACAATATTTTTCACATGAAAATGTCGAAATCTTTGTCTTACTTCTTATTTGGTGTCTCCGCAAAACATTTCAACGAAGAAGTTTCAACAACCGTTTCACAAAATGTAACGACCGGATCAGCCACTTTGATTTCTAGAAAAATAATCAATCAATAGAAATTTTTCAATCCGTAGAACTCCAAACAAACCAATCTCCGAATACATTCGACGAAGATCGTGCATAACACAATCAAGATAAAGTTCACCGGTTCCGAGTATAATATGTTCACCAGATTCTTCAACTTTCGTATTCAACAATGGATAACTTTTATTCACTTTACGTAAACCATCTAACATTTTCGGTAACTCCGATGGATTCACCGGTTCGACCGCAATTTTAATCACCGATGTCGTGTTGAATTTTAATGGACGGAAGATTTGAACCTAGAATAGTCTTTTTTTTTCAAAGAAAAGGGAGAGAAAGCTCGATTTACGTCATCAATATTAACTGAATTGGTTCGTCGACCTTTGACTAAACCTGAGTTGTCGACTATCGTCGCTGTTTTAACGATCGACTGATCAACACCTTCAATTAACACCCAATTACCAGCTGGTACTTGATTGAGTTCGACGCGATATCTAAAGGAGACTTATCTTTGAAATTTCAATCGAAGAATAGCTGAGGAAGAATATACCGAGCATTGAATACCCATAATCGTCCAACTGTACATGAAAATGAATCTTCGGGATCCTTTAAACTGTAGTTTTCTCCTAAGATTCGCACATCCTGTCCTGTTTTGAGTGTGCCACAGAAAACTCTTCCTAGGACATGGAACGATGTCGCATCCGATGTCGAATAATTCTTTGTTGTATGAATAATCACTGGCGCCTAGACAAACAAAGCTGTCATTCGAAGAAATGATCACAAATTCGATCTTGTCTTACACTTGGATTACACTTATTCATTTCTGCGACAATATCTTCTTGTAAACTACCCGTATACAAATGTTCAACTTTGTTTTGTGCATTCGCCACTGGTGATGGGATGTGTTGAATAATCATATCAGTAAAACCTTTGAATTCGCCAACGAATCGTGCACAAACTAGACGGAGTAATGAGCGAGTATTCAGCTTCAACTCTGTCTTGGTTAAACGAATTCCTAATTCATCCAGAACGCCAGGAAGTGTGCTATCAACATCTCCAACCACCTAAATCAAAGTATTCGACAGAATAATGAAAAAACAAACGAATGCAAATTGATTTTACATGAGCGAGAATTTTATAAAGTGGTTCGAGGATAAATTGAACAAATGAACGATTGGAATTTGCATTTGGACTCTTCTTTCCAAACATTCGTCTAGAAGAAAAATTGATAAAGGTGACATGTAAATTCATCCATATACTCACGTTTTCGGGTCATAATAAAGATCTCCCCATAGGCGTTTGGCTAACGCTTGAAAATCGAAAGTACCACCTGAAATAAATCATCAACGAATTATTGGACAAGTGCATTTCGAACCTACCATGTGTGTCCGCGTAAATTTTTGCGAATGATTTCAATGTAAAACAAAATCGATAGTATGAACTGGCGAAACACACATTATTCAACAATGGTGATACATATGAAGCTTTGCTTTCATCTTCTGAATATGTTCTAGACGAAAAAAGCACGAGGCAAACTTATATATTCGAGAGTCAAATCGAATGTGTCGCTTACTTGATCAATCCGTTAACTTCATCGATGATATGTTTGATTTTGAAATACGCATCCTGTGGCGGTAATTTCAGTTCTAAGATAAGTCGATCAATCTTGTTGATGCATAACGTAATTGCTAGACGTTCCTGAATGGCATGTTTAATAAGTCGATCGGTATTGAGCATGACACCTTCATGTGCATCGACAAAGACGACAACACCATCGCATAAACGAAAGGCTGCTGTGGCTTCATCGGAAAAATTCACATGACCAGGCGTATCAAAGATGTTTAAAAGGAAATTTTTGTCTTTTAAATCTGGTAAAAGAATGGTGAATGGTGTTGATTTGATCGAAACGCCGCGTTCTTGTTCAGTGAACAATGTATCCGTGTATCTTAACTAAAAAAAAGATATTAATCGCGATAGTTGAGAGACGGAGACAAATGTCAACGAACTTCTTTGTTTTCTGTTGAAGCTAAATATGGATGAGTTTGCTCAATCAATGCATCACAAAATGTTGTCTAAATCGAAGAGATTAAAGCGAAAATGATCGAAACGAACGTGTCGACTTACCTTTCCGTGATGTAAATGTCCACAGATAGCAATATTACGAACAAGTTCCGGACTATCCATTATATCCGCTAAATATCTACAAAAAACATCCTTAGTTTCCTCTCCAAGACATAAATGATGTGTTGATAATTACTCGAGATCATAGGTTGTTTCGGGTATTTCTTGTTCGACAAAGGCAAATTTATGTTTCTTTATAGGCGCAATGATTGGTTCAGTCAATGCTTGCGTATCTTCTTCTTGAACAACTGTTTCAACATCAGGTCCATAGATTTCTAGAGCACTTGGATAATACTTCTTATCTTCATGTAGAACAACAGCTGTGGACAAATTTGACATATCAACAGTAACATCTTCGCCTTCAGCTTCATCTCGATCATCTTCCTACAAGACAAAACATTCATCCACTTAAACAAAAACAAATCTTTCGGCTTCTTTACCATGTCACTTGTTTGATCCACATTGTTTAATTCATGTCGATAGCCATTCTGTTGTTCGTCATCGTCTTCCTCGTCCGATTCCAATTCCGGACCCATATAGTTTCCAAATTGATCATAAAGATCGGATTGATCCATAATTAAAAGAACAAACAAATAAGTTCAATCTAGAAAAGAAAAGAAAAACTCGAGAAGGTCAAACGATTGCTAATCGTTATTTAAACAATCTAGAAAATAAAGATCATCGAATGAACTTTGAAGTATCTTGTTAAGTAGTTTGTCCAATCTAGTGCCTCAATATTGAATAGAAGATTAGACTAGTGCAAAAACGAGTCGTCGAAGTTTATTTCATTAGTATTCAATTTCAACAGACGTTCTTGTCACTAACGAATAAATAGAAATCAAATCTTTTCTCACACTACAAAGGAAACGAAAAAATGCGTATGAGTCATTGACACAAGTAAAAACTATCTAGCTCTAATTGCTTTTCGATGTTCATTCAGAGAAATGCATCGAACAAATTGAAATGTATCCAGTTGCAGAACACGTAATGAAGAATACAAGGCGAAAGGAGAAATTTGATATAAATGATTATGCAAGAATAACAACAAGCATTTAATCCCAACAACGACTCGTCGACGACAACAGAACATTCAGTTCTGATTGCATCATACAGCTCGTTCAATGTCTGAACGAAGAAATATATTCGATCAATTGTAAGTAGTAGTCAATTTCAAACGAAGTTCAAGTGAATATAAAAGAAAAAGAGGAAGAGCATTGCTTCTCATCCATCGTTTCTCTCTTCTTTCGTAGAATATCTGTCTATGATGCATCGAAAATGAACAGCAGATAGTTTTGCTCGAAAATAATCAAGACAATCGTTGTATAAAGAACTGTGATTGTCATCAACCTTCAGGATACTTCACTCTTTCCTGTTTCTTCGTCTCTCTCTCTCTATTCTCATTGACATCACTTCGCTCTGTCTCTTTCGCTTCACATTTAATCTGTATATACATACACACGCATTTATTCTCTTATGTGCACACCATCACCCGATAATTTGTTGTATCGTCTATGCATATATCTAGCACTGCTGCCGTCGACATATATATATATAATGTATGCGTTTCAACTCGGATGGACATGTACATAGAAGAGTGAAGGAAAATGTATATGTGAAGAGAAAAATTCGTGTACAAACATCGATATCAAAGAACTTTCTTGTCAAAGTAAGAAATGCTTCCGTCTCTATTGATTACTACTATCAATCACATGTTTCACAGCGGGAGGTTCTTTGAACAGAGAAAGAAAATTTTTACCAAATGTCCCTCAACTGAAGGCATATCGTTCACTGACATTTGATCTTAAAAATCCGATTAAATTCGAGATATTAAAATAAATTCGTAAATCGTCACCATCATTTGTATTTCATAGTCTATACATAGCAGGCAGCTCGTCACGAAATTAGCTCGAAAACAAGATTGCCCTTTGCGAAAGATGACGAGTATAAAAAAAAACGCGGTCTCCACAAATACTCCGATGTTTTTCTCATTTGCATAGATTGAATATATCAAATTTGAGCGACGAAAAAAGCCTTTATCGCAAATTGTTTGTTGAAATAATCAAGATTCTAACAGGTAAGTGCTAATTCTCCAGTAAACAGTCACAATTTCTTGTTCAGTCATTGGACAATGCATCGAACGATTGAAGAAGATTTACAAGCGACCAAGAACTCGCATGAAAACGATAATCAACAGCCATTTTATTTATCACAAGAGAAACATCAACAAATAAAAGCAGCTCTCTATTATGAAACCGATCATTCATTAACATCGTGCAGGCCATCTTCTCCTCCAGCGATACTTCGACACGACAGCGATGAACAAACGAAAAGTATCGAACATTTTTCTCCAGTATTAACTGATACCATGCCTACGGCAACGAAAATACAATCGTCAGCGTCTACTCATATCACTTCATGTCCATCACGTTCGAGCACCATTTATATCGATGAGATGCATACAGCCCAACAAGAAGTGGAAAAACGTGAATTAAACACATTGAATGGTCGTTTTGGTAATTATTTGGATAAGATCAAACATTTGGTCAATGTCAATGCAAATCTCCGTCGACAAGTTGACCAAGCCTATCGAAAGTACATTGGACATACCGAAGAAGAACGAGAAGATGCGCATTCGAATCGAAAATATCTACATCCGTGCGAAAGTCAATTGCTTCATTTGCGAAAACAGATCAATGAGGAAGTACGAGCTCAAACCTTACTACAGATTCGCTTACAACGAGCCGATTTCGACATTGAATTCTATCAACACAACATCAAAGTTTTAACGTCACATGATCAGAAACAATCAGAACAAGTTCAGTATTTACGGCAACAACTTAACGTGAATTTACAAGATCTAGAACACCTCAAACGACAGTACGAGAGGCAGGAACAAGATTTAAACGTAAGGAAAGAAACAGGAGTTTTCGAAAAGGGTAATTTGTTGATTTTTCAGACTTACAAATCTCAATATAAGGAATATACGGAAAAACTAATGAAGTTCTCGAATGAATACGATACGATTGCGTATGAACGAATGGAAAATGAGAATATTCTATGCACACTCCGAGAGCAATATTCATTCGAAAAAGAATTCTATCATCGGCGTCAAGAAGAATTCGAATATCTAGAAAAATTTCAATACGATTTCGATAAACAATTCAATAAAACAGAATTGCATCAAACTGTTCAACAAATTCGGTATGTTGACGTTCATTGATCGAGTTCGATAAATAAATCGTTGCTTATATTTAGTCAAGATTATCAAGAGTTTAATCGGATTCGTTTAAGTGAATTAGAAAAGATCTATGAAAGTAAATTAGATGTCATTCGACAAGAATTTGTCAAACGTCAAGAGCAAAAACACTCGGTTACATCGAATGAAACTCATTTAACTTTAGAATCAACAAAGAAAGAATATCAAACGCTAATTGAACAAAACCAATCACTTCAAGATAAGTTAGGTAAATATCATCAGAGAGAAAAATTTCGAATTAAATCCATCTTTTCTGTTTCTTCGTTGTTTTAAGAACAACTTCAACATAATATGCACGATATTATCGAACAAAATAAACAAAGATATGAACTTTCGGATCGGGAATATAAACAATTGCAGGTCGACATACCTGCCTTAGATTCAATCGTTGTTCATCTACGAGAAAATGCCGTAAATCTTTCGGCAGAAATCAATACTTATAAATACCTATTAGTTAATTTATTTTCTACAACGAAAGAAAAGTCTTCGTCACCTTCTCACCCTCGTGCTCCTGTCCTCGCGCCACCTATAAGTAAACCGGTACCAAGCGAAAAACAAACGACCACATCGACAACGACGGAAGCTATTCCTACTGTGAAGAAAATCACGACAACGGTGGCGACCAAAGCGAGATCAACCCCTCGACAATATCGTGATGAAACAACTGGTTTCGTCGTACATATTGAGGACGGAATTATTTGGGTACGAATATAAACATTAGATTTCACATATGTCTGTACGCTTAGAAAGGAGAACTTTCATTCATTTGAATTTAGTATTAGTAAAAATATATAATATACATGTGTGTTCATGTGTGCTTGCTTCGTTTTAGTTCTATATGAATCCTATTTAAACAATAAAAAAAGGTGCCACTTACTTTTGGATGAAGATGGATCAATTGAAAGATATTTATCTGAAAAAGGAAATAGCAAATACATATTTTGTATTGTTAAGAGCCGAAACACGAAAAAAGAAAAGAGAATATTGTTCAACATAACAACATTTGTTCTTTTTACAAAAAAGCAAAACTACGAATATTTCGATTTCTTCTTGGCAGCTTCGGCATTCATACGAAGAACATCGCCGGGTGACATGTAAGGACGCATTTGGTACAGTTCGCCGCTAGCTGTGTCGTCAGCAGCACTTTTCGCTTTGCCCTTCACTTCGAGACCGGATGCCCAAGTACCTCTAGAAGAAAATAGTTAACGACGCTGGTTATCATGTACGATCTACCTTGGAACATCGGAATATGAAGATGGGTCCATCTACATGAGAAAATGGTGTTGTTTCTTTTCGAAAGAGAATAGATGAGCACTTACCGGATCCGCATCATAGCTGAGCATTTTACCAGCTAAAATGAATTGGTATATAATAGCAACAGTTCGAATTAGTATCACTACTAACCAATCTTTCGTTTCAATTTTTGTACAGGATTTAAATCTTCTTCGTCCGTATCAGATCGTTCTCCACCCTCAAGAAACATGTCGTTTGAAGGCGAACGTTATTCTCCTTCAATTCACTTACGTCCTCTTTGTTTTTCTTCTTTTTCTTTTTCAACGGTCCAGCAGCTTGTCGATGGGCTTCCGCCGCCTTTCTTTCCATTTCTTTATCTAACAAAGCACGACAGCTCGTATCTTCGAAACCTTTTGTCTTTCTTACGTTTTAATTTAATAGCTGATTCCGTGACATGCGATCTTGGATGTGAAGGTGGTAACCACGAGACTTCGTCAGTCTCTAAATTCCAATAATAACATCGATCCAAATTAGCGTCAGGTACTTCACGCCAATTGGTTGGTAATGGATACTTTTTCAGCATTCTTCGACGTCGTTTTTCGGTAATCGAATCTGGTGTATAGTTCTTGATTCCATATCTACAAGAAAATATGGTTATAACTATGTCCTCAATACGATCGGCTTTACTGTTTACCTTTTTTTACAATAGTCAACACACGTATGGTATGGGTTCCATTTGTTTGGACATTTAATACACTCTTCGAATTCGATCTGAATATCAGCAGCGGAGAAATTACTTGTCGTTGGCTACGACCGACAGAACGATGAAATCCACGTATGATTATCATGAATCAAACATACCCTTTTGGGTACTACGGCTGTCGATTGTTGATCATCGCGTTCATCATAACTTTCAGCGATGACTTCTTCATTGTCTTCGTCATTTTCCGCGCTGGCTTCTTAAAATGAACTTTTTAGACAGAAATTTCAATCGAATTGAAATACAAACCGAGTGCAGCATTTATGTTCGAAGCGTTGAGAATGCCTCGTTCAATTAAGCGGGCTTGTAGTGCAGACGAGAGTGGCATGTCTAGTTGAGAAAGGAAATGATTTTCACAATTTTCACAATGTAATTTCTTTAAAACTCACTCCATTGGTTCGTTTCAATCGACCAACCACAGACAAACATGAGTGAATTCATTTTTTGGTCGAAAGAATTTTTTTGGAGAAATTTTCATGTCGAAAATTTTGTTCTCAGAATTTTTCGTTTTTATGATCCACTCTAACGCCATCTATGTGGCAACTGACCATCAGTATGGGCAAGCAGTACATTTCACGGATTGATGTTCTCTGGTGCAATCTTGCGCTCGGCGAGTAGTTCTCTACTTGCCAACTCATACCTTCAACAATTCTTTCATTCATTCAATACAATCAACACTCCATTGTCAACGAAACAAGCACTGATTGATCCAAGTCCGCCATTAGTTGGTCAAGGGATTGCCATCAAAGAATATCTTAGAGAAAATGCAATTCCATTTGATGAATCATGGACATGTATCAAAGCATTATACTGTCGAAGTTCCAAGTTAGAACTTCGACAAAATCGAGTACCCGGTTTAATTCATATCGACAGAGAACGAGGTAAAAACAAAACGAAAAGATAATCTGAGTTCAAATCCTTATTGCTCAAAGGTGATTTCGCTTGTTCGAAATGCTCGGCAACTGGCACATGGGAAGATTTTAAGGACCAATCGCAACGTTTGCAATTAAGGTGAACTGACAAGTCTTCATTCGTTCATCATATTTCCGTTTTTGTTTTCAGAGCGGTCTGTCCGAAAATGAATATAGATTCAATTCAATTATCGGACGATGACCGACGCTTATGGGAGCAATCACAAGTCATTCAAGAAAAAGATAAAGACCTTGTTGAAGCACTTCTGACAAGATACGGATTCGATGAAGTAAGCTCAAAGTGATTTATCCCGTTGTTATCTGAAGAAATGCATGTATCAAGGAGCATACAATTACGTACACCACTCTTCAACGGTATGGCGTTCGAATCAATCAAGATCGGTTCATTGCACCGCTATATGATACAGATCGTTCGCTAGTGAACATTATTTCACTCGATCCAGCCACACATTCAGATACAACATCTTTGTATGGGTTTTAGTTGGCTTGTTTTTCGAATTTTTATTGCCTTTTGCGATAGGAAACTTCCTACACCATTTGGTCTCAACGTTCTTTCTGCGCGAAATGTTGAAATAGTGATTGTGGATTCCATTTGGAATGCACTGTGTGTCTTTCAAACGACTGGTAAAGTCGCCATTGCTCTGCCGAGTGGCAAACCTTCAATCAAAGTAAAGAAACTGTATTATTTCGCTGAACGAAGTAAGAAGTGTAATGAATTAGTTGATGATGGTATTGGAACATCTTCGTAAAATTCATATTTGGTATTCGGATGATAAGGCGTTTGCTTTTCGTCTCGCAAGTATTCTCAATCCTCATCGATGCTTTATGATCACGTAAATACACTTCTGATCAGCAGAAAGAAAGTCATTGTATTTTGTTTTCGAGGTACCCAATGAACGCACAAGTGGCTTTCAAAAGTGATCACAGTTTGAAAACAATTGTGAATGAAAGTTTCGCTGTGATTAATAAATGTATCGAACAGTTCGATAGTTTTCGTGATGTAATACGTGATGAACTATTGCAACGAACACGATTCGCTGGAACACAAGTTTGAGGACTAGTTTTGCGATCGAATTTTGTCATCGATTTCGTATCGTTTAGTGGCAACGATTTCCTATGTTGACGCAGATCCTCAAAGGCCATCGAGCCGGTGAACTGACTGTTTTGACGGGCGCTACTGGTTGCGGCAAAACAACATTTCTTAGTGAATATTCACTCGATCTGTGTATACAAGGAGTAAAGCAGATTTTAACAGACGACGTTTTTCTATACTAAATTTTTCTCGATAGGTATCAACGCTATTTGGCAGTTTTGAAATTCAAACCCATCGACTTGCGAAAGTCATGTTAACACAATATTCTGGGTAAGAAAAGCTCATGTACTGAATTGTCTGATCTAAATTTCGCGTTAGATTGAATCTATCGAAAAATCTGCATGTATTCGATAAATTCGCTGATCAATTTGCTCGTCTTCCGATGTTTTTCATGACATTTCACGGGGAGGAAAGGATCGACAAGGTGATCAATGTAAGTACTGAAAACAGCGAACTATTCGTTCTATTTTCATCGGAATCAAATTCTCGTAGACAATGGGAAATGCCGTTGCTATTCATAATATTCAACATGTTATTATTGATAATCTGCAATTCATGATGGGAATGGATTATTCCAACAATGACCGTTTTTTTAAACAGGACACGTTGATTCACCGTTTTAGAAAATTTGCAACAAATAACAAATGTCACGTGACAGTCGTTATTCATCCGAGAAAAGTAACCGATGTCCACGAGATATTTTCCAGTACATGTATTTCTATGTTAAGGAAGGTGATGAAGAAGAATTATCGGTTTCATCGATATTCGGTTCGGCCAAAGCATCACAAGAATCGGATAATCTGCTAATTATCCAACAGAAGAAGTTAGCAACGGCAACGAATGGAAGTGTTAAATATTTACAAGTAAATCGCTTGATACCAAATGTAGATGATGAAAACGTATGTTTAGATTGTTAAAAATCGATTTGATGGACAACTCGGTCGATTTGCACTTCGTTTCGACAAAGAGCGTTTGTCATTTTCTCGTCCAGTGCTTTCTCATCATGAATCAGACGACGGTCAACAACAAATACCAATGCTTTCGTCTTCTCTCTCTCAGGGATGTTTATAACTTTCAAACAGTACTTTGACATTTGTCATTTGTTGTATAATAAATTGTGATCTCTCAAAATCTATTGGATTTCAAACGGACTAGTCTCACATTGTGAGTAAAGCATTTTATTTAGATTTTTAAAGCGTAGATCACAATAAGCAATGAAAATATTCACCGGTTTCACAAAAAACACCTTTTAAGTGACGTGCAACGAGTAAACACACTGAACAAAACAAATTAATCGCACTACAATCTGGTTGTCAGTGGTTGAAAGTCTAAAACAAAATAGCTATGATTAGCAATATTCATATACACACAGTAAGTAAACATTTATAGACAATATTCAATTCAAATCACCTTTTAATCAACCTGCTCGACGACTAGTTCATAAGAAGTATCTTTTAGATCCATTGCTTGATAGAAATCTTTTACTTACTATCATTTTGATTCTGTGCTGGATGATCCGATGACTCTGCGTCTTCATCCTCACCAGCTAATTGTACAAAGATCTGTTCTAATGTTGTCTGAGTAACCGAATACGATTCGATCATCTTTTGTTCTTTCCGAGAATTTAAAAGTTCAAATACTCTGCCCAAGTTGAATGATAACTGAGTAGAACTCGTACCATTTGAAGTTGTAGACGAAAAAGGTATGTGACAAAAGAGTACTTCGTTATGTTGTTCTATTTATACGATTAACACAGTAGGATGTAAACTATTGAGAGAGATTTTTCTCTTACCATGATACTCAATGCCAGGTATATTTACCGATAAGTCTTGCTTCACTTTCTCGACATCATCGCCGGCAACTTTGATTTGTATAGCGTAACCGTTGCCAAAACGATAGCGTAAATGTTGTAGAGTACCTAGGCACATGAATTGACCGGTTTTCATAATACCAATTTCTAAAACAAAAGAATATCTATTTGAATCTCTATCCATCGTGCAACTTACTGGTACATAGCGCTTCACATTCTTCCATACTAAACGAACAAACGATCTGTGTTCAAGTTTAAATCAGATCTTTCTTTTACCTATGGCTTGTCATGATAATAGTCAAACCAACATCACGAGCAGCCCGAATCACTTTCCACAATTTTCGTTTAGCTGCTGCATCCAAGCCCTATGAAATCATGATCATACTAACAACTCCGTTTCCTCCTAATCAAGTAATCTCATACTGTTGTTGGTTCATCCAAAAACACTAACGCTGGATTCGCCATGAACGCTAGAGCAGCACTGACTTTTCGTTTATTTCCACCACTAAAATCGATATGCACGATGTGATCGAATGAACTTCATTTGTTTTTACCTAAGCTTTTGCACCAATCGGTTTTCATACATTTCAAGACCGAATATCGTCATCATATTCTTGCACATTTCGTGGATTTCTGAACCTTTGACGCCTTTCAATCTGTAAAAAGAAATGTTGTACTCACGCAATGAACCGAATCGAATCTTACCGAGCGAATAGCACTAATGTTTCGAAGACACTCAGATCGTACACAAGCCAATCGAATTGTGGACAGAATCCAATTTCCAAATCACGTTGCTGAAAGCACACAAAGAACAATTAAATTGACTGATTTTCTTATCGAAAAATAAAACACCAACCATTTCATTGATATTTTTTCCATTAATAATAATCTTTCCCGATGATGGTTTAATATCATTGACCAACATTCGAAACGTCGTTGTTTTTCCTGCTCCGTTCGCTCCTAAACCAATCAAAATTCACACAAGTAGAAGCACACGTTGATAGTCTTTTCATACCTAACAGACCAAAGCAAGCGCGTTGTTTCACATGAAAATTGACATGATTCACCGCGAAATAATCTTGTTTACTATTTGATTTTCCTCGTTTCTTTTGAAATCGTTTGACTAGATCACGAACAAGAATGACCGACGCTTTCGTTGTTTCATTGTCCTGTTGAAGTAATTGTCGTTCTCGTCGAACATCCTCATCCAAATGCTAGATACACAAACACATACCTTCGTATTCTAATTACCTATGACAACTTTTCCCATACCGAATCATTCCAATCGTCCGATGAATATGAATCATCTGAACAGCAACAGCGTTGCCAAGCTTGTCGTATCCGTAGACGATTTTCTACTATCATCAATATAATCCACCAAAACAATATTTGAACGATAAATATAATAAATTCGGAACCAACACCAGGTCTCTGTTTCGATAGCCACGGTTCATTGATGGATAACTTTGTGCCTACCATCGCATTTGATACGGCTATACAATCATTATTGGAATGTAGAAGAATATTGGAAATTGCGTGTTTCAAATTGATCGATGGTAATAAAGCCGCAAAAATCCACCGAATGTTCGTTATAATTGTTACTGTTCTCGTTGGACCTGCCGCTGGATTATCATTTTTAGTAAACACTGCAACTGAACTCGCTACTGCGTCAACGACACACACGATCACATTGATAATGAAGAAATTTGTGAAAGCCATAATAGACGATTTGGGAATAAACGAAAAAACGTAAACGAATGGTAGAGATGCGAGAACGTACATAAACCACATGAAGAAAAACATGCCCATCGCCGCTGATTCTCGAAAAACACGAACTTCCGCATCACTTTTTGAATTAGCTTGAGCACCAATCTATACAAAAAGAAAGTAAATGAAGCATCAACAGTTTCCTTATCTTATACCTCAACAATCACAGTTAATAATGCAATCAGTATTAGACATATACAAAAATCGAAGAGCCAATTCGAAAGCCAATATGTTCGCTTAGTTAAATTAGTTAACAGCTGTAGATCTTTGGAATTATTCAAACGTTCAGTGACTAGTTGTAGGAGAAGAACACCGATGAATATAGTAGCTACAATTGCATTTAGAAAACTAAATAATGAAATTGGAAATGCTTCGAAGCAGTAGAGAACGGAAAGAACTTCGGCAATATAGGATGCGCCTCTTGTTGGTGTAATGATCGGCTGATTGGTAGTGATAATACTTTTATTTGGCGAATTAGCATAGAATTGAAAGAGATTCGTTGCAGCAACACCTAAACTTACAGCCATTGTGTGATAACTGACTGTTGAAAAGTAAGAATTCATCCGTAATATTGGCGATCCCGATGATCCATTGTTATATGCAGCATAACTTGTTTGATATTTATTGATAAATATATCTTCCGACTGGTAATAACGATCTCTAACATAACTAAGCACAGTATCCGTAGTGATTTCATCGACGGATGCACCTGTATTTGTGAGATAGTTGATCAAACGAGTGCGAACAAGATTATTATCATTATTTGCATATGCAACGATCGTTTGAGGATTGTAGATCGATGGTTCGAGTGTGACTTGAGCATCGGGAATACGTTCATTGCTCATTAGTGTGGATTGAATTTCTTGTGGTGTTGGCACGGCAGCAACAGTAAGAATTTCGATCAGGAGAGGAAGTAGAAAGAAACCTAAGAGTAAACTAACTTGGCGACGGGATACATGCCAACGTTTGACTAGTAGTGCTCGGGCACGAGTACAGAACAGTCCGAAACCGCTAACGCGTTCGTATTGTTTACGAAAGACTAGAATAGGCGATAACGATTGGAATGATTAGATGAAAAATTGCATTGAATTTACCTTGATCGTCTAACGTTGTTTTGACTATTCCATGTTCTTGTTCTTCTTCTTCGAGAACTAATCTAAAAACGACGAACAAATATCTTTCGAGTTATCTAACAAATGCCTTCTTCATCTGTTACCGGAGAAACACATCTTCAATAGTTGTCATAGACAATCCATATGAATTGATTCCAATAGTTTGTTTTTGCTGCTCAAGTCCTGTTATTAAGCGTTCGATTTGTTTCGATTCGCCACGCTTGATTCCATAAACGAGTTCGGCAGCTGATTCACGTTCTAGCACAACGTTAGCGACGTATTCTCGGAGGAATTGTGTTATGCGTTCACTCGAACAGCTATCTTGTTTATCCATTAACAATCGATATTCAAATTCTAAAGCGATCCAGCGTTTTGTTATACTGAAATGAGTCGCTTTTCAAACCTGTTTGTTGTTTGAGAAAATCTGGTGTACCATTGGCTTGTAGTCGACCACGACTCATAATCGCAATTCGATCTGATAGAACATCTGCTTCTTCGAGGAAATGGGTGGTTAATAAAACACATTTGCCAGTTAATTTCAATTTTCTGATGATAGTCCAAATGAGTCGACGATTGTACGGGTCAATCCCACTTGTTGGTTCATCGAGAATAACAACCTAATAAGAACAGATTTCATACAAATGATAATTCTCTCAATTCTCTTTTGACAAACTTTTGGATCATTAATGAGTGAAATTCCGATCGATAGTCGACGTTTCATACCACCAGAGAGATCTTTTGAAAGTGTACCACGATCATTTGTCAAGCCAATTAATTGAAGAATAGTTTCAATAGATTCTTTCATTACTTCTTTATCCATATGACGCATCTAAAAATGATGAAACGTCATAAATTCTTCAACTGATATACTATAATCATTTTTCACCTTAGCAATTAATTCCAAATGTTCCTCAACTGATAATTCATTGTAGAGAATATCTATAGCAACAATTAGTGAAGAAAAATTCGATATCGATGATTTCGTTACCATATTGTGGACAAAAGCCAAGATGGTGTCGAACTTCTTCAATTTGAGATTGATTATCGAACCCTTGAATCGTTACACGACCCGATGTCGGCTCCAACATTCCTTAACAAATGTATATTCGTCATTCCTACACTTCTCTCAAATAGAACTGTCGTAACATACCGACAAGAATAAATGTTGTTGTTGTTTTTCCAGCACCGTTATGCCCTAACAATGTACAAACTTCTCCTGCGAAGAATTCCAGAGTTAGATTCGAAACAGCTTGAAATTTTCCAAATTTCTAGCACGAAAAAGTCGTCGTATAATTTCAATCGATCGTTTTGCCTCCTTACCTTATTCAAATGATCAATTGACATTGCTGGACTTTTCTTTTTCTCAACCTGATTCATTTCAATCCAATGATTTGCATTTGCTGCATGATTATCTATCTGATCCATGTTATTCATAGCGTCGGTCGGTCGAACACTTGACGATGTCATCCAGTAAGATTTTTTTAACCAATAATTCCACGGTTGAGAAACGCCAAATTCACCGGGGTTCAATCGTTCGACATAGACAGCAAGAAACATGTAAATCACGGAGTAGATTAACATCAAAAGTAGACACACGCCAATATACAATGGATAATCAAATATATTCACGTAGAGATGTTCGAAGGTGGCCATTCCACCTAAAAAATTATGTGATTCGTGATTTTTTACATCGACTAACTTACTACTGCGACGTTCGAATTGTTGAAGTACTTGGATACAAAACAGAAGACCAGCGTTCGGAAATAGACAAAGAATATAGCGAACAGCAGCAGGTGCAGCGCCATAAAAATCGATGAACGTAATGATCCAAAGTACAACACCCAGTAGTTTTGCCAAAAGCGCTACAAGAGAACGTGATTTTCGGTGAAATTGTGACGATCTTACCTCTTTTGAAAAGTTGACCGAAGAAGACTGCGAAAGTCGAAACTTCAATCGAATAAACGAATAGAATCGTCCATAATAATGTCCAATGTGTAAAATTGAATACGGCTCGCGTAACACTAGTTGCTCGAGTGCCCGTACTACCAAAGACGATCATGCTCAAACCAGTCGCAACACCAGTTAATACAAAATAAATGCTCATGGATCGAGTGATCCACACCAGATTATTCACCCAAGTGCGAAGGCCAAATATCCGAAGGTATTCCTAGATTAAAAACGAGTTATAGTACAATCTGCAATTTATCGCTCTTTTTTTCGTCAAAACAATAAGAAGAGAATTTGAATTAATGAAGAAATTTATGATCATAAAATACGACAAGTTTACCTTCGTTTTATTGGCTCGTTCCTCGACAATATAACCGAGATTGAGAATAAACGTAACCAAATATATAATTGAATAAAATAATGGAACGAAGAAACTAAAACCAGCATGAAGTTGATCTAGATAGACCGCCGGACAACCAAAATGGTTGAGATAGACCTAAACACGACACTTCCATTCATTATCACTCCGCCAAGTAATGCCACTTACACTTGACTGATCCGGATTGGCGCCTGTTATATATTGAATTATTGACAGATCAATAAAATACTGGATTCCTAAAAACTGAGTCGTGTAATTCAACGTTGTTGTATTATCTACAAATGAACAGCTGCACATGTTTATTTTTCAATATTCCAGTGAATACCTTGACAATAATCTTCAGGTGCACGTTTCCACAAGAAGTCTTTCATAGGTGGTCTGACCAGCTGCGGACGATAGTATCGCAAACCATTTCTATTTATCAAACAATTCAATGAAAACGACGACTTCGGACTCAGTCAAAATCATACTCTTGCATTCGTAGAGTATAAGCCACTTGATCAGGCATGGCACTCGCACTCGAACAAAGTGGATCAATGTTTGTAAAATAAATGTATGCATATATAGTTCCCAGTGTTGAATTCGATAGTGATGAAATAGACGAACTCGGAATAACTTGCACTGAAAAGTTATCAACAGTGAGAAAACGCTTGCAATTTGCTAATTTCAATCGTCATACCGTTATTAGGAAAACCTGGCACATTTGCTGCAAGATTTGTGATCGCATTCGTCACAATCGTTTGTGTGCATACATTTGCTAGAAAACAAAACAGTGTTTAAGTGCATATTTTTCGTATGAGAACATACATGGATAGTAATATGTCGTATTGGCTAGAGTACTATTCACTGTCATTCGATCGAACGGACGAAATGGTGGAAATTGCATGGGACTGTAATAACTTCGGTCGAGTAAATAACGCATGCCAAGTAAAAGGCCGACAAAAACGTAAGCAAGTAGAAATTCTGCTATCGTCTGACCACGTTTACGTTTTGTTAGAATAAGCATTTTAACGAGCAAAGCTCGATACTCGCCCAAGAATTTCAGACAGCCATTGCGACGCGGACGATTAAGTTGCGATTCCATCATTACTCGATGCTCTCCTGAAAGAAAATTCTGAGTAAATGGAAAAAAAAACTTCCTTTTTCTATTTTTTTATGCGACTGTTTTTGTTGATTACACAACCTATGGTATTTTTTTTCTTTCTCTACTCCAGTTCACTCATGCTTGTTTTCGCCATATGTACTCGTTTTGATGACATCGTTATATAACGACGATGACGACAAATCAGTTTTTTTTAAAGGTAAAATAGCGATTTAGTCACACGAAAAAGCAATTCTCACAGAGTATGTTTATCGGGTAAAAGGTTACTATGACTGGGGCTATTTGTCTGGTGACAAAAAAAAAGAAAATTCAGTAAATGTCGCATGTTTCTTTACATAACACTTGTCGAGCGTCGGAAAAAAGTTTGCCTTTAAAATGTTGAAGATGTGTTGTAAGAGGATCTCCACAGTATCGTACAGAGATTGTCTTACTAATCTGGAAATTATCGCAAATCTAGAACGTGTTTTCTGCTAGTTATGAGCTGTTTCCGTGTGTATCAATTGAAATCTCAGAAAAGGATGTTTTTTCTCTCGTTTTCATTTGTCAGTACGCTTTTTTTTGCATTCAAAGAACAGTCGTTGAGAGAAGAAAGAGGACACAGAACGCACTCGGAGGACGTGCTGAAACGTTCGGAGTTCTCAAAACTATTTTTCATATATTTTGATGTCAACAGCGCAAAGTTAGCTTTCCTTTTCTACCGAAGAGAAAAAAAAGTAGTGTTATTCATGTCATTATACGTGGTAAAGAGTGAAAAATAACACGTTTGCACTGAAACGGATTACCAAGACTATAGAACAAATGCAAAAGGCTAGATAAAAATATTAAACCCTTATTTGTTTATCCAAGCTAATTTGCCTGTCACTCTCAATTGACATATTAAAGGAAAATGCTTCTATCAAAATATTTCTTGAAAAGATTATAATATAAGTAATGGGAACGGATTCATTTTATTTCAATGGGTAGTTCTGGACAGAAATGTGATAGTATATTATTATATAGCAAGAAATGCTGTCATGCGGTTCTTTGACTATTGAAAGATGCCTTTTGCCGCACCTCGACCTGTCCACCAGCGGTGATTGATGATTGTGCATTATAGGGCGGTTGTATTGGTTGACCTGGTGCAGATATTTGTGTTTCAATCCGATTGTCACGGTACACCATAGAAACAAGTTTATTCTTTCTCAGCCGTGGAGTGATATGAATCAGCATTAAACCCATGAATATCATACAAAGCGCTGTGACTAGACCCACAATACCAAATGTATATTCATACATCTGGCCTCTGATTACCGCATATACCATGAAGATGATAGTGGGACCACGAAGTGCGATCAGTACAGATATTAGTACCAGAATACGTCTCATGACAGTCAGGTCGCGCAAATTTCGTTGTTGCTGGTTAATCGCGAGCATCGTCGTTGGTCGTCGAGATGATTTTCGAATATATCTTGTGATCGATATGTAAGTTGTAGATATACATACTATAGGAATAACGTATAGAACCATGACATGGTACAACTCTGCACCATAGTCCGAGTATGGAATAAGGCAATATTGTTCGGTTGGTAAGGGAGTGTACCATCCGAGGAAGAACGGTGGGAGAAGTATGACGATTGTTAGTGTCCACTGGGCAAAGACGAGGGAGATGAAGAGTGAATAGGATAGGAGAGATTTCTTTTTGTAGAATATAACTCGGCAGAGACGATAGAACGCTTGTAAGTAGAAACTGTGGTAGATGGAGCACTGGCACATATCGTATATGAGACCCCAAACACGACAGAAGTCGAAGTTGAAGGTGAGGAAACCGCTCGAGAGATTAGATGTGTTCATAATCAAAACAGTCAGACAGGTGAGAAGTGCAGCAAAACAAGTATTGTACGTTAGGACAAGTGAAATGTCGCGCATATCTCGTCGGTACAGAATACCAAGGATAATGATGAAAAAAAAGATAAAAAGAGCAATGAAGTTGAAACCACAGTTGAAGACACCAAGAATCGTTGCAATTGTGAACATTGTTTAAATGGAATGAAAATCTATTATAAAAAGAAAAGAGTCCTATATGTCTTCTTCATTGTTTGTATTAAAGAGCACACATCGTCTACATTTCTATGAACCGTCCCGACTTGAAATGGATACGCATATATATATATGTCAAAATACTAAGTATTTTACGCTCTAACGTCACACATAATTTTCTGATTACCATTAATAAAAATCAAGTTCCTTCGGAACATAATCTGTTTTTCTCATGCAATTGAAGGTCAAGTAGCTGACACTTATTCTCGATTATGTCGTAGAGGTCTAGTAAGCGTTGGTAATCGTTTCAAAGCATTTTTTGCGTTTAGTTTTTATGATTTTACTAACGAACATCTCGAATAAGTGCGCAGCTAGAAAATTGAAAAGGTGTATTTCAGCTTCGTTTGTCGAAGCAACTAGTTACGTGCCGATATGAATGAAATCAAATGTGTAAATAGTACTACAAATGCTTTTCTGTCAATGATATTTCTCTTAATGAAAAACGTTGAAGAGCCGGTAAGTAAGATGAGACAACATCTCTGTGTGTAGATGAAAAATATGAGCGTAATCTTAAGATAAGCTAATGAGTTTTTTTCATTTTTTTCGAAACGATGCATAACTGGATGACTTGACATTCATTAGGAGATAGAGATTCTAGAGCAGAGATTAGCACCTAGAAACAATTTTTGGTTCATATTATTGTTGACATATATTTAATTATGTAAATGAAGCCCTAATGGCGTGAATGATAATGATCTGTCGTCAGAGATGGTCATGATGACAATGACGTATGACTGAATAGTTTGCAATAGTGAACAAAATGGATATTTATCATGCGATATATGTCAAAAGATTAGAGCGTAACATTAATTATTTTATTGACGTGAAAGAAAGGTCATTCGTGAGTGGGAGTTTTTCGAATGCGAGGAGATTTTGTCTGTTGACGGAGACCAGTTGCACCGCCAGTCGTTGATGGCAGTGTTAGGCATTGTGGTCCAGTTTGTCGAGTATTTGCTCGATTATCATGATAAATTATGGAAACAAGTCGATTCTTTCTCAGCTGTGGAGTAATATGAATCAGCATTAAACCCATGAATATCATACAAAGCGCTGCGACTAGACCTACAATACCAAATGTATATTCGTACATCTGGCCTCTGATCACCGCATATACCATGAAGATGATAGTGGGACCACGAAGTGCGATCAGTACAGATATTAGTACCAGAATACGTCTCATGACAGTCAGGTCGCGCAAATTTCGTTGTTGCTGGTTAATCGCGAGCATCGTCGTTGGTCGTCGAGATGATTTTCGAATATATCTTGTGATCGATATGTAAGTTGTAGATATACATACTATAGGAATAACGTATAGAACCATGACATGGTACAACTCTGCACCATAGTCCGAGTATGGAATAAGGCAATATTGTTCGGTTGGTAAGGGAGTGTACCATCCGAGGAAGAACGGTGGGAGAAGTATGACGATTGTTAGTGTCCACTGGGCAAAGACGAGGGAGATGAAGAGTGAATAGGATAGGAGAGATTTCTTTTTGTAGAATATAACTCGGCAGAGACGATAGAACGCTTGTAAGTAGAAACTGTGGTAGATGGAGCACTGGCACATATCGTATATGAGACCCCAAACACGACAGAAGTCGAAGTTGAAGGTGAGGAAACCGCTCGAGAGATTAGATGTGTTCATAATCAAAACAGTCAGACAGGTGAGAAGTGCAGCAAAACAAGTATTGTACGTTAGGACAAGTGAAATGTCGCGCATATCTCGTCGGCATAGAACACCGAGAATAATGATGAAAAAGAAAACAAAAACGGCAACAAAATTCAGAGCATAAGTCAGAATACTGAGAGTAGTTCCTGTTGAAGTCATTGTAATTGATTCCACTGGTTCGTTCAACTGAGATAAACTCGTATAGTAAATCTTCATGAAAAGCGCTTTTATACGCCGCTCAATTAATATTGTCACGAATCCTGATGGCGTTTTTTAGGGGTGTATCGCCTTAAAATCATTCGGCTTTTCTTAATTATATATGAAAATCATGCGTGATGTATCCTATAATGAATGATACCACTAAGGCAGATTCACTTTTCATAGTAGTTCACCAGTAACATTCTCAATTGGTCTCATCCAAACAAAATTGAGAAGATCATATAAAACATTGGATAGCAATTAGAGTGTAATGAATGGTAAGGTAGTTAGACTTAATTTTATTAATTTTTCTACTTATGCAGCTGGTTTCACTGCAAGAAAACCGAAAGAATTACAGATCCGTTAGTTCATATAATACTTCTGAGACGTTTTACTCATTTTTATTACAGTAAAAATTGTTTTAGTTGTAAAAGAAAATAACCCATGAATTTTTTTTCATTCTTATCACACTGAATGATTTTAAACTACAGAGTTCCGCCCGATTGGCTGACTAATCCTTCAGATACTTTTGAATTATTGTCTGCTACAATCTCACCTAAACAGGTTGACAATGATGGGAATGTGTGATAATATATTGCAAAAAAAAGATGTGAAGCGAAGTGCTGTTGATTACTTGTCATGCTAAATAGAAACTATCTAGCTTCCGATTTGGACAGTTCGTTCAGGCCTAAGCAATATTCTACTAATGAATATCTGGATCATCGCATTTAAATGAAGCTGGCCGATTTACGATGTTTGTATGGATCATTTGTAGATGGTTGGGAATATGTGTTGTATGGACGGTTCTTACTATCGGAAAAATATTCACAACAGACGAAGGCCAAAGTTCAGGTAAACTCATTAAAGAAACGTATGGACATAATAAAACCACGACATAAATCCCGTATGGTAATATATTAATACTTAAGTCAATTAGAATCTGTTGTGGTACGGTGGAAAATAACAGAATCGACGAAGAAGTCACCATCGGTAGCCAAACAAGGTTGTACAGAATGACAATGTAAAGCAATTGTAGTACTAAACGTCGATTCTTCTTCCACATCTGTTGTTGTTGCATATGACGTTTTTGTTTCAAAACTCGACTCAGAAGAATGAGACTGACGACAGTGCTGACTGTTACGGGAAAAACAAGGTTAGTAAATTGATCGAATGTGCTGATTGCTGGCGCATAGAAATAACACGGCCCGCCGCAAGTGATCATCGTAAATGTAAATTGATTTGTGCAAGGGTAGAAAAAAATGAAATAGATATATAGAACAATTGGATATAGGATGCACAAACTCATTGGGATATAATGACGAATGAGTCGGTGATGGTTGAAAAAGGCGCGTTTAAAGACAAGCAGATATCTTTCGATTGCTGTAAACGCCATTAACATTAGAATCATAACATTAAACGAATAATCTAGACATGCCCAAAGTTTACAAAAGAAATCCGTTGGAATAGGAACAAAACCGTTATGTAAATACGAAAGAATGATCGGTAATTCAATTGCTACCTTGAAATATTCACTGATTAAAGCGAAACGAATCAGACGATAACTTACCTGTAAGAAACTACATATTAGTACTGCAAGGATTGTATGACTGCGAACTTGCTTTTGTAGTAGTCCTTTGCGGATATATTGTACAAAGATGAATAGATAGCATGGAATCGAAAATATGATCAATCCCGTAAAAATACCGAACGGAATTGAACGAGAGAGGCTAGCAGACGTGATGCTATCGGAAATATATGTACTGTTACTCGCGGACATTTGCAAAGATGAATGAAATGTTCTACTTAGAGTTGATTCGATGAAATATCCTCCTGGTTTTCTGCATATGACAGTTCACTAATGAATTGTCTTGAATATGCGTGTGGGTGATAAATAAATGGATCAAATTGCTCCTCAGTACACAAAACTCATTCTAATTTGCGCATATTATTTCCTTTTCTGACAGAAAGGGTTATACAGCGTTTTAATCACCGGCTTGAAATGCAAAAAATTTGTCTGTCCAAGCTAATCAAATTGCAGCATTTCATAAATCAGTGAAATTTATATAGGAATGATTTACCGAAGGATATCGAGGTCCAGGATCACGAAACTCGTGTTGGTTTTTTTTCATAAAAAATTCTGTTCCGATTTTTGGGATAAAAGATCGTTTTTTTCCAAAACAAAATTTTGTGTAAGGGCTCATTCAAAAGTTTTCAAGGTGGAGGGAATACGGATCTGCTGTTAACTTTTGGTGAATTACCATTTCTGGACAGTCGCTCTTTTTCAGAAAACTTAATTGTTTTCTAGTTTCTCTTGAAATTTGACTGAGGGCTATAGAAAATAATAATCTAATATCGATTCTCCCTGATTGACTGTATTTGAGCCTTCTCATGCTCTTCTCTTCGCAAAAGAAATCGCTCTGTAACGCATTTTTCAAAAGTTTCAAAGATAATGAATTGAACTATATCGATGGCAATAATGTGCTCCATTAGAAGTGTTTACAAGTCCTGAGTGTCAGATTTAGTAAGAATATCATGTAAAGCTTTAGTTCAGGTAATCAGAAGAAGAGGTGCAAGATTGATATCAGCTTCGATTAAACATTTTTGCGTAATCCATAACTACAAATAATCCATGCATATCTATATGAAAAGAAAAGTTGTTGAACGAACCGATTTCAAGCAATTATCTTCGGAAAGATCACCATTAAAATATTCATAAGATGATTCAAGAATATGTTCTTGTCGAATATTGAGTTCTTTGTTCGAATCAACTTTCGCAAGATGTTGTGGTAATTTACGTTTGAAATCATTTTGAAGTTCTAAATAGAAAAAAAAACTCGAATCAATACGGAAATCACAAACAAATAAAAAAAAAGAAATTTCTCAGACGTACGTAAATTAGCATCTGCAAAAAGTTGTTGCTGTTGTAATTGTATTTCACCACCACCTATTTTCACTGGTTCAAGAACAGGTTCATTAATTTCTTCAAGAAGTTCACACGAATATTCGTCATCTTGAAGATGTGCTGAGCCTTAAATTAACCATGAAGTTTTTATTTATGAATTTTGTTTCATATTAAACTTACCAAGATAAGGCATACAATTAGTTGTTTTCTGAGTATTTTCAATGCTGGCCATTGATTTAGCATGACCATCCCAGGTCGACAAATCCGACGTTGGATCCGACCATCCGACGAAATCCGATAGGATTCCTGGTGACGGAATTGCATCGGATTCTGACTGGAAAAATCCAGTCATTTGTTGCAAATTTTATGAGTGTTATTTTTAGCTAGGTTCTATGATGACCCTTAGAAAATCCATAAAATCCGTGTTTCGGATTCGACATGGGATCCCATCGGATCCGAGTATGGGATTTGTCGACCTCGGATTATCACCTTGTGCTGAATATACTTTATCTGGAACTGATGATAGGGTAGTATTGACAGTAGTTTTGTTCGACATAATTAAATAAATATCAATGAATAGAACTACGAAGCTGTCTATGATGAAATATAACGTGAAACGCAGACAGTATGATTATATATACGTCGACTTAACCAAACCTCGATCATATCCTTTGTTTGTTATGTAGAGAAGATAGAGTTCACATTTCTATTGTTAAGTAACAAAGTATCTTCGATATAATCGGTCCGTCTGAAGACAACAGTAATGATGAAATATTGTCTAACTATGCACATAGTAACAGCGTCATCGATTCGAAAAATCAAACATTCTATGGATAACACGTTTTCAATTTACGAGAAGTAACTTCGACAGTAGTGTCAAGGTATTTTTCTTCTTTTGCGTTCTGCGCTGGATATCGGTTGACATCCTCACGTCCAACGCAGAACGCAAGAGAAGAAAAATATTTTGCCACTACTGACTTTTTGAAGACGAAAAATGGTTGACGTTTTTGTGTTGTTTCTAATGTTTATCTAAATACGACTCGACGCCTAATGACACTACTGTGACACTCTGATGATGTACAACTGATTAGTACCAAGAATATTTGGAAGTTCATTCAAATCAGCTTCAGTATGATGATCATCTATTATTTCTATTGTATGATTAACAAAACTGTCATCTTCGTCATCGTGCATTGCCATATGTGGTAATCGAGAATAGCTATGTTCAATTGAAACAGCAGATAGAACTTGACGTGAATGTTTCTTCTGGACTTCGTATACTTTTTCCAATTAGTTTCATTTCGTTTGTGTTGAACAACTGATCACACATCGGAAGTTTGAAGCTTGATTGGGAAAATGCCAGACGAGTTTGTTTACATGTCGAACAAAAGAAAATCTCAATGGTCAACGTTACTTTTACGTTGAAACATATTTGTTTTGTTCAAACGAGATTGCATATCATATCAAACAGCGTTATCTGAATGATTCTCATGCCTTGAAATAGCTTCTCATTCTCCTTCGAATCTCATTCATTTCCGAGCAATTCACGGTCTTTCAATGATATGAAATTGTTCATATTCAATGGGAAATGATCATCAATTCAATAACAGATTTCAAAGAATATTTCAACAAATGTTTACAGTTGTTAATCAGATGATGAGATAATTTAAAAAATCTTTTCAATGAGTGATCTTGTTCATAACCATGTCTAATTTGATTGTTTATTAGGTGGTGATCACCCCAAATCAACTTCGAATTGAACCATTAATCCACATATGAGAACAGTTGTTCTTCTTCATTCAATTTCTATTCATCTGACTCGTTATGCTAATCAAGAAAAACTTTTATCTCGGTCAATTCCATCTGAAATAAAAGAAGATCCTTAGCAATTACTTCGCCGTTGTTTCCTTGATAAATAAATGATTATCAATATGATTTTTCAGAATATTCGCCAGATTATGTCGATCGATTGGTTGAACAATTTTGTGAAGCATTCTCTAAATGCGATTCTTGTCCTCTGAAAGAGTCTCCTTTGAAAAATGAGCGGATCATTCAATTCAATCATAGAAACATATCATCAGATGAACATTTCACTTGACCTTTATTCAACTGCAGAATTTTATTTTTTCGTCGAGAACATTCAACAACTGATGTACAATTGATCAATGCAGCGTGTGATGCATGACGTCGTCGTTTGAATACTCTATAGAATTCTATTCATTAAAAGCTCGATGAAGATTTTGCCGTGGTATTAACAAATAACGCTCGTCAAGAACACTCACTTGGCCCTCGCCTAATCGTAATTAGTGAGGTCGAATAAGGATCTCTAGCCTTATAGCCTCTCCTTTCAAAGAAATCGATACGCATATGACCAAAAGAAAAGTCACTGTGTACAGACATTTCCATCTTTTGTACTTAATGTCGGCTGTTCTTTCAAAATTTCTATAGCCGACAAGAAAAGACATCTCACAGTCGATCGTTGGTGCTCTTCCAGTTCGCCACTCTCACATACTCGATGTTGCTTATAACACCTATCATTTCAAATCAAGCCACGCATTATTCTTTCTCAAGACTTTACAACCATTCATAGTTTCCGATAAAATATTCTTTTTCGAATAACCCATCGAGGAGCAGTACTTCAGCGTACATTGGTCACAGACAAACAAGCTACTAAAACCGCTCGTCATCATCATAAGTTCTCTGAGATGATGACAACTCTTCTTTACGCCATTTAATGCTACTCGGTTTACATAACTATCGTCTTACTAGTTTAGATAAGTGTGTGGTCAGCTACGTAAATAGATTAGTCATAAACTAGATTGACACAAAAGACCATGGCGACATATTCTCTTAAGTACTTGTACCATCGTATTTTCGATGATTTCTGGACTTACACCATTGTATCAGATGTCTCAAGGGAGGCATTCATATAGTCTCTCGAGCTCCTATGCGAGCACATTTGTGACATCGAGTCATACTCGCTGCTGCTAACCAACGATTTTCAGTCTATCCATCCATCACCTGTTTATTGTTTTCGCACGATCACTTCGAAGCAGGCACTCTCTTGGTATAATTGGCCTTATAGTGGACATTGCCTTTCCTCCAAACTGTTCCACAAACTTCATGGAAACACCTTCGTATAGAACATTTCGTTTCTCATTAGTCTAGGCAAACACGCAAGGAAATGTGTATGACCCATAGCTGTCACAATATCATTACCCTTAGTATCCAGAGCTGAACGTCTCGATATCCATCTGGTAACCAAATACAAATATCTAATTGACTTCGTTACCCAACGGGTAACGAAATGGATACCCACACTGTATCTTAGAAAAGCTGAGGGATTTGAGCGATATCAGTCAGTATATAGAAGGCTGCAGTGGCGTCATGGAGGGTAATTATTGTTATCGAAACTGTCATTGCATTCTGTCATGAGTCATTTGTATATGACTTGAGATTCCGGAGTCATGTACACAGAATATATATAGGAGAGCATTTATGCTCGAGAGTGTGTGTATCCCATCCGAATAAAGCTACATACATCACAGGAACCCTTACGATCAAATATAATTGAGATTTGACGCTAGTAGAGTGGAGTATGGAGAATGGGAGCTTACATACTTAGGCTTTGGTACTATATGTGTTTGTGAATCCGAAAATGATTTTCGACTGTACTGACCATACCTCACCTTTACTTTACCCTGTGTCTACCGACCGACCCTCACCCACACCCTCGAGATGTGATAAAACAACACAAAAAATTTTTGAATAGGAACTCTAAATAGGTCCATATTTCCAACCAAAATGCATAGAAGCTGTTCCGACTTTAATTTTGCGAAACAATAACGGAATCAAACTGAAACGATCGAGAAAAAGAGGTATCGAACTATCAGTTTAAAAAGATCAATAGAAGAAAAATATCTGTACAAGGTTCATTGATGGTCAACTCTATAATAATAACATGTTCAAGAGCATCATGCTCATTGCAAGTTTTTAGAAGTTAGTCAGTTTGATTCTAAGAAAAAAAGGAAATATATGGTGAATTTCATCTTTTTTCGTTTATGCTTCATTTATTTATGTCGTTTCGCTCTGAAGCGCTTACGACTCCTCTTTTCTTTAAAGAAACACTAACTCTTGCGATACGAAGCTACAAATTTGTGGCGCTAAGCAGTTATTAGTGCAAGCTATAACATGTGCGTATTACACTTTATGAGGAGAGAGTAATGATAAAAAGAGAGAGAAAAAAAGGAGAATGAAAGAGTTGCTATGAAATATGAAATATAAAAAAGATAGAGAACACCGAAATACTAATGCGTGATCAAGTTGATATGTGTAACAAGACTGTTAAGCATGAAATACAGTACGAAAAGTGGAAGAGAACGAGCAGTTATGGTGAATTTCATCTTATAAAAGTGTCATATAGTTGAAAAATTATCAGCAACAAAAAATTCAATTACAATTTCTATACAAGCACTTCATCAATCAAGAAAAAGTGCGAGCTCATCCATATTCATACCTAAAATAAACAAAATATCAGCACAGACATCTATCGTACATGCATAATCATTTTTCAGGACAAGATAAGAAATAGAATGGGGAATAATCTTTATATTCAAACGTAATCGTTCATTTCTTTAACATTCGATCTACTGTTCATCAATCCCAAATGAGATCAACCGGTAAGATTTCAAAAAAGTTATTCAAAACATCAGAAATCGAAAATAATTCATGTCCTAAGATTATGGTTGATATTATATCAAATAAATTTCTGTTATGAAGTTGATTAGCGAAATTTTGAAACGAACCTTCTCAACTTTTATTTGAATTAGAATGCTTTTTTTAAATACCTACGATATGACTTCTCAGGTGACAATGTGAATAAGAACTATGACAAGTACATAATAATAATAATAGAATTCAAACTATTATAAATAATTTCAGCAAAAGAAATATTTTACTGTTAGTCATTCAGTCAAAGGTTAAGCGAGTCTGCCTCGACGAGCGTTACTATCTTTTTACACCTTACTGAACTAAATTGACAGCTATCTCATTCTTCTCTTTTACAGTTATCCTACGAGATACATTCACAACCAATTCAAAAGATTTTTCACTAAAAATTTCATTACATCAATGTCTATCATTCCAATGATCCATGATGAAAATGAATTCTTACTGTTACGTCAACAACTATTAGATGAAACCACAGTTACTCAAGATCGACGGGCAGCACATGTAACAAAAAATATCGATTATAACAATATTCCAACCAGTACTGATCCATCAATAAGAGAAAAGCTACTGAAACGAAAAGAAAGAAATAACTCTATTCTTCTTCATCATGCCCATGAAAAACGATTTTCACACTATAAACAAGCATTTAATCGAATATGGGATGACACCTTCCATAATACGCCGATTCAAACGACAACACTTATTGTTGGAAGTCGAAACAACCCAAGTATTTCCAAGGAGCTTGTACGCCGCAGTCCATTCCCAAAAAAACACATCCAACAACAAACCACCAAACAACCAATAATACAACCTAAATCTGACTGTCCATGCTTTATCCACCCAATTATGTCAAACCTAATACACATTAATCATTTTTTCTGAATAAATACTTAGACCTACTTACTATCTATATAGACTAAAACATCTCTTTCATCCTAGATGATCTCTACATATCCTATACCGCAACATATATCCACACTTTCGCTTAAGACTGTAAAGTTCTGTATAGATTATTATAGCGTGTTTATGATTCTTTTATTAGAATTATTCGAACTACTATAGCAGAGTTGAAGCCAACTGAGGAGTTAGTCTTTTCGGGGACTAATGAAATTCTTTGGATCTTGGCATCCGAGACTCACACCTCCTCACGCTCACCCTCACCCTCAAGATTTCGATGGGTCAAAAATGGTGTTTTTTGTATTTCTAAAAACACTACATGGCGAAGTAAACCTCCAAAGTCCGAAATATAGTGCATTCGATAGAGGACTTTGTTGGCTATCAGAATCGCTATTTACATTTGATCCAACTACTCGTTTTCATAGAAAAAAAAGCAATGACAAAGAGGGTCTATAATTTTGCAATACTCTATATTTCATCAAACTGAACCGTGACGAGTACCTGCCTAATTCGACTTATAATATAAGTGACCAATTCCTAGCACACTTGGGCGTAGAAATAGATTTAGTTTTACTTATACATATATATCCACACACCCCTGTGAGTTTAGGAACAGAAATAGATTTAGTTTTGCTTATACATATATACCATCGCCAACACCCACCGCAGCACCCTCAATCGAGAAATATTCGTGTCCACACCCACCCCGGCACCCTCAATCGAGATATATGCGTGTCCACACCCACTGCAGCACCCTCAAGATGGGGTGTGGGTGTATGTATGCAGAACTAAAACTAAATCTATTTCTATTCCTAAACTCACAGGGGTATGGGTGCATATATGTGTAAGTAAAACTAAATCTATTTCTATTCCTATCTAGTCATTTGTTATAAGGGTTATATAGATATCTATTTATATTCGAATTGATAATAGCCTGTTGGGGGTCCACTTATAATATAAGTAGAATTAGGCATCTTATGCTTTTCTTTCAGTTTATAACGGCTGGAAAAGAATCTGATATATTTAGTATACACACGAAGTAATTCACTAATTGTAAGTTTTTCTTCTTTCGTTATTTGTGTGATGTTTTTTTTTCTTTTTTCCCAACAATATCATCGCAGATATTTTTTGGTGTTGAATTTGCAAGCAGAACTTTTTTCCCTCTTTAAAAAAGTTGTTTTTGGAGAGTGTTTGCTACGTCTGTTGATCATTAAATATTAACCAGCGAGTTCCTCCCCAGAGAATGAGAAAATGCACAGAACAACCATCAGACATTACTGTGAAGCGCAGTTAGAGGTGGAACATGTTGCTCATGATTGTTATTCTATCACTCTCAACACTTGTCAATTGTATCAAGATTGGCAAAGCGAACAATTACATGATGATTGGAAATATCAGTGAAACACTGACCAATGTCACCATCAACCAATGCACATGTGAAATGCTGCAGTTGAATGGAATAGTTTGTGCTGTGAACTATTTCTCAACAAATCAAACTTGTCAAATATTGAACTCATATACAAATACGATTGAAGTTAAGTACGAGTTGTCTTCGACATTGTTATTTTCGAATAAAACATGCATATCAATCAGCAACAACCAAACAAATGGTGAGTGAATGATAATTGATTGCTTCGAACTGAAGAGATATGAAAGTAGTTTAGTTGGGCACATTTTACGACTTGTCTTTTATAGTTCAAACGCTATCGATCAGTTTATCAACATCAACATTACGGTCAACACCAGTTAGCGGTATGTAACACACTAAACTAAGTATTGTTTTCTATACACCAGGAAAAATATCATCACGCTGATCTAAACATATGATGCAACAAGAAATTGTTGCTGAGAGATCATTTTCGCAGATAATTTGATGTCGCAGATGACTGTCGTTCGGAAATAAAATATCTCATTCGCCTCGCATTCTGAGGACATCATCTTTGTCAATAATCGTATATCAAAACAAAATTTTGCCGCGAAATAAAAATAATTAGTTCTTTCGCATATACAAACAGCAATGTATGTCACTTATTTTTACAGATTTGCGCGTGTTCATCAAATTCACCTAAAGAAAATAATCATCTCAAGCGATTTCTTTCTGATTATACAGCAAAGTACACAATTCTCTTCAATATACAATCGTTAATCTTGTAAATCGATTGCAAACGACGCGTACCATACAAAATTAAACTGTATTTTATATCACTGAGTGTGTCCAGCCGACCGGTCGTTCACACGATAACTTTCGATAGAAGCCTCAGATTGAGCTGAAATTTTTCATATAGCCTCTTCTCATTGATGTCTCTGTCGAGTTCGAAGATGAACCTAATCTTGAGGGTGAGAGTGTGGGTGGGTGAGGATAGTGTGAGTCAGATCTCTCCCAAATGATTCTATGGTTGAAAACGCCACGAAACTATGCATGGTGCTTCCGCAGGTGTGGGAAACATCGAATGGATGTTCATACTGTAGTAACGATAGTGGATGTTGATAACCTGGGTGTCATACGAGTGAAGTTCCATCCATGCGATTTTGTGACAGGAAAGAACGCCAAACCTTCTATACTACTTCCGTAGGTACAGGGGGAGCAATAGATACGGTATTGGGAGACCATCGCTGAGGTTTCACCCAGGTGGGTCTGTGACAGATAATATTGTCAAACTTTCCATAGTGCTTCGTTAGGTATAGGGAAACATCGAGAGATCGTTTGAAGACCAATGAGGGAAGAGTTTTAAGTGGGTTAAGTGTGATCTGAGTGAAGTTTTAGCCAAGCGATTCTGTGACGGGAAACGGACGCACATTTTCATGGAGCTGTCCTAGGTCTAGGAAAATGTCGAAAGGGTGTTGGCAGATCAGTAAAGAGATGGATGTAGGGTGGCCTGGATGAAACTATTGTAAGGTTGTTTTCGAGATAGATAATCGTATCCAACATTCAGCTATCACTGTTTAGTTTTAATAAAGGAGCACAGAACATGATTAACGAGGAATGATCCCCAACTGTCAAATCGTTTTAGATTTGAAAGCTAGAGGAGCATAGGCAATCGATGATGCTGAATCCAAATATCATCTTGATTTTCGCCGTTAGGCCTCGGAAGTATTGTTTCTCCCGAATAATAGATAACAGCGAACAGAAAGGACATTTTTCAAAACTCGGTTTTTGACTAGTCCATTTGAATAAAAACGTGAAATTAGTTTTGGAAAACTTATTTCCCAAGATTCTAAGCAAAGAACGAGAGTATTAGAGACTTTATTTATAAGTTTAACTGTACCTGTTTTCACTGCAAGATTTCCCATTGTTCACTCTTCTGTGTTTGTCCTTATATCAGTTTAGCCCGACTTATCGTAAAATGCAAATTTATGAATAACCTACCNTCGGTTTTTGACTAGTCCATTTGAATAAAAACGTGAAATTAGTTTTGGAAAACTTATTTCCCAAGATTCTAAGCAAAGAACGAGAGTATTAGAGACTTTATTTATAAGTTTAACTGTACCTGTTTTCACTGCAAGATTTCCCATTGTTCACTCTTCTGTGTTTGTCCTTATATCAGTTTAGCCCGACTTATCGTAAAATGCAAATTTATGAATAACCTACCTTTAATGTTACATAGCAAATGAGAAACGTGTAAAGTAAATTTTCTCTCAGCAATTATTCTTGATCGAATCATGAACTATTTAAAATCATCCATGATTCACGATTCCGTAATCATTATTCCCTCGACTGTGAGGAGGGTCATATGAAATAAAATTGTTTGTGTGTTTGTTGGCTTGTTTGTGTCACATAGTGTGGGCCGCTGCGCGCGAAGGTGGGCGGAGGTGAGAGAAAATGGGAGACGGTGACCCATGATGGGCAAAGGTGAGAATGAGAATGTGGGAAAGATTTAGCGGCGTAGCTGTCAGGCGATGGTGAAGAGCTGGATGGATGTTTGATAGATGAGTATGACAGCAAGGTTATCGAACGGTGAAGGCTCGATGGTGTCGTGTTGCATAACTTGGATGCCATTTGTGGTGGTCTTTAAGATTGCCGTGATTTGGGAGGCGCTCATGTGGATAGTTTGGTAGTTCGTTGAGTCGCATAATATTAGTGTATATCGTTTTGGATATGTCCGCATTCGATGTTCTTTGTTGGCTACTGTACAAGTAGCGCTCGTTGTGCCGACTCAGTTAATCCTGCACTGTGGAAAACAGATGTTTTTGTCGTGTCGCAATTGTGAGACAAATTGATGTAACAGTTTTATATACGAAAAAACAATTAAAATGTTTTTTCGCGGATATATTTAGGAACTTTCGAAAACAAAATACTGAATACTTTTGTGTAAAAAAGCACTTGAGCTGTTTTTTCGTATATAGAACTGTTAGATCAATTTGCCTCACAATTGCGACACAACAAAAATATCTGTTCTCCACAGTCGAGGGTTAACTGAGTCGGCACGACGAGCACTACTTGTGTCAAATGAGATTGGAAATATGTTGACCGATGTGGACATTATCACAACGATTGTCATTGCTGGAACTCGATCTCCGCCTGGTTAGTATGAATATAACTATTAGATTGAGAAAGACATTGAGGGCGAGAATGACTAGAAGTGATTACGAGAAAATATTAATCTTCGACACATAGCAACCCTTACTTACATCTCGGTACGTTGGAGATATACTTAAATTAATGATAATAGAAGTATAACTATGATATGAGACATCTGCATACTTACTCGTCTAGGATAATATACCTATATCTAGATCAAATATAATAATAAGAGTAAAAGAGTGAGAACTTATGAGTAAAAATGTGTCGAATTATTTTGTCTCATTTTAAATCCACCCCTCCAAAATAGAACCGACTACAACAACAACAACATCGACAGCAACGACGTCCTCTACTACGGAAGCAACCTCAACTTCTACATCAACTACGACACCGCCGATAGGTAAGCCAATATTTCCTTTATCTAATTCTCAGACGTCACCAAACAAGAGCGATTTCTTTTTATGAATATAACTAAGCATGAGCAGAAATATTTATAGCATGAGAAGATGGTCGATTAGTAAGGTATTGAAAGAAACGTATATCGATGACATATTAATCGTGTACGTAAGTAATTCTACTCACTGTGACATTGTAGGTCGAATTCCAATTGTCCCTGTCAATGGAACACTTGCAGCTGTTTACAATACATCTGTAGGTGGTGATAGTACGGCAGCAACAAGCGGCTACGGTGTTGGCCAGTACCCACCGGGTCAATCACCAAAGATGGCGTGGGATAATGATACATCAACTGCGTATATAAATTTTGGATCATGTACAGGCACTGATTATAATAATCAGTGTGGTTTGAACACTGGCTTCTATCTTGAATTACAACGTGGTTCAACTGTAGTAACGGCGCTACAAACGTACACAGGTGGTGATCATTCTGAACGTGATCCACTAATCGTGTCGTTAGAAGGAAGTAATCAATCAGGATCAAATCTGACACTTGGTAGCAGTTGGACTCTTATTTATAATGGCAATAGTGGATTAGCAACCGATCCAGGTCGTAATAGCGGCGGCTCGATACAACAAATAAACAACACGATTTCGTATAAGAGTTATCGATTTCTTGTGTCTGGAAAACGATCAACGTCAAACAGTGTTGCGTATTCTGAACTGATATTGTATGGATACTAACATGTTTATCTTACTGTTGCAAACTAATTCAACGCTCTGCAAGCCCATGTTCTCCTCTTGTAGAGTTTAATGTCTTGAATTCTTTGTCTTTTCAAGACGCGCTTGCTTCTTATCATATCTCATTATTGTAAGCATTCATCACTGTTGCACTTTTCTGCGCCTATACATTTTATTTGATTTCACTATCTGTACCATTATGGACAAACTGTGTTACAGTATAAATGGATACCCAGGTTATTATGGCACGGTCGGTTCCGGCCGGTTAGGTTCTTTCTCCGACCATTTCCTTGCCGCCGGATTCCGGCCGGAAGTTGAAACGTAGGTTCCAGTCATTTCCCGACCGTTTCCTGCAAACTTCGAGCTGGAAACGGTCAGGAACTGATCGGATATTTCCTGTGCAATTCCGGCCGGAATCCAGCGGCAAGGAACCTGCCGGAACTTGCTGGAATCGGCGAAAACTGTGCCGGAATCGAGAAGAGCTGTACCGGAACCGACTCAGGTTTCAACGGATCCAGTCGTCGGAATGATCGACCTGGGATATCATTATGTACAATGCCTTAGATCTTTTCGCGTAAGTTCTTGAGCTACTATCTTTCTACGCATGGCGTCCTTGAATAGCGTTCAGCTCACCATCTTCTACAATCAGTGTGAAGCTAGCACGAAGGAGCTAGCACGAAGAAACTGTGTGTAAGCTGAAAACTTTTTTCCAGAGTTTGTCCGGTTCGTAAAACCTAGTCCATTCGATGCAGAATTTAATTCTGCATCGAATGGTGGTATTGGTATTCGCCGGACAAACTTTGGAAAAAAGTTTTTAGCTTACACACAGTTTCTTCGTGCTAGCTTCACACTGATTCTTCTACAAAAGATTTTAGAACAGATAAAGAAAAATATCTCCTTTATAAAGAGGAAGGAACATGCCCAGGCTCAGCGAATAAAACGAAACTCACCCTCAAATTCGAATTTCCCGACGTCAGAAATCCTTCGGTCTACTCTGACAATGGATGTTAATAAGTCGTGGCTAGTTAATGAAAAACTAATAATTAATTAATCAAAACCAACCTCAAATTCGAGTTCCTCGACCTCGATTACCCTACTAGTAATCAGTTTCTGGTTGCTATAGGTAAATTTCATTGATTGAAGAAATGCTGATTTCTGATTGGATAGGACAGACAAACTTTAAGCTTTTCGAGCCCAGGATTTAACCGCTGTATAACCCTTTCTTTCAGAAAAGGGAAAAATGGTGGATCGTTATCTTATTCAAAAGTTATCACTAATCTCTTAACATACTTACAGCGGTGGATTGGCAGCAATCGCGATACGCCACTTATTATAATAATTGGGAAATTGAAAATAACTTTTTGTCATACAGAAAAAAATTAATCCTCTCGGAATTATGTAATAGAGCTACTAAGTTTCATTGTAGAAGTACCCGTTTGACTAAAACGTTTAGAGGCGTCTCCGCAGGGCTTTTGCTATTTGCAATATTTGACCATCCTGGCTTTTTGTTATAATTCTTTCAGAAAAGGGTCAGCGAATCCGAAGGATGAGCGCTACTTGTCTTTATAGGCTTTTCATAATCAAGAGTATGCGGAAACAAAATCCAAAAATAATGGTCTTTGAATAAAACAAAATCGGCATAGCATGATTTGTTTCATAACACCTAAACATCGATATGTGAATATTTTCCATTGCTTCATAAATTTGTTGCGTTAATTCAATCGGTGCATTCGTGTCTGCATTAGTCAATACAATGACACCTGTATTGTGTTTCTCATTAATTAACATCAGATGCGTCATGCCAGGGAGACTTCCACCATGGCCTAGATATTGACGATTGTCGGTCAGTGTTCTCCAATGCCAACAGAGTCCATATCTCCGTGGTGGAGGTTGAGTGGTGGAGTTCGGATTTGGATTGAAAGGATAGATTTGACCGTTGCCAACTATGGTTTTTATTTCATCGACGGATTGTGGCGAAAGAAGTGGACTTCCCTTGTTGACAAACATGCGGAGAAAAGCAGAAAGAGAATGTGCTGACATCCGTAACAGACCAGCAGGATAACCAGTAAAACCAAGAAAGGGAATACGTAGATATGTCGATAGATTGCCCTAGAAAGAGATACCGTGTTCAAGAGAATAACAACTCGAATGATAAAGTATTTACCGGCATCAATTCAACATTCAATTGTGGAAATTCTGCTTTCCATAGTTCTAAGAATGATGAATTCGGTGCATAGGCATAGTGTTCTACGAAATGTGTTTTGTCAGTAAAATCTTTGAGAAGAACGCCAACTTTATCACTGGTAACATTCAATGGCTTGAAAATTTTCTCTTTTACATATTGATCATAGCGCATGTTACTGATTCGTTCCACTACTAATGCTGCTAACGTTGTTCCTTCGTTGGAGTAAAGGGTTGCGTTTCCTGGTGGTCGTGGCAGCCAATTCGTTGTATTCCAATTTAAATATTTCAAACAAAACTCAGCTAATGTTCCATTGTCAATGGCACTATCACCAGCTTGGAAGAAGCTCGCTTGCAAAGCACCATTGACGGCGATTGACGATGAATGAGAAAGTAGTCGACGCAATGTGATGGAAGAATTGGGAAAATTTCGATGATAGATTGCACGACTTGGCAGACCCAAATATTCATTGACATCTGTATCTAGGTCGACACGTTTTTGTTCAACTAACTGCATGACAGCAACAGCTATGACTGTTTTCGAAATCGAGGCGACAGGAAAGATTGATCTTTCAATATCCAATGGTTTTTTCGGTAGAAGAGATTGATAACCAAAAGCTTCCTCATAGAGTATATCAGTACTATTGACAACAATGATTGCTGCACCTGGTATATAGACTTTCTTCAAAGATTCTTCAATTGACTGCCGAGTTAAACAGTTTGAACCACTGCTGACAGTGATAAGTAATGCGATGGTAGTCAATAATGATAATATCGTCATTTCGTTGCGATGATGTCGAACAGAAAGACGTCGGACTTGTTTGTGACAACAGGGTAGAATAAATACAAAATTTGATCTTGATAAAAGGTGAATTTTGAGTACAGGATTTCATTTCTATAATCCAATGAATAATATTATGTTGTTCTAGGATTTAATTTCTAAGTATGTCAAACGAGTTTTATCCATTCTCTTAAAACTAATAGACGCATGTTTTTGTTTTTCGTTTTGCAAAGCGTCATAGTCGAACGACATCTATTTAAATATCACTCGATGAGGATTATTGAAATTCATAAGAAAAACTTCATTATCATTATCAGAAATAATTAAAATATATTCCATTAATTGTGAGTGTTGTTTTTGATAGCAAAAAAAAATCATAGAGGCATAATCGTCGTTCTTGAAGATAGATAGAAATAGAAATTTGTTCGTGTCCACTCGTTCATTCATTCATTTTTGCTTTTCGAAACGCATACAAATATTAACATGGATATGATGACCATTAACCCTCTTTACTGAAAAGATCTGGTTGAAAACCTCATATCTGATCCATTTAATAAACTAACATAATGTGTTCTCAGATGACAGTAAAATGATGATTTCATCTTGATCGTGTTTCACCTGATGCAGCTGATTAGATAACCTATCAATTCTGATTCTGTCACCACTTTTTTTAACCTTTAATGCGTTTCAAAACTAAATATCTGTTTCGATGATGAATAAAACAATCGCATGTATTACTTGATAATAAATATGAGAATACAACGGTAACTGAGAACAGATAAAAAAAAGAATTTGGGGCAAATAAGACTAAAAGTAAATTATAAAGCTATATATTTCGGTTTTATAGGATGGAAGACAAAAAAGAATTCGTGTGTGATTCCTTTGTGATCTTCCAAGGAGCAAAAAATTGTTTTAGTCTATGCCCGAGGACAGAATTGAACTGTCGACCCCTGGTTTACTAGACCAGTGCTCTAGCCACTGAGCCACACGGGCGTGCTTTTCATGCGGGAGGCTGTTTATCTCTTCCGTTTCCTTAGCGAAGGGTTTGTCTTGCAGAGCATATAACAGAACGAGCGAAAAACACAGCTGAGGACAGAGTGAAGAGATTATATGTGTGTGATGAAATAAAAACTAAAGATTTATTTTACTATGAAATGAGAAAAATAATCTGATCATCAAACACAGGTAAAATTGAGAGAACGAGACAAAACGGATCTAAATGCAAGATCATTGTTCTACTTTAAAGCGTGAACAGCTTTACTAATAATTGAACAGCACTGCAGTATTTCATCTTTGGTGATATTCAATGGAGGGGCAAAACGAATTTTGTCACCGTGGGTTGGTTTCGCTAAGAGACCGTGATCACGTAAATGTAAACATAACTCCCATGCATCATAATCTAGATATAAGAGGATGCATCTAGACAAAACAATCAGAACATTTTCTATCATATACTTGGATTAATGACAATAGCATTGAGTAAACCTTTTCCACGAACCACTTGAACTTTATCTTTTGGTAAACGATTTAATTCTTGACGCAACAGTTCACCCATCCGAGCGGCATTTTCAATCATGCCTTCTTCGATAAGAACCTAAGAATCAACTCAGTCCATATCAGAAAAAAACTGCAAGCAGTTTTTCATACTTTCAGTGATGCAATAGCGATCCGTGCGCCTAGAGGGTTTCCACCGAATGTAGAGCCATGAGTACCGGGAGTGAACACACTCATTAAGTTGTCGTTTGCTAAAACTGCTGACACCTAAAACAAAACATATATTCAACCCGATCGTTTCTTCGACTAAACTTACCGGATAGAATCCACCAGCTAATGCTTTACCAAGAACAAGAACATCGGGGCGAACGTTTTCATGATCACATGCAAGTAATCTACAAGAGTTTTCAATTGCAGCCGGACTCTTTTATCTACAAGATGTGTACATACTTTCCCGTTCGACCAAGACCTGTTTGAATTTCATCGCCAATCCAAAGAACATTATTCTTTGTACAGATCTTTCGAATACCAGCAAGATAACCATCGTCAGGTACGCAAACACCTAGAATAAATATGTCGTTATCATTTTTTTTGGTTCTCTAGACATTTGACTAACCGGCTTCGCCTTGAATTGGTTCTACCATAAATGCACATACACGACTATCTTTACATGCTTCCTAGAAAACACCATCGACAAAGTATATCGGTCAATCTCAGAGTATCGGTCATATACTTCTAGAGCTTTCAAGTCGTTGTATGGAATGATTTTGAAATTTGGCATATAAGGTCCAAAACCTTCATAACACGATGGATCAGTTGAGCTCGATACGGCCGATAATGTACGTCCCCAAAAATTATTTTCTGCAAAGAGTACAACCGCTTCATTTTTCGGCACACCTTTCACGTTATACGCCCATTTACGTGCCAGTTTAATTGCAGTTTCTCCTCCTTCGACGCCTAATTAACATTGAACATGGAGTCTAGTCTTGACAAGAAAATATTCGATTATACGAACTCACCGGTATTCATTGGCAGTAGTTTGTCGTAACCGAATAGTTCACACGCATACTTTTCGAATTCTCCAAGTACATCGTTGTGAAATGCCCGCGATGTCAGCGTCAATGTTTCTGCTTGTTTTTTTACTGCATCAAGAATTTTCGGATGGCAATGTCCTTGATTAACAGCAGAGTAAGCGGAAAGGAAATCATAGTAACGGTTTCCGTCTACATCCCAAACATGAACACCTGCAAAAACTCGGTTTTGTATTCCTGAAAGGAACTTTCTGTCACCTACCGGAAGCACGTTGAATGGCTATTGGTAACGGATGGTAGTTGGCTGCGCCATAGCGTGTCTCAAGATCAACCACACTTTTTGTTTTGGCCGTAATAGCTTTCGCTGTCGATTTTACTGCTGATGTGCTTGCTGAAGCTATGCAACGATTCAGAAACGGAACCGAGGGCGATACTAGCTGACGATACATCGAGAAGAGAAGCCGTAGTAATAATCTACGATAAAAAACATTCTCAAAGTACAAGAGTATCAAGACATATCGAACTGTACACTGAAAGGCAGGGGAGGTGTGGTGTTTCTCTTTCTTTCTTTCGTTCATTCGTCCTGGCCCACTTTTTGAGTCATATGCACTGCACTTAGCTAGTTTTTTCCGAGCCAATGTCGATTCCAAAAACGAGATGGCGCTGTGAACAATTCCACCAATCAAGAACGAACGCAAACAATGGTTGTCAAATCATTAACGCACAAATTCATTCCGATTACGAAGAAAGCACAGTCGAATCAAACAAAGACAACATGGTTTCATTAGAAAAGAAATCACCAGAAGAACGACTGAACATCTGTCGTAAATATTATCTAGGTGGTTTTGCTTTCTTACCACTTCTCTGGCTGATCAATGCAATTTGGTTCTATAAACAAGCATTCAAAGTCGAACCTTATCCTCAACAAGCTCAAATTCGAACATGTAAAAATAACTTTGATTTTTTTTCTCAAAACCGAACTGAATTATTTTAGATGTGATTCGAAGTGCCATTGGTACGCTAGCTTGGCTTCTTATTATTACCATATGGAATGTTTTATTTCAAGTCTTTCGCACCAAAATGGGTCCAGCTGGAGATTATTTAACATTCGTTGTACCTCGAGGATACTACTGAGCACTGAATGTTTCTTTTCTCTGTGTCTATGTGTAATTTTCATTTGATTCTTTTCTTTTCTTTTCTGTGACGATTATTTTGCAGATAAAATAAAAAATTGATTTTTGTTCTCTTTCAGATAATTATGGTGAGTCAAAGATCTTTTAGATCGCAATATGATTTATCGAATTATTTCTACAGAGTACAGCAGTTGTTGTCGGACTTGGTCTAGCCGCTGTTGGATTTGCAGGTAAATGATTCTTTATTTTTCAAAAACTGTATATCAAATTTGATCGTTTCAAGGTCGATATCTTGCTCGACATGGAAAGACAATTGCAGAAAACTTGACGAAGACCAGTGGCGTTATTGCTGAAGGGTTATCAGTAAGTATTTCTCATCGATCTTTCTTCGCGTTACCATCATGTCTTTTGATATTTTAGTCGAAATACTACAAGGGTGGCTTCGGTAAGAATGAAACGCATATATTCTTTACTGCTTTTTCTTATCCGTTTTCAAATAGATCCAAAAATGAATCGACGTGAAGCAGCATTGATATTAGGAGTCAGGTAAATTACTTCACATAGGTATGTCGAATATTATTCTTGTTCGTTTTTTTTTGTACAGTCCAACAGCGAATAAGAACCGTATACGTGATGCTTACAAACGTTTAATCATTCTCAATCATCCTGACCGAGGTTAATATTTTCCCTTTCAATGATTTCAGATGCATTTTGTTTGTTTTTTTAATCGCAGGTGGTTCTCCGTATATTGCTGCTAAAATCAACGAAGCTAAAGACTTCTTTGAAAGTGGTGCCAAATGAACTTTAGTAAACCTTTCCTGTTTTTTTGTTTAGTCATCAATCAAGTTGTTGTTTGATTGAATAAGATACTATATTTGCTAAATATCTTGTCTTTCTTTTCGGCTAAAGTATTCTCATGATGTGCACTTAATTAGAAAACTTGTTTTTCTCCTTCGTCGATAAAGAAAGAAAAACTACGATCATTATCGATGCAGAAAATTCATTTGAAATAATGAAATAGTCACTTTGTATCAGCGAATCAACTTCTATCCTTTGCTCTGACAAGGAGGCAAGTATCTCTTGAATTTTTTTGCCGACAGTACCAATCTTCAGCCTCTTAGTATCGTGCGCGCCCCTCGTCGCAAATACGGGTAAGTTCGCGGTTAAATGAAAACTGATAATATCGTAGCGAAGGCTAGTATACGTCTGCACAGTTCATTAATTTCTTGCGGCAAAATATCTATATTAATAGTGTATTTCTCTTTCCTTTCTTTACTTCTTGTAAAACAAGACAAGTACTTTGAAAAACAAGTTTATGATGTGCACGACTATCATGTGTTTCTACATTTTAACTTGTTCGCAAGTACTAATAAAAAGAAAAAGATGAAGAAAAGCACGCCATGTAGCTGAAAGAACCTTCTCTGCTTTTATGCCTTCGCATTTTTTTCCTCCACTACCAACCAGTCAGCGATGCAAACTATGTCTTGCTTTTTTTCCCTTCTTTACTTCTTATTTCTCGTTCTCTTGACGCCTTCCCTCTCGTCAGATGATCATCAAAAAAAAGAAAATCGTCGACGATTGTGCACTCTCATTCATCGTGATTCACATTCAACATGACGTGTCAATTTGTAGGACTATTTCATCTAGAATACCATCGTTTAGTTTATATATGTGAATACATTATGTAAATTCTCGAACTGATGTTTTAGATAAACGCTTGTTTCTTTTCTCTCATGGCAACGAAACGTGCTCAACCAGATTGGTCATTTAAAATTTTGTTGATCGGTGATAGTGGCGTGGGAAAAACATGTTTAATGTTTCGATTTGCTGGTAAGTCTCGTTTTCCCTCCGCTCGTATACGAAAGCACAATAAACTTGTTAGTTTCTGGCTGATCAGATTTCCTTGCCGTTGTTTTTTTTCTCCCGAAAGGTCACTGCTTATCTTTGTTTCTATAGACAATATGTTTGCTGAATCATTTACACCAACGATTGGTATTGATTTTAAAATTAAGACACTGCGTGTGCGAGATAAGACTGTCAAGTTACAATTGTGGGACACAGCTGGTCAAGAGAAATTTTTTAATATCACACGATCTTATTATGTAAGTTGTCCTCGATCGTATTCACACTCACGAACACTCGATTCTTTTTCTTCTTCTTCTTCAGCGTAATGCTGACGCCATAATTCTTGTTTACGATCGTACAGAAGCAACTTCGTTTCAAAATATCGTTCGATGGATGAGAAACATCGATGAGAATGCTCCAGATGATGTCGTTCGAATCTTAGTTGGAAACAAAAGTGATATACACGATCGTTTAGTGGTATCCACCAATGAAGGCAAGTTGCTAGCTGATAAATTTCGTGTTGATTTCTTCGAAACAAGTGCCAAATCTGATACTAGTCCAACAGTTTCCAAAATGTTCTTTTTCCTCACGGAAAAATTACTGGATCAGAAACAAGAAGCCGCATTACGCGAAAAGCAATTCTCAACACCGCATCAAACAGGAAATATCAGCTTAACGAATAACCAATCAGAAACTACGTACGGCAAATTACTAGGTTGTTGTTCATCAACGAGAACTGTAGATGAATAAAAATCCTTTTCTCTCTTTCGTATTGTACATTTATATAGATATATATATATATATATATTCTCAATGTTTATAGTTAATCATTCCATGCTTCTCTTGAAAAGTTAAATGTATGATTGATTGTCTTTTGAATGAAACATATTCTTGCATACTTGAAATATGCCATGTACTTATGAAAAGTTGGAACGTGTCTTTGAATAGCGAGAAAGTTGAATCGTATACACGACGGAAGTCGACTCTTGAAAGTTTTCTTTTATAAGCAAATTCGAATCGGTAAAAAGTAACGGTTGTATTCACTTTCTCAACAAAATCAATACACTAATGTACATATAATGGCATTTTATGGTATGATTATTGGCACAGAACGACGTAGATCAATTTGGCCATTTTGGAATTCTCTAATTTGAATATTTCGAGGCTTGTTAAACAACGGTTCCTAGATAGAATTACACTCTACTATAGAAGTTGGAAAAATAGAGATCCGACCAGATGAATCACTTCCTGTCGTTCATAAATGTTGACTTCATTATAAATATTTGCTTTCCAGCAAATACAGATCGTCTCGAGCAGAAGAAAACTCGTATTTGCTATCTTTCTGTTCTGTAACACAAAAGACTTTTATTCTTTTGATTACGTTAAAACATAAGACGCTGTTTCGCTAACAATATTTGACGTATTCTCTCCGATCGTTCCAAACTTTTCTATATAATCGAATTGATCGCAATGATTCTGTACATATAAAAACATGCGACATCTTCTAGAGTATCTGTATATATCTACTGTTATACAAATGCGACCATGAACATTATTAAATTTCTTCTTGCAATATTCATGAGAATGAATTGAATCCATTTGATTATATACTGTGCAAACAAATCCTCTATACCGTTTCATCGTTTTGTATGCGTCTCATGCATTTCTTTGTTTACTGGTTATATAAATACATGACATCAGACATGGTACTGCGAGAAAGCATTTACTGCTGAAATTTAGTTCATGTTGTGATATTAAATAATGACAAAAGCAAATACACACGCTCGAAGGTCAAATGAAATATTCACACAATCTCAATTGGTTATTATGTACAAGAAAAAGAAAAGCAAATGATTCACCACATCGTTTCGAAAGAGAAATTGTCTTAGGTATCTTGTTTTTCTTCTTCTTGCCCACGTACTATTCTTTGAAATGATTACGAAGCAAACGAAGAAACTCTTCGCGGTTTTCGTGCGAGAGAGCTAATACTTGGAGAAGTAGTTTATGCGGCGATGCAACGCGTGCAAATGTTGAGATATACACATTTGTAAACATTGCCATTATAACTTGACAATCAAATCGATCCTGCAGAGAGAGAGGACACGATTATGTTAATGAAATTGAACAACAAAAACTAATATGCCTTACCATGAACCCACCGTGACCGGGTATAGTAGCAGCAAAGTCTTTGATTCGAAATGCTCGTTTAAATCCACTGGCAAAAAATCCACCAAACGGTCCAATACTCGAGGCAAATAACGAAAGTAACAGTGAGTGCAATTGAAATGGATATAAAACTAATGAACGTTTCAGAAATGAGAGTGGCTTCGGCATCATATATATTGTTTTTTGAAACAGTGGCAATGGCGTGCACGATGTTGACAGACTCATCAGTTCGTCATTGTATTCTAATGGGCAAACGAAAAATTGGTAGCGACTGAGAACGCCCGCTAAAACAAAGCCGAAAATCAACGTTGATACACCGCCACCAATAAAGCCCTCCCATGTCTTCTTTGGTGATAATTTTGTTAATGGCGTTCGACCATAGAAAAAACCAAACATATAAGCCATTATGTCATTGCAGATAATTAACGACACAGGAAATAGAAACCATATCATACCTAAATTACGTTTAATAATCCTTGTAAGCATTTTCGATATGTCATTAGTTTTCTAATTCATCACATTGTCCTCATGTCTCCTAGTTTTTGTGAAACTGAGTGTTGAGAAAGATTATAACTGTTGTCGACAGTCATTGATATCTAGTCTTTTCTTCAGAATTGAAGAACTATATGATAATTCGGTTAAACCTTTTGTACAATGATTTACAAGGTCAACCCTTTCAAAGATCAATTCTGTAATTTCACAATTACACCACATCGACTTGTCATTTTGAATGACTCATCGAATATATGCCACGTTGAATATTATTTTACAGTTCAGGTCAGATCACTTCATCAAAAAACTGTCAACGTGACAAATGATGATGACTCATACATGAAAACTTCTATCTTATGATGAATTGTTAACATACCCTCGCAAATGTTCTCTATCATTTGATGACTTGACGTCACCAGAATCATCAACGTGATATGTGTATATCCAAATAGAGTAAATTGTTTTAGATAATAGGTTTTCTTTAAACTTAAGACAAATCCAACGAATCCGCTTGTATAGAGGAGAAAAGCAACCATTCGGTGATATGTAACTAACGGTTGGAGAAAATTATTTCGATTTAGTAATGAACCAAAATGATGAATTAAACTCTCCCCATACAGCCAGTAGTTTGACGTAAATAAGAAAAACCAAGATAATGTTCGAAACCATGGTAGATTGTGTGACTTATAAACAACATAGCCGATGTTGATAATTTCTTGAAAGCATTTGATTTGAATGAGAATAATAACCACCGATACAACTAACGGACCCATCGATACTAACTTAGCAAATCCAACAATCATGATGAATGAAAATATGCCGCGAATGATCCAATTACGCCAACGAGGATTGAAACCACTGAGAATTTTTTCAAAATATTGCATAAAGTTTGGTGTAGAACTTGTCTCTTCAAACATATGTGCACCAGTTGGATGTGACGGTAAAGGTTCCATATCGTCATCAGTAGTCGGCACTGCTACAATCGGAGTCGTGATACTTGCCGCTGCTGCTGCTGCTTTAGCATTTTCACTCTGACTTAGTCGAGTAGCATTTGTAGTTATGTCACGTTCTACATGGCGTTGACGAATATCGGATATGTCAGATTTGACTGCGGAAGACATTGTACTGTCAATCGAGAAAAATGATGTCGTGGCAGAGAATATCTTTGGAAGAAAAGATCGTTTTTGTGCAAGGTGATGACAAATAAAACAAAGCGCTCGAAACAACAGTACAGGTATCAAGGAAGAAAACCAATGAAATATCTGACCGTTTTTCGACAGATGGCAATAGGAACCAGAAATTCATTGGATGAATCGATCAACTCAGTTATTGGCTATGGCTCGGTCTCCACTAGAGAAATAATACGAATTAAAAGTCGAATTAAAACACGCGTGTCTTCACGTAAGATTTAATGCGCCAATAGGAAATGACATTGTGCCGCTATAATGTAGTCGAAGTGCATAAATACAGCACACGTGTACGAAACGAAATGTCGCTTGTTTGGTTTCTAAAGAAAATGAAGGAATCACTATGGAATAAAATTGAATGATGAAACATTTGCTCGAAAATGACGTGAGAGTTATTTCAAATTCTTATATTCGGCATAAAAACTGAAATATTNACGTAAGATTTAATGCGCCAATAGGAAATGACATTGTGCCGCTATAATGTAGTCGAAGTGCATAAATACAGCACACGTGTACGAAACGAAATGTCGCTTGTTTGGTTTCTAAAGAAAATGAAGGAATCACTATGGAATAAAATTGAATGATGAAACATTTGCTCGAAAATGACGTGAGAGTTATTTCAAATTCTTATATTCGGCATAAAAACTGAAATATTACAGAACTCTCATAAAATATAATGTGAACCTGAGGTTGAATGTTCTTGTATGTGAAATAAGATGAACAAACACATGTTGTAAAATATCTTGTTTGATATAAATACTAATTATATGGCAGATTAAGAAATTTGCTCGAATCATAACAAATTTTATTCAAGAAACGACTGAACAAAAAACATTTCTAGACATCTGCACGTAATCATTTGTACGAAAATTGAGAATTATTTGCGTACTATTATAGCAAAAGAATGAATTGAAGAAGAAATTATTGAAACATAAAGGTTAAATGGGATTCTGTGAAAAATATTGAGTTAATGCTTCTCTTGTTGCTATTGAAGCTGTTGTTTGTGTAGCACATGTTGGTTTTCGATAAATGGTTTCGCCAATGTCCCAATCGATTTCAACAGAATCTTGAGCATCGATACAAATATTGTGTAATATACACGTAGCTTTTATGATAGTTTTAACATTTGTAATATCATATTCCATTTTTTTATGAATACTTCGAAAACGATTTTTTAAATGACCAAAAGCTCTTTCAATTGAACAACGACAATGGCTTAGACGGTAATTAAAGACAGATTGATCGCGTGGCATGTCATATCGTTCGGTATATGGCTTCATTAGATATTTGCTCAATGGAAATGCTGAATCAGCAATAATATGAGATTGAATACGTGTATTATTAATTGTTATATAATTTTGAGTATAAATGTTTCCTTGCAGAAGTTCATATAAAGACGATCTGCTATAGACATTAGCGTCGTTGCACCGGCCAGGTGCACCGACATTTACGTATGTAAATTTTAAAGAAGAGTCAACAGCTGCCAATAAAATAATAGAGTGGTGTTTTTTATAATTATAATAGTCTGGTTCAAATCCAATTGGAGGTTCAATAGCAATATGCGTTCCATCAAGAGCGCCTAAACACATCGGATAGTTAAATTTCTTCAAAAAAGCATCAGTGGTAGCCTTTATTTCTTGTTGTGTGGTTGGAAATTTAATGAGACAATGAAAATATAATTCAACAATAACATAACAGAAATCGTGCAAGATATTGGCAGCTGAACATTTTCCAATACCGAATAGATGACCAATTGTTCTTAATTCACCTGTAGTACCCAATAAATATAACGCGCACGCAATTCGTTTATCTACTGGGATAGCTAAGCGCAACACGGTATCTTCTTTTTTTACATATTTCCCGATTCGATCCACAAGTTGTGCAAAAGTTGAACGTTGTATTCGAAAATTGTCTTTGAATTGCTTCTCTGTCATATTGGGAACAATATCAGACCACCATTCGCCACTTTTTGGATAAGACCAAACTGCTCGACGATGAGTATTTAGTGATTGATCAATAAGAAAATTTAAATTGAATACAAGGATATTTCTGAGTAACAATGCACGACGTTTTTTCACTCGTTGGTGTTGTAATTCACTATTAATGTTAACAATTTGACGTTTTAAATTTTTCTTTTTAATTAAATATGAATGTAAAGCACCGAGGAACATTACTTTATCCATAATTTGTCGAAGGAAAAATCTTGTGTTTTGAATTTGTATGTAAAAAATACACAGATTAGTATTTATCTATAATGAAATCTTCCATAGACTATGTGAGTTTTTTCAATTTTAACAGAGTACAGACATCGGAATAATAAACATTATTCTTTATGAACAGAATCTTCTATGCAATTGATGAACAAATTTTTACCATGATTAGCACAAACGTACAATTTATTTTCTTATAACATTAATTCTAATTCTAGGATTTATCACAATATTTTCAATTAACAGAATTACATGAGTAAAATCAGAAAATATTACATTAGCATATAGACTAGAACAGCTTTAGCATCATATATATACGTTGACCGAAAGTCATTTATACTGAACAGAAATAAAATGTTGAAAGAATATAGAAAAAATATAAATCATAAATTGATTTCAATATATATATATCACATTTAATATTTGGTCAACAACATTAACAATTATTAATACAAACATTCATGAACATAAAAGAAATCATATAAGAATATTTAACCTTGTGTGTTGAAACTATTTGCAATACTTCTAAATACATTCAAAAATTCCTTCTCATTATTTAAACTCTCTTCTTGTAGTTTAGTTTGTTTTTCCAATAAAAGCAACGCCTTCGATTCTGCTTTAATAGCCATGTCATTGGCACCGTCAATTTTGTTTATCATTTGTTGAACAAGTTCCATACTAAAAGTGAAAACGACAAAAAAGTGAATTGTTGATTACACAAGGCAGCTTTTACCGCATATCAACCACTTTCTTTTTTTTGGATGGTAAATTTCGTTTGATCGAATTGTCGGGAGTGTTTGAGGTAGTAGTTTTTTGTGTAGATGCTGAGTTTGGTGGACTTTTCGAATTGCATGATCGATTATCAGTATTATTTGTAATTTCTTCGATTTCTTTGATGAAAGTGGATATATTGTTATCTTCATCATCTTTTACTAATGAATTCAAATTTAAATCGGAAGGTGAAGTATTTTCAATGTCCACGAGCACTTGTTCATCTTGAAGAGATATGGAATCTGACAAAAGACTTTCGTCGTTAAATGGTCGTGCACCTAGTTAATGAGATAAAAAATGTACAAGTCAAACTATAAAGAAGCGTAGAATTCTTTACCGAGAAGCTTGTCAATTTGTTCGAAGTACGGCCATGATGATGGACTACTACCTGTTTTACCTGATTCTTTTCGCTTTTTTCTGTATTCGGAAACGAGATTCGCTATTTTTGCCTTTACGTCTGTGCCGGTCATTACTCGCGGTGATAAAAATTCATTTAATTGCTGTGCCATTCCATGATAAATCTTGGTATTTCTTGTTCCACCAGTCATCAAACTATCATAATGCTCACTCCAAATATTGATAAAAACAGACGTTTCTTCTTCTGACCAATTTTTGCCTCGTTTGTTTTTTTTTGACACTAAAAGAATTAGAATTATTCTATTTTTCTAATAAAAATATCACTAACAGTTTTCTTCATTTTCACTTTTTGTTGCTGATTTCGTAATTAACGTTTTATTCGATTGAGACGAGGAAGAGCGATTTCGTTTGATTGATGTTGATAGCACAGTTTCATTCGAATTATTATCTGCAAACATTTCAAAATAGAACGAGTTTATTTTTATGCAGATAACAACAGAATCTGTACTTTTATCTGATGTTGAATCGAATTGAACGAAAGTATTTTGTAATGAAGTATTTGTCGAAGTAGATGATGCATGAGGTGGTTCGTGATTCGAAGATGCTGCTACTACTGTCGAAGATGTTGAACAATTAGCGTCTAATGATGCTAGTGGTGTGCGTAATACGGTATTATTCTCGAAATTTGACGATGAAACAGATGAAGTAACAACGGAAGCATTTGGCGCAATCATACGAACTTGTGATGGCATATACAAGCGCGGTTGCTGTAATACTCCTTGTTGCACTGGTGCAAGGAAACGAATTTGTTGATTGGAAGGAACAATTATACGAACATATTGAGGACGCATCTTAAATAATCTTAAAAATATGAAAATATTTACTATATCTTGCGGCAAAAATCAAGATGCATGTGCAGATTACATCGTTTTTAATACAGAGATATATTATATTCAATAAAATCGACGTAGTCCGTTAATAATACTCGACTTGCGATCAAACATGTGAACTCAAAATCTTTTGTACTAAAAAACGCAAAATTTTTTTTGATGAAGTGTATGTTTTCCATGGTTTAACAGCTAAACATCGATTATTTTGAAACAACGGTCCTTCTTTTGCTGAATGTTCTCACCCATGACAGAGATTTTGAACAAAATCTATGGATTTCACACTTGAGTTTTGACAAGTGTGACAACATATCAATAGCCATTGTTCTGTTTTATTTGCCTCAAGATCAAATCCTTTAATTTTGATAATTATTATTATTACCAACTTTGCTTTCTCCTTTTCATTTAATTTTATTACTATTTTAATATATTTTTTATTTTATTTCATGCTACTTTACGGAGGTTCAGCATATCTTTTTGATTAGACAAAAAGATGTCATTTGATTGGAGGATTAAGTTTAATACGCTCTGAAAAGCGCATTAAATACGTATTAAACTTTTGACCAATCAAGTTCTTTAATTCAGTATTAAATTTCATAGTGGAGACAAGGCCTATGGATATGTATATTTTATATAAGGAAGCATAGAGACACGTGCTTTTTCCGAGATCAACACAAAAAATAATAATAATCAGACAAGTACAGAAGATATCTTNATGTCATTTGATTGGAGGATTAAGTTTAATACGCTCTGAAAAGCGCATTAAATACGTATTAAACTTTTGACCAATCAAGTTCTTTAATTCAGTATTAAATTTCATAGTGGAGACAAGGCCTTAGTATGCTCTGAAATTCAGACGAAGTTTATATTGGCTACTGGACATGCAATCACAAGGCAGATGAAACTAGCGCCATGCTGTAAATTAATTGGTGAGGTAAGTAGGCGACATCTCTCCAACTTGGAGGTCGTTCTTTATTTACTATTGGTGGTTTATATATTCAACATGAAAAGGTAAATAAACAAAACATCCACCTTGCCTTTCGTCTACTGAGTTCTACTGGACTTTCTTTTTCTAGGATATTGTTCGTTTAAATCTTACTATTCTTAATTGTGATGACATTTTTCAATTTATAAGATAGGTTTTCAATGAATACAATGACGTTCGTGTTTCTGTTGTAGTTGATATTGAACGATATATTGCTAAAGTTGTATCAGATGTCGCAGGCGAACAACCGTGGTGGCGGCAACAAGCGGTCGCGTATCTCTTCATCAGGCGCCTATCGTCAGCGCGAGAACCAGTCGACATCGTCGTCGACAAATGTCGCTCAAACTCAATCGGGTTTAATTATTGATAATGAAACTGAACAATCATCCGAAGGAATCAAAGAGCAATTGAACAGTGTTGAAGATATCATCACACAACCTATTATTGAAGTTCCAACCAAACGTTTATTGCACTTAAAAGAACTTGGTGGAAATCTTTTTGTCTCATCATCAACAAAAATCTATTCGAAAACATTACAAAAACTATTCGATCGAGTCCTATTTACGAAATCATTAAACAATGACGTGAATACAGCACCATCTGATTTGCGCGTTTTCGAACGTGTTTTAGCACGTTCCGATGACAACGACGCTTATTCGACATGCACATCATTGGCACAACCAGTACCAGCGACAATACTTGTGCTTGGCTCTACTGCATGCGAACATGCGCTTGTATGGAAATTACTACAGCGAAGAAATTTCAAAATTTTTATATCACCTGGTAATAGTGGCACAACAATCGATCAATCAACCGGAACAATTTCGACAGTTTTCCAAAACGAAAAAGATCTTTTGGAATATGTCGATACCAAACAAATTGACCTAGTTATATCGTTAAATAAGACATTTTACTTTGAAGAACTTGAAGCACGCCTTTGCGAACATGGCTTACATTACTTAGGATGTTCTGTTGATACATTAGTATTGACTGATAATCAATTAAATGCCAAACAATTTATGAGTAAACATAAAATTCCCACATTAGAGTGGACACATTGTTTGAATGAAGAAGATGCTCGGTCGTTTATCAATAAGTAAGCATATCGAAGACAGTAAAGATTTAGTAAACTTCCTTCCTCTCCATTAGATCTCCAAATCAACAGCAATGGATTATTCGGGCAACACATGGTAATGGTATAATCAACTGTAAAAGTCCAGACGAGGCAATGCAAACAATCAAAGCTGTTTTCGAAGTAAAAATGGAACAAACAAGCTTGAACTCGGATCGATCAACTGATTTGTCTGTTTTCTAGGATCATATTTTTGGTAAACTAAATCAATCTGTCGTCGTCGAGCATGGTTATTCAGCAGACGATCATCAAGTTTGTGTTTTATACATTGTAAGTGACGGCGATGGTGATTATACTCAGTTACCAATAATACAATCTGATCCATTACGAATGGGTGCTTATGGTCCATGTCCATATTTAACATCGAAACAATTATCCTATGTTCGTCGTCGTATTGTTGAACGTACACTTCGATGTTCACCAACGATTCGTCATTTGTTTGGTTTTCGTTTATTGATTCAAGGATCGAATTACAATCAAGTCTGTCTACTTGACTATGTGTCCACATTTGAAGAACCCGAAGCAGAGATTATCTTGTCATTATGCGAACCCGATGTGCTTCTTCAATACGCACTAGATCTACCGTCGGTTCCGATCATACCTTTGACAAGCAAAAAACGTCGTGTTCACTGTGTAAATACAACTATAACGTCAACGAAATCGTCTTTAACTATTTCGAACAAAGTTCTATCGACCGCAACGAAAAATAACAAAGTGAAAATCTTTCACAATCAGACAGATGTTAATGTTAATAATAATGGAACAGGTGAAACAAATTTCATAACAACAAGCGGTGAACGAATCTTCAACGTACTTGGTTATGGTTCGACCTTACAGGAAGCACAAATTCAATCGGTACTTGCTTGCGAATATATCAAACAGCATGCTAATGTTGACGATCTTCTGTTTAAATCCGATGTTGGTGCACAAGCGATTGAATGGTATAAGACGCGTGTTAATCGCAATCACTCGTCAACTGGTGGTTTAACGAATGGCAAAAAGAAGAAGGTGAAAAAGAAAATCTCGCTCCTATCAGGATCGAATAAACGAAATCGTAATTCGGCAAATCGTCGTCGTAACACGAAAAATTCCGAACAAGACAAAGGCAATTATAATGAAGAGAATGAAACTAGTGATGATAATGATGAGGATGATGATGATGATGAAGACGAAGACGACGACGCTGAACCAATGGATTTCGAACGAGCATTTGGCACCGTATCCGACATGCCGAAATTGGAACATATGGATATCTATCAAAATAATGGTACATTCGATGATCATAATGTTCATGAAGGTGAAACATATTTTGATTTGTCAAGCAAAATCGATCTGAAAACCTATAAGCAACCTGTTCTCGTATCGTCAACAATCAATTTGAATCCATTAGCAGCATTATTTAATTTAAATGATAGCGATATGAGTGATTGTCAAACTGTTTTCGAATATCTTGGTCACGAACTAACTGTTCGATGTGCGAATGATCTTGTTGGTGCTCGTACACTTTACATTCAATGTTACTCTTCACCAATATCATCACGTCGTTCAATTCAACGTTTCTATCAAGGAATCGAACAAGCATGTCAACAACTTGATTGTACACTTCTCAAAACGACCAGTTCTGCTATATCATCATCATCGTTCAGTTCATTATGTACAGGTCTATGTGATAGAGAATTTACTACACTGAATAATACAAGCCATCCAACGATTAACGAAGGTGATTTCTTAGTGGCCATTCGAAGTAGTTCGGGCACAGTTAATACGCAAGGCTATGTACAGTTAAAAGAGTTATTCCAAAAGAAAAATATTCATTTGAACGATACGGTACCTTTTCGAACTGCTGATGGTGAAGAAGAGTCATTTTTCTCATTATTGCTACAAAAATCATCTGTGTTAGCATCATCATTAGCTAAGACCATTGGTGAACTGATTAGAAATCGAACGATCAAAGCCGTTCGATATCTCAAAGGTATGTAGATTAGCTTTAGATTAATAAAAATCCTATCTACTTCTTCATTTAGATATTGGTTTGGCTCGTATGATTGAATCTTTACTTGGTCCATTCAGATCAACATTGAATATTGACTTAAATGGCCAACAATGGCCTGTAATGCCACCACTTTTTACTTGGATCTATCAACATGTAAGATTAATCGTGCTTTTCTGCTCGTACAATTTGATTCTCTTCTTTTCAGAGTGGTTTTAGTCAAGATGAAATGTTCGAATATTTTAACTGTGGTGTCGACTATATACTTCTTGTTGATCATACAAAAATTACTGTCGAAGATCTTCTTCGTCATCTAACTGAAACACATACTTCAAGTTTTTATCTAGGAACATTTGTGTCAATAAGTAAGTTGAAATTCGACATGATGTTTTATCTATATTTCGATGTTTTCTTCTTAGATCCGACTCCAACACGTAAACCAATTCGTACGCCACAACAACCAATTGTCGCTCCACCACAACCACGTACTGTTCAGTTGAAAAATATTTCTTTCAAATATCCGAAACCATATCAAACAGCTGGCGCATTAACAAATAATAGTGCACCTGTCGTAATCAAAGATCGAATGAAACAACCGATTGCAAATGACAAAACACGTTGTGCTGTACTTATCTCTAACAATGGTAAACCAATCTCGAAATAACATGACGATTTCTATATCTGCTCGTTTCTTTTAGACACTTCCTTACTTTCACTTCTCGCTTATAGTACATCAACACTTGAATGTGCATTCGAGATCGTTCTTGTACTTTCAACAGTAGCTGGCCTATCGGATATTGCTCGCGTGAATGAATTACATCCCTCCGTGGTTACTAAAGTGATTCAACCGAAGAAATACGCTGCTCGACATTACGATTTGGTAAATAGTTCATTGAATTCCTTTCAGTGGATAGAAACTTTATTTCTTTTTCATCGTTCAGGATCAAAAAGTGGACGACGAATTACAACTACATGGCTGTGAATTAGTTATTCTCGATCGTTACACATGTCGTTTATCACATTCGTTTATTATGGCTTGGCGTGGACGTTTGTTAAGTATCTATCCATCGTTGTTACCATCATTTCGTCATAGTAGTTCGCCCATTCGTGATGCTTTACAAACAGGTGTACGTATAACAGGTGTGACAGTTCATTTTATTGGTGAATCGGATACGGACAACGATGGACCCATCATTGCCCAGGAAAGTTTATCTGTAACACCGTTCGAAACGGAAATGCAATTGGAAAATCGTCTGCGTACACTCGAACAACAATTGTATCCGAAAGCAATTGATTTAGTGGCGTCAGGAAAGATTGTTTATCAGGGTAAACGACGCATGAGTAAAATCAATTCAACTACGTCAATTACGCCTTCATCTTATTAAATAAACTTTTGTTTTTGTCTGTACATTGGATTCTATATCATTATATGTTTCTGCGCTATTTGTTTCCTGGAATAGCCTGATTCTTTTTGTCTTTTTCCCTCTTTTTGTTTTTGTAGTCTTGTCGTCTTGTTTAAGAAAAAAGTCCAAACGAAAAATATATATGTATATGTATACAGTCATGAACAAAGTACAAGCTGTGTTTGTTTGTTGATCATGTTCAATAGCACGAACGAAGACAAAGCATCTTTCAACTGTTCGCATGTGAACGAGCGAGAGATTCTTTCAGGTGTTGTTTTAGCTGTTAATTGATCGTCCAAACAAGTGTCAGTTGAATGTAATTCTATCTGAGATGAAGAAAAAAAAATACTAATTGACTTTATCACCACCCCTCTTTCTCTTATCTAAACTATAAAACAAGCACTCTTTTATGTGTATTGTTTTCAAATCGAGTTAATCATTGTCGGACAGTCTGTCTTCAAATGTCGAGAGCACTTCTTTCGTCGATAGATTAATTGAAAGAAGAGCGCAACATATCATATATTGCATCACGTTCCTTATCAATCTGTTGTCTACGCATACTTTTGCATTTCTCTTTATTTTAATCAGTCGAGAAGTTGTTTCACAACAAGCATCGTGTACCATTCGTTAACAACAAACAATGATCGTATCGATTCGTCTCAGCTTGCTATTGATCCTGATTCTAGCTATACTCGTTAGTCAAACGAACGGTAAGCTCATCTGAGAGAAAGATCGTCGATTCGGGGAAAATCAACTTCGAATACTTTTTCTAGGTTTCCTGTTTGGCCAGTGGTGTTTAGGTGCGCATCAAGAATATTTAAGATGTGGTTCCGCCTGTCCACTTTCATGTGCTGATGTTCGATATGCAAGATATTTTAAACCATGCACGTATCAATGTGTTCAAGGCTGTTTCTGTAAACGTGGTTATGCGCGTCGTACTCATTCGAAAAGTCAGTGCATCCCTGACTGGCGTTGTTAATGAAATTAATAATCTAGCATTGGAATGTATTTTTTTGTACATATGGGTAAATAAAATATGATTAGTCAGAATACTGTCTTAGATATAATACTAATAAAAAAAAGAAATGCTAATTAACTTTGTGTAAAAATAATTTTGATAACATTGATTTACGTCAAATCGTAAGTGAACAATGGAGCTATCAAGGACGAAATGATTTACCTTGATCTAATACATTTAGTCAAATAGGACTATGACGATTTTACAAAACCGGTTTTAGACAATACTGAAGAATGATATGCGTAATAATCATTCGATCGACTTTTGTTCGATAAGTAATCGATACGAAAAGCAATAATACATTTATGAAACGATGCTTTTGTATGGATGGTTACTCTTCATAAATGTACTTAACGTTCAAAGGTTCATACTAATGCACGCTTTCGATTCTGTTTTTCTTCTCGATATACAAAGACACATATGTTTAAGATTTGACCTCGAAATCAATATGAACTTAGTTCAATAGCGTGTTAATGGATCGATTCGATTATCTGCGTATCGTACGACCATCAATAAGATAAGAGACATTATGTCGCTCGAGGGATGACTTTTTCGTTTCTTTCCGAAACAAAATCATCAGTTACATTAAACGATAGACGACGAGGAACATTCTCTACCGTTCTGTATATCGTTACGCTTCATGTTCGTGCGAATATAAATCCAGATTGTCTATTAACTGACAAGACATAAATCGTCGAATGTACCTTTCTTCTCACACACATCTCTAATATCATGTCGAACACGGATGAAAGCCTGCACACGACTCTCTCGATGGATGCCTCCTCGCAGCCAGCGATTATCAATACAGTAACTGTTGCCCTACCACAACAGCAGCCTCGTCCTCTAAAGCGTAAGATTAGTCATCAATCAACACCAGTGTTTTCTTCGTTTTTACGAACACCCTCAGGAAGTAATGGTGGATTTTTCAACAAGTTCGTATTCTTGTCGAAAGAGTGTTCATTTTATTTGAGCGGATATTTATTGTTTCAGTTTAATGCAACGAACCATTTCGAATCGTCAAAGAGCCGAAATTCAACTGCAAAGTTTACTTGATGAACCTGAAGAATCTCTACCGACATTCACACGTCGTGCCAGTGATCATTTACCAAACGAGAATCTACCATTAGAAGAAGTGTCCAAATTACTCAATACTCAAACGTTCGTCATTGAACGACTTGTTAATGCTCTCTATTCGTCTACCGATGATGATGATAGTATAAAGACTTTGAGCAAATGCGAAGTACGAAAGCTAACACGAGCACTGAATAGTACGATGGACGTTCGAGCTCTTCTGTTTTTCATGATGCTCGACGAAGATGGTGATCGTTATGTAACAAGTAATGAACTGGCATTTTTCTATGAGAAATATTTACAAGGCTTGAAAACATTCGATGCTAATCGTTTGCAAGAAGTTATCCAAGTGCTTCAGAAGAAGTTTCATCTCGATCAAGTAAAGAAGACAACTTAAATTGATATCGAAAAAGTACAATCGAATGCATTTTTTTTAGAAACCTCGAATTGATTTCGAAGAATTCTATTCGATTGTATCCAAAGATGCGACACTGCTCGAATCTTTATCTCAATTCACTGTTCATCCAACATGGTTTATCAAAACACCCAATAATTCAATGGTCAAACAAAGTAAACTTCAACGTTTTTTCAGTCATCACTGCCACCAACAAGTCATATACGAAGCACGAAAAAATAGACTAACAATAGACTATGTCAAGGATAATCTATCGAGTATCATTGTTTTCATTCTGTACATCTTGGTAAATCTTGCTTTGACCATCTATGTTATCATTTATCGAATAACAGTGACCAGATCACATGCATTTGTTGTTGTTGCACGTATTGGTGGAATGTTGCTGAATTTCAATTGTGCACTCGTCATTACACTGATGCTTAAACAAACAATATTGGTCATTCGTACGAATAGTTTTCTACGGAAGATCATTCCTGTTGATAACCATATTGACTTTCATAAAGTCGTCGGACGATTTATTGCCATCCTATCAATTGTACATACAATTGCACATATGGCCAACTTCGGAAGACTTACAGGTACGAATACTTAGCCCCAAGACGAAAGACCTTTTAATTTTTCAATATTTAGATCATTCCTGGGGAACTTACATGGTACGTTTATTTGTCTTCTCTATAGAACGACCATATCGGCTTCTTTAGTTTGCGACAAGACCTAATCTAGGTTGGGTAGGGGGCCTTGCGCCATTGACTGGTGTTATCTTATGTGTCATCCTTGCTGTCATTGTTATTTGTTCCATGCAATGGATTCGTCGTGGTGGTCATTTTCAAGTAATTTATCTTCTGTTACCTTCAATTCTAACTGTTCTTTTATACAGATTTTCTATTGGACACATTTACTGTACTTTCCATTTTTCATTCTTCTTATTCTGCATGCAGGAAACTTTTGGGTATGTTCAACATGGGTCTACGCGCGGAACTTTACATCTGACTTTTTTTTAGAAATGGATCGTGGGCCCATTATCTCTTTTCCTGTTGGAAAAAACCTATTCAGTTTTAACAAGATATTCTGTTCGAAGTGGCCGCACTTATCTTCATTCAGCAACTATCGAACAGTCGAATGTTATTAGTTTGAATATACATCGGCCAAAAAATTTCACGTATGTTCTACTCGGCGATGCTCTTCTTCAGTTTTCTTGTGTGTGACTTCTAGTTTTAAACCAGGTGATTATATAAGTATCAATTTACCACGTGTTGCACTCTACGAATTCCATCCATTTACGATCAGTAGTGCACCTGAAGAAATGGGCAATCTTCGCGTACATATCCAAGCTGTTGGCAATTGGACTAAACAGGTTTATCAACGTTTCAAAGAAATGTCCGAAGATGACGCTCGAGAAAATCATGTCAAAGTTTACCGTGCTGATCTCCATCCCGAACAATCGGTTGCAGATCTTCAAGCTATCAACAAAGATCACTGTGGCGATGATGATGGCAGTGAAGTATATACAGGAAAATGTCGAATGAAATTCAAAAAACGAGAGCCTGTCGTGATCAACGGACCTTATTCATCATGTGCTCGTTACATATTCGACTGTAAACATGTTGTTTTGATTGGTGGTGGTATTGGTATTACACCATACGCATCGATATTATCAAGTCTCATGGCGCAGTTTCGTGCATCGCGTGTTGTTTGTAAATACTGTAATGGAATCAATTACAATTCCAAAGGACTTGTCGAAAATCATCGTCTGAAGAAAGTCGATTTTATTTGGGTGAATCGAGACCAGAAGAATTTTGAATGGTTCCTCAATCTTCTTCGTCAATTTGAACAAGAACAGGAATATTATCTAGCGTCGAATTCGAATGAAAAGCGTTTTCTTGACATTCATTTATATTTTACAGAAATCAAGCATGATGAGAACATTGGTAATGTTCCATTAGATCTAGTGACTAAAATCTGGGCTCAAGTAGCTGGACAAGATATATTTACCAGTTTAAAATCGAAAACACATATCGGTCGACCGAAATGGGAAGATTTGTTTAGTAATTTAATTTCAGGCGAAAATGCCTCGACAGCAAATGATGTTGATGTTTTCTTCTGTGGACCGTCAACTATGGCTCAGACAATTCGAAATCATTGTGCTACATTTCGATTTCGATTTTACGAAGAAAAATTTTGAATTTTTTTGTACAATTAAGATGTTAATTTCTTCTTCAATCTCAATATAAGTATAGACTTCATCCAATGATTTTTCTAATCTTGCACACTTTTGGGTCTCTTTCTCATGAACAATCATGCTCTCAGATCCGATCTTCAACACACATCGCTACATTCACAAGAGATATTGAGTAAAAAATTCGATTTGCTTTTATTTTGAGTTGTCTTTTTAAATAAGGCATTCGAATCGCCCACCATTTCAATATGATCGTTCGATGAATGCGAAAAATACAATCGTGAGAAGATATAAGACAAAAGAAGATATTACTAAATCAGAAGACAGAGAAAAAAAAGAAGTAGGGAGAGCGCAAAAAGCACACACAGAATTCTAGAAGACAACAAGAAGTATTTATATATAGATTAAGAAAGAAAAATCGAATACGATGGAACCATTCTGTGACACAGAAAAGAAAAAGAAAGTGAGTATTTTATCATACAACCAAAGACACAACACGTCGACAGAAATATGTACAATGTACATGCAGACATTGAGAGAAAGAAGAAAAAGAAAATACTTGAACGGCGAAAGAAATAGAAGAATTGATTTTATTTTGCAAATACCATCATGATTTGATTAGCTTTACCAAAACATTCAATCTGACAACATTGATATTGATTTGTTTGTCGTTTTCATCTTCCGCCGCTGGATATATACTGATGGAAATTCACACCCGGTGTTACTGTTATGTCTCCGAATGCTTCACTTTGTTCAACGTCAACAGCTTGCAATTTTTTTAATACTAATAGCGTATAAAATTTCTGTGCAGTTAATTTTCGTGTATGATAATTTGGGTTGCCCGACGAAAGATGATCGTGAAACGAAAGTGCGTCTACTGAATCGAAAGAACGTTCGAAAGCATTAAGCATGATTTTTGCACGACGATTCAACTTCTTGCCAGATTCAAAATCCTAAAAGAGAGAACAGCGGTTTTTTCTACTAATCAGAGATTTTTTTCTGGAAATAAATTACGTACTTCTTGAGCGGTTGTCGTTTGTCCATGTTCTTCTTCGTCATCGTCTTGCTCATCCTGATTTTCTTTCAAATGTCCCATTCCTTTCTTACGTCGTGCACTACCGGGTGTGCGTGAGGGCGATGGAGGTAGCTGATTCAATTCATGAACTTTTCGTCCACTCTTTCTCGTTGGTGACATGGGCGCAGGCATAACATCCATGAGATTATCCATAGATGTTGTCATCGGAGGGAAAAATAAGGAATCACCCGGTAGAATCGATTCCATACGTTGCCGTTTATCGATGTTCGATTCGTTTCCCGGGGATAATCCACGTTTTCTTGAGCGATTGGGTGAATCATAGCCTAGCACTTCTAGGTAATGATGATGTGAAGCACGCATTTGTTCAATGGATGACTCGTCTCTGTCACGTTCAAGTTGTTCCATGGCAAGATCATGTTGAATTTGATAATTATCCGGCGGCATTTGATCCAATGCTTTTGTGGTTAAATTGCGTGAAAATAACTATGAAAGATGAAGCCATGAAAGAAACATTCGTTGGTCAACGAATTTGTTTTACCTGTTGCAAAGTTTTTGAAAATACACATGTAGCACTGAGAGAGAACAGCTTTTCTATTCCACCGGTTTCTTTCAAGTGCATTAAGCGACGCGTCGGCGGTGCTAATTCGAGTACACCAACAATATCTGTTGTATCACTGAGCTGCGTTTTCATTGATGTACTGTCAATTTCTTTAACTTCATCAATAACTAGTTTCCGCTTGCGTTTGGCTGCTTGCCGATTTGCTACAGGTGTTTGCGCTATTCAGCAAAAGAAAACGAAGGTAAGAAAATTCACATTTAAAGAGTTCGTCGATTCCCACCTGATGTTAAAATAGGTGGTAGAACAAATTCATCCGAAACGTTAGATAGAAGTGTTGTATCATCAACACCTGGAATGTGTTGGATGGTTTGATTGTCGCCTTCAACATCCATACGATTATCGCCATCATCTGAAGACGTACACAGTTTTGAGAAAATCTCTTCATTCTTATTCTTCGTCATACCTTGATTTCGTTCACCAGCTGGAGCTGCATGATCATTAAGTGTGGGTATGGCAGGATCATTGTCATCATCTGCAAATAAATGATATACGTATCTATGTATTGTTCGAAGTTGTAGCTTGACTTACGATGAAATGGTGACATGACATGATCGTAATGACTTTTACCATTAGCTAAATCTGAATTATCATCGCCGATACCAATCACTGAGCTAGGTCCAGCAACTAAAAGGTAGAAAACCATTCTCCCTTAATCTGTAAATCAAATTACTGAACGTATAATGGTTCTTCTCCTAGGGCTATTCTATAGAACTGATTCATTGTAGAGTTTTGCAAATGCCTTATCTGATCTGATTAGATTATTTCTCTTTAATTCACAATACGTACAATCTCCAAAACCATCCAATGCAAATGGATCATCACCGAATGGTCGAGCAATACTTTGTTTTTTGCGCACAGTTGTATCTAGAAAGGTAAAATCGGCGAAAAATTCGAATTTTCAGCATGGTTTCTCCTACCATCTAAATCTAGATTTGAATTTTGTGCATTCAAATGTACTGATGGTTGAAGTTTACGAAAGAATTCAGGTTCGTCGAGTCCGTTAGCATCACCTAAAAGACAGAAAACTGTCATGAATCACTGTTCATCTTCTTTAGTTTATCCCTACCAAAATCATCATCCATTGGCATAGGCACACTGATAAAATCTTCCTTCAATGTGATTTCTTCTGCACGTGCTTGATGCATTTGAAACCGAGTTGGATCATCGATATAACTAAATCGAGTGGAAAATCAATTACACTGATCTTTATCCGGTCATATCTTTGTTTCGATATAATAAGCATGAAACTTACTCTATGTTAAGATCGATTAGATCAAAATCGTGAAAATTTTCTGGTAAAGTTATTGCAGCAATTGAAACTTCTCGGGTGTCGGGGTCGACATTGACACTATGTGTATTTGATCCTTCAATCCCAACAACTCCCGGTCGAAACGCCATTTTAATTTTAATAAACGCTTCATTGCAATCCGCTAATAAGTATTTCGTTTTCCGTGAGTAGATTCGTACAACTCCAAGTAATAAATGTCCTTTCGTACGTAATGCAAGTTTTAGACATGGTTCGAGAATCGATTCGCAACTAAGTCGAATATCTGTTTCGAAAATTTGTGCTTTAGTTAATTTTTTATCCCAATGTGCCGCAAGCCATAGACGAGCTAAGGGACCACGTTTGGTCAATATCGCATGTGTATAAAACATGCTGACGGTTAAGCTTGATCACCGTCCAAAACAATAAATGGCAATGAAGACGACGGTTTAAGGTCTTTGTCAGTGCCATATTGACAGATAGGAAGAAAGACTCCTCGATGAGGAACTTATTCACTTTGGAAGCAAATCCTATGGCGAGAAAACATTTTTCAATTTAGAAATAGTTTTCAAAAGAAAACGATTAGTTTTTCCTCAATAGAATATTCAACGATAGATGGTGCTAACTGTTCCAATGGAAGATAGTTTTACTTGAGAAATTACTTTTTGAAATGGGTAAGAATAAAGATAAAAAGAAAAAAGGTGCTGCGGTCCAAAAGACAGCTACAAAAGCGAAGAAGAAGACAGAAAAAGAACTGAAAAAACAAATTGAACAACTTGGAGAAGTATGAGCTTTCGCTTTTCTCAATTAACCAAATATGGAAACTTTTCTACCTTTTTTTTAAGGATAACATCGAACAACTAATTACGAAACATGTAGGAAAGGACAAAAATATTGAAGCAGTTGTCATTGAAGATCCAACTGAAAATCCACCATCGAGAAGGTAAAATCTCGTGTCGCTTTCAATCATATCTAAGAAATCTATTTCTAGAGCAAATGCTTCGCTAACTGAACATCCTTTGAAGGATGAATTGCTACTCTTCGGTGGAGAATTCTTCGATGGACGTACTACAATACTTTTCAATGATTTATATATTTATGATATAAAAAAACAACACTGGAAACGTGTACAGACTCCACAACCACCAGCGCCACGTGCCAGTCATCAAGTTCGTCATCCCAGTCTACTCATCAAGTCGCATCGACATTGACATTTTCTTTTCAGGCGGTCAGTGTGTCCATGCGTGACGGTGAACTGTGGATGTTCGGTGGCGAATATACATCTCCATCGCAATCACAATTTTACCATTACAATGATCTATACGTTTTGCATCTATCTACGTTAAGATGGGAAAAACAAATGACAACAACGAATGGACCATCAGGACGTAGTGGCCATCGTATGACCACAGCCAAGCGACAATTATTTTTATTTGGCGGCTTTCAAGATTATATCACGTATGAACTTGTTGCTTTGTGTGAAATACATGTTGTTTGTCTTTTCTAGAACATTTCGATACTTCAATGATCTGTATTCGTTCTGTTTGGATACCTTTCAATGGACACAGATAAAACCTATGGGTCAAGTTCCAACACCTCGATCTGCTGCACCTATCGTTACTTCACAAGATGGTTCAACTCTATTCATCATCAATGGTTACAGTAAAGAAACTGACGATAAAGGCATTGCACATACTGATGTCTATGCTCTAACACAAGGTATAGTTTAATGTTAACAATATTTCGTTCTAACCGATTTCTTCATATTCAGATGAAGCATCTTGGCAATGCCGACAAGTTAAAGTCGGTGGTACCAAACCAGATTTACGCTGTGGTGGTAGTCTTCATTGTTATCTAAATACATGTATTCTATTCGGTGGCGTTACGGATTGTGATCTTGACAACAAGACTGCTGATGCGTTCTTGAAAAGAAAAGGTCCCGAGGCAACACGAATGCGTTCAGTATTTTACAATGATCTTCATCGGTTGGACTTGCATAAACTGAAATGGTATCCGATGGAAATTAAATCTGAAAAAACGGCATCGACAGACACGGGACCAGTGTCTAGAATGAATGCAATGATGGTTATCAAGCAAGGAATACTCTATTTGTATGGAGGTTTGAGAGAACTTGACGAGAAAAAACAAGTAAGTAAATATATATATAGAACTTGATTATTAACTAAAAGAAGAGGATTTTAGTATACTTTAGGTGACTTCTACAGTCTAAATTTGAATAAACTCGATGCGTGGACATGTCTGTATGCTGATGCTCAGCAAGGTGATGTTCATATCTATTCGGATTCATCTTCCGACGACGACGATGATGGTAGGACTATTCGTTTCCTTTGTAATAGTTTTGTTTGATTAATGCCGTTCATTTAGATGTTGATATGGAAAAAGACGACGATTCTTCATCATCATCGTCGAGCGACGACGACGAAGATCAAGATATCGAAATTGAAGCACCGGATGCCATACCCAATGAAACTGATGATGAATACTATAATCGTACACGTGAATTTTGGTTAGGTGAAGCGCGAAAAGAGATGAAAATCTCCGATCCCAATGACGACTCCATACGCGTGCAACATTTGGCCAAACAAATGTCGAAACTTTTCTTTCAATCATAACAGTACTTTGTTATTTATGTTTCTTATATTGTTATTGTTTCCGAACAAACAGACATAAAAATAAGAAGAATTGTTCCGAAAAAGTTTATTTCAATGACAAGAAATTCTTAATGCAATCAGTCAAATGGTCAACCATGTAGGAGAGACAAAACATCTCAAAGCTTTCTCCATTGGGCGCCATTGCCAATTGAAAAAACTAACAAGTCTCATATAATCATAACGGAAACATGTGAAAGATTTTCCTTTGAATCTTCTGATGTTGAACAGCACAAAATGTCGGTTCATAAGTCCATGAGAGGTTACACCAGCGCCGAAATTATTCGCTGGATATAACGATGTTGTTTGCTCTTTCAAAAGTTAAATCGTTCTTATATTGTTTGCCATCTATTGAGTGATGAGAAAGCTCGTCGTCTTGACATGTTCTTCTGGAATTCAATTCTGCGATTGAGAAGCTGTTCTGATGATGAGATTGAGCAATTTCAAGATATGACGATCTTCCTCCGAAAAATGATGGGCATGGGCCAGATTTCATAGTCGTTACGACTACTATTAAATTGCCCGAAGTTGGAGTAATCAGATAACTGTTGGCTACATGTATATGAGCTGTCATATACCCCATATCACTGTTAAATGAGAAGTGGATGTCTCTCAAAGCAATTATTGTCTATAGTCATGCATGAATGATGATGATTATAGTGCATTTATTAAATCTTAATCGATCAAAACTGTTCTTGAATGAAAACAAAAAGGAGAGTAATCGCGATCAAAATCTCCTGTATCTATTGATTTCTCCACAGGAAATATGTAATCGAACGAACTGTCAGTCACCTTTCTCTCTTCTCTTCTGTTTACAACGGTATCATACCGACAATCAACAAATACGCCTGTATATATTAGAATGATCTTTTCCGTAATGGGAAATAGCCCTGGTTTGTTCTCTCATTCTTATTATTCTAACACACATATCGGATAGTCACTATCAAGTAGCGAAATATCACTCGTTAACAATCTGTACAGCTAATGGCTGATGTAAATCTTTTTTGATCTACGATCTTCTCAATTCTGTTTCGTTTCTTTTTTATTAGAAAAAGGCAAAGAAGCCGGCTCAACGAGCGACAAGCAATGTCTTCACGATGTTTGAGCAGAAACAAGTCCAAGAATTTAAAGAAGCATTTGGCCTGATGGATCAAGATCGAGATGGTTCGATATCATTGGATGACTTAAAAGAAGTCTACTCGTCATTGGGAAAGACACCCAAAGAATCCGAATTGAAAGAAATGCTTGAGGAAACAGGTGGACCAGTTAATTTCACAAAATTACTGCAAATATTTGGCGATCGATTGAATGGTTTGAAATCTCTCTCATGCTGATGATATCATGAGAATTTTTTGTCATGTTTTCTTTTTAGGTACAGATGCTGAAGATATTTTAATGAATGCTTTCAAAACGTTTGATGAGGATGGAAAGGGTTTTCTCGAGCGTGAGAAGTAACTATTTTCTAAAACTTGACTTAAAATACGAACATGACCGATTGTTCTTCTTAGTCTTCGAGAGTTATTAACTTCAATGGGAAAACCAAGCGAACGACTATCTGATGTCGAGGTAATCTGGAAGCAATGGATTGATATGATTTGTTGTATATCTTCTTTGTAATTAGTTCAATCAAATGCTAGAAGGAGCACCGGTTGATCCAAAAGGTTTACTCGATTATGGAGCATTTACCAAACAAATCAAACGTGGAAAAGAAGATGACTGAACTGATGAATTTTTTCTTTTTTTTAACCATTAGAATTCAATTTACTTGTGTTTCTCTATGTGTAGCCATACTAGAATATAGATTAGATAGTCAATAGAACGAAAATATAATTTCAAGTACTCAAACTCTATAAGCTAAAATATCGATATGCGCACTAACATCTAAGTTTCGTATCATCTACTCACCTGCTATGTAAGTATAAACACAAATCAGACTGTTTATTTTTACATTGTGCATCTGTCGTGTTGTTATTGTTTAAGTAATGAAAAGCATGCATTCAATGTAATCGATATATCGTGTGCATGAGTATCGAAGAAATAATGAAAACATTCTTTTTCGGACAATGAAAAGGTTATCAAGTTTGAATCAACTCTTGCTTACGATTCAACACATGTAAACCATCTGCTGAAGATGAATTTTCGCTTATTCTTATCAGATTTTGTTAGAGTAGCTATATAAACACATTTGCTTTATTTATAAAAAAAGAAACCGTAACTTATCATTGTCGTAGGTTGATTCTATCACGAGAAGCAAGCATGTCAAAGTTTCTTTTTATTCTATGTATTATTTCAGCTGTCAACTTTCTTGCAACACAAAACACTGTTGTATTCAATATTTTGGACGACGGTGCCGTAGGTGACGGCATTCATGATAATACTGATTCTATTCGAAGAACGATTCTTCGAGCAACCGATCACCAAGCACCTTGTACGGTACTTGTTCCCGGAGGAGACTTTCTCACAGGTTCATTACAAATACCGTCAAATGTAACATTCTATCTAGCCGCAAATGCTACTCTCCGTGCCTCGGATAATGCCAGTCATTATTCATGCGTTCCAAGTATGACAAGTGATACGGGACCTTGCGATTATCCATTTCTACTTGTTGATCATGCACACGACGTTCATCTTCGGGGAGAAGGTCGAATTGATGCCGGTGCTAATAGTCCACCAGGCCATCTCGTTCGTGAATATCGTCCAGCATCGAATATGCTTATACCTACAGAATGGAAACTACCGAATTGTTCGTATTACAGTTGTCGACCAAAGTTGCTCGTTGTACGATACAGTTCATCAGTTGAATTGACAAATATAACTATAATGAATTCTCCTCTATGGACAGTGACGATTGTTGAAAGTGAAAACATTCTTTTTGATCATGTGACGATAGTTGGCGATCGTCGTTGGCCAAATAATGATGGTATTGATCTAATCAATTCCCGTCATGTGACGATTCGCAATTCAAACATAACGACGGGCGATGATTGTATTGCCATCATGTCACATGGCCCATCGTCGATGTTTAATATCACGGTGGAGAATATGGATTTACAGAGTACATCTGCAGGAATTAAAGTTAGCGCGTATGAAAGAAACTCGACGGGTGATATGTATGATATGGTATTTAGAAATGTACGAATAAACGATACAAATCGTGGTTTATGTGTTGCACCACGTTGGGGATCAGGAAGAATAGCAAATCTTCTATTCGAACAAATGTCGATCGAAACGAGATTTTTTGGTTTAGACTGGTGGGGTACAGCCGAGCCAATTTATATAACTGGTCTTTCAGCTAATGCAGAACGGGCGTGGACGGGACTAATGAAAAATGTCACTTTCAGACACATCGTTGCACGCGGCGAACAAGGCTTTCTTGTTCGAGGAAATACAAGTATATTACAAGATATCTATTTTAGCAATGTGTCACTTACGATTGCACGATGGAGTAATGTAAGTGAACATCCGTCGCTTGATTATCGTCCGTCACAAGAACCACAAACGAGTCAAGCAAATGTGGATGGGCTCTTTGCTATGGACACTAATGGATTATATCTCGAAAATATTGAAATCGAGTATTCCGAACCAAAGCAATACTATTATGGACAATGTTTGAATATTAGTAATGTGACGCAGCTAATTAAAACAAATATTCAGTGTCGAAACGCGAATTTCTTAACATCGGGACAAACGAATTGGAAAGCTATTGACAAAATAGTAATTGTATTTTTCTTTGTGATACTAGCACTTTTTATCATTTTATTGTAAATAAAAACAGTCTTCCGTTACCTTCTGCTAAATGTCACTCAAACTGTAAGTCATTGCTACGAAATTTCTCTTCCTTTGAGAAATCGAAATTTATTCTGCATCTCAAAAACGACAAAGATTCACATCATAGGATACTGATCGGTTGTCTTTCAGTACTGGGTAGCTCCACCTGTGCCGGTTGGATAGTGTGTGTGATGATGGCTGCGATGACCACCGCTGCTACTGCCGTGATAGTGTCGAGCACTACTGCCATAATGAACATTACCATATTCTGGTTGGCCAGTTGCATTACCATGGTACGTCACAAAACCATTGGCTATTTCGTGACGTTCCCTTCTTTTGCCCAAAGCATAACCGGCTAAACCAACAGCACCTGCAGCGAGTATTAATTCCATTATGATATTGAATACTTTGTCGAGTGATAGTTTCTCACCGAATATGAATACGTCTAAGTGTGTGTGCTTGAGTATATATAGATATATAGCAAAAAAGGAAGAAAAGAAATGAAAACAAAATCAAGCGTGTTATTGCAGGTAGAGAAGAAAGACACTTGATATTTTTTTTAATTAGTAATCGTGATCGTTGTTAGACAATAACGTATATGTCAGGCTTTTTCCAATCAATTAGTCAGTAAACAAAACTCAAAGACTGTGACATGCTATATGACGCAATTAGATAAACTAAACATGGTAGAACCTATTAGTTTTTATTTTGAAAAATAAAGAGCGTTGGTTTTTTTTCCTTCTAATTAACATCAAATCAATTTCTCTGACTATTTAGTAAACAATTCACAAATTTCTCATTCTGTACACGAATAGATTAGACACGCGTACACCCACATATACAAATCTTGCTATATATTTTTTTTTGATTCATTTCATCTAAAAATCACATGTTAAATAGATATTGAAAAAGTCGATAAGTAAGAATGGACACGTTTTTCATGTGTAATAACTGCCACCACGGTCTCCGCCACTGTAGCAATATTTGAAATAGATAATTTCAGCAAGAATTGCTATGGTTATAAATGTTATGCCTAGACCCATACCCAACTGTGCTGAACGCGTTGGAGGTGGTTCACCTGAAAGAGAAATCAGGAAAATCTTCGTTTTGTTTCCTTCACAGTAACCAAAGTCAAACCTGTGTTGACTGGTGCAGAGGTAACTGTTGTTGTCGTTGTCGTTGTCGTCGTCGTTGTCGTCGACGATTGCGTCGTTTGACTGGTTGTAGTAGTAGTTGTGGTGGTGGTTGATGTTGTCACTGTCACTGTGGTGACATTAGCGGTAGTGGTCGTAGACGAAGTAGCTGTGGTTGCTGTTGTTGTTGTAGTGGTTGTAGTTGTCGAAAGATCAATCACTTTCAGATGCCAAAACTGTGAATCAGTTAAGGCAGTCGAGTTGATAGTACCGTTGGAAAACAATACGCCGACATCAAAGGTAATATAGAATTCATTGCTGACATTATAAAGATTTTGCGGTAAGTAAAAGGATACTGTGTAGTTTGCGTAGTTCACACTGCTGCTAGAGTTAGAAACATCGATTTGATAAAGTGATGTATTTGTCGAATAACTATAAACACAGATGCGTGATGAAAATGCCGGTCGATTAACTAATTGACTGACTAAAAATAAAATCCAGGCCAACTACGGATTAAAATCTATTTCTGCGCGCCTACTTTGAATCGAAAAGGGAATGTTTGTATTATTCACTGTAAAATTCGATTTTGGTACTTGAAGTGTTATGTTAAAATCACCGTAGATAGAAACAATAAACAAATCAATGAAGAGAAAGCTTAGGAAAATCTTCATTTGTTGTGTGTTGAAATGAAATATATTCGTCTACGTCTGACGGTAAGAAAACGACGTCTAAGCGATACGGAGAGGAAAAAGAAAAGAAATGTATGATGTTAAAAATATTTTCTTTGTGTTCATCTGAGAAGATTACAACAACGTTTCCTTCATCTTCAAGAAACATGAGCAAGAGGAAAAAAGTAAAAAGCTACTGGCGTGAAAAATAGAAACGTCTAGTTGACAAATGATGAAGCTGCAACACAGACGAGATATGGGAACCAATAGAAGTCAGGAAAGTTTTCGTCTGAAATACACACAAAGAAAAAACAACAAATGTTCTTTCTTTCCGTCGTTGAATCATCGTTTAAAAAATCTCGAAGAGAATAAATTGACTTATTGTTTTTTTCAACGCTGATGAATATTACTCAATGTTTGATTATCGTGCGAATGCAAGACAACATAAATGTTAATTATACTCCAGGGAAAACCTTGAAAAATAGTTCTATTTGTTCAAAACAAACTTTGTACTAGGTAATAAAAAGAAACATCTCGCTCCCTATCGGAAGTTTCCTATTCTCGAAACGGGACTATGTAAATCATTAAAATGATTTTAAAAAAAGGCGCGAAAAGGATTGTTTTCTTGTTGTTTTTCGAATTTATTTATATGAAAGAGATTATATGTCTTCATATCGGTCAAGCAGGTTGTCAGATAGGTCATGCTTGTTGGGAATTATTTTGTCTTGAACACGGTATACAACCGGATGGATCCTTATGTTCGTCGAACGACGATAATCAATCCTTACTGACATTTTTTGAAGCTGTGGGATATAGATACACACCACGAATGTTGTATATTGATTTAGAATCGACAGTTTTAGATGAAGTTCGTTCGGGTTCGTATCGACAATTGTTTCATCCGGACAGAATCATTTCTGGAAAAGAGGATGCAGCATCGAATTATGCTCGTGGTTATTTCACGATTGGGAGAGAATTAGTTGATGGCGTTCAAGAACAGATACGTCGCCTCGTGAATCAATGCCATTCATTACAAGGATTTGTGGTATTTCATAGTTTTGGTGGTGGTAATTATCGAATCTATGTTGGAAACTACATCGTTTATTTTTTGAAATATGCTTAGGAACTGGTTCTGGTTTCACATCTCTTCTCATGGAGCATTTACATAACGACTACGGAAAGAAGACACGTCTCGAATTTGCGATCTTTCCATCGCCAAAGTTGTCAACTGTTATCACCGAACCGTACAATACTGTTTTGAATACTCATACGGGTTTGGAACATGCGGACTGTGTTTTTATTGTTGACAATGAAGCACTCTGGGATATATGCACCCGCTCTTTGAATCTTTCAAGAGGAAATTTTGTCAATATCAATCGATTAATTGCACAGGTTATCTCAAGTATCACAGCCGGTAGTCGTTTCAAAGATGGTACTACAGCTGATTTTATCGAATTTCAAACAAACCTTGTTCCATTTCCACGCATTCACTTTCCTCTTGTAAGCTATGCACCATTGTGTTCGGCCGAGAAAGCTTACCACGAACAAAATGACACACAATCTATAACACAAGATTTGTTCCATCGAAACAATCAAATGGTCAAAGTAGAACCATCGCAAGGCAAATATATGTCAGTTACGATTATTTACCGAGGCGCAGTCTCGCCCATCGATATCAACAATACAATCAGTAAATTAAAACGTGATAGAAGAATATCGTTTGTTGACTGGTAAGTTTTCCAAAGCGATCGTATGAATTAAAAAGTATCTTATATGAAAAATTTTTTATTTTCTAAGAATATCCGTCAGATAAATAATATAAAAGAGAAAATGAGTTCAGCAACTCAAAAAACCTATGTCCTAATATCATAACTTCCTGATAGCGAAAAAATATATTCAGACAGTTGTTAACAACAACAAAGGGCGTCATCTAAACAGTAATATGCAGGAACGCAAACTTCCTGCGGTATGATGCAGATTGGTTCTGGTTCAGGAATGCAAATTAGCTTAGGTCGACGAACACAGATAACTTGTGGTGGAGCTACACAAACCGAAGGTGGTGGAGGAACGCAGGTTGCTTCGGGAGCTGGAATACAGATGGTTTTTGGTGAGAAAGTACTGTCAGATTTCGATGAACACGAATCATCAGTAGTTGATGTCGTATTAAGACAAAATTTTGATGGTTTGTCCATACGAGTTGGTGGTGCAGGTGGAGATAATAGGATGGGGTCTTTTGGTATAGGCATCGGCCTTGGAGACGATGATGTGGAGCAGCCAGTTGTCGGGAATGTTGACATATCAGATGTCCCAGTTGTTAGCATATCGCTTGATCCAATTGTAAACATATCAGTTGATTGTGTTTCAGGCATACAGAACAGTTTTGCAGGAGGACAAGCCGGTTTTTGCGCAGGACAGCCACCTTTTGGTGGAGGACAGCCGCCTTTCGGTGGAGGACAGCCACCTTTCGGTTGAGGACAGCCGCCTTTCAGTGGAGGACAACCGCCTTTCGGTGGAGGACAGTCACGTTTTGGTGGAGGACACATATATTTGGGTGGTGGACACGCATATTTAGGTGGGGGACTAATACGTCTAGGTGGCGGGCAGGTACATCTGGGTGGTGGACAGACACATCTGGCCGGAGGACAAACGCATTGAGGCAGCATACAGACGCATCTGGCAGGTGGACAGACTAATGTGGGTGGTGGATAAACTAGTCTAGGCGGAGGACACACCAGTTGTGGCGGTGGACAGACTAGTTTCGGTGGTGGATAAACTAGTTTCGGTGGCGGATAAACTAGTTTCGGTGGAGGACAGACCAGCTGTGGTGGCGGATATATCAGCTTCGGCGGTGGACAAACTAATTTTGGCTGACAGGGATACTGAGGTTGCCGCATATAGACGCACTCTGATCCTGGAGGAGCACACACTAGATCCATTGGACAACTGCGGAGAATAAGATCTGGTTCAGAGGCCACGTTTATTCAAATGGTAGCAATTCACTAAGTTATCAACTTGCTTTTTTATAACTACAATATTTTTGCTTTCGCCCGCATCCTTTATATACACACCTTCGATCTGATACACGCCATAAACAAATGCGTACACGATTATTTTCACTAGTTCCACAAATTTTTCCTATATAATGAAATTGTGACGCAAAAGTCTCATGACAAATTTAATTGTAGGTGTCCTACTGGTTTCAAAATTGGTCACAGTTGAGTGCCATGGACTACAGATTTTTGTTTTGATCGAACTATATTATTTAGCTGTAAGTCCGCCAACGACTGTTCCGGGCGGTGATCTTGCACCCACTAATAGATCTGCTGTTTGTCTTGCAAATTCCACAGCGTTAGTTGAAGCATGGGCTCGAATTGATTACAAATTTGATCTCATGTATTCGAAGCGCGCATTTATTCATTGGTACGTTAGCGAAGGAATGGAAGAACATGAATTCAATGAAGCACGAGAAAATTTAGGAGCGTTGGAGAAAGGTTAGTTTGTTATCAGAAAATATGTTTCACATAATTTTTCATTTCCATTGATTTTATTTGCCATATTTCAGACTACATTGAAGCAGGACACGATCTTGCACGAGTTAATTCGATAAGATCGAATATGTTAAATGGTGACTAACCGCTTTGGCATGACTAATACAGATAGTCATTTCTCTTTAACATGTGATCTTCTTTCGTCATTACCACACTTAATAGACAAGGAAAAGGATTTCTTTCTTGATAATATCTCTTTGACAAGTTTTACATCATAAATGATAAGACGAAAAGTAAATAACGTCCATGAATCACCACACAATAGGATGTATAAATAAAAAATTCAAACGCGAAAGTAGTACTTATTACATATTATCTGCGAAAACGATCACATGAGTCGTTCGGGTCGATGCAAAACGGTGCTCTTAGGTGACACAGGTGTCGGTAAGTCCTGTTTAGCACTCTGTATCACTAAAGGCTATAGTCATGAACATATTGAAACCACAATCGGTGCTGCCTACTTCCCACATTCGGTTCAGATTGATCCTGATACAGTGCTGAAGGTTGACTTGTGGGATACCGCCGGTCAAGAAAGGTAGGCTGTATCTTCGTTCTTTCTTTATCTTGATGTAAAAATTATTCTTATTCTAGATTTCATTCTCTCGCTCCAATGTACTATCGAGATGCTGCGGCAGGTTTAGTTGTTTACGACATAACAAATAGTGAGTCATTCCGTCGTGCGAAGATGTGGGTTAAAGAAGTACGTGCAGCAAATGGGCCAAACATGGTAGTGGCAATAGTGGGCAACAAACTCGATCTGGCTACAGGTGACAAACGTCAAGTAAACAGACAAGAAGTTAGTGAATATGCTGAAGAAAATGAGTTGCTTTTCATGGAAACTTCGGCACGACGTGGTGATAATGTCGGAGAAATATTTTTGACAGTTGCTAAACAAATTGCTGCAAAACAACAAATAAATTCACCAAATAGAACGAATGATACAATTTCAGCAACAAGTGTGACAACCAAAACAACCAAATCGAATATTTGTGGTAACTGTTAAACATAATATTTTCCTCTTTTCTGAATGTGTTTATATGAAAGTAATAGTAAACTAGTTTCATTTTTCATTTAATGGATCTTATCTCTATTGGGCATTCACTAATACACAGAAAGATCACTTATATAATTGAATATTTTCGCATTACTCGATTGTTGTGCAAAAGCACATTGCAATTATTCGTCACTTTTGCAAAAAAAGTGTTCGAATTCATCTGAATATATGCAATGGGAAATGAAGTCAAGTGTATAAGTGAATAAGTCAAGAGAGTCTCCTCCTACCGTGCGACTGACATCGACAGGTGTACCTATTAGAAGTGGCTTATCCCTCTCCAACGATCCCCGTTGGCAGAAGACGAATGGAGCCGTGAAAATGCTATTTCGCGTGTCAAGTCGTCTATGGATGATTTATCTTGTGATGTTTTCATTTCCAACGGAAAAGGTGCTGATAAGTTATAAAACACAAATGTGCAAACGATCAAGTCTGATGAGATTAACCATCACCTTTATTGTTCTTTCATCCTCACACATGTGAATGTTTTCAATCGATTGACACATTGCCTCATATTGAGTCCATCTGTTATCTCCCTTGTGTCCGAAAGAGAGAAAACAGTTTAACAAGGATATTATCATCATGATCATGAATGTTTTGATCTTCACTTGTGAGAAGATGGGAAATGATATTAAATGAAGATGATATATTGGATTTCTGTTCTTCCCTATAAGGAAAAGAAGATACTCGATCATAGAATGTATTCTTTAAATAACTTATGTCATGCATTGACACCTTTTTGCGCTTCGTTATGTTTCATCTCAAAGATTGACATCAACGATGAGCAGCATTGCCCGCTGGTCACAATTATTCCTTAGACGATCAAAAGACATGACTCAAAGATGACATCTTCATCCAACAAACACATTCTGCCGCTCCACATCACCACATCTCCACATCACGTGAAGGAGAAAACTACTTGAAATCATAATTGAAAATGAACATGGAAATGAAAAGAAGTGAACATCTAATTATTTGTGGTCACGCGAATCGATCCCACTCGATCACCAACTGTGAACTGTATCTCCGTACATCTCTCTCTTTTCTTTCACCCATCATTCGACTAAATACGAGACTCTATACACATTATGGGGTGTTTTAACATAATGAAAGCCTTGATTTGTGAGTGTGTTTGAGATAGACAGTATGTGATTGTAAAAACAGAAACATATGGAACAGGCGAAGGAAAAGTAGTGGGTGATTGGATCATATATCTCCTCTTTCTTTCTCTCTCTCTCTCTCTCTTGTTTACTGATTGGTTGAATGAGAACATATGCGATGATGCAGGATGATGTAAAGAACGTCTCGCCACGATTACGTGGATATTGAACAATCACAAAGAGAGAAAGAGAGAGAGAAAAAGAGAACGGTTGATCGATCTAGACATGTACGTATATATAAGACGGTATTGACTACGTAATATTATGCTCATTCTGACATAACACACATTAGATTACAACATCATATCATATCGATTGACTAACTAACTGAGAATCATGTCATTTATGATTGACCGACTTCTTGCTCCATCAGCATGTTCATCTTCGATCACTTCTACAATCAATATTACTCGATCAGCTCTTCAGTCATTGACAAACACTTGCATTTCTACAAGTCAACAAAAACAACGGCGAATGTGGCAATGTGACATCTGTTCGAAAGCTTTCGATCGTCCATCGCTATTAACTCGACATATTCGTACACATACAGGTAAGATCTCACATTAGTTGATTCTTCTTCGATTTCCCTGTGATTATTGTAGGTGAAAAACCACATGAATGTGATATTTGTACAAAAGCATTTTCGACTTCATCCTCACTCAATACTCATCGTCGCATTCATTCAGGTGAAAAGCCTCATGTCTGTGAGATATGTAACAAACGATTCACTGCTTCATCGAATCTTTATTATCATAAGTTGACGCACAGCAAAGTAAGTGACTTTATTCGATTAGTTTGATCCTAGATGATTATGTTGTATTTGTTTCTTTATAGGAAAAACCTCACAAATGTTGTCAATGTTCGAAAAGTTTTGCAACTCCAGGTGATCTTCGATGTCATTTACATGTTCACAATGGCACATGGCCATTCCGATGTTCGATCTGTACTCGTGGCTTTTCCAAACAAACCAACCTGAGAAATCATCTTCTTATTCATAGTGGTGAAAAGCCATTCGAATGTGTTCATTGTACGAAGAGATTCTCATTGTCATGCAATCTTCGATCACATGTTCGCACTCATCACAACGATGTACCATTGGACTTTTCTTCATCTTCGTTTCAATCAGAAAATCAGTCGTTATCTCATGTAGATGGCGATGAGAGTGTTGATGAAGATGAAGATATGATCGACGTGGAAAACGAAGACTGAGAGTTGGTTTATTGTTATTTTTGTATTTTGAATGATTTATTTATATTAATTGTGTGTGCGTGAGAGAGAGAGAAGCACAGAAGGAACAGTGATGTGATATTGTAAATGTAAATGTTCGAAATATGTGAATATAGATTTGTTATTTCGATTAGAAAGGAAAATAAAGAATGAATGAATGATATTTGAGTGTTGATGGTGATCGCGGAAGTTTGCGTAACGTGTTGGTGTGTTTAGCAGATGATTTATGTGAATGAAAAAGAAAGCAGATCAATTTTCATAGTTGTTGTTCTCAAAGAAAGGAAGGAAGGAAGTGAGAGGAGAAGGTGAAAATGATTGAACTCATAAATTTGATTATAATGATGTTGTTTGAGACAATGTTGGTGATTGTTGTTTTTGATTTGAATATGTGGGGCGAGGATGTGATTTGATAAATGTATGCGGATTTGTAATGTTGATGTGGAAGAGAAAAGGATGAAATGAGCGGCGAGAAATAGGAAATAGTCTAAATAATTAGGAGAGATGTGAAATGAGTAATTTGTAAAGCAAACAAGTTCAAAGACGAGTTACATTTGGTGGTCTCATGTTGACTTTTTCGTTATGATGGTGTGATGTGTTCGTTGAAAAATCATAAGCCTACACTAATAGACAGACACATGTAGTTTATTGCATATTTCGGCTATTGCGAAAAGATAACACCGAGATGCTGATTACGATGTTATTTTTGTTCATCTTCTGTTTTTATAAGATGTAAGAAGTTGATTGTGTTTATCTGAATGAGCATGAGAAAAACATGGCAAAGAGAAGAATTTATGAGCTATGTTATTGCAGATAAACATGACACGGGTAAGCAATGTATCAAAACAATATATATCACATTAGTGATGCTTTCAAAATCATTGAATCATCGATTGTAGTTTTTTCAGTGATCTCTAAACAGAAGCAACTTCCTAATTTTAGAGAGATATCCTTTGAAAATTTCACCACCATTTGAAATTGTCTGTTTTCTTCTTATCAATTTCACAAGAATCAAATTCTGAGAAAGTGAAGTCTAGTTCTAAGGGCGTCGGTTGCTTTCCCTAAGTCAAATGTTACAACAGCAACAACATCCTAATTCCTATTGTTGAAATTAATGTCCATGAATGCTGCGTAAACTTTACACATTTTAATTTGACCACATACATTTATTTCGAATCAATCAACTTTCGAATAGAAATCTTCTTTTTAAAATTATTTAAATATATATATCGAATGTCTTTTATTTACAATTGATTTTCTTTCTACGATTGAAAATAATCAAATCTTCTAAGCCGGATATAATTTCACTTTATTTGACGACACCAAGTACCTCTGGACACAGTCGATTGGTCATTTCATACTAAAGCATCAAAGGATGTGAAAATAAATCGAAATATACGAAGTCATCTTACCAACGGAGCCATTTCTTCTCTTTTCAACAAATCAAATTCGTGGCAAAAGTAGCAGAAATGTTTGTAACACATATTGACATGCGGTTCCTGGAAGAGGGGTAAAAATTCGTATCGTTTACAATCGTCAACAAATCTTACCGCTTGCAAGTCAATAATGCGATCGAAATGATGTACATAAACATGAACAAACACCCGGTATAATCGTGATAGTAATTTTTTACATGTCGAACGAAAATTCTTCGGGAACGGGGTACCGACTTGTACAGGAAATATCGCTTCATCATTGATGATCGTTTCGACCCATTCCATCAGTAAAGTTATATAACTAGGCGCATTTAATGATGTTGGCTTTTTATATTTTACACCGTCACACCATCTGAAATCAACAGAATTCGTCTAGCTTTTGGTGATGAAAGGCAGCTTCCAGTATATACCGATATTCATATCGAGGTCCGCCAGACATCGTTGGACAACTTTGCGGAGTACAATAGTCAGTAATAATCCCGTAGACCAGATTGATTCGATTGAAAAAGTCGACCACTAATAATTCATAATGAAAGAACTCATCTCGTTCGTTCATGTCAAACATGTGCTTTCAGTTCTTACCATGTACAGCAATCCAATCATCTTCATCTTCATTGTCAGGTAGTTTAACAATCTCTTTCAAATCAAGACCGGATTTTAACGAAGCACTGGCTTGTTTATGAAGCGAGTATCGCATTGTACCTTAAAACCAACAAGAATAGTTCTTAGCAATTACAGAATGAATCATTACCCTGTTCGAATTTCTTCTTGGGACGAAACGTCTACAAATAAGAGTACTACAATTATAAACTGTATCGATCTAATTACTTACCTTGTCTTTAGCAAAGAAAGATGCAAAAGACGATGCCATGTTTCGATGTTCAAGAGTTGTTTCAATACTGAAACAAAAACCACTAATGTACTCCTTTTGTAAACATACTAATCAATTGCGAGATTTGTTGTCTATCATTTGTACGACTATGAAATGTTCGGCGTACGCTTCAGTCAACAATCCGGCAGTGATGAGAGAAAATGAGAGTCAAAAAAGCAGAAGAAGAAAACGGACAGTTGTGTATGTCTATACATCTCGACTGTCGAACACTCAATTATCAATCATCAACGCAACGAAGCAACAAAAGAAAAAGATAGCAAATAATTCAAGTAGTAGTACAAAAAAATGAATGAAGGAGAACAATATGGTTCACTACTATTGGCGTTTGCAATGCCAATATTCAAGGATGATGAATGGTTCATTTGTTCAGTGAAGACAGCCTCTTTATACTGAACGAAATAGAAGAGGTCGCCTGTAGTTGGTAATTCTGTCTATAGAAAAAGAAATAATGTTCAAAGTGATTCAATTAAACAAACAAATTGTTTGATTGCTGAGTGAAACCCATCAGAAGTATTTATTTCATGAGCTTCTCGATAAATTACATCCAAAATAGAGAACAATTACCAGATACATAGCCATCATAAACATGTTCAACTATACAGAAGAAATAGAGCGTTCTATTCACTAGTGAATACTGTTGTCCTGATGACATCAATACAACTGTAATTGAGTTAATGATCTTCAGTAGTCATGAATATTCAAATATAGCTAGATCTCAAGTTTCACTTGTTCTATTCATCTAGCAGATACCAAGAGAATCTCTTCGGTTCATCATGGACACAATGTACATTATTCAGATCAAGTCTGTCAATTACATAAGCGCAAGGCATGTCTTGATGTGTGCTATGCATTTGAACAATACTGCATGTATTTCGAAGTCTATGATGGAAATGTATACAGATATTCTACAATAGATAGGAGATGGTTCATACCAGACAGAATGGGAATCATTTAACTTAATAAATATGATGCACATCTGGTTTACTTACAATTAACATAATCTATTGACCTTTGCATCAATTACGACTATGCTTGAAATTTCAAGTTTCTGCAGGAAGAATAAATGATCATCGCTTAGTTAAAATACTCAAACTACGAAGAGAGAGAGAACCGTTTGACGAAGTATAAATCTGTTTTCAGACTAGCAGAGCACAAAAAATTACATAGAGTATTGATCTTATCTGAATTCAACTTCATGATCAATAATAACCAATCTAATCTGATAAAGTTTAGACATTTCTCCAGTGAACACCTATATTTGCACATGTCAATGGCGCTAGCAGAAGTTGACAGCTTGATTCTTACGTCACTTATTAGAAGAAGTGTTTCTTCATTGAACATTGTAAAGCAAACGAAAAGTCTTCTTGGTTAATGGCTTTCGAATGTTTGTAAAAAGAGACTACTTTCCTAATTCTTCTCGAAACCAAGTGTATATTTTAAAAAAAGAATACAAATTAACACATAAATAATTCTACAAAATACAGCAGAAGTGAGCTTTCTCTTTATTTTCGCGCATTTCGAACTGGACGGTTTGGTCTCTTCTTGCTCGTTTGATCCGACGGAGGAGATACGCGACTAACTCCGTATAAGACACCCACAACCAGAAATAGAAGATAATCCACGAAGATAAGAATATACGCAGCTTTGTACAAATGTCGGTGACAATATTCGGGTAGGACAGGATCAAAGAACTCGACGCGTAATTTCACTTCGAAGACAATCCATTGTCCAGCAAAAAACCAGGCGATGATAAGTAGAAACAGCACGATGAAAACTGGAATGAGAATCTTCAATAACATTGGGTTAGGGCCAGAGCTTTTTAACGTTATTGATGGTTTTTTATTCAATTGAACGAAAATAAGAGCGCCCACGATGGCAAAAGCAATACCAGATGCGCCGCTGAGAATCATGTACGGAGATATAAATTGTCGGACAGTACATTGTCCAACATAGATGAAGCCAATAACAAATTGCGAAACAGGTACGGGAGCATAGAGAAGAATGGATATTAGAAAGTAGAATGAACTGAGATAGCCACCTTGGTATTTGATAGATGAAGGTTGTATCGTTTGTATAGGTAATGGCTGACGTAAATCGTATTGTAAAGGCACAAGATAATCAGCATTATCTTCGCCTGGATCTCTATATGTAACTTTTTTAGGTTTAGTAGCCATGATAAAGTTCAAATCTAGGGAAAATAATGATATGACATAAGTCCAATATATTTGCAATCGAAAACAAACTAAAAACGAAACGATCAATGCTCGATCGTAAATGATAAGCGATAGAAAAACGTCTCACTTTATTCAGCTTTACAAGTCCTTCCTCTTCTTCTGTTATATAATTTGTCAATGTACGACTACATATTCTTACTAGTTCTACGTTAGTATGGCCTTGAGTGTCAAGCATGTTCACTCTTTTTCTCTTCCGTCAAAATTTTTCTTTTGTGTTCTTTGAAGATTTTTTTCTTCTTACTTGCGCGTGTATATACATAGTACTCTCACCTTTACCGCTGTTGGCAGAGAAAAAATTCAGAAGGAATCGTATGGGTCGCCTATTGCAGATAAGAGAGAAGGAAAAATAAAAACGACGGTGATGCGATGACAACATATAAAAAAAGACGTAAAAATGCCAGGAAAGAAAAAAAAATGTGAGGTACAGTTTTGGCTTTGTACGAGTATGTGTATAGGTAATAAACTTTTAGTTATATAAAGAGAAAGAAAAAAGACACTGAAGGACATATATATATATATAATCGAAAGGGAATGGAGAAGTGAAGAAGAATTTCTGTTCTTCTTCTTTTTTTTTATGTTAAAACGATGTAACTGACCTTCATCATATTATATTCAAAAATCTCTCTAAAGAAGAGTTGCTACGGTGTTGTTAGAGGAAAAATATGCAGTGGAAATAGACGACGAATCAAATTTCAGTCAGTTTTATCATAATCTGGTCGATCGATTAAGAGAGGAGGAGAAGATGATGAAGATTAGTAAAAACATATTCATTATTGGTTTGTTTATCATTGATTTAACCGAAAGAGAAGAAACAAGAAAATTATCAATTCAAATTGTATTTCATAAAAAATATGTCGAATAACCTTGCTCGTCATTTTATACAACGAGGAGAAGATGCATCGTCTAATAGGCCCGGATACATTTAGCACAAGCTTTTTGAGTTAAAATTACTCATTCAAGTTCGCCATTAAAATTTAATAATATCAAATTGCTTACTCTCTTACATTTGTCATCTGTAATGGCAGAATCATTTTGTTAAAAGTTACGTAGTTGTGTTCCATTTCATCGAATACTCAGATCTGACAGAGTTTTTTTATTCACTAGCTGTATTTTGCTAATCTCAATAGTACTTGATGTTCGCCTTCGTTTCCGTACGATGTCTTACGATACTCAAGATGTTTATCATCACACATAGGTGAAGAGGCAAACACCAGATGAAATTCCAATTGAAACAGATTGCTATAGATGCGGAATAGAAAAAAAAGACTGTATGGATGCTTGGGGTTCTCAACAACAAGATACAAATACTTGACAAGTTATAAAATTCAATATCTGAGCATATTCAAAAGATGTCTCTATTACACACTTGACTATATTGAAAATATTCACACAGAATCCAATTTTATTTAACGATGTTACACTTTTATCGTCATTTCTTCTTTATAGACATATACACAAATACAGTATCATATTTCTTCGTCCCAAACACAGTACCTCACTCTGCTATCTGCGTTATTTTTGAACATCGGCGAGAATTATTTCGAAACGATGAAACATAAGTTCATTTTTTATTTATGGCAAGACAGCTCATACCGAACAGGTTATCATTGATTCGGTCCTTCATTTATACGTCACGTGTACATGATTGAATAACCAATGAATTAGCGAGCTAATCCCGTCAAGCTTGAGTTGTTATTGTGTGTACGCGTTTGTACATACACTCAGAACGGATCAAAATGATGAAAGTCGGAGAAGTTTTCCTGCCGGATGATGAAGATTACAAATATTTCAAGAACGAATGTACAAATGATGATGGATGGACAGTGTGCTATGATAAATCATCATGCCGTGTAGCTACGAAGAAAAGTACCCTTTCAGCATTCGATGTTATTCGTGTAAGGTTATCGCATTGAATTGATTAATACAATAATCATGTTGTTTGTAGGTTCAATCGGAGTTTAAGGATATTTCGGCGGATCTTCTCTACGACGTTCTACATGATGGTTCGTATCGCGCCAAATGGGATTCGACAATGTTAGAATCAAATGATATTTGTATTGTTTCACCAAATAGTGATATTGGCTATTATTCCGGTTTGATATATACAAATTGAATTATGAAAATAATCATAATAAAATTTCTTTTCTAGTAAAAAGTCCACCGCCGTTTAAAAACCGAGATTTTGTAACACAACGTGTTTGGTTAGATTATGGACGTAATCAAGAAAAATATATTCTTAATCATTCGGTCAATCATCTTGTAAATAATTCTTCTAATTGAGTATTTTGTCTACGCTCATCGATATATTCTAGCGCGAGCCACCGCGAAAGAATTTTGTACGTGGAATTTCTTATCTAACTGGATTTTTAATCATACCAAAAGGTTCGTCATCGTGTACATTCTATTACATGACACAATGTGATCCTGGAGGTCGGTATTTTTCGAAGTTTTCCATTATGGCAGTCGTATTTTCTTTGCTTTCAGGCAGTTTGCCAGCTTGGTTTGTAAATAAAACATCGAAAGTTTTAGTACCGAAGGTAAGGAAACGTTTTGTTTGATATGGTGAATTTTAACACCTCGTTCTGATTTAGATAATCAAAAAATTAGCCAAAGCATGTACGAAATATGACAAATGGAAGTCGAAAAACGATCCACATTTGAAGCCATGGCTGTATCCGGATCAGTTGACTGTTCCCCGATTGAATCCAGCTGATCTTGGAACATTCAATGCCCAAGAAACACTAACTGCATCTGCGGATACAGGCGAAGCAGCGATTGGAGAAAACGCTGTTCAAATCGATGATCTTGTTAGAGATGATTGAATACTTTGCTATTCAGCACATGCTAGGTGAAGGGTATTTTGGAAAATTTCTTTTTTAAAATAAAAATGTCTACGGCGCCATAATGGTGGTCTTGTTCGAAGGAGAAAAATAAGAATAAACACATCATATCAATGAGAAAAAATTCGAAATGGTAACAGATTTTATCAATAACATTCCTAGTTGTTGCCAGCAACAGAAACATTCAGAAAGAGAATCAAATGTCAGCTCGTAAAGTTCTCATTCTGTTTCTGATCGCGTTAATCTTTCTCATCCCCTTGGTTGAGTTATCGATCGGGTTTTACTATGTTGATTCTGTTCAACTGTGTCCGTTACAACCTGACACTGCGCTATTCTTGTCGATCGGCGGTGTATTTTTGGCAATCTTTTTTGCAGCTGCATTGGGTTTCATCTATTCTATAACTCCAGCACGATTCAAAGCTGCCAAAGGACTAACAACAGCACAGATAAGTGCGAAAGGAAGTAGTGTGGGAATGCAGATATTAATCGGTAAATGACCTCTCGTTTTCTTCCACAGGAAGTCTAGTTTTCTACTTTAGGTGCGATTGCATTCATATTCGGTGCATGTGCATTTATATTTATCGTACTTTTGAATACTCGTGTATATGGAAATATGAAAAAAGTTCAGTGGACGTCTCCAACCGGCTCAAATTATTGTTTATATGCAATCTCTATCTCCGCATTTGCCATGGTCATCGCGAATTATGTCGCTTTTGCATTGCTTCTCCTCGTTGCAGCAATTCTATTACTAGGAATTGGATTGTAAATACGCCAAATTCGAGAAATATTTTCTTTTCATCTTTTCAATGTACACTGACGAACAGTTTGTTGAAAGAACTAATAGATCATTTGAATACATCTCTATTGACTGAAATGTCATAATCTTTCAGATCAAATACGATCAAGTTCATTGGCTAGATATTTATTCAGTTGTTTCAACCAAATATTGACTATCTAGTTTCATCATTTACGAGTACATTGAGCTCTCGAAATTACTTACAGGTCTTCTGTCGAGAAGAAAAAGTCGAAGGAATAGGCTGTGAGCTTTTCGACAGATTATTTGTTCTTGCTTTTCTGATTATTGACACGACGGGCGAGTTATTCGTAGTACATGGACTGACGTGTGAAAAAGTTCTTTTGTTAGTATAAAACGTAGTTGATTTCTTTGTCAACAAGATGAAGTAGAAGAAAAAAGGTGCGATGATGATTGAATGAAACTCTCTCAACACGAAGAAGTTGAAACATAAGTTTCACTTGTAGAAATGTGTTTATGTGCCGTTGGCAAGAGCGAACGCAAAACGATTAATGTAGGCGAATAAATGTACACGATAATAACAGTTAGAGAAGTAAAAAGAAAACGAGAAGGAGAAGAGAAAAGTTAAAGGCGATCATTGCACTTTTTTGTCGAAAAAAGAGGAAAGAGAAGTTCACTTGTGTGCTCAAGTAATTAACCGATCGTTTTATCAATGGCTGCACCGTATCGTGAACATGGTAAGGCATTCATGTTTTGCCGTTTTTCATCCACTGTTCATTTGAAAACACAGAACCAGTACGATACTATCAACCACTGCCAGCATCCACGCGTGTTGTATATCCAAGTAACGGTTATCATTTGGACGATCAACAAATCAAAGCTCGTCAACAAATGGCTCATGTGTAAATACCATTCAAAAGGAGAAAAGTTGAGCAATTTGTTTTCTTGTAGAAATGTTGTTGTCACTCAACCGGGTCGAAGTGTATGGGACTACGAACATCCGTGGTCCACCGAACTGTGCTCATGCTGCTCTGATTGCAAGCAATGTATATCCTGATGATTGAAATTAGCTCGATGATGATTTTCTCTATGATCATTCTAGGTTGTTTTGCCTTCTTCTGTTCATGTTGTTTTGAGTACAAATTGCATAAACGTGCGGGAGAGAAGACGTGTACATGTTTATGCCCGGGCTCGCGATTTGCATTGAGATCAAAGATTCGAACAGCATTTCGAATTCGAGTAAGCATTTTAATATTCCAAATTCGAGTTATTGTCGAAATAAGAGGCGAACACTATGATTTTGAATTCTTGCGTCAACAGAAGCCTTAGTTGTCCAATGTCATAACTGTCTTTTTATTAAATCTGGATGCATGTCTATATTCATGTATTTAGGGTGATCTAATCAATGATTGTTGTACTGCAACATGCTGTCCGTGCTGTACGTCGATCCAATTGACTCGCGAATTACATTATCAAGGACTTTGAAAGCAGTCGCTTTTCTTTTCCCCAAAACAAAGTTTATTTCTGTGTACAAAATTGGCAAGCTGATGAAAAGTAATGTCTAAAGTTGATTGAGAAAAGTGTGTGCTCGAAAAAGTGTTTGTGACGTTTGCCGTTCAAAAAAAAGCTTCTTCAAATTCAGTTCAACACGTGTTAGTGTATGTTTACTAAATAAAGTTTCCAAAGCTGTCCACATGTAAACTTGGCAGAGTTCATTAGTTGATTTCAATGACTTGAACCATAGATATAATTGGAGGCAGTTGGCAACCAGAACTGTGGACGGACGCTAGAAGAGAAAGAAACAATGAGATAAAGGTCGAATTCAGAATAATCAGTTACATTTTCGGGGTTTTTGAATAGCATAGAATGAACAAGCCGTTCGATAATTGGCGGAGAGGCAAGAGAAGGTAGATTCTGATCGTCGTAAGTGTCCTGTCGGAGTGTACCATGAAAGAATGGATTTGGTTGGGAGAAAAATTCATAACATAGCGTTCCACTTGCCCATAGATCAGATTTATCAAAATCCAAATAGTTTTTCGGTCCAGGTTCACTGTTCAGAATCTAAATTGATGTTATAAATTACTTTATGCGAGTCATACTTATATGGAAACCTACCTCCGGTGCCATCAATGCCAGATTTCCACCTTTACAGATTTCATCTGTTTGATGTGGAACTTTCAGGTCGGGTGGCTGATAAAGTGCACAACCAAAATCAGCGACAACTAATTCACCAGTTGATTCACATATGAGTAGATTATCACTCTTTAAATCTCGATGAACAATCGACTGTTTGTGTAGATACACTAGAGCTTCGAGTAATTGAGCAAAAAGTGTTAAACGTTGATGCACATCTGGTTGATGTGAACGAATATACTCATTTAATGTCAAATCGTATCGTCTCATGACGATAAACAATGTTTTGTTTCGACCGTAACCATCGGGAGAAAGACGTGTTGGTATAGCCATTGGATAATGTTCGTGTGCTTCGTTTAACAATGGGAAGGAATCGACAAAACATGAGTACATTCGCACGATGTTCGGATGAGTAAAGTATTGTCGTAAAGGGATCAATTCTTTGTCCATGGCTTTTTTAATCACTTCAGCATTCGATCGAACTCCATAGTTGAACAACATTTTAATCGCGAGGTTGAATCGACCAGCTAGACCCGAAGAAACACTTAAACCAAACCTCGAAATGAAATGCATTTAACCTACCGGGTAAAATGTCTGAATTCGTACTGCAGGAATCAGTCATACAAGTGGATGTTTGACATTGAACTACGATGATACAATAGAATGGTGAAAACTATGAATGTAAATGTATGGAAATACCTTCGGTGACCGATTCGCCATCAGTATTGTTGTTGGAAGAATGTTGTGAAAGAATCTCGATATCACTCTCATTTGATTGACTGTTCGACGAACGAAGTCGTGCTTCATACACAGCTGCGTTACAACCGCAGCCGATCAAACGACCTAGTTCATAATTATCAAGTACTGTTTGATAATGTTTCTCATCTTCTTGATTAAACTGATCCATCATGGAACTTTTCGAAAGAAGACTACCGATCTGATGTATGGTTTTATCGAAATGACCCGCATCGTATGATGATTGTGGAAGAAGTGAATAGCCGAGCAGGCCCAATAGAAGATGCGAACCCCTTGGCGCTACAAAAGAGACTAGGGTTTGATAGATTTCCATAACGGAAACAGACGAACCAGCAAAGAAAAATCGGCGTTTGATATCATCGAGGACCAGTCTGAATGGGACTAAATTCGATGACACATTTTGTGCATTGGTCGGTGCGAGAAACGATCGATAGATTGATGGGAATATATAAAATCGTGTTGGATGTTTCGTAAACTTCGATGTTTGGTGAATAGAAGAAGTAAAAATAGGTTTGGCTGGACGAGAGATCATTGTTCGACTCAATCGAACAATGAATGTCGCCGCTCCTCGAAATACCATTGTTTATCTAAAAACAAACGCAGATTAAATTTCAAAATTGACATAAAAAGTGAAAACAACAAAAGTCCTCAATGTTTATGATGTCTATGCGAAGATTGACTCTTGTCAGAGTGTCGATCATGCGTGCATCTATGTACAATTGATGTATTATTTTTGTCTTTATGTAAAATTTGAACAGTTCGATGATTATTTTGCGACGATTCTTCTGTTCGACGCTTCTTAATCAAGTGTCGAAGATCGAATTCGTCTGTATTGAGCTTAACTGTTATCGAAACAGGCCGTTCGTTTACGGGCGAAGAATGACGGCGTTCTTCTTTCTTCTGTGGTTTAATGTTCTTTGTCGAAGATTTATGGTGGCTTTGTTCATTGCGCGTTGATGATTTTCTTGGTGGTGGTGGTGGCGGGGCAAGCGCGACTGGATTTTCCGTAGGTTTATCTTCCTGATGCAAGAGTAAGTCATCGTCTTGAAAAGGACAATCAAGAATTAACGTATCATCATTCGCTGTTGGAATGTCTTGCGGAAAACGTTCGTCGATATCACCTGTTGCTTGTTTTTCTTTGTTTTCGAAACGATAGTCTTTGTCGTGTCTATCAATTGAATCTGAACTGATCGATGATAGAGAGGAAGACGAAGATGATCGACTAATAGAAGAGTAACTCGAGCCAGAACGAGAAGAGTACGATTGTGACGGTGAACGAGACGCACGACGAACCGGAGAATGATCATGAGTACTCTATGAATGAAAGTCGATATAGATGGATTTTCTATTCCACTCCACAAATAAAAACTAACTTTTCGCTTCTTAGAATTCAATGTTTTTAATGCTGCATTTCGTAATGCATCTAGAGCATCATCATCGTCATCATCACTGTAGCTACGTTTACTAGCTTTGATCGGATGATACGAACTGTAATGAGACGTTGAAGTCATTGCTTTTGAGTGAGTTTTATCGAAATAATTGTCCGTAGTAACGGGATAATATGATGACGTCTGCAACAAACGAACACATAAGCATTCTTCTGAATAGGAGCATTTTTCAATATCTTACCATGTGAATTTCATGAGTATATTGCCGTCAGTTTCGTAAACGTTGATGATTACTAACAACAGGAAAAAAGAATTCAACATCGTTGATCGAAATCGCAACCAATCATTGATATATGCCTCATTGATTTGATTTGATATCAATCTCACAGTAGTTTATAAAGCTCAACTGATGACTACCGCCATCTATCCATAGGCGGGCTATATATATGTATACAGTAGTTAAAAGAAGAACCATGTCGATATGAAATCAGCGATAGATAGCTTTCGCGATTCAAATTCAGATCAGTCAACAGATATGTGAATCGCTGGATGACTATAGTGTATACACTGCTCTTCGTCCTATTCCGTTTACACAATCATACTGATATGGCACAATAATATGTTTTTCTTTAAAAAAACAAACATAGGTTAGTTCATGTGGTTTGCTACTCAACTGTAATTGTTGACCTGTCGAAGTGACTCATCACTCTTTTTCTTCCTTTTATCGTTACCTACAATGTTTGATAAGTTTTTCAAAACTATGTTTTCTGTCGATAGCGACAAACAAATAATTCCAATAATGTTCAACACACAAAAAGAATCAATCACATTTACGATTACGTAAAAATTTCTTGGAAAAATCACAAAAAGATCTTTTCAAAGCAACAAATCAAACTGAACGTGATAATAAAACATCGAAACTACAAGTATTTACTCAACGTTCGCTCATGTCAACGAATACAAAAACATGATTTCTTTCTCATAGATCAACGAAATCAAAACCAAAGAAACTCAAATCCGCGAACTTGGATGACAACATGACGATAGACTGATTATCATTCGATTGATGGCATCAAATAATATGTATTCAAAGGAACAATTCTTAATTCGTACTTCAACGCAAGCAGATAACGTCTATCAAAATCAACAACAACAACAATATCATCATCTTGAAATGATCGTATCTCAAAGTTGTAATACTTCAATCACAAATACAAGTTCACGTCTTCATCCACATACACCAAATACTGAACCAGTACATGTTGATCAACCTAGGAACTCTGCTTCATCCGAAACTTCACAAGAAACTATGTACACAACAAGCGCCAGCAAAAGCTGAAATTATTCGAACAATAAAATACGTTTTGATACATCAAAATCTTGGTGTGCACGGTGAAATCGTCACTGACTTTGTTCAAGTAAAGTTTATGAAAAAGATGGAGCATTTTTATGTTTGTATTGATTATGGTGATGTTTTTCCATCAAGTACTGGTGCTGTAAATGTTATTTTTAATAGTGAAGAACGAGTTTTTTAAGAAGCAACCTGAAGAAATAGTCCACTACCGTCATCCTGTCAGCGTCCAGCTGTAGTAGCTAAGTGTGTTAATATTTTCTCTTTTCTGTTGTAGACGATTTCGTATGTAAAAAATCAATTCTTCGTTAATTACTTTGTCTGTTTACATCGTAATTTTATGTATTTTCTTCGCAATTCTCTCGTGAAATGTGTGTTTGCTTTTTCTCAAAATGTGAATTTATTCTCGTCGAAAAAGATGAAAAATAAATGAATGAAATCGTAGGTCTACTTAAGATTAGAAAAGTTGCTGCTGTGCAACAACATCGACTAATGTTCCATTAGGTAAACACATAGGCTGGGAAAGCTGGAGGTGCGGTGAGGCATGAGCCTTGCCAAAATTTGGGCTNACGAAAATGAATGAGTTCATTGTACTTCATATTAGCAGACAGCTGATTTATTCTGATGTGTTAAATGTACAAAAGAAAACGCTAAGAAGGATTTTTCCTTAAACATCTGTTAGAGACATAAAATGACTTGTACAAGGTTATGAAGATCGTTGTACAACAATACATAGGAAACAATTTAGATTGAAAGAAAAAGCGATGATTTGTAAGATATCAACATGTGCTTCCGTTTTTTCGCAATGTGATGTTAGCATATAAGCGAACTATTACAATCACAACCAAAAACATTATATTTGTAGGATATAAAGCTAAAATATTTGGAAAATAAAATGATGTCAAAAGGAACACATAGAATAGAAACAAAGAAATTCTTCTTCCTGCTATTCTTCTCCCAAACAGCTATTGGCTCTCTTTCGATAGGATAATGTATTAGCAAATGAGGACATACCATACTAAAGCAAGCACGCGCGTGTGTCCATCATTAGGACACGAGATGTTGCACACGATAAAGATTGATATGCCGGGAGTTCCCGTGTAATTATAAAAAAGTAGCGATGAGCAAAAAGGATAAACTCAAAATATATTTGTGACACAAATCTGATAAAACAATCAAGGACAAACTTTTAAATTCCTTAATCTGTGAAGTCTGAAGGTAGAAAAATAAAACTCCGCATATAATATGATATCTCTATTCGTTTGTGTTATTTCATTGGAATTGATATATGGTTAGTTGCACCAGAAATCTCCCACGATTACAGTGGCCCTCTCCGATCAGGCTGAAACTTCCAGCATTTGGATCTCTCGTCATATACACATATGCATATATGACGAATTTTCTGCTCTTTTCTTCTTCATTTCAAATGATGGATTTATCCTTTTCCATCTCAGTCATCTGGTAAATTTCCACAGAGTTATGTCAAGGGATCAGTTGATCACTATATAAACTCGGTTTTACAGTTAAATAAATAGATATAGGACCTTGTTCTCATACAAGAAAATAACACCGTCACAACGTCTTCATCCACATACACCAAATACTGAACCAGTACATGTTGATCATAGTAAAGGACATGCAGTTGTCATACATCCTCGACAACAACGTCAACGATCGAGATCATTGACTAAAGTTTCGCTGAAACATCGATCATAAGGAACAGTTGAAATAGGTTTCTTTCATTCAATTTTAATCTTCATAGAATAATGAAATTGTTTGTTGATCAACCTAGAAACTCTGCTTCATCCG